AAAAAAAAAAAAGCAAGCAGGGACAGGAGAAAAATAAGCTAGAAATGGGTCAGAGGGTAATTTAACATTTTAAAATCTCCCTGTCCTATGTTTATGTATTTTTCATGAAGTCTGACTTTAGGAAACAGAGGAGGAGATAGTATTCAGAAGGATGAGTGAGCAACGGCCGTGAAACTTAACGTGTTCAACCTGGATTTTGGAAAGCAGATAAGGAAGGTTAATAATCTGAGAAAGCTCTCACTCATACCTATTTACCCCACTGTGTTATTGAATCTGCACGATTCACAATGGAATATGTTTAGTTGTATACTGTATAATGTGTGTTGCTGATGTATTTCTACTTTGGTAACGTCTGATTGAGTCAAGGCTCTACACTCTGTAGAAGAGAATGACAGTGTGACAATGTCAGAAATACTGTTTTCTACTGTTTAGCGGGGCACTCAGGGCATGGCCTCCGTAGCATAGCTTCTACTGTATAGTCCTCCATTACTTCTCTCCATAGTTCTTACTTGATCTAAACCAGATTAATCTTCATTCCCCAAGCATGCCACACACTCTCCCATCTTTAGGCAATTGCTCATACTATCTACTAATTCTGCAATGCTCTTCCCCCTGTCATTTCCAGCTCTTAATGTCCTATCTGAAATTTACTCAAAATGCTATGCCCATGCTTTGGATTCAAGATGACTGACTGAACACACACATTTATCCAAGGCAAGGAGAATCAGAATTCTCTTAAAGATAAAGCATACTGTGGGAGGACTTGCCCTTCCAGACATCAAGGCAGATCATAAGGAATTACAAAGAAAACCAAACAATCATAAGGAATTACAATAGCACTAACAGTGGTATTGGCACAAGAATAGATGAATAGACAAGTGGATAGGATAGGGAGCCCAGAAAGAACTAATAAACATCTGGATAAGATTGATAACAGAGGAAGAATTTTATCCCATGGGAAAACAATGGAATTTTTAATAAAAGATGCTGGCACAATTGGCTATCCATATGCAAAAAATAAAATTAGATATGTCACTCATTCTATATACAAAAAAAAAAAAAAAATTCCAGGTAGATTAAAGACTTAAATGTGAATGGTGAAACTCCAAAGCTTTCAGAAGAGTATATAGGAACATACTTTCATGATCTTGAAGTAGGAGAATTTTTTTATTGAAAACACTAGTCACAAAAGAGAAGATTGATGAATTGACCACATGAAAATTAAGAACTACTGTTAATCAAATGTCAGTGTGAAAATAATGAAAAAACAAGCCATAGAGAGGGGGGAGATATTTGCAACATAAATAACCACCAAAGGATTAGTATCCAGAATAAAGGCTTCTAGATCCATGAGCAAAAGGCCAAAAACATAACAGAAAAATGGGGACGAGAACTAAACTGACACTCCTTAAAAAAAAAACCGAACACAAAACACCCAAGGAGTTCAACTTTACTAGCAGCCATGAAAATGAAAATTAAAACCACAAGATCACACTACTACACATCCATCAGACAAAATTTGGAGAACTTAATCTTAAGTGGTAGCCAGGTTAGGAGCATACATCACTGGTGAAAGTATAAATTGTCACCAACATTGGTAAATAGATAGCATTATCTAATAAAGTTGACAATAAGCATATCCCTTGATGTATAATTTTCACTTTTGCTTACATACTCTGATCGTTTAGTTGTCTGTGAGCACCAGAATATATGTTCGAGACTATTCATTTTATCTTTGCTCTTAATTGACAAACACTGGAAATTCTTAATTGCCCCTGAACTGCAGAATGAATAAATAGAAAGATAGTCATACATGGACTATTATACAATAGTAAAAATCAACAAACATGATATTAAGTGAAAAGTTAAGTTATAAGAATTGCATATAGCATGAATCTATTATATAAAATTTAAAAATAGACAAAACTAAACTATATCATTTAGATGTGCATACACAGGTGGTAAAACTGAAAATAAAAGCAAGGAAAATTATTGCTGTAAAGGTCAGGATGGAGATGACCTTTCTGTACTTGAGTGGTAGTTATAAAGATGCTCACTTTACCACTATTTGCTAAATTGTACCGGTAAGTTTTATATAGTTTTCTGTATATTACACTTCACAATAAAAACAAAATCAAGTAAAGTAAAAAAAAAACCCCAGAAAGTACAAAGAAAACAAAACAAGAAAAAACACAGGAGATAAGAAACAGACATGCACATTAATTCAATACATGCTAAATGTGGCATTTCAAATTTAATTCATTCAATAAGTAGTGTTGAAGCTGGAAAGAAGGAATTGCAGATCTGACCGCAAATCAATATTGAAACATCCCTATGCCACGAACACCACTAACAACATGGAGAATATATTCACAACACATACAAGAGATGAAAGGCTAATATCCATAGTATATTAAGAATGCCTATAAATTAATGTAGGAGGGGAGATATGGGCAGTCAATGCACAGAATAAAGGACATAAATGGTCAATAAACATGAAAAAATAAGCAACTTTGTTAGTAATTGGTAAAGTGCAAAATAGAAAAAATTAATATATAATATGCAGGGACATTTAAAATAATCACAATATAATTATTTGTACAATTCTATATTAAACTTATTAAATGATAAAGTAATTACAAAATATAAAAATTAAAGAAATCATTACAGGTGAGGCTTCTTCTAGCTTTACCATTCTTAGTGTGTGACATATACCCTCATAGTGTCAGGATGACTGTTTTGCCCCCAGGCATTACATCTGTGTTCCAGCAATGCAGAAAAGAACGGCAAGAGGAAAACATTGTATTTTTCCCAGAAGCTTTATTCCCTAGAATTATACTTAAATCTCATTGGCATACGGTGTCACACTTAGAGAACTGAGGAGGAGTGTATTTTTTAGATGAGCATATTTCTGTTCCAAACCAAACTGTGGTCCTGTTAATAAGCAAGAAGTGGAGTATACATATCGTTCAGTCAACTGGTGGTGTACTGTGTGAAGGAGGCACCCAGAAGAGGGCCTGGTATATTGTACATATTCAAATATTAGTTAAATAAAGGAATCGGAATTTTCATGTTAAATCTGCATAACCCCCAGAATGACAGTAAAGGAACCGAGAGCCGAGCACCAGCTACAGAGGAAACTAGTCCAGATGGAACAAAAGGCTCCCTGAGAGATTGATGATGAAATGGATGCACTGCAGAATGCTGCTTAATGTCTCTGAAGATACTGAGAGCAGATTCAGACAGAAAGTTTGAGGGAGTTAGTGATAAATGTCTAGAATTGGCTGCTCAACACTATAGCCACCAGTCACGTGTGGCTATTTAAGTTTAAGTCAAATAAAAAATATAAAAACTCCGTTCTGTGGTCTCCTGACATGACACTTCTGAACTCTGACCTTTAGGAAGGCATCGTCTGAAGCTTTGCTGTTGGCGCTGAACTGTACCCTGCTTTGCTTTGTAGTCAATTATACAGGCTTCTAGTCAAACTCCTGTTGATGCGTAAATTCTTAGCCTAACCAGTGGCTGATTTTGGAAGCTTTGTAATATTTTGCCATTTCAGTCTAGTACAGAGTAGAGAGCAAAGACTCTAATAAAATGTAAAATATGATAATAATTTATAAATTATAACAGCCAACATTTACTGAGCACATGTGCAAGGCATGTGATGAGAGCCAAACAATAAATCAGGGCATCCGTTCATTCTTTCCACAGAAGAGAACACAGGTCAGAAAAATAGATAGAGCTGCTCTTTCACCCCTAGAGGGCAAAATTCCAGATTAGCATCAGAATGCCTGTTTATCTTTTTTTATATATAATTTTGTACTATATGTTTTTAAAAACTGGGGCCTGCATTATTTTTCAATTTAACACCATCTTTTAAAACACATAACGAATAGTAAGTCACAATTCTTCTAGTACGCAGCTGCCAAGTGACTGATCTCATATTACACACATATCCTTCGGTCATAAGACCTGTGAGAACATACCAAATAAACGGTATAATTAGTAAACATGTCAAATGATGTACAATTTTATTTACGACCATATGAATCTCAGAAGGAAAAGAAGCACATATGTTTCAAACCCACAGGGTTTTTGCCTTTGAGGAGTGGAGAGGCATTAAATCAGTGAGAACTGTCTTCAAGTAGAACATTTTCAGGCAGTTTTTACAAAGTCAATGTCTTACACTCTGACTTGCCTATTAGAGCATTATGTTCACCTGGTGACTTACCGATTTCCATTTATCGCCTCTTACTATTCAGAAATTGCACCCTTTTGGGTCTGCATCACACTTTGCCTCTGGGAACCACCTGAGTAAATAGAAAATCAGTAACCCCGTCACATAGGTCACGTACGAGAGAGGCTCTGCTCTCCTCGCAGCTGGCCTTGCCTGGGCAGAGAGGAGATACCGAGCATGGTCTCGGCAACCCCCTGCTTCAGTATTGGAAAAATGGTGGGGCCTAACCTCTTTAATTACGCCCTGGGGATCGCTTATCTAGTGTCGCCAGCAAATATTTTCACCTATTACTTCATTTTATTACATTAAAAAACTTATGTTTGCCCACTTGATACTTTCTGGGCCTTATTGCTCTACGTCTTTCACGTGAATATGTGTAACATGTGTGGCTCACCTGGTGACCTGGACTGGAGGGAGCGTGTTCCCCTCTGTGAGAGCTGGACAAATGATGTGAAGGAGGCAGTTACAGCGGGGTCAAAGCCCCTCAAAATCATGCTTATTTCTTCCAAATTCTTTTGCAGGAGTATGGTGTTAAACGGGCTTGCAGTAGATAAGAGATTTAACGAAAATGAAGTTCAGGACAATTTCGCTACATTTGCGTAGTTCTAAGCAAGCAACTTGTTACCCTTTATCCTTTAGTGAAATTGATGAACAGGTGGTTTTCAGAAGATCACTCAGTATATTTAGCTTCTGAAATTTGAGCAACTCGGGGTCTGATTGGCTGCTCTCGCCACATGATAATTCGGAGCCCAGGCCCGGCGCTGGCTCTTGTCTGGGGTTCTCAGGAGGGGAGAGTTGGGAGAGGCTTTGCTGCTGAGGAAATTTATTTGATAGATTGAAGGTAAGGCCGGTTTATGGCTTTTTCTGTAACGTTCTTTCAGGAGACGTTTCACAACTTCCCTTGAAGTATTTTCCAAAGTTTCGGGTTGTAACTGGGGAAACTGGTGATGGAAACGGTGGCTAGCAATGCCTGTAAGCCCATCGCCTCACTCAGGCCCTGCTAATATCTGACATGTAGCTTGCGGTTAGAATCACGTCTGAGACTAACCAATTTCTTGCTTAACTGAGTGGGCTCTCCTGTCTAACAGATTTTTTTCATTTTTGCCTTTGATTTTTTTTTTCTTTCTAAATATATTAGTATGAAAAGGGATCTATATTCTAAGTTCCTATATTTATCTTTTTCTACTGGGCTTCCTTTGCCCCAGGAGTGGCAGTTTTGCTAGCTTAACAAAACCAGCCAGAGCAGGGTATTGGTTTACATGGCAAATATCTCTGGGAGAAGGGACAGCTGCTCCAAGTCATCATCCCCTTTTATCAAGAGAGTCCCACTCTCTGGCGTCAAACTCCGAAGGCCTCGGGAGATCCTTTCGTTAGTGCCTGAATTAGAAGTTTAGGCCAAAGACTCGCAGCCTCAACGTCCTTCACTCAGTGCGTCAACAATTTGTTCTTTTTCCAGGTGTGAACAAGAGCTACAGAAACGAGGGAGAAAATTCCATACAAGCCAATGGTGTTCGGGAGGAGCATAAACCCATTGCCTTGAGGTTTCTATTTTTCTTTTAAGATCTACTGGCAGAGTTGTTTTCATATGTTCTCATTAGAAGCGTAAGATATTCTGTGTACCATGTATTAGAGCAGATGGAGACCTAAGGCGGCCCTCTTAGCATTTTGGTGCCTTGGGGGAAAATCTGCAACTTCTTCCTAAAGCCGAGCGGAGCTTCCTTTTACTAAAGTTTTTGTTTGAAAATGTTTCTCTCCAAGTGTTTGGAAGTTGAAGTACTCTGTTCCTTTGAATCTAAACCCTCTCACTCCCTTACCTCAATTTCGTTTTACAACTTGAACTAAGTTGATCATGTAGCTATAAGCAGCAGTATCCTGAGGGAATCAAAGGAAAGAAATTTGAAGGGTCAGCTTTTCAAACCTGCATTTAAATGTCTTTTCTCACTTAGCCTGCAAACGTGTATATACATGTAGAATGGATAAGATTTGAATTCTGCTTTGATAATGTTATAAGATGACTTCAGTCCTGGGGGTAGATTCTAATGTATCTTCATTTGTCTGGAATATGAAAAGTTTGTAGGTGCCACTACTACTCTGAGAAAATGGCAGATGAAGAAGAATATGAGGAGGTGGTGGAGGTAAGATGAAAAAAACTGACTCTGACAGCAAAGTATTTTATGTAGCAGCAGTCAAAGCCGTGCAGGTGAATTAATCATTTGGAAAATACATTGTCTATTATAACTTCACAAAGACTCATCATTAAAGCATGAGAGAAATATTTTATGTTCCATTTCACTATAACTATGTGGGATCTAAAATTGAAAAGAAATATTACTTACTGTTTCCCACTTTTGCTTTTCTTTAGACTCTCAAAAAAAAAAACAAACCCAAAGTGTAGGATAAAGGCAGATTTTAATTTGTTTAACTAAAGCTACCTTCTCTCCCACCTCCCAACCCCCATGATGGAAGGGACAGAGAACATGGAGAAAAAGTTCTGGAAATGGAACTTTATTTCTTGTGTTTGGATAGAAATAGAGGAAAAACTCTTTGCTTGCAGCAGCTAATTATCTATAGGGAGATATGAATTAAATATTTAGAATAATATATGTGAGGTTATATGCATATATGAGATTTTATATGCACGTATATGTGCACACACACATATAAAAATAAACTCACCCCTGGCCGCTGTAACTCAGTTGGTTGGAGCATTGACTGTACACCAAAAGGTCATGGGTTCGATTCCCTGTCAGGGCACATACCTAGGTTTTGGGTTCAATTCCTGGTTGGGGTGCGGAAGGGAGGCAACCAGTTGATGTTTCTCACATAGATGCTTCTCTCTCTCTAAAAAAGAAAAAAATCAATAAACTGATGATGCTCTCAAGTAAGAGCTGGAGCCACACTTTTCCACCAACTCCATTGTATTTACCCAAGGGAACAAAGCCAGCTTTTGCATTTGAATTTTGAAAACACACACATACACACACAACAAAGACCATAGTGGCATAGTGGTCTTTGGAAGATTATTTTCTGGACCAGTCTATATTTAGATGAAGAAAATTTTATTTTATTCTACAAATAAAATTGCTTTTATTACTGAAGCATCCTTCTTCCCCACCTCCCAACCCCCATGATGGAAGGGACAGAGAACATGGAGAAATACATATATATATATGCATCCTTCAGTAATAATACATACATACACACATATATGTAATACACACACACGCAGAATGAGTCACATGCCATATAACGTTCAAAGTCTCTGGCTTCAGTGCCAAAGGCCACATCGTCAATGTTCAAAATTATCACTAGTGTGCATTTTACTATGTCCCTCAGGGTCAAATAATCAGTATCAAACACTAGCACAATTATAAATTAAATTGCCTTCCCTATGATGGTAAAACCAGGAATACTTTTTAGTTTCCAGCTTAATATTCCTTATCTTTCTTAAAATAATTGTATTTATTGGTCATTGGAAACTGTCCTTAGAGCTGGATTTGATTGATTTAACAAGAAGTCATAAAGACAGAGGGGACTATTTTTAGGCATCTCATCCTTGCCACTTTGTTCCCATTACTGCTCTGGGTCTGACCAGCAGGTGCTAAACTAATAGACTTTCTGCCAGAGAGTGTTGAACCAAGGTCTCTCTGACCTCGAAAAAGATGGCATGAGAATGGGGTGGTGGCAGATTTGAGAAAATCTGTTTCACAAAACAGATAGGAATTTGCTTTTAAAATACATCTCTTAGGGATCCTGGACATCTAAATAAAACTGTACTGTCACTCAGTACTGAAATTTAAATACACTTGGAAAGAAAGGAAAAGAAGAAGCCCATATACTATCTAATTAGTGGCAAAGATCTTTTCTAAAAAGTGAAAGTTGGCGTACAAGTTAACGCCAGCCATTTGGGTAATGTTGCCTTTTTTATAAGCTCATTTCTAAGATACATTGACCGATCATGAGAGCCCAGCAAAGGTAAAATTGGATGGTTACCAAAGGTCTGCTTTCACTTGGATGTTAGCAAAATCCAAAACAGTTATGAATCATTCATTTAACTTCAATATTTCCTCTCAAGTCACTGATGCTTTGTGTGGCCAGAGGAATGGTTCCATGTGGATCAGCATCAAACAGTATTTCCCGCAGTGTCCCAATGACATTTCCCATGTGATGAGGGCACATTCTCTGTCCTGTAAGAGCTTATGATTTCTGTTGCATTGTGTAAGGACTCAAATTTAAAAAATAGTAAAGGAGCAAAGAAAGTGCAAGAACAAGGGACCTTAGACAACGTTTATACTAATTCTACTGCAAATGAAATAGAACATGTGGCCTATTCGCAATGGTTAAATTAGTTGTTGAGCGCTCACTGAACCAAGGGCAGAAGAAAAAGGGCCACCAAGGGAAATTTTTGGTTCAGTGTTTTCCCATTTCCCTGAGTAGATATTTTGGTAGAAGAGAAAAAAAAAAAGAAATATAAAATCTTATACTTCTTTTACTGAGAAAATGAGCCAAGTGCTTCATTTTCAACCCCTTCTTGTGTGCCTTGGCCTAATCCCGTCTTTCCCCTGTTCACCCAGCTTTGCTGGGTGAGGCTGGGAGCAGGATTCCACTCTCCTTACGCATCTGAAACAAAATGTCAGCCAGTTCCTATCAGCATCTATTTATTGCTGGTGATGTCAGAAGCAGAACAAAAGTAGATTTGATTTCAGGTCCAGCCTGCAGGCACCTCAGAGCCACCAGTGGCAAATTGCTGCCCAACTCCCACATTTTGTGCTGAGGAATCTCATTTTTCCCTTCACTCCTGGGCGTTTGTAAATTTTCATTTTAACACCCTTTTTAGGATCATCACACTATTGGAAGGGATTTGCCCATCACTCCAGAATAAACTCTTATGACTTAGCAGTCAGGGCGGTATAGGGATAAGTGAGATGTGTCTATGCTTTCGGATTTATTATTTCCATGATACAATCCATTTAAAAGTTTTATTCACACTGAGGTTCCTGTTTTGTTTATTGTTAGTTAGCCAATGGTGAGTTTTATCAGTTTCTCTGCTCAATCCACAGACTCAATGTATTATTATTATATTATTTTCTCAGCAAATTCTGCTTGGGGACCAGAAGAAAAAAAATTTTTACTTCTCCCAAGTAAAATAACACCCCCTGACTAATAACCAGCCTCAGACGCCTTTGTCATGGCTCTGCATCTCCTTGCCCAGCCCAATTCACTTTAGCTTCCCTGAAGTTTCATGGATTTAAAGTGGGGCCCAGAAAATGAACAGGCTCCCTCTTCTACTCCCTTGCACACATATGGCAAACCGAGAGGGCTAGTGAAATAACCCCGCGGAGGCAGAGGAGAGGTGGTTTCTGCTTTGGTTCCCATGATGACACCTTTGTGCTCTATTTACAGTACTACACAGAGGAGACGGTCTACGAAGAGGTGCCGGGCGAGGTAAGGGCCAGCCCGCTGCTGCATGACCCGCATGCTCCTTAGCGCAGGAAGAGCTCTGCTCCCGCACCCTCCCAGGCCCGCAGAGCGCCAAAGGGAGCATCTGAGGGTGACCGCTCACCTGTGTGCGCATCACCTGGTGATGCAAGACTGCATGTTACCTGTCTGGCAGGTTTTATCTCCATTTTTGCTATTCGACACATCCAACATGCTGGGGATGGTTTCCCCCATTGTTCATGTGGTATTTTAGGGGAGGGGATGCTAATTAGAGCAATGTCACTGGCGATCGGCACTCTGACTGCAGCAAAGGGATGACCTTGGACTTGTGATTTGCCTGGGGACCAGCAGTTGTACTGTGTAGAGTTGTCACTTGTGGGGCACCATCTCCACCAATAGGGATGGAGCCTCCAACCCTTTGTCCTTGGCAGTGCCATATAATGCTACTTAGACTTTAGCACGTTAGGAATTCTGAGAAAGCCATTCCCATAAATATCCCAAGTTGGAACATTTTTTTCCGCAAGGTGAGATACCTCACTCATGCCTCATTTTCTGCATGGAGTTCTTTCTCTTGAGCACGATAAACAGTGCTAAGGATGGCTCACCCTAAAGCCCACTCAAAGAGCCTGGACTGCATGGAAACTAATACATGTAGATGCTGTGAATTGGTTAGTTTCTCACAGTCAACCACACATCATTAATAGTGAGCAGAAAGCAGCCTATTAGCCACGGTCTGACAACACTAGGGAAAGTTGTCTTAGATGTACAATTTTCTTACTACTTAGGTTTCTCTTCTCAAAACTGATGCTAGAACTCTTCCTTTGATACAGGTGGTATTAGCTGTAAAGAAAATTATACTATGAGATGGATTGATGACTTGGCTACTTATCTTCTTTTCTTATATACAGTATTTCCAACCTTGGACTAGACCCAAACTTTGGGCCTTAATTTCTTCCACTATAGCTTTTTGAAAGAAACGCTAATTTCCCACCTACCATATGCATTAGGCTGTTGTGAGGATAATTACTCCATTATGTTGTATCATTACTCCTGTCCACCTAAGCATTTATTAGTGTAAATGGCATTCCAGTTCACATTAATTACCTGACTAAGCAAAGAGCATGGTAATCACTTGTAATATTGATGTAATTTATTTTTTATAAACTTCATTATTCTTTGTCTGATAGTACAGGGGAGAATGCTTAAATACCTGCAGAATAAGCAACCAGCTTTTCCTTAGACTTATTTAAAAATCAATAGTAAACAGTTTCAGCTTTATTTGATTGTTTGCATCTTTTGTTCTCTGATCCCAAGTTTGCTTTTACTTTACCCAGTCAATTTAAAGAGATTTTTAAATGTTTAAGAATATTTTACTTCTGTTCTTTCATCCCACCTTAAAGAGTTTGGGCTCCTTTCTGCAAGTGGAATTTTAAGGCAATGTTGTAAATTAATAAGGAGTAACGGTTCTACTCCATGCAGTCTTGAACAGCCAGCGTTATGTATGTGCTTTCAAATGGATACGGTGTGTGAGTTTTGTGCTTTGGCCTGTTTAAGTTATGGAGAAGTCACACAAGGAATATAAGTGTGACTTAAAATCAGAATACCAAGATCATGCTTATCACAGTTTTTACTTTTGTAACAATGTTGAACTGCATGTCAAATTTTCAGACAATAACAGAAATCTATGAAACTACGACAAGGACGACATCCGACTATGAGCAATCACAACCTTCGAAACCAGGGCTGGCTCAGCCAGAACCAGCAAAGCCAGCGGAGAGGAAGAAGGTTATCAGGAAGAAAGTGGACTCTTCGAAGTTCATGACCCCCTACATTGCACATAGTCGGAAAATGCAGGATCTCTTTAGCATAGTAAGTTTCAACCTGACTTCTGCTAATCTGGTTTTAGTATGGGGAAACTACTGATCTCAGCCAACTCTGTTTTGGATGCTGGCTGGATTTTGTTTCTCAACTTTGCATGAGACAAAACTTACTTTGCAGAAATATATGCTCTTGTGAGTGTTGAGGTTTTCTTTGCTATAATTTATTTGTGCCATTTGCAGCATCAGGTAAAGCACCCTTTTTGAAATTGTTCCTGCAAAATAAGCATAAGGCCATTTATAAAGAATTTACCGGTATTTAATCACAATTAGCCAATCTAGGATAATGAAATCATAAATATAGATTTAGTTGACATCAGTTCACGGAAGCTAAATAGCATCTGTTTGAATGATATCTTAGCAGGATGCCTCTTAAATAGTTGTCTAAGAGGTAGATGGTGATGAAGAACATGTAGCTTAGAAAACCAGGATCCGACTAAGAAACTGAAGATCAGAATGTTTGACTGTACCCTCGAACAGTGGTTTTGAACTGTGACTGCACGTTTAGAATCCCCTGGGAGCTTAACAACTACTGATGCCTGGGCCATTCTGGTTTAATCATTTTGGGTATGGGGCCAGTATAGAAGGATTTTAAAAAGCTGCTGAGGTGATTCTAAGGTGTGGTCCAGGTAAGGAATCACTGCTCTTGATGGTCCCTGGTCTTTGAGGTTCTGTAAGTTACACTGATTGGTAGCGGATTCAGACCCATTTCAATAGATCTAATTTGTTCACTGTCTGTGGTTCAGTTGAGGTCTCACTAGGTAGCCTGATTGCATGTCCTCTGGAGGCTCAAAAAAAAAAAAAAGAAAGCAAAGTATCTCAGGGAACAATGGATTATGTAGGACTAATGCTTACGTCAAAAGCATCCTGTTGTGTGGTTGGCCAATAAATATTCATTTTTAGTTGAGTGTTAACTCTTGGGGATTATTTGGTAACTTTCTAGTTCAGATTCTTGAATGATCTAAAACTTAGACTTCTAAGACTTAGGTTCTAAAAACGAGATCATCTTGCCTCTTTTATCATTGCAGTATTCAGCAAAAATAGAAATTATTTTTGTCAAATTATTACCATAAAATCTCATTCATTCAGATATTAATATCCTAGAATTTCTGGTAGACTGAGCAGAATGTTGGCAAAGGTTTTTAATATTTTAAAAGTGGTTAGTAACTAAATCAATAATATGATTTAGCCCTGGCTGGTTTGGCTCAGTGGTAAGAGCATTGGCCTGCGGACTGAAAGGTCCCGGGTTCTATTCCCACCAAGGCACATACCTCGGTTGCAGGCTCGATCCTGGCTCTGGTTGGGAGCATGAAAGAGGTAACCAATTGATGTGTCTCTCTCACATTGATGTTTCTCTCTCTCTCTTTCTCTCTCCCTTTCACTCTCTCTGAAAAGGAATAGAAAAAATATCTTCGGGGGAGGATTAAAAAAATTATATCTATATCTATATATACATATAATTTAGATTGTAGACTACTCTATTCAAGACTACCCTTGAAGCATTAAAAATGATAAATTATGCACATTATACTTAAGGCAAGAACTCATTGTATATTTAGCAGAAATAGTAAAGTAGCATTTAAAAAATACTTCATAATTTAGATTTTCTATTAATTCAGGTTGCATGTCAGCTATCTAGATCACTGAGATTTAGCTGCAGCTTTTGAACTGAATATTTTTGCATTGTATTAGCAATTAAATCTTTTCACATTTGGTTCAATTTCTATATTTATTTTCTGAAATTATTGCAGTTCCAGCTTTTTATGTGTGCACTCAGACAATAAAAACATTGAGAGAATTATTTTAAGGCATTTCCAAGACAATAGTCTGTAATACTATTTCTACTGTCTTATTATACAACTATGTTTAGGAAGAGCCATTAACAAATCTATTTTAGTGTTTGCTGAGAATCAAGGTAGGGGACAAAAAATGCTGTTAACATTGAAAATTGTTATAACTTGCAGTATTTTTTTTTTAATCAGATGGGGATGAGTGCATTGCTTGAAATTCCTGCTGCTGCATTATAAGGCTTTAAGCTAATATCTGACATTCTTTTCAGAATAAATATAAGGAAAACTATGAAAAAGGGAAAGGACAGCCATCCACCATCACAACCGATACCCCAGAACTTCGCAGAATCAAGAAAGTACAAGATCAACTCAGTGAGGTGGGCTGCATTGCAAAAATAAAACAGAGACACATATCAAAAAGCATGTCTACCACTGGGAACTGGCTTTAAATAAGTGTGGAGAGAATAAGGGGTTGAATTACTATGAGCCAGTCCAGAAATCTAGAGGAAGCATTGGCCATAGAGGATGTTGCTCTAAATGTGAACCCAAAGAGGCTTCTAAGAGCTTGGCTTAGAGAGTTAGCTTAAGAGGTGATGTGTTTTGGAAGTTCCAGCTCATTGTGGTCCTCCCTGCTGGAGCACAAGGAGGCCAAAATTCGGTCAGGAAAGCAGACACGCAGTAAATACAGGTGCTCTGCAGACAGTTGAAGATCACAGTTTTCTACGGGAAATAAAGAAACTTTGCCTTGTGATGCAGACATAGAGTGATTGGGTCGACGCTCCTTGGCTATAGGATTCTTTAATATACTCACATGGTCATGCGTGCCATGAATTCTAACTGTGCATTATTTCCACAGGTTAAGTATCGAATGGATGGTGATGTTGCTAAAACTATCTGTCATGTAGACGAAAAAGCAAAGGACATTGAACATGCAAAGAAAGTGTCGCAGCAAGTCAGTAAGGTAAGGTCATGGTGTGGATGGCTGGAGAGAAAAGAGAGTGTGTGGCACCTCTGCCTGGCCTCAGAAGAGAGCATCCTGCTGGCCAGTCCCACTGAACCACGGGCACTGTGAGCTCTAAGAGCCCGTGTCAGGGAGGCTGCCCAGACCCCTGAAGGGGCCGCGGAAGCTGTGTGCATTGGGGAGCCCGTGTGACTCGACTGCGGGTAGTTGCTGCACAGAATGAAGTCCCAGGGTCGTCAGAGGCTCTTATTTTTTACAGAATTTGGGAGCTGAAATTTTATGACTAATCTCCAAATTTCAAATATAGGATACTAATTTAAAAACACTTTTGAAAACACCATGTAAGTCAAAAGAAACGGGTGTGCCTTCCAAATTCAGGCAATGACTGATAGGCTGCAACCTTTGAAAGGAATCTATAGAGAATCAGAATCATGATAGAGTTTTAAAAATTCGATTTTTCAAGGAGAAGCTTACCAGTGCGGGAAAAGTATCATGGGATGTTGACGTGGCTGACGTTTTCCTAATCGATGCTATTGACACGTCAGCATATGGGCAGCCTTTGTGCAAGGCCGCCTTGCGTGTGAAAAGCTCTTCACAACACTCTCCTTTGTTCTCTAAATCCTCATGCCCAAGGGGGAGACATCAAGCCCTCTGCTCTTTCTGTCTAGGTTTTATACAAGCAGAACTGGGAAGACACCAAGGATAAGTACCTGCTTCCCCCTGATGCCCCTGAATTTGTCCATGCCATTAAGAACACAGCCTTGTTCAGCAAGGTAAGGGCCTCTTCTTTGTCACCGCCACTGTCTTCCTCTGCTCTCCTCCCATTGCATTTAGAGGGATGAATACTCACTACACCCTTGCTAACCTGAAATATTGTTCCCCAGTCTTTTTGTGAGTAGCCTTGAGACCTGTGGGGCTGCCGGGGTAGGGCTTGGTGGGAGGAACGGAGAAGAAAGCCCTGGGGGCAGAGTAGAGAAGAGGGTCCTATCAGGAACCTGGGGCACCTGGGGGAAGAGTGTGGGGCCAGAACAAAGATGCTGCTGACGTCCAGCCCTGGAGACCCACAATGTAATAGTCATATTTTAGTTTTTCTGTAGACCCTGCGCTACACTGTGGATATTCCTGACTGTCACTCTTATTAAGGGTCTATTTCATGACGAAATTGTACTAAGTAATTTCCTGGCTCCTTACACGTTCATTAGTACTTGTTGCAGGAGGCAGACAAAGTCATAGAGAGGAGATGAAACAATTAGACACGTTACCTGCCCTTCTGTAAGTAAGATTTGTCAGGAGAAGCAGGAGCATCTAGGAATAACTATGCCTTGGACTGGATGGAAAGGGGAAGGTTATCGATGAGTTCCATTTACCTTTGCTCTCTCTCCTTGCCCTTGATTCTTTATGTCACTGATGGATGAATTGAAAATTATGCATTTCATGTAAGTGCGATTTCATTTTCTTACCACTTTTCACTCTCTTCTGATTTAGAAACTGTACACCGAAGACTGGGATGCAGACAAAAATTTGTTTTACCCATATAACGATAGCCCGGAGCTGAGGAGGGTTGCCCAAGCCCAGAAAGCTCTCAGTGACGTAAGTGAATTGCAATCAGCACCATTTGTAGTATGGAATCAGGAACCTTAAATTACATCTTCTAACCAGATGTTTTTAGAAACAGATCAGATTAAATGCCATTATTGCAGAAGAATACATCTAGAATCCTTATAATTTCTGATGTCTAATTTAAATTAGATTTTATAGTTTATATTAGATAGAATTTTGTCCAATCCCGTTTTCTTACAGGTGAGCAACCTGAATCTAAGGCCACATAGGTAACTAGTGGTAGAGCCCAGACTAGAAGCCTGGTCTTGTGGATCCCAAGACTAATGTTCTTTCCACTAGAGCATGCTCCCTTCTGTCTCCTTGGCTGGAGCTCAAGTTTTTCTGTATAATAGAGTAGCATTTTAAAAACCTATTGGAATCATAGCCACCTTCCCACATTTGTTAAGTAAATAATATTATTGAAATATTTTGATTTGCTATCCTAATCATAAAGTCAGAATTGTAGTGTGTCCCCTTTTCCTGCATGGGAGACCTGACTGATGTAATTGTCCAAACATGTGTATAATTATCCCATGAAGGCCTCTTGCCACCAGTGTACATGGAAGCTATAACAGAGTTAGCAAAAAAATCAGCAGTCCCACTGGCTAGAATTTTAGTCTCCTAGCCCTTGAAAACTGTTTATTAGAGGAACTTAAAAGCCCTGATAGTCCTTAGGGTGGAAAGCAGCAGCAGAGAGCCTGTGGGCCCAGCACTTCCCTTGTTTGGAGTTATTTTATTTCTTGGCCCTTGGATTTGCTAGAGGCCATGTTGAAAATTCAGTCTTTAGGTGAGCACTCTATTATAAGTTATTTTTCAATTATTTGACAGCTAGATTCCTGGGACCTCTTACTTTCAATATGAACTTAACAAGCCAGCTGGCATCTTAAAATTTATTGGGTTTTATTTCCAATGGATCTTAGGATTCTATCTTGCCCTGAGCTAAAATTATAATACTCATTTGATGGTATATCCAACTTTTGAGATCTAATTTTTATTGCCTCTCACTTGATATCACCTGCAAATTTAGTGGACATATTTTCTACTGTAGGTTGATATAATTGGTTAAAATATAGAAGATATACTCCTATCCTCACACAGGGTAAGCTAGGAACTAAAGAAGGTGTAACAAAATCATAAGGCCACCTAGTGTGCCAATTTTAATGTGTGGGGATCTCTTGCTTTTCTTTTAAGATTAGCTTTTTGGTTCTGTATCTCATGAATGTGTAATATTATGTTACTTTTACCAAGTGATCAATAATTAGTTATTGCAAGTCCAATATGCATGCATACCTGGCAGGACAAAAGGTACAACAAGAAATTTCTATCCTTTCCCTTGAAAATCTATAACCAAGCTGGTCAGATGAAAGTGTTATATATTAAACCACAAGAAAAAGTAAAAAACCCCCAAAACCCTACAGTCTAATACTTGCTGAGAGAAAGACAAGATACGAATGAGCAATCAGAGAGGCCGCGTGGAGCTGGTGGTTCCGAGAGAATGGGCAGTGATGAGCAGGAGGGCATTTCAGGTAGAGAGCTCTCAAACACAGGGTGGGGTGAAATGAGTCTGGGGCTCTAGGGGACAAAGAGAGTGAATGCTGTGGGTGCTGAGTTACAAGGGCATTTGTGAGAAACTCGCAGCAGGACCTTGAAAATCAGAACAAAATAGCTTTGATGTGATATGGTAGTCAGTAAGAAGCATCACAAGATTGTGGAGAAATCCTACTACATGATAAAAATAGAATCTGGAGAAATTTTGATGGACAATATGATAGGTTGGGACTAGGCAAAATCATAGGAGACTGTTTGTAGAAGACTTTTAATAATATAGATGGATCAGAGGGATTATATGGACAAAGATGGAAAAACCTGAAGAGAATACGTACTTAAAAAGTATTTATGATATTTGATATTGGAGACAAAAGACAGAAAGGAACCACAGATGAATTTATGACCAAGACTGGCAGTCTGAGTAGATAGGGGTATAACTGGTAAAGATGCATTGAAGAGAAATAGAGTTGAGATAATGGAGGGAACATTCAGATCAAGGCATCCTATGGATAAATTAGAAATTTAGTACTATTGCAAAAATGCGAGATGATAAGAGATTAATATTTGAGAGTCATCAGAATGTAAGTGACAACCGAAGACATAAAAATGTACGAGGGAGGCAAAACAGTGTGTGACCAAGGGCTGAGTTGTGAAGGACACCCACACCGAGGACACCTGGAAAGGAGCCAGCAAAAGGGTGAAGGGACAGACCGTCAGGGAAGTTGAAGGGGAACCAGGACCTGAATGTCATGTAAGCCTGAGGGGAGGTTTCCAAGAAGACACTTAATCTCCTAATGTCTTCCTTAGGATAGGAAGACATTAGGATAGATGAGGGGTTGCCTCCATGCCACTCTAGTGCTATGGAATTTGACCACATTTTTTGAAATATCTCGATAGAAGACATAATGAAGGAGAATTGCAATAATGAAGTAAAATCTTTCCATCCTTGCTCAGAAAGACTTGGCAGTTGATGTATGCTTTTATTTTATTACAGACCAAGTGTGCACTAAGTATCAGATTTCTGACATGCCTATTAACACTGCTGTCAGCACCATGAGATTTTACAATTATTAGGCACCAAGCAAGCTGTTGTTCAAGAATATACCACTTGGTAGGCACGTAGATTTCAAGCTAAGGGATTGGGTTCAGAGGCTCCCTCTCCTTCTCTTGTCCCTTCCTCCTGTGTTTCTCTTGACCCTAATTATCATGTTTTCTTTATTATCTAAATAGAGACCAAAAACTTTGCAACACTAAGGGAGTCCTTCAGCTGATCCAGAGCAGAGAATTTTAAATAGACAGAATTCTGACCAAGGTTCCTGAGAAATTAGGACTTCTAGATCTGATTTCTCTGAAAGCTCTTGACAGGATGTCATACTTAATAAGTATTTCTCCTGGAAGAATGCTGCTTTCTCCTTAAGGACTTAGCCATGGAAAATATAGGTTGCCTTATGCCTAAAATCGGTTTTCTCTCATTTAAAGGAAATTAAGTAGTGGAATTCAATGAACACATTTAAAAATTTGTCTTTTGTGTCTTAATTGATTTAATGTTCCTGAAAACTTTTGTTATAGGCACTAGGTAGATATTATCAGAATGAGATAGTTAGACATGGTTAAAGCATGAAGAAAAGGATTGGGGCCTTGGAACTATATATATACAATCTCTTTACTATATAAATAAGAATACTGCCACATGGAGGGAGAATTGGTAGAGGTCTCACAGTTGAATAGTGGACGAGTTGGGAGGATGATTGTCCTCTACAGACTTCCCCCGATGGCCTTGGTGTGTAAACCACACACTCAGAAATCAGTCAATGAACCCTCACTCTAGTCGGGTACTGTGCAGGCCACAAAGGTTCCCAAATGAGAGGTTCGGTTCTCTGCCATCCCAGAGCTCACAGTCTGAGGAGGGACAGACACATAAACAACCAGTTACAGTGTCATCTGATAATTCCTTTAATGGAGGTAGGGCTAAGTTGAGTGAGAGCCCCAGAGAAGGTCATGGAGTCAGGGAGGGCAAAGGAAGGGAGATTGTGCTTGTCCTAAGACCTGGAGAACAGGTAGCTGTTTGCAAGCAGATGGGGAGAAGGTGGAGCTGAGGCATTCCAGGGAAAGGAAGCAGCATGTATGAGGCCCAGAGACATGAGAGGACTTCCTGTGCCTGGGGATCTCTGAATGTTTTACATTATTGGAGGCAGGGGTCAAGATTGGTGGAAGAAAAAGCCAGAGGAGTCGGTAGTGAAGAAAAGGAGAGAGCAAGAGTGAAGGGGATGCATGATTAATGGACATAATGCTTGTTTTAAGGTGAGAGAGGTCTTTTATAGGCTGAAGGGAAGGAGCTAGTAAAGAGAGAGAGGTTGAAGCTATAAGAAAGAGGACTTATGGTGACTGATAGAGTTAGGTCCAAAGGGCTTCTGGAGGGAACAGTACCCTGAGTGCTGGGCTCATTCCCTGCAAAGGATGCTTCTCCTCTGAGCCAAGGGGGGGTGGGGGTTGGTGGGAGAGGCAGAGATGAGTATAGAAAAAGATATGTATCTAGGCTTCCTTTACTCTATGAAAGAGAAAGTTGAGGGTAAGATGGAGTTGATTGGAGGCTTAAGGACAGTATTGTGGTCTTAGACTAGCTCTTGGGAGTAGAAACTGACCAGACAAACATAATGGGATGTTGAAGTTTCAATAAAGGCAAAGTGGCAATTGGATACATTCAGAGTCTTGGGCATAGAGCCCCAAGCAAGCTGTTGTTCACAGAACATGTCATTGGGTAGGCATGTAGATTTCAAGCTAAGGGCTTGGGTTCAAGAGGCTCCCTCTCCCTCTTCTGCACCGTCTTCCTGTGACCCCTTTAACCTTGCTTGTCATATCATCACTTCCCAATCCATAGAGTCGTGTGATTTTCTTCAGTAGCACTCAACATCCTGGATGTAAGAAGTGAGTGGTTAAGTTGATCCAGAGCTGGCAGTTGGTTAAGGGGTGTGATGGAAAGACAAGAGGTTGAGAGTTGAGGATGCTGCTTAAGAGAATAATTTCAGTTGCAGATTACGATGTGGACTCAAAGGGAATGAAACAGATCTAGGGCCAGTAATCTTAGAAGGGAGAGAAACTCAAAGAGAGAAATCACCAGTAATGCTGATAAGAAGAGCATTTAATATCTACAAGGATAAACTATGATTATGTGGTATACTAAAATTTAAGACTTCAAGTCAAGATAAAAAACATAGTCTTTTTAAAATGCCAACAAATGGAACACTAGAAATAGAATCATTATCTATGACTCATTTACATCCTTTTTATTTGGTCAGATTTCCTACAAAAAAGGTCATGTTGAACAGCAAACGAAATTCACATCTCTGAAGGATCCTCCAGATATAGAATTTGCCAAGAAAGTGACTGATCAAGTGAGCAAGGTAAGTAAACAGGGCTGGACCACCGTCTCCCTTGAAAACTCTGCTTAATAATTTCAACTTTCACCCTGCCCAGTAGCTCAGTTGGTTGGAGCATTGTCTCGTTAGGCTAAGGTTGCAGGTTCAATCCCCGGTTGGGGCACATACAAGAACCAACCAATAAATGCCTAGATATGTGGAACAACAAATTGATCTCTCTCTCTCCCGCTCTCTAAAATCAGTAAATTAAAATTTAAAAAAACTCAGCCCTCAGAAAAAATAACTAAGGTGAAAAGACAAAAGGCAAACATTGATTATTTTTGCATATGATACTAAAAATGTTGTAACAAAAACAATACATCCATGAACTTCTTAAAACTGTGTTAATAAATATTCAGCCAGCTTGATGACTCAGTGATTGATAAATATGAAAGCTGCATTTTGAAAGTAGAACCCATGTCCTAATATCCTTTGACATTTGACTTATGGAAGTGATACAGAGAACCAAGTAACCACACAGAATCTGTTTTAATTCAATGTGAAGACTCCATATAGTTTTATGCTTTCAGTTGGACTTGGAGGAAATAAGAATGCCTGAGTGGTCTCTCAGACATAGCTTAGATTGACAGCTGTGGGGAGGGCACCTCATAACTTTTAAGGCCCTGGCAAAAAGCCTAGTTGGCCTAAATTTAGGCTGGTAAACTAGCTCTGAGGAATTCAGAGAGACAGATGTTCAACTGATGAATAGACCCATGTTAAATTCCTTTTTAAAATTGGTCCAAATCAAGCCACTTTCTCCTGGGATACTGCTGCTTTTAAATAAATACTTTTCTTTGCTCTCTGTGGAGTTGAGTCTCAGTTTGGTCTTAAATTTTATAGAACCTCAAGATTTCTATCTTGTTCAAGGTTTTCTTTTTTCTGGAAAGGATATCTTCAGTAAAAAGAAAAAATGTTATGGATGATGAAGTTTAGTCAATTTTTTAGTGTCTGATATTGCAGATTACCTAAGCGTGTAACCAAGGGCTACTTAGATAAAAGATCTAGTAAGTACAATAAAATTTCACTAATAGGAATACCATGAACCTGAGAATTTGCCGAGGGCTAAGCAGAAATTAACTTCAGGACTGTCCATAAAGAAATGGCCTGCTACCCAGCTGATGTGGCTCGGTTGGTTGAGTATCATCCATGCACCAAGAGGTAGTGAGTTCAATTCCTGGTCAGGGCATGTGCCGGGGTTTCAGGCTTGATCCCCAGTAGAGAGTGGCAGGAGGCAGCCAATGATGTTTCTCTCTCATCGATCTTTCTATCTTTCCCCCTCTCCCTTCCTCTCTCTTTAAAAATGAATAAAAACATACTAAAAAAGAGAGAGAGAGAGAGATGGCCTACTGGAAGTCATGATATTATAAATAAGATTGGGGGAACAAAGACCATTTATCTTTTGGGAAGAAAAAGAAAAGGCTATCTTCAAATAGTCATTTAGAAAGAAAAATAAATTTATTTCAAATTTTTATTTAAAGCATATTTTAAAGGATATCTTACTAAGGCAACATTCTTTTACCTTATTTGAGTATGCAGTATGGGTACTTGAAAGTGATAAAAAAAACCAACCACTTTCAAACTCCCTTTTAACCAGTATCTCTACTGAATTAGGCCTGCCAGTTAGTTTAGGGCTAAACTCTTCAAAATAGCAGCTTCTAGCCATGTGAGTCTGTTGAACTCTTGAAATTTGATAATATGAACTGAGAGTCCTATATTTGTGAAATAAACACTAGATCTTGAACATGTAGTATGGCAAATAAATGACAAAGAGCTCATTCTTTTATATTGTTTATATTACATGTTGAAATGATAATATCTTTGGATCTATTGGGCTAAGTACAATATATTATTAAAATTAATTTTCCACTTGTTACCTTTTTACATTTTAAAATATGGCTACTGGAAAATTTTAAATTATAGTGGTGGCTTGCTTTATATACCTATTGGACTGCACCACTCCAGTTGGATCTGAGATATCACTGGAAATTTTGAAGGCATTTTCAGGGCTGGGTTTGCCCTTGTGGAATAATAATATGGACCAAGGGAGGATGGCTGTGGATGAAGGTCATAGTGATAGGTACTCAACCCTGTCTTACCCAGATTTCCAAGTTCTTAATGACTGTTGTACATCCCAAATAATGGTCATGTTGGGAAGAAATGCTTGTGATTGGTCGCGGCCCATTTAGCAACAAACCATCCAAAGAGAGAGGTGTAGGGCCGCCAGGGGTGACTTAGATGTGAGATTCACTTGGTTTCTCTTGGAGTCTCCCTCACTATCAAACTGCTTTGACTCATGTTTCAGTATAATTTTCCTTCTCTCCCCAATAGGTAAAATCTCTTTTGTCTACTCACTCGCATGCATTTAAATTCTTACCATTTCCATGATCATGTTTCCCAGATCCATCCCTTTGTCTTACAGCCTTCAGTTCATATGTTAATACAATGAGTAGATATCTGTGACGATCATATTGCTGTTACATTCTGTTTACCAGCCTTCCTTACTATATCTGTCAGAATCCATACTCTCACCTTTGTCTTTGGCCAAAGCCATCAACTTCCGGCCGCACCTCCTCTGGCTCAGCTCACTTTGCAGCTCTAGCACAGATGGGCAGGCAGGCAGAGTTGTTCATGTAAGCAGGTATTCCAGGTAAGGAAACTATGCCCACTACAACCAGCAACAGGTGGGGTTCTGAATGCAACACAGGAAAGTCCCTTTAGTTTCTCTGTGCCTCTCTGCTTTCTTTCAGATTCACAATAGGAAAATATAAGATTTCTGGTTATAATGTCCAGTTGATTCCCAACTGGGATCTAGAATTAAAAGGAATAACTCTGTACTCATAACATTTCCAATAGTCATGTGGACGAGCAGGACATTAGGATGCCTAATTTATGGTCCAATGAAAGCACCTCAGCTGATCCCTGGGGAGGAAGGACTATGGTTTGGGGGAGCAAGCTTACTATCGACGTGTGGTTACCCTCTTGCCCACAGAAGGTGTCCCAGAGCTTATAGTTGACCTAATGTACTTTCCTCTGTTAAATGAACAAACACAAAATCCTAGAGAAAGTTAAATCAATTCTTTCCATTGACCGACTCCAAACAGGACAGAGTTGGAGAGAAAGGTTAGGGTGAGGGTTGGGGGAAAGTTGGATGTTAGACTCCTGATGTGGTTATTCCATCTCCATGTACCACACACTCAGGCCTCGCTGCCAGGCATGCAGAGTGAGGCCCTTTGGCTGGCAGAGAGGGGTCCCATGTGGACACATACCTCTGTTTTTCATTCCTCTAGCTGCAGGCCTTTATCTTTTTCAACTTCTCTCCTACCTCCAAATGAAAGAGAAGGCCATGACTTCCTCAGCAGTGAACAAACCCCGGCCTCCTCCCTTGTAGTGAAAATCTCCCCAGACTTGCGAGTGCTCAGGAATGAATTGTGAGAGACCCACCTGCACCCTGACCCACTTTAGCTCTGGGTGGGAGGAAATGACAAGCTTTAATTCATGAAGGGTAAGAAAGGAGGAAGGACTCCAGATGAGGTGATCTTCCACTCTTGTTTTGCATCTTGTTTTATATTTTTTTTAAAAATCAGACGTCTATCTCTTACTGTGAAACTTAATCTCCTACTCAGTTTTGCTTAACAAATCTATATATGTGACTCTTATATCTCTATAATAGCCCACTTTTGGACATCATTAAGAATATCTGTTGCCTTCTCAACCTTAACTTATATTACAAAGTTCTCTATATCTCAGTTTGGGGATGCATCTGGCCCAGTTGCACCCCTCCCCCCAATCCTAGAGTTTTCTTCCTTTGACAGCAGGCAGAGGAATGGCAACATCTTTACCAAAAAAATGTAGATTAGGAGATGTTAACCTTGGGTGTGTGCACATCAAGTATCTCTAAATTGTAAGTACTTATGGGCATTTTATAGCTTCCTCAGATTCCTAATGAGATCTATTCTCCAAGATTAGAAACACTTCTATAGGCTGTCCTATTGAAAAATCAGTTTTATTGACTTTAATTTTTTAAAGCTTCAAAAGAGGAGGGTGGGCAAATTAATTGGCTGTATAAAGCAAATTTTATCTCAGCAAAACTTCCCATCGAAGAACACACACACACACACACTCACACACACACACATGCATGCACACAATCTTCAGAGTTTCTTACTCTCTGTTCTGCTACAATTATTATACCTTACATTTGTTTATCACTGTAAGTTTACAAAGCATTCAGCACATGTATGATCTTATGTAATCTCCCCAACAATCCTCTGTGTAACTATTACTGTCAGCACGTATGGTTAAGAAAACTGGAGCTTAGAGAAGCTAAGTTTACACACTGTTAGAAATGATGGAGTCAAGTCTTGGTCCCAGAGTTTCTGAACTCAGGTCCAGGGCTCTTAAATTTATCGCTATTAAAACCACTTGGTTATTAATTAGCATATTAACCTCTTGAGAAGGATGGATATAAGGCATTTGAGAGAGGGATGGGCTTCCTTTAACTCAAGTTCACTGGCTCTATGCATCAGTTACCCTTGGTACTTGTTCTGTTAAAAGTACACCAGGAAACCACGTTCCTTTTCCTTGAAGAGTGTGAAGGGAGTTAGGCATACAAACCCTTTGAAACACATTGGTGATGTCTGTTAACACATTCTGTGAGCCAAGGAGGGGAAACTGCTCTAACCCAGCTCTGACTCTGGCTCATGTGCCCAGCTTTGGAGTTGGCTAGGCTAATTCTATTCAAATAACACTCAGCCAAGGTCATTCAAAACCACATACCATGAACTCTGTTCAATTTAGTGTAGTTTAACAAACATTAAAAATGTTTCCATTGATTTTTAGAGAGTGGAAGGGAGGGAGGGAACGAGAGATAGAGAGAGAGAATTTGGGGGAGAAACATCGATGTGATAGATACACATTGATTGCCATCCTGACCAGAGCTGGGCATTGAACCTGAAACCCAGGTACCTGCCCTTGACCAGGAATTGAACCTGAGACCCTTCTGTGAGTGGGCCAAAGCTCTAACCACTGAGCCACACCGGCCAGGGTTGAACAAACATTTGTAAGGTAACTTCTGCATGATGGACTTGTGTTAGACTCTGAGGATACAAAATGAAGAAGACGTAATCCCTCTCTCCAAGGGATTCAGGTGCTGTGGTGTTCGGGAGTAAGATGGAGCAGCAGTTTAATTTACTTAAAAATATGTTTTTATTGATTTTAGAGAGAGGGAGGAAGGGAGAAGGAGAGAGAAACATCAATGAGAAAGAACCACCCATCAGCTGCCTTTTATACGTCCCCTATNGAAACATCAATGAGAAAGAACCACCCATCAGCTGCCTTCTGTACGTCCCCTACAGGGGATGGAACCTGAAACTGGGGTCTGTGCCCTGACTGGGGATCAGAGAATTCACCATTGACCTCTTGGTACATGGCATGATGCTCGACCAACTGAGCCACACTGACCAGGGCTCATTTAAAAAAATTAGTTGCCAGTTTGCACTAAAATTTCTTGAAGTCTAAACTAGGAAGTCTTATTCACTGGCCTGCAAGCCAAATATTGTTGTGGTATTGCTTTCTGTATAACTAGGAGTTTCGTTAAAGCTCAGAGATTAATGCCTAAATTCATCTGGCATGGAAACTTGGGGTTGAGTGGTTTTATTGTAACAATTAATTACAGATGGAAGATACCTCTGCCTCTCTCCTTCCTCAAACATCAGGGAACATCCGTGAGTCCAGAAATGAACTAAACCCCCAAACTCAGTAAGAGGGGTTGGAATTAACACCTGTATTCCCCTCTCTCAACTTTCTTGTTGGGTAAATTGACACCATAGAGGAAGATCTGAAGACATCTATTAAGGACCCAAGAAGGGCAAAATCAAGATATTTTTGAAAGCTGACCACTACCACTTTGCACTCGTATTTGTCAAATCCTGAATTTTGCTTTTATTCCTTTCTTTGTTCTCTCCCAGCTAAAATACAAGCAAGACTATGAAGATAAAGTGAAAGGCAAATGGAGCGAGACGCCTTGCTTCGAGATCGCCACGGCCAGGATGAATGCGAACAACCTCAGCGCGGTGAGTGGGCGGGGGGCCCTTCCCCAGGCCCCCTCGGCCGGCTGCACCCCAAGTGGCGCCGAAGCATGTGTGTCCGGCACCTCTTCTCCGAGATATGGCTTTGGTCAGATACCATTATTGTTGCCTCAGTGTTCACAGGAACAATATGGTTTGAAAGAGAGTACAGATTAAAGGGGCCCTTTTCAATTAATCCTTTGTCGGGAACCAAAGGGCACATTGATGAAACTGGTTAGTTTCTCCCCAGGTTTCCCTCACCGTAGGCCCTCGTTTTCTTTTCCCTTAAGTTCTCAGTCCCTGGCCTTCGAGAGCCCCTTCTCGGAGTCGGTCTTCCAGCCTCTGATAACTGCTCCGAATCCCTGTTAAGTTGCCCGTTGTTTTGGCGATGGCACCCCATTCTGTCATTGTAACCGATCTTGTGTAAGCCAAGAGGAGCACGGCTTTGGCTTTGGGTACCTTCCCTAACTGGCCTCTGTCCCCCCATGTAAAAGCCTGGCAGCCCCCCCCCAGCAGTTCTTCAGTATGCTTCATGTCTTACAGAGGAAGTATCACGAAAGCTTTGAGAATATGAAAGACCAGATCTACTTCATGCAGACGGACACACCGGAGTACAAGACCAACAAACAGGCCGGGGTGGCAGCCAGCAAGGTATGAGGAGGTTTTCTTGCTGAGCTTGACTGTCCCAGTGTGGGTGACTTTCTTGTAACTCTTGCTTTTGTATGTAATGAAAAAAAAGAGGGTTCTTAGGGGACAAAAAAAACTTTGGGATTGTAATAGGGCAACCAAATTTTAAAAAATTGTTTTTTGCCATGTATGAGCCTTAGCACTACCCAGTTACCATCCTCAATATTTCGTACAGTAAAGGACTTTTGATACCCAGAAGTAGAAACCCTGTAATCTCAGACGGAAGACAGAAGCTGGGTCTTGAGATCCCCTCAGGAAAAGGCAATTAGCAGCATTATATGAATATAGACACTCCCACACTCACCACGACCATTATTTTTCTTATATTCCTACAAACTGGTGAAGATCTAGTCATCAACAAGAGATGAATCCATGGACATGCTCATACACGCTGTAGAGCTGCTTTGGTGAATCGTCAGACGCCTTCCAGAGCAGGTTGGGTGCTAGAAAGAGCATACACTGCAAAGCCACTCAGACTTGATTCTAACCCTGGCCTTGGCTCTGCTGGAGGAGTGAGAGAAGGAAGACTGCATCATATAGGAGGTTATTTCAGTATCCAGGAGCAAAACAGGTTTTGAACCAGGAGGGTAGCAGGACAAGTGATGAGAAGTATTTTGAAAGTAGAGCTGACTTGATTTGATGATGGGTTAGATGTGCAATATGAGAGAAGAGTTTTGGTCTAAGCAACTAGATGGTGGGGTTTCCTTTTATCCAGATAGGAAAGACTGAAAGCAGGGAATAATTTTTTTTATTTTTATTTTTTGGAAAAGAGATGTGATCTCAGCTTCAAACATCTGAGATGCCTTTTGGACAGCCAAGTGGAAATGTCAAGTGATTACATGAGTCTGAAGTTTCAGGGCAGCTGACTGGAAAGGTTATATACATTTGGGAGTTAGTAGCATATGGATAGTATTTAATGTCATAAGAGTGGAAGCCATAAGGGACAGAGGGGGAAAGGTCTAAGGACTGAACTCTGGAGTGTTCCATGTGAAGACATCAGTGAGATGAGGTAGGAGCAAAGTCCAGAGAAAAGCAAGTGAAGGGAGAAGGGAGTGATCAACTGTATCAGATGTTTCTGAAATGGATTTATCAGTGTCCCTGGTGAACTTAATGAGAGCAGTTCAGTTGAGTCTGTTTAGAGGGGGTTCATGAGTGAATGAGAAGAGAGAAATAGAAGACTATGAGTATGTTCAACTCTTTCCAAGTATTTTGCTGAAAGGAAAGAAAAAAAAAGTTGCAATAGCTGATGGATAAATGTGTGGAAAAAGGGATTTTTTTAAAGATAGGAGATAAAAATATCCATGTTTCTATGCTGATGGAAAAAATCCAGTGTGGGGAGGGAATGGAATGGTATAGGAGGGGGAAGAGTGGCTGGAGTGATGTCCTTGAGTGGGAGAAAGGGAAGGGGACCTGGTGCTTAAGAGGAAGGGTTGACTTTGCCACAAGGCCTGTAAACAGGAGAGGAGACTGTGCGTCCTAAATGCAGGTAGGAGGATTTGTGGACTTTCCTTTCTGGTTGTTTCCATTTTTCAAGGAAATACATTACTCTGAGACAGAGAGGTTATGTGTCTTCTATCCCCCGAGAGTCTTCTGTATGGTCTACAGGGCGCAGTGCACCTGGTTTTCAGCTGTGCATCTCCTGCCTTTGGCTACCAAGCTGATTGCATTTGTTTTCTGAGATTCTTCAATCTTGATAGATTGTCCAGGATTCTTTGAGCTTGTCTATATCCCACGGTTCTATCGGCTGAACAAGTGGCTGCCCTGGGGGTCATGGTCAGAGGGAGGATCTGTCGGTTCTTCTCCTCTCATTGGACACGTTCCCGACAGGGGCTGTGAGCCCTTGTGCGAAGCTTCTGCTATCGCTGGAACGAAAGGTGCAAAGTGGGCAGGGCAGAGAGAAAAGCTGAAGCTGCCGCCTTCCCCTCCTGCGTGTGCATTAAGCACAGGCTCGGTCACGCACAGTCACAGATGAGACAGAAAGGGGTAGGTTCACGGGCGTCCTTTCTTTACAACCGGGTTGGCGGCTAGGCAGCTGCACCTGAAGAGCTGGAAGGATCCTGGAGCGGCAGGTACCTGGGAAAGGTGCTGTCCTTATTAGTGCACCTTTCTCCCTCCCGTCATTTAAATGGATCTGTCTACCTCTACCTTTTAGGGCAGGGACCATGTGCTATTCTTTCTTGTATATGTCCCAGAGCCTGGCACGTAATTGATACCCCAAAATATCATAGTGTGTATTTTTGAATGAATAAATGAATGGGGAGAAAAGCTCTCTTGGAAATGTATGCAGTTCCTCCGCTCCTGTTTTGAGTTACTATGAGTATTTTGTTTATAAAATGTCAAGCTGCCAAATTTTTCTAAAGAGAACATTGATTTGTGGAACTATGTCATAATATTCATAACATAATAGAGATGAGAGCAAAAATAACCCGTAGAGTTTATCACTCTATTTCACTCCTACAGGTAAAATACAAAGAAAACTATGAAAAGAATAAAGGAAAAGCCGATTATAATGTGCTTCCTGCTTCAGAGAACCCACTGCTCCGGCAGCTGATGGCAGCAGGAAATACCCTAAGTGATGTAAGTATATTCTTGCCCCAAAGGGTTGCTGTTTTATTAACCTTAGCTGCAGGAGAGACGAACTCTCTCTCCTTCTATTATGACTAAATGCAAATATAACTTTCCAAATGGTGCAGCAGTTTCCCTGGAACTGTGTAGCGCAGGAAGGCCTTAGCGCCTCTGGGTACGATGTGTGTCCATCTGTAGGGGGCGGGGCTGTGGATCAAGTTCAATGGGGGGCGGAGAGACTCTCACTTGCTTTAGGCTCCAGGTGCCTGGGCCTCCGTGGCTAGTGTGCACTGTGGGAGACGTGCTGTGATTTTGACAGAAGCAGAAGGAGATTTTGAAAGGGGAGGAGAGAGGGAGAGAGAGAAGCAGCGTCAGCATCCTTCCTACCCTGTGTTCCTCATGCCCGATTCTGGGAGCAGAAGGAAAATGTCCAGTGTTGCACAACTTCTGTCCCCACCTCTGCCATTGTCTCCTCAGATCTTGGCCACAGAAACCCTCACCTGCAGACAGCAGGACTTAGAAGATGGCCCTCTAAGTCTTCACAGGAATTTCTACTTGTGAAATTGTGAAGAGTTCTACTAACCCATTAGAATTAAACTAGATTAGATAAGTAAGAACTGGGCATGGCATTAAAAGACCAACAGCCCAAGTCCACTTTGACTGTATATTTAAAGAGACTGAACATGTGATCAGTTGAGTATCTCCCCTATGGTTAAGTTATATTAAGCTTTCCCAATATTTGAGGATTGTATGTGGCTCTCTGGGTGGGTTACTTATCTTTTCTTTGTCCCTTGGGTTCAGTCAGCACTGTGGAAATGAGCACCGGTGATTGAGAAGTAGAGTGAGTGAAGTGACAGGTGAGAGAGCATAGATGGATCTGTCTAAACAGTTCTGTGGGGAAATCAACACAGATCTGCATCCTAAGTGAAGGCCATCTTTATCAAACATACAGAAGCCAAGCTTTAAATCCACTCTGCTGATAAAGACAGGAATATCAAAATATTAAAAACAAATAGCACCATTTACAATTTCAAAACCCAACAGGAAAAACTGATAAGGCTCTGCTGTCTCATTTGTGCATCTACAATCTAATAATTGTTTATTGTCATTGTTAGCACAAAAATAAATCCCAGTGGGGAAAAAGAGATTCATGATTTGAGATCTTGTATATACTTTATTTTTAAGGTAAAAAAAGGAACTTTTCCTTGGTAGAAGGAGGAAGAGAGAGTGTGTATTTCTCAACATTCACTAAAGTTTTCCATGGAGGCTTGTTTAAAAGAAATGAAAAATTCTCTGTTGCTCAGAATATTCCTGTTTGTTGTGGCACCTTCAGTGAGGGGAGGGTGTGTGAGCTGGGAGATGGAGTTGGGAGATGCATAATCTCTGCAATTAAGGGCTTGCTCTGAGGCAGCATATTGGTTTCTTAATTTTTTGAAGAATGTTAAAATCTTAGGCTTTACAATTATTTCTAATAGAAAAGGCTCATCATTAATGACAACTCCAGGTCTGATTGTCAGTTTTTAAGACAGTTGATAGGCAATATTTTTTCTTCTTATTTTGTTTAGTGTTGGAAAATACGAGTGCTATAATCAGCGTGGGAGTGACAGGAATCTACTTTAACTAATTTTTTTCTTTACAGAAATTGTACAAGGAAAACTATGAAAAGACAAAGGCAAGGAGCATAAATTACTGCGAGACCCCCAAATTTCAGCTGGACGCAGTTCTGCAGAAATTCAGCAGTGATGTAAGCAGTTCCACAATCCCTCCTGTTAAAGAAAAGACCCATCATTTCACAAATAAGTAAATGAAATGTCTTGTCTTTCAGACTAAATATAAAGATTCCTACTTGAAGAATATTTTGGGACATTATGTAGGCAGCTATGAGGATCCATATTATGCACACTGCATGAAAGTCACAGCTCAGAACAGTGATGTAAGTTCTAAGACAACTGTTGAACTTTCCAAAGAACACATTTTGGGGACATGAATACAATGGTTGCATCCTTATGTCTGATTTCCCTTCCTCCTAGAAAAACTACAGAGCAGAATACGAAGAGGACAGAGGCAAATGCTTCTTCCCCCAGACCATTACTCCGGAGTATGAAACAATCAAGAAACTGGATCAGTGTAAGGATGTAAGTCTGTGGTGTGGACTGTGAACACGACTGCCCTCCATCGCACAGAATGGTCAATATGCATTTAACATTTTGACACTTTTACAAATAAGCGAAAGCAAAAAAAATCATAAGAAAGAACATTTATTTTATAGTAGATATACCATTTTTTCTATCTCTATACATTTCAAGAGCTAACTCTAGTTTATTTTCCCAAACAAGAGTTATTGGGCATCTGAAGATAGGAGTTTCTTGTACTGATGTAAAACTGTCTCTTAAAGACACTGCAGGCTAATTTGAAAACAAAAAAAGTGTTTTATTAACCCCATGTATCTTTTCCTTTGGGGAGTGGGGCTCTCCTACAGGCCAACGTGGATTAGACAGGTGATATTGCTAAGCCTGATTCCTTTTCTTGCCCACAGCACACCTACAAAATCCATCCAGACAAGACAAAATTCACTCAAGTAACCGACTCGCCTGTTCTGCTGCAAGCCCAAGTCAATGCCAAACAACTGAGTGATGTAAGTTCCTCCACGTGTCCAGGGATGCAGTTATGAGGGACACTGTAGCATAACTCTATACAGAGAACCCAGTAACTTGTCACAATTACAAAAGAGGCTATGCAAGTTCTATGTATGTGTAATCACCTAAAATATTTTCCTATTTAGTTATCTTGCATCTTCTGCTTTTCTTGGGTGGATACTAGTTCTAGTAAAATGGTTCTATAAGGGAAACTAATGTAGCTCAATGCACTGGAGAGAATGTGAGTTCTGAAGTCATATAAAACTGGATTCAAATTCTAGCTGTCTAGACAGATCATTTAACTTTGCAATGCCTCATATTTCCTTTTTAAGATGTGTGGTTGTTTTGAAAATTAAGTGAAAAGAGATATGTGCATAGTCTACACCTTGGCCCAGAGCAGATATTTAACACCTGAGATTTCTCTCTCTCAAATAAGTTTTTGGAAAATGGAGTATTTGCAATAAGTTTTATCATATGAGTTTTAAGTATGAATCTCCAAACTTATGTTGGACTGAAAAAAGTAAGTAAATAAAAGTAACCTCAGTAGATTTATGGCCAGAAATGAAAGGCTTTAACTAGAGTACCAACAGACCATAATGTTTGTACAGGGACTAACATTTAAGTTCCACTGCCGATCCTCTCTTATTGATTACATATATATGCATGTAATTTTAGCTAGTTTTGCTATTTTATAAAAATTACTTCATTTAAATTTGTATTTTCAAGTTGAAAGTGCCTCATTTTTTTTTTAATCAAAAATGGTTTGTTTAGATTTTTTTCCTCTCAACCTTTTATGAAAAATTACTATTTTCAACTGTAGAAAGACTCTTACTTTTCTTTCTTTCTTTCTGGATAATCAAACTTTCAAACAATTTCTTTTAGATATTCTTAGTGTCAGTAAACATTAAGTCTGTCAATGTGCCATCTCAAGAAAGTAACTTTTAATACGTATAGTAAATCAAAAGAATACACCAGCTGCTCTTAACATACAGGCTATGGGAAAAGTAGGTTTACAACTGTGAGTACCCAAAACAGCTTATTCTTATGTTCTTATTTATTAATTATTGCATTACTTTCCATATCAACAAACCTACTCTTGCCCCACCCTGTATTTGTTAGAAAAGAGCCTCCAGTGAGAATTGACAATGAAAAGGAAGAAAGGGCTTCGGTCTCAGAATCCACAGGGCCAGCTATGCTTTATGAGAAGGGACCATATGTGAAAGAGCCACCTCCTTCCATTTGGGTCCTACCGTGGTAACAGATGTGACAACAGCTGTCACACCTCCAGCGCACAGGTTGCCAATAATGCAAGGGGCCTGCCCTAGCTCTGGATTTCTCTTTGAATCTTAACAACTTTGTCAGTTGTTATTTAACAAAATGTATTTTACATTTTATCTTATGAGAATTTCATTCTGTACTCTAGAACAATTCTTCTCTGCACTGATTTTCTCTCTCCCTCTCTCTCGCAGCTAAATTACAAAGCGAAACACGAAAGTGAGAAGTTCAAGTGCCATATACCTCCGGACATGCCTGCCTTCATCCAGCACAGAGTCAACGCGTACAACCTGAGCGATGTAAGGCCCTGACCACTGTGCCGCGTGACATGCTGAAAACTCAAGCTTTTATTTTTCCTTTGTTTCACTAAACAAGTATTTCAGTGCTAAAGATGCAAAGAACAAACAACACGTGTATCGTGTTCCTCTGCTTCTGCCAATGTAACTTTGAATTTATCTTATAAAATGTGTGCAGCGATCACATAAGTAGCTTCATACAACTAGACAGTCTTAATGTGTTTTAACCAACCTTCAAAATGCCACCACTTGTGTATGTCTAATTGCAGATTTAATGCTAGATCCGTTAGTCGTATATTCATTTGTACTATACTATAATTAATTTTCTTTCAAAATTTGATTTTTTTAAGATTTAGCTTTATCATTTATTCCCCAAGCCTATAATGTTTTTTGTTTCACATGAATGATACTCATTTCTACATGTAAGAGTACTTGCACTAACGAAGATATAGGGTCTTCAAAAAGCGTAAGGCCAGGTATTCATTGCTATCTTTCATTTCCAAACTTAATTCTATGGAAAAGTCAAATTACCCTTAGGGGTTTCCATTTCTTCAACAGTCTTATAAATAAGTACTAGATTACCCAGCATCAGTGAGTACTATAATGATTCATGAAATAACCTTTGCAGAGAGCTTCGAAATCAAATTAAAGTGATACCTTTTTATCATAAAAAGTTAATTGTAGAATATTTGTGCCGTTCTATAAAATATTCAGTGTTAGGAATAAAATATTAGTATGACAACTAGAATTAAGCTAATTTGATGAAACAGCCTAATGGTGAGTAGAGAAGATTAATCTTGTAGAATTAGGAGCTTCGGCTTGAGAAGAATTATCTAAAATATGCATGATTTCGTGGACAATGAAAACAGTCTCTTTATTTCATATTAAGACAAAGTACTGGGTTACCTTTTAGCCTTCAAAGTGTGACAATATGCATATTCCTCTTGTCAATTCCTTTATCAAAAATTTCCTGTCCAGAATGTTTATAAGCATGACTGGGAGAAGAGCAAAGCTAAGAAGTTTGACATTAAAGTGGATGCCATCCCCCTGCTGGCAGCCAAGGCCAACAGCAAGAATGCTAGTGAGGTGAGTATGGCCTGGGCCCTGGGCCCTGGGCCCTGGGATCTGGGCCCTGGGCCCTGGGCCCTGGGCCCTGGGCCCTGGGATNGAATGCTAGTGAGGTGAGTATGGCCTGGGCCCTGGGCCCTGGGCCCTGGGCCCTGGGCCCTGGGATCTGGGATCTGGGATCTGGGACCTGGGACCTGGGACCTGGGACCTGGGACCTGGGATCTGGGACCTGGGCTGGGGCACTCAGTGCTGTTTCCTGCTGAGTGGGAGCTGGCATGTGTGATGTCTTTGCAGGTGATGTACAAGAAAGACTATGAAAAGAACAGGGGGAAAATGATCGGGGCCCTCAGCATTAACGATGATCCCAAGATGCTGCACTCTCTGAAGACGGCCAAAATGCAGAGCGATGTGAGTGCGTTTGTCAGTCTGTCTTGCTTTCAAGACGGCATCCCTGCCAACATGTCGAAAGTCAGGAGCAAGGAAAAAAATTCTATATCTATGGGGTCTCTCAGGCTCAAATCGACAAACTGCTGGGGTAAACTTTAGAAGTGAAATGATCCCTCAGATTCTTACACCTCTTCTGATTGAGGAGGAAAATTATTGGTTTGTACTTGATGTCCGTTTCACTTTGAAAGATGTGTTAATGTTTAATAGAATATCAGTTGTAATTCTTAAAACGTTTTGGAAAACATCACTCGATGTTTTCATATTTTCTTCTAATTGAAAAATAACCTTTAAAATCATGGTTTTAAAACTGTCTTTGTTTTGGAAGAAAATCTTGAGTTACAGATAAAAATCTTAGTATAACTATCATTGCTCTTTATTGATAATTTGGTAATTAGTATTGGCCTAGGTCCAAGAAAAATACTCAATTAATCATAATCCCTTTGAGAAACTGATAAAATATTTAGATCATCCATCTAGAAAAACAAACTTTTTTTTAATCCTTTCTGCCTGAATTTCAGAGAATTTATAGATTTCTTAAGGTTAGTCTATGGGTCATCTATTATCTTTTGGTTAAAATTCTTAGTATAAAGAAGAGCATCTACTATTGCAAATTGCACTATAGGATGTGTTTAAAAATGCTTAGAGAATCACTTGAGAGTGTTAAAAATGTTCAACATAGCTTGCAAATATTAGTTTTTCATGATTAAATAGAAGGATGTTTGTATTATTTGCTTTCATTTCACCCATGAGTTCATGTGATCTGTATGTACCTTCTTTAATTCATTTTGCATTTACTATATACTCATAAAGAACTTTAAAACATTCCATTCAGTCACTTTATCTAATAATGTCACGCTGAATTATGTCCATATACAGTGCTTACGTACATAAAACTATCTTGTTCTCTAGTTTCTTATCCCTTCTTAACTCAAAAAGTTATAGCTCTCTGTTGAGAGCACTTGTATGTTTATCTTTGTTTTTATCCTATCATAGAACCCATGAGAACATTAGGCACATAATAAGTGCTCAATAAAAACTTTAAAAAAAAAATCCTCACCTGAGGATATTTTTCCCATTGCTTTTCAGAGAGAGTGGAAGGGAAAGAGAGAAAGAGAGAGCAAAATATTGATGTGAGAGAGACACATCAATTGGTTGTCTCCCTCACTTGCTCTGACAGGGACTGGGGATGGAGCCTGCACCTGAGGTACATGCCCTTGGCCAAAATCGAACCCAGGACACTTCAGTCCACAGGCCAACACTCTAACCACTGAGAAAAACCAGCTAGTACTCAATAAATACTTTTTAATTGATTGATGTTGGCAACCAAAAGAGACAGTGAATGATGGATCATTCTCACATAATATCCAGGCTCAATGCTAAGCTACAGGTGTAGAACACGCATAGCTTTTTTTAAAGAGTCTTTTAAAGCCATTTGAACCTTTGACAACATTTTATATGTACAGGTATGTGTGAGCTGGTATGAACATAAATAAAATAGTCAAAAACACTTCCACACACCAACTGCTGTTGCAACGTTGTTTTATCAGTTTATTTTTAATAAAAACAAACTGTCTTTATTTTTTAATGTTTTTGCACACCATTAGAAAGTTTTAATATTTTATTTTCATAAACTAGGATCTAGATTTTACAACTAACTGATAAGTTTACTCAGTGAAAGTCACTACCCACAAATATTAGAAGAAAGATCACATTCCCTAAGAAAGCTAAAATACTAGATCAGTTGCAAAAGGAATTTGTACAGAAGATTTATAATGCACATCTATACTTGCTAGCTTGCGTCATTGTCTTTAATGCTTATATGACTATGGGGAGATATAATGGATTTAGACTTTTCCTAAAGGCACTGGGTCAGAATTTTTCTCTCTGTTGAAGTAATTGGTGAGTGGACCTGATGAAGCTGGGACTTTGACCTACTTAGCAACCTGTCTAATCATTCCAGAAAACCAGCCAATGACAGTGCCTTCTGAGGCTCAGTCAGGACATTTGGTTTATGAGAACACTGTACATAAGGGCCAAGGTTACTTTAATGGCTCAGCTTCACAGACTTTTCTCCTTTGAGGTGTTATAACTGCTGCAATCTGAAGCTGCTTTTAAATTGTTACTGAAATTAAACTTGGTGTGAAAAACCCTTTGGGATTCTCAGTAGGGCTTATCTACTGTCAAACATAGAATAGTCAGGTTGAAAAATCAGAAACTAGCCATTTAAAGATGACTTTAGAAACGCCAAGTTCTGTTTCTTAAGTAGTCATCTTATAAAACCAGAAGTATGAAATGATTGCCGTATGATTTTGGTCAATCAAAAAAATACTCCTTTATTGGAAAATTCTTCAAAGGATACATTACCTCAGTAGATCATATAGCTTGTTAGCAATCTTTGAAAATCCCTGTTTTAAAATAAAGTAATACCTGGCCGAAGCCGAAAGCCATGGCTCATTCCTAGTGTCGGACAGTTGTACTTTGATCTAAAAAGAGATTTGAAGAGATCTGTCCATGTATGATTTTTGGGGGCATTTCAACAATGTGTAACATATGAACACATTTTAGGAAAAAATAACTACTCAGATGTTTGGATCTGTTTTTTCTGACTCATATTTGTTGTTTATGAGAGATCTCTGTGCTTTTTCTGTAAATCCATTAAGGTAATAAATGGTAATTTCCTATTCACAGCGTGAATATCATAAAGACTATGAAAAGTCAAAAACTATCTACACGGCACCTCTTGATATGCTCCAAGTCACTCAAGCTAAGAAATCTCAGGCAATTGTCAGTGACGTGGACTACAAGCACCTCCTACACAATTACAGCTACCCGCCCGACAGCGTCAACCTGGACCTCGCCAAGAAGGCGTACGCGCTGCAGAGCGATGTGAGTAACCAATGTCCTCTACTCCCTCCTAAATTAAGGTGGAAACCGAAAAAGATTCCTAAGTTGAGTTTTTTGGCGATTCTCAGAGGTGTCTGCACGATCTTCTGTATGTAGGATGTAAAGGGAAAGTTACCCGTGTGGCTCCATGAGAGCACATCTTTCAGAGTTAGAGAGTCCTGGGGCCCGCATGCGCCCCATCACCGTTTCCCTTTGGGAAAGTTATCCACCTTGCTGAGTCTTCAGTCCTCTTGTAAAATTGGAATAAAACAAGATAACCGTTTTGAGGATTTATGCATATGCAAAAATACCTAGCAAGGTGCCAGGCCCTGATGAATTCTCATAAAACGTTCGCTATGATTACCATCATCAGGATCAATAATTTTTTGCATAGATTGCTATCTTGTCTAAAAATAAGATATACAATTACAGCATCAATTTTTTATAATAGCTGAGTTTTTTTCCTGCAGATCAAAAGTTCTTTAGGCAAATTAATTTGTCTAAGCTACACAAGAGAACACTTATCCTAACAATCTTATTTTCTAAAAATGTGGTAAAATACACTTGTTGCCATCTTTACCATTTTAAGTCTACACTTCAGTAGCTCTTAGTTATATTCACATGGCTGTGCAACCAATCTCCAGAACTTTGTCATCTTGTAAAACTGAAACTCTATACACATTAAACAACAACTGACCATTTCCTCCTTCCCTCAACCCCCGGCAACCACCCTTCTACTTTCTGTTTCTATGAGTTGGACTACTCTTGAGACCTCATGTAAATGCAATAATCCCATATTTGTCTTTTGTGACTGGCTCCCCTAACCCTAACCCTAACCCTAACCCTAACCCTAACCCTAACCCTAACCCTAACCCTAACCCTAACCCTAACCCTAACCACTTGGAATAATGTCCTCAAGGTCCATCAGTCTTGTAGCATGTGCCAGAATTTCCTATCTTTTTGCGGCTGAATAATGCTGATATGAACATGAGATCCCAACATTTCCATTACTAAGAATTCTGCTTTATCCATTATAGTCTTATTTACGTGTTTAATGTTTGCTATGTTTCTTCCTCCCAAATAGATTGCAAGCCTCTCAAAGGCAGGAACCAAACGTTTTTAAAATTTTTTTCATTCCAAAAGGCCCACACTAAAGAAAAACAATTTGAATTTTGCATCTAGAGTGTAAGTTTTAGGTTATCATCTATAGTCGGACAAGGGTAGCTCATTATTTTAATAATATTAAGTAACTGTCCTCAAAATAGGACAAATTCCAAGTGATAAGCAAATTAATGAGTGCAGCTATGTTAAAGTGGATTGTCAGCCAATGTAGAAAAACTCCTAAGCTGACCATTACACATGGAGGGCATTGTGTGCAAACACTTAATACAAATACTTACTATCCAGTCTTATCTAATCAGAAAGCTAGCAAAATTATCCACCTTTGATGTGGTCTTCAGTCCTAATTTGACCATTTAAACATAAAGCTTAGAGCTCTAGTGAGCAAACATTTCACATTTTATTATCTAAATATAACAATTTTATTTATTCCCTGAAATACAGCTTTGAATTTAGCATTTTCCAGATTGAACTTCCATTCGGTTGGTAATAGGATGAAATGAAACATATGCCCACTGGAAAAACAATGAAAACCTAAGGACTTTAAAATCTCTCACTAATAATATGTTTAAAATAACCTTAATGTATGACGTAAGGAAGCTGGTCAGAAATCTTAACATGTTAACGATTTTATGGATAAACATGATGCTGGGCAAAAGAAATTTAACCTTTCTCTTGGTGTTCTAGGTTGAATACAAAGCTGACTACAACAGCTGGATGAAAGGCTGTGGCTGGGTGCCTTATGGGTCCTTGGAATTGGAAAAGGCAAAGCGAGCTTCAGACATCCTTAATGAGGTAAAGCCAGTGCATTCATTTGTCACAGAGAGAGATTTGTGTAAAACCTCCCAAACCATGGGAAGTGGCTCTGTTACTGTTTCTTCCTCTAGTAATTGTTGGTGAGGGGAAAAACTAACCACATGCATGAATTATTCTGGTAGATAAACATACCCTTTTACATCACCAAAATCACGTATGTGAACCATTCATGATAAAAATATATTTGACAATTTTATCAAGGTATATTTTGCACACCATAAAATGCTATGTTAAGTGTACCCTTGAGTGAGTTTTAAGAGGTTCATATAATTGTACAGTCATCATTACAGTTGAATTTTAAAATTCTGCTAGTTCTCCAAACAGATTCCTTGAAAAGGTTCTGCTCTCATCTTCACTGCCAGGCAACCCTTCATCTGCTTTCTGTCTCTATAGTTTTGCTTTTCTAGAAGTTGTTTTATATCAGTCTTCTTTCACTTAGTGTAATGTTTTCAAGGTTCATCCATATTCCTACATGCGTCTGCAATTCATTTCTTTTTATTATTGAGTAGCATTCCTTTGTATGGTTCTGTTGCATTTTGGTTGTCCAGTTGGTGGATGTGTGGATTTTTTTCACTTTTTGGTGATTATGGATAATGTATATAATGAATATTATAGAAAATGTATGAAGTATTATACCCTATACCATATTCTTGATGATTTTAAAGTAATGTATAGGTTAATTCAGTCTAAGAAAAAATAATGATGATCTTGCTGTCTTAAAGCAGCCAGGCTATCTGTCCCTTCTCTGCCCACAGTGACACTTTCTGCTACTGTCAGGTAAAGCCATCATCGGGGAGGTTAGACTACATAACAAGGGACAGAGGTGCTCAGTGAGAGTTGTCTTCCACACTTGAGATTTTGTTGTTCTTGTTGTTTTGTGCTTTTGTTTGTTTTTGGTGAAAGCCATTTCATTTACTCAGAGATTTTTCAGAAAAAGTTCTTCTGGGTTGGTAGTTGTCAGAAGTGTGAAGATGAAAGAGTGGTGCAACTATGGGAAAATATGTGGGGCAGAATATAAGAATGAGGGTAGCTAGGAGCCAGCTCCCAGTTGGAACACCTTCCAATGTCCCCTCTCCTGTGCCTTCTCAGCGCTTTAGTGACAATCTACGAACTAACCATATTAACGCTTGCAGAGCACAAGTCCTCCCTCTCTTTTTAATAATCTCTAGCTGTTGTCCTAATTCCTCAATTCCTCCTCCCTCAACTAGAGAGCGTCTTTACTTTAGCTGCTAATGATGTGACAGGGAAAATAACATCTCTGAGAACTTGTTAGTGTCATGCAAAGACACCTTAAATTGTTTTTCTGTTAAGCCTTTAGAAAACTTTGGGATGCTTCTCTATTCTGCTTAGCTGAGAGTGCCCTCTTTTATGTCATAAACAAGAAATTAAGAGAGTAAAGTCTGGTTCCTGAAAGTTGTATTGGTCTGTACTGCCCCAACAAAGCCAAGATTAAGTCAATTTTTAAATAATGGTTTTTGTATTGTATTTATTTTCCCCCAACCCAACCAAAAATGTAATGTTTTTACATTTTAAAATCAGGAAAAAAAACCTCTCTCTCCAAAATAAATTTCAAAGATTTTTATATAATACCCTTCAGTGCAAGTAATTTTATTGTTTTTCTTTTTTTAAATTCACTAAACAGAAAAAATATCGCCAACATCCAGACACTCTCAAGTTTACTTCGATCGAAGATGCTCCGATTACAGTACAGTCTAAAATCAACCAGGCCCAGAGGAGTGATGTAAGTGTTAATCTTGTCTGTTTCTTAATGAATGTTAACTAATACAAATACATTTGTATTCCAAATGTACTGATCACCTGTAGTTATTATGGAATCTGAAGAGACTCAATTACATGAGCAATGCGCAGTTCCTTCAGCTTTTCATTAATAAAGCACACCTAATTCATATCTTTAGAGTATTGTGTCCAGTGTGCTGTCCTTCCAGTATTTTGATATTGCTTTCCAAGGAGAAGGTAAGAGGGCCTTCTCTTGATAACAAGAAACACTACAAGCCTATTTCTAGGAAAGACCAGGAAAATGAATATAGGCGCTACATCATGTGGAGGAGTTACATTTTAAGTCAGAGCTAAGACAAAAATCAAATATAGTCAAACCTACCCATCAGTCCCGTTAGGAGCCCACAAAGTATAATATAGATGGTTGGTGTATCCCACCATATTAGCCTCTCCTATGCTCAGGAAAGTGTCTGCAGGCTAACATTTTCATCAGGTCACCTTTCCGGGCTAATTTCCACCAGGTGCCCTACCTAGGCCCAGCGGTTCCTAGTGCATACATACTATGGGGCTTTTGTCCAGGCTGAACTAGCGTGACAATAACCCTGTGTAACTGCCTGTGAAACCTCGAATGCCTACAGATATTTGCAGGTGAAAATGGGGACTGCACAAAGAGTCTTTTTATAAAAAGCACCTCTGTGCAGTGCGATCCTCTCTGAAATTCTTTTCCTGTGCCATTAAATTCTTTTTCCTACTTTATTAGTTTGTTTATGCTTTTGTTTTCTCTTTCAGATTGCCTACAAAGCCAAAGGAGAGAAGACTCTTCACAAGTACAGCCTGCCAGCGGACCTGCCCCAGTTCATTCAGGCCAAAGTTAACGCCTACAACATCAGTGAGGTGTGTGCATGGGCTCAGCTGCTGACGGCATCACAAGCCTTTTCTAAATGTGGACTGACTTATACTTAAATGACATTTTTCTTTCAGAATATGTACAAAGCAGACTTGAAAGATATGAGCAAGAAGGGATATGACCTGAGAACTGATGCCATTCCCATCAAAGCTGCCAAGGCTGCCAGGCAGGCGGCCAGTGACGTAAGTCCAGCCAGTGGTCACCTGTGTGTAACCAGAAAACGTGGGCGGGTGGACTTGTTATCCAAAAATCACCACCTCTACTACCCCCACCTGGAAGCAAGTCTGGTTGAAAGCTGTTCAGAAAAGAAAGTTCCCTAAACAGATCTGAATTTTCTTGGGGGTAAGGATTTATATTACCTTTACCGATCAGTTCTCATCAAACACCCTAATTAAAAATTCTCATCTACATTTCTACACAAATGCACTTTATTATTCTTACCAGAAATAAATAAGTTCCAGACTATTTAAGTCATACGAGCCTCCTCACCATAAAATTTTATCTCAAAACTTGCTTAATTTATATGAATTCTCTATTGCTCAAAGAATAGAAATGACTCTCTTTTTATTTCATCATTTCTACAGATGATGGCTTGGCTTCCAGTTTTATAGCCTCTAATAGTCAGTCATTAGGTTTCATTACAGTTAGGAACTTTGTTTCTTTTGCTATCTTACTTTAACCCAGCTGTGAACTGAAGTCACTTTGTTCTTTGAGATTTAAATACAACTGACTCAAACCCCCACCTATTGTCCTACAAGAAGAGGGATACCCTCCCTGTGACTGCTGCAGATTTTTGTTTTTCGATCACCTGTCTCCTGGTTTGCTCCTGATGCTTTTGCTCTGGCTTACCTGGGTTCTCCTTCCCTGCATTCATTTCTCTTTCTGCTCTGCATGATCCAGAGAGAACACAGCCCCTTGCTCTTGACTTCCCCCAAGTCCCAAGCACAACTTTGCTGATTGTTTGAAATGAAGTTCACATTGCACCAGTGTAAATACATGATGGCTGAATAATAAATGCCTGTGTCCTAAGGGCCCTGCCATCCCGAATTTCTCACTGCTCCTCTTTCTCTGTGGGTGGTTTCCTCCAGCTCTCGCCCGGACATACGCACAAACCTTTCCTCACATCTCTGCTTCTCCATTTTCCAGGTTTCTTCCCAGGTCTCCCCAAGGAAGCTCAGTTCTCCTCACTTTATTATTCGGAGCCAATTAATGTTTATACACTACTGGCTCTGAGTGTCCCTTTGAATATGCAGACTCATTAAAATTCTACTACTGCTACAATTCTACTACTGAGCCAGCAGCCAGCTATTTGGGATCTTCTTTAGCAGCATGTCATTGATAGAGATTGTGAAACAGTTATCTTTTCATTTGCCTCTCTCAAGTGTCTAAGTGGGAAAGAACTTATTTTACTCGATCATTGATATGAATTATGGTAACACCCCCATCCCAACCTCTCTCTGGTGGCAGAAGGAGCTGTTGACAACCAAATGGCTCAAAATAACATTTTAATTTTACCTGGCTACTTACAAGCGAGTATCTAATTGTTTGGTTATTGAAGTAATTTCTGGAAAAGCGCAATTGCTTCCGACCATGGTCTCATTGTCCAGTAAAATCTTCTTGCCACGTTTTAAAATATGCCCACCTTTGTTTCTAATAGGTTCAGTACAAAAAAGATTATGAAAAAGCCAAAGGGAAAATGGTTGGCTTCCAAAGTCTCCAAGATGATCCTAAACTGGTTCATTATATGAATGTGGCCAAGATACAATCGGACCGGGTGTACAAACAAGACTATGAGAAGACAAAGACGAAATTCAACATTCCCCATGACATGTTCAATGTTGTGGCAGCTAAGAAAGCTCAGGACATTGTTAGCAATACCAGCTATAAGCATCCGCTCCATCATTACACCTACCTGCCCGATGCCATGGACCTGGAGTTGTCTAAAAACATGATGCACATCCAGAGCAATGTAAGTGACACTGACTCCACTAGACAGCCTCCCGTCAAGGTGGGAGCGTGTGGGAGAGGACCCAGCCCGGGCGCTCACTCCTCTTCCCCTTCCCGTAGAATGCCTACAAGGAAGACTACAACGCCTGGATGAAGGGCATCGGCTGGATTCCCATCGGGAGCCTGGACGTAGAAAAAGTTAAAAAGGCGGGTGATGCCCTGAGTGAAAAGAAGTACCGGCAGCATCCAGACACCCTCAAGTTCACGAGCGTCGTGGACTCCCCAGTTATGGTCCAGGCAAAGCAGAACACACAGCAAGCCAGTGATGTGAGTACGCAGCAGAGGGCGCAAAGGCTGGAGGGGGGCTTTAAGAAACTAAATATCAGCTCACTTTTTTTATTCTTCTGAGTCAATATCTTTTCCTTTTGACATTATTTCATTTAAAATTAATAATTACAATAATTTTTAGTTTGGGCACTAATGTTTTCTTTTTCTTCTATCTTGGTTTTTACCTTCCTTTTCAAAACCTCTTCTTTAAAGACCTTGAAATGCTGTGTTAGGGGATAAATTGACAGGGTGCAAAAAAATTCTACTCTAGTACCACGCACACACACACACACACACACACACGTACACAAACTAAATTTATGCTTAAATCCCAGACACTTTATCGTGGCACATTTATCTAGTTCTAGATTAAGTTCCTCATATTTAGTTTTCATATGTAATACAGGGAAATAATATACATGAGTATATGATTTTGCGCCTCAATTCATCATATACAATTATTATAGAGACTTTTTTACTTATATCTTGGTGGAGATTAGTACATTGCTTGCCTGCCTGTCCATAAGCTGTGTATATGACCTGGCTAAAGTCGGACCTACAGGAAAGCCTGGTGCATAGAAGAGTTAAAGGGACATCAAAAGCCCTCATTCATTAAATCATTGAATGAATGATTTTGAACACCTTCCATGTGCCAGGCACTGTATGATGTGCAGGTGGTATAAAGATTAAATAGACAAGGGTTAGTGGGATATAGGATATAACAAGGATATAGGACAAGAGTATAAGACAAAGGCATGGATAGAAACAGCCTTGCCACATAGAGAGATGATGCTACAGGAGAGGCACGTGCTAAGCACAAGGGAAGAGGGGAACTGCCCACCAGAGCTTCCCTGGCAAGTAAGGGAGGGAAGGGCACATTCTTGGCAAAAGGAAAAACATGACAGTGAAGAAGTAGTGAATGGAAGGACAGTGAAGGGTTCAGGACTGTAACCTGATCATTGAGGGTCTTGTATGCTAACTTATAGTCTGGATATCATGGGGTGGGTAATAGGATGTATTGAGTATTTTTAATGCGTGGAGTTGCATTTTCACAACGGTGTTTTAAAAGATAAATCTGACAAAAAGTACAGAGGCTGTATCGGATTGGGGAGAGATTGGAGGCAGGGAGATGAGTTAGAAAGCTGTTACAGATATCCAACAGAAGGCTGACTTGGACTCTAAGGCAGAGCATTGGGAAAGGAGGTGTCTAGAAGGTAGAATTAATGAGATTCTGTGAATGCTTAGAAATGGTTTCTAAGGGCAGTGAGGAAGTAGGGATAGCTCTGGGATTCCTAAAAGAAATTATTTAGTATTTGAGGATTCGCTTAGATATCAGCCACCTCAGGCTTTACTTGGGACACATACATACCAGTTTACATATGATATTCCGCACAGACATGCCAGGGAAATGGGGGTACACATGGTAAATGACATTCTAGAGACTGAGAACCTACTTGTGATTCCTCTTCTGTTTTCGTTTTAGAAATTAAATAATTTTCTTTTTTATTACATAGAGGAGGATATGATATGATTTCTACATCATACACTTTGACATCTTTCAGACATCTTTAAAATGACAAGCCAGGGTAAATGCAATTTGAGTATACTGGATTTACATATCAGCACCTTCATTTAGGGAGGAAACTATTATGTGCTTTCACTGGTGCAATTATAACTGGATAGTTTAAAGCAGAAGTGAAAGACTCATTCGAACCGTCATTTTCTCCTAAAATTAAAAAACCCAAACCAGAACAACACAAGATTTTAGAACTGTTAACTCCACTAGCAAAGAATAAACTTTTCTGGCTTTGATGAATTATATAATTCACGTTAGAGTTTCACAGTTGAACCTATTGTTCATTTATTTTTGGCAGTATATGATTTCTATTCTCGAGGATTTTTTTTCTGTCTATTATAATAGACGGAGTTGTTGGCTCTTCCTAACGATAACAAGATGCTCAGGTTTCTTAAAAACAGGAAAATGCCTTTGATACTTTTTAACAGTGGAAATAGTGGGGATTGTGCTAGGAACAACTCCTTTAACCATGCAATTAATGTATTTTCCTTTTTGTGCTATTTGTAATGCATTTTATTTCTGTGGCTGTGTGTGGCAGATCTTATACAAAGCCAAAGGAGAAGATGTGAAACATAAATACACCTTGAGTCCTGATCTTCCTCAGTTTCTTCAGGCCAAGTGCAATGCTTACAATATAAGCGATGTAAGTAGGGTCCTTGATGGGGTGTGAGATCCAGAACTAATGATAATATAATAGAATTTTAAGGTCTGATGGGGCCTTGACAATTACTCAGGTCAATTTCCCACATGACCTCCTGCAGCATAGCCCATGATGGTGGTTCTGTGCCTCTGAGTCAGCCTTTTAAAGTATAGGGCAACTCTGAAGGATTCGTCTTTTTATTTACTTATTTTATTTTTGTTTAAAATATTACAGATGTCCCTTTTTCTCCCCCGTCTTTTAATTTCTATTGAATGTATTAAGGTGACATCGGTTAATAAAATTATATAGGTTTTAGATGTACAATTCTATAAGACGTCATCTGTACATTGTACTGTGTGTTCACCACCCCGAGTCAAGTCTCCTTCCATCACCACTTATCCCTCCTTTACCCTCTCCCACCTCCCGCAACCCCTTTCCCTCTGGCAATCACCATACAGGATTCTTCTTTATGTAGAGCTTAACATCTAGTTCTCTAAAACCTCTGTTTAGTGTTCCTAGTTTTGCATGTGGAGAAAGTTATTATCCTCCAGAAAAATAAGAATAAAGAAAATCCTTTTCTTTATAACAACAATTCTAAAATTTCTAAAGCTAACCATCAGGCCATCCCTAGACCTTCTTTTCATAAGACCGAATATCATTTTCTCCAGTTGGTCCTCGCTTACCATGGTTTCCAGAACCTTTATCATGCTCCTCTGGGTCCACTCCAGTTTCTCGGTGTCCCTCTTCAATGTGTGCCCAAACCAGATTTGGGTGAACAATCAGTGCAGAGCCCAATAACTTCATGCTACATAAAGTGTGATGTTTTGCTATAGGAGATCCTTTTAGCTTCTATCTGGAGAGAAATGAAACAATCCCCAGCTGTTGAGGAATCACTTTAGCTGATTAATACACAGCATGCTGACATCCTTTCTCTTTTTCTGTCCCAGGTCTGTTATAAACGGGACTGGCATGATTTAATAGCCAAGGGCAACAATGTCCTGGGCGACGCCATTCCCATCGCTGCAGCCAAAGCGTCAAGGAATATTGCCAGCGATGTGAGTACACTCTCTAGGTGAAATCTGTGTGATCGCATTTTAAAAAAGCAAACAAATGTGTGCTTGTTTAAATGTTCCATTGAAAACAATATGTTGAATTAATGACATTCAAATTATCCACAACATATTGTTTTGAGAAACTGTCACCTTTCAATGTTTTGTGATTCTTTTCAGTTGAGCCCACTTGGTAGAGCTGTCATAAGCCTGACAGCGGCTTTCTCCCTGATTCATAGGCCAAATTACCTCCCCTGACACTTTCCCTGACAGCCCGCATTTATTCTCAGTGACTGACACTAACACATTAAATTCAGATGCCTGCCTGCATTATAATTGCATTAAGAACATTGAAACGATGTTATCTAAAATGTACAGATTATTTTTCTTTTCTTCCTCCTTCCTTCCTTCCTTTCTTTTTTATTTATTTATTTATTTATTTGTTTGTTTGTTTGTTTGTTTGTTTATTTATTTATTTATTTATTTATTGAATTTATTAGGGTGACACTGGTTAACCAGATTATACAGGTTTCGGGTGCACAATTCTACAACACATCATCCATACACTGTATTGTGTGTTCACCACCCCAAGTCAAGTCTCCTTCCATCACCATTTACCACCCCTTTACCATCTCCTACGTCCTGCCTCCCACCCCGGGCAATCACAATTTTATAAACCAAATGGAGAAAAGCCCATTTTTCTAGAATGTAATTTTGATTTATGTAAATTGATGCCCATTTCATCTGTAACAGAAAAAGTACACACTTATTCTTCTTCCCATTATTGAAAAACAACATTCTCACAAAGCACATGTGCCCCGCATCCTGTCACATCCCGTTCTAGGGGCTACAATCTTCATTTGAGAAGAGAAGAACCATGAGTGTGTGCAGGTCACAGGGCCTGCGACAGTGTAAGAATTCCACCACTTCTCCCTGTAGGGCTGCTACTGAAAATGGTTCTCAAAGATTAGCACATCACTGTGAAATGCATTTCTAGTTTAAGGAGAAAGTGAAAGTCTGAAGTATGGCATTACCTTTTTTTTTTATTGCACAAAGCTTTTTCCAGCTTGCCTAGAGATTACCTGATTATCCTTTTACCTGCCAAACTCTTGTTTATCTGGCAGGTGCTTAAATGGCGGGAGTAGGGAGTCTGCAGAGATTAGGTGGATTTAAATTCTTTGATGTGAAAATTGAGGTTTTGACCTGTTACGTACAGTATAGCTCGATCGCACCACATTGCTGATTCCAGCAGTGAGAGGTGGACAGCAGAGCTTTCATGGTTAGATTTTCACTGATGGGGAAACTCAGGGCGGTTCCTGCCCTTAGGAGAGTTCCTTTATTCATCTGTAGCTGCTTCAGCAGTGAGCTTGGAGAGCAGCTGCTGAGAACTGGGGGGTGAAGACCAGCTACCTGCCTATGCAGCATCTAAATTGATGCTACCTAGAAAGAAGAGGGGTTTTGTTTTAACCCTGTTAGGTCAACGTGAGACAAAAATCATAGTAATGATTTCTACCTCACACCCCAAGATGATCTGAGTGGAAACATCTCAAATGTAGAGTTCTTCAGAGTTTCTTCTGCATCTGTTGTGTACATATTACTAGGCCAATCTGAACAGAAAATGGAAGGTTTTCTCAATAATTTCTAATATTTAATGAAGTGCAATAACATAATGGATTAGGTAAACTTATATTCCTGTAAAACCAAGAGACATTGGTCTTATATTTGGAATGTGTCATGTTTATATTAAGTGTGAAAATTCAGTTGGCTTTAAACAAAGTCCTAAATCATCTATAAGATTGATAACAAAGAAAAGAAACTAGCTCTGAGTGTATCATGACACCTGTTTGTAACACAGTAGTGATGGAAATAAATGTGGTCACTCTGAACTTTCTGGGGACTGGATGAGGGGGTACTGTTTGCATTATTGTACAATATTCCAGAAAGTCACAATGTTCTGAGTGCCTTTGTGTGTAAATATAATTGCTGCACCTAATATTATCATTACCCAGAACTTTGCTAACCAAATTCTGCCTCTGCAGTATAAATACAAGGCAGCTTATGAGAAGTCCAAGGGGAAGCACATAGGTTTTAGAAGCCTCCAGGATGATCCCAAGTTGGTCCACTATATGAATGTAGCAAAGTTGCAGTCCGATCGTGAATATAAGAAGAACTATGAGAAGACCAAAACCAGCTACCACACCCCTGGGGACATGGTTAGCATTACAGCTGCAAAGATGGCCCAGGATGTTGTTACCAACGTCAATTATAAACAACCGATACATCATTACACATACCTACCTGATGCCATGAGTGTCCAGCACACCAGGAACGTGAATCAGATTCAGAGTGACGTAAGTATGCAGAACAGAATAGATCCAGAGATGCCGGTACATAAGGGATAATCATTTCTTCCAGCTTAGTAGGCTTCATAATACAATAAGATATTTGAAAAAATGTGCATTAAAATAATCATTATTGAAAGGCTAATGAAGGCATGGCAGACCAGCTGTATTTTTGCTGGCTTTCTGTACTCTTACTATAACCATTGGCATTGCTTTTATTAACTTCTGGATCCAAGATAAAGCCATATCCCACTAAGTAGATCAGCTACCTTCATTCTCAACAAGAGGAAATGGTTGCTCCTGGGGTGCTTGCTTCAAGGGTGATATGTACAATGCAAAATAGGATCATTCTTTATTTTTTCTGAATTCAGGAAAGTTATTTTTGACTTTTTTTAACTCAAGGTTACACTCTCATGCATGTAAATCTGTGTGATGAGTCATCTAAAATGAACCAGAAAGGCTTTGTGATTGCGGCAGGATTCACGGGGAGCTGCAGAGGAAGGTGTTTAATATTCAGGCCTTTTCCTTCTGCAGGAGCCAGATGTCTATAAGACTCGTTCTTTGTAAAGCGAAGAGATGGTGTTCATTTATTGTAGCTCAATGAACATGTCTCTCCCCAGCCGAGATCAGGCAGAGCCTAGGTGGACAGTGTGGGTGAAATTCAAAGTTGTGGAGTTTTCAGTGAAATCAAAGGAAAGCCTAATTTATTGTCAAAAGAGACACAATATTCTTCAGCAGTGCCCATGGAAATATGTGGCCTAGATTCTCTCTGTGTTGTATAATGCACTCTAATAACAGATCTGCTTTTTCTTATTGCCAAATTCTGGGTAAGAAGCTCTGTGGCAGACAGAACCAAAGCTCCATTATAGACATGAGCATGCTGAAGGGTTGCTACTCATTTCCCCTGCAGAGGATTGCAGATTTCAGAAACATCGCTTGACTGTCCTCTCAGACATCTCCTCACATTGAGATTGCTCTTTTACAGAATGTCTATAAGGACGAATATAACACCTTCCTGAAGGGCATTGGATGGATCCCTATTGGCTCTCTGGAGGTTGAGAAGGCCAAGAAGGCAGGCGATGCACTAAATGAGAGGAAGTACCGACAGCACCCAGATACCATCAAGTTCACAAGCGTGCCTGATTCCATGGGCATGGTGCTGGCTCAGCAGAACACAAAGCAGCTGAGTGATGTAAGTGGTTTCCCTTCAAAAGGGCTTGTTCATGAAAAACCCCGTGACGAGCTCCTCAGCCGTCCTTCTTAATTCAGTATGTGAGGCTGCATCTATGTTACCAAATCAACTGCTTTCAGGGGTATAATCAAAATGTTTTACTTTTGAAGCACCTTGGAACTTGAACATAGGCAGAACAGGGAGGGGAGAAGGGGGCTGTTCCAAAGTTGCTTTGTTTTCCAAAAGTAGAGAGTCTGTGCTATTCATGAGACATGAAATGAAATTATTTGTGTTACTATCTGTCACTCTGGATGAATTACAAACCAAGCTATTTATTGCTCTGAGTTGCAATAGTTCTACTTAGCTATTCAGGGAAAAGGCATAATAAGGTCCTAATCCCCGTGCACAATAGCTGGATGTTCTGAAAGGCAACCTCGAGAGAGGCCTCTGGGAAGGAGATAAGCAATTTACTTTCAGAGTCATTCGGAGTCTCCTCTCTGAGCCCAGGTCTCTCTGGACCCTGATTCTTAGCCAGAGGCTAATTGCAATGCTCAGTTCTTCACCTCATCTGGTAATTTCAGAGTTCTATTAAAATACCTCCACCAGAAAGAGGGAGGTAAATAAAAGCAAAGAAGGGAAGATTTTGTGTTTTTAACTACAGATATTGGAAGGTGAGGAATGCTTTGCTTGGCTCAGATTTGAGGCTTATCTGTGGATTTCATTTCTCAGGCCAGTCCCTTTCCCACACTACCAGAGATGTTTCAAGATTAATTCTATTTTAGTGGTAATAAATGCTGTAGAGTCTCTGATTTCTTTTGTACTAACCAAGGTGTCACTTCTTACTGTGTTTTTTCCAGTTAGCTAGGAAAACTGCTCTCAGTAATTGTCTTCCCCATCTCAATAAATGCCATCAACATCTAATGGGTTACCCAAGCCAGAAACCTGGCTATCACCACTAAGGCCTCTCTGTGTGAACCCTACATCCAAAACCTCTGCTGAGTCAGCCTCCTAAATCTCTCAGCCATCCTGTCGAACACCTCTCTGTCTTTCAGCCGCTGCCAACCTAGTTCTGGCTTCCAGATCTGTCCTGTGGACAAGTGCAGTCATGTGGTATCTGGACTCCATGCCTGGGGGCACACACCACAACCAGGCAGACTGCCTTAAATCAAATCACACCCCTCTTCTACTTAAAACCCCTTAGTAACTTCTCCTTGAACTGAAAAGAAAATCTAAACACATTAACTTGGCCGAAAAGGCCCCCAGCTCTGTGGCCCCTGCTCCCCACCCTGTCTGCCCTCTGGCCCCCCTCGGTCGCTCCAACCCTGTAACTCCAGCTGCCTTGGCCTCTCAGGCTGGCCGCATTCTTTCCAGACTCATGGCCCTGAATGCTCTTCTTCTGCTGGACCCCTCCCTTTTCTTCAAGTTTGGGCATAAATATTACCTCCTTAGAGAGCCTTTGCTGACCACCCTTGTTTCTTTCTTGAAGTTATTTTATTTACAACACATCACAAGTTCTAACTCTGTCATTTAGTTATGCGTTTGTTCTCTAACTCCTCTATTGGTCTCTAAGCTCCAAAAGTACAGGTCTGCCTTTTCCAACCCTTTAAACACAGAACCCACAGTGCTGTCCAATAATGATTGGTGAAATGAGCCAATATCTATTTCTACAGCCACCCGCTCCGTATGGTGCTTTAGGTATTTGCCTTATACAAGCACACCTGGTTTTAGTGTGCTTTTTTTGAGCTTTGCAGATACTGCGTTTTTTTAGAAATGGAAGGTAATACCCTCCACCAGCAAAAAGATTACCACTCACTGAACGCTCAGATGATGATTAGCACTCTTTTTTTTTTTTTTTAGCAATAAACTATTTTTAAATTAAGGTACTACATTGTTTTTTAGACAATGCTATTGCACACTTAATAGACTATAATACAATATAAACATAACTTTTATGTGCACTTGGAAACCAGAAAATTCACGTGACTCACTTTACTGTGATGCTCACTTTATTGCTGTGGTCTGGAACTTAACCCGTAGTATCTCTGGGGTAGGACTGTATGTGGAAAAATGCAACTGATGGCCTTGCTTTTTAAAGGAGTATGTGCTTGATGTAACTTACATTATGTCAGCTAATGACGTTTGCATGCTGCCTCTTTTTTTTTTAGTTGAACTACAAGGTGGAGGGGGAGAAACTGAAGCAGAAGTATACTATAGACCCGGATCTGCCTCAGTTTATTCAGGCCAAGGTCAACGCCCTCAACATGAGTGATGTGAGTATTTGTCCTGATGACAGCTACTATTGCTAATGTGGGCCTTTCCTTTCCAGTTCTGGGTAACTGTAGAACTTAGAATTTTAAGGGAGTTAAATTGAGTGGGGCCCTTTGAGTCTCTGTTAGAGGAGATCATAGAGAAGATGTGACTACCAGTAGGCCTGGATCTGGACCTGGGCAATTGTAGGCTGCTCACCCCTTCCCTGTCCTAGGAATATATGTTCTGCCCGTTGCCACAGTGGGAGCCTTCCAAGGGCACAGTCTTGAGAGAGCAATGTGTTGTTGAGACCACCTGGATGGCATATGTGACTGAACCCCGTTAGGGCCCCTATAGAAACTTTTAAGATTCTTGTGGGTGGGCACGGAGATCTACTCTGAGGCCACCCAGGACAAGCCTCATATTAAGTTCCGTTGCTTATTAAGCCTCCAGCTACCAATCAGAGTGACCTGTCTCTTTCTTCAGTCTCTCCTTGCCCTCGGTGTACAGGGGCCAACCAACAGTCTTCAGATTGGACTCATCATAGAATATGAAACTAGAGGCTACCATAAAATTTTGCTTAATGCAGACTTTTCCAAGCTGTGGGCTATGACTCATTTAGTAGGTTATAAAATCAATCTAGTAGGTTGTGTTCCATTTTTTAAAAGGGCCAAAATGGGATAGACGTAAGGTTAAGTTTTGCTTTATTAAGTTCTGTTTCAGTTACTCGTTAAATCGTCTAAGAAAGTTTAATGTAATTTTCCTTAGAAATTCTTTTTTGTATGTTACCAGCCTCTCTCTTAGGTAGTCTAGATACTTAATTGGTTGTGATGTTTAAATTTACTATTATGAATTGTCTCCTTTTTCTTGTCTTTTAAAAGTTGGTAAATTCTAGCTTAAAAACGTAATCAAACCTGGAGAAAATTGTTCATTTCTTAAAAGATTCCTTGGTCATTCTTCTTAATTTTTTAGGCTCTCTTTCATCTCCAAATAAACATTTTTTGGTATTCATTTTTATGCTTTTGGTTTATTTAGAATTTTTCCCTGCTGTTATAAGTACTATTTAAACATTAAGTTTATTTAAAACTGGGTTACTACATCTGAAATTTTAATTTTAGTATCAAATACCTTTCTGTAAATTAAGATGCTTTAGTATAAAAAGAAAATAAAAATATTACATGCTTATTATAGAAAAGTTGGAAGTATAGAAAATTATGAAAAAAATTTAAATCTGTTATCTTGCGTTCAAAGCATTACCTTTCAGTGGCTTTGTTATGTCAACATATACATTTTTAAAGCAGTTGAGATCATATTGTGTATGGAGTTACTGATTTTTTTAAAAGAATTTGATAGATACATAACAAATGAACTAATAACTCCATGAATTCTCTTAATAGAAAGGAGTATATTACGACATGTTTTATAAGAATAATTTTGGCATCCTGTTTCATTCTCTTAATTTTGTCAAATAATAAAATAATATTTCTTTTTTTCAAGGCTTATTATAAGGCAGACTGGAAGAAAACCCTCGCTAAGGGCTATGATTTGAGAACAGATGCTATCCCAATTGTTGCTGCAAAGAGTTCAAGAAATATTGCTAGCAATGTAAGTCTAATTTGAAAGTAGTAAATTTTCTCTACAGTTTCAAAATATTTACATGGAGGCTATATGAGCTATATTAGAAAGCAAATAAAAAAGTTATGATGTTAAAATATTTTCTAGTATCTTAAGTACCAATGACTTTTTATATTGCTTCACGTTAAAATCTTTAAAAACTCAATACAGTAGTTATGAAGAAGAAAATTCTTTTTGTAAAGCTAAAATATTTGGAACTCTCATTAGTATCATTGTCATGCACTTGACAACTGATTTTTATTTGAATTTTGTCAAGAACAAAAGCCTTGGTATACTGAAATGTCATTAAACTGAAAAAGTCTCCAAGTGTTTTAAAAGAATACAATTTTCAAATACTATAATTTCCACACACAAAAATTGGTGAAATATGGAAAACCAGAAAGAATTATAGATTAAAGTGACATAATTTTAGTTAATTATTTTTAACAAATTAAGTTATAATTTCTATATGAATTGATATAATACCTTGATAGAGTTAAAAATGCAGTCATTTGGAGTCCACTACACTAACTCATATAAAGGCTTTACCAACATTTACTCAGGATTATGCAAGTAAATACTTTGTAAGATACTTAATACTTTATAAAATAAAGTAATGATGGAAACAGATAATTAAAAAATACACCAGATCTGTAATAAGCAAATTTTCCAGGAGCCTTTGAGCATTCTCGAAGAATCTACCTATGAATTCTAGATATAAATTACAAATTATTCCACTCTTAATTATCCCCAGAGCACATCTCAAGACCATCCATTAGAAATACTTTGCTAGTTGTTTATTTAACAATACTAAAACACTAGATTCAGACAGCATTTGGCTATTGCTTAATTTGTTACTTAAATTCAGTTTAATACTTTAGCATTTCCTGCATTATACCCTATTCCAACTTCTGCCTGCCCTTCTTTTTCATATAGTTCAAATATAAAGAGGCCTATGAGAAAGCCAAAGGCAAGCAAATTGGATTTCGTAGTCTTCAGGATGATCCTAAACTGGTTCACTACATGAATGTAGCCAAAATGCAGTCAGATCGAGAGTACAAAAAGGGCTACGAAGCCAGCAAGACCAGGTACCACACACCCTTGGATATGTTCAGTGTGACTGCGGCCAAGAAATCTCAGGAGGTTGCTACCAACACCAACTACAAACAACCCTTCCACAACTACACTCTGCTGCCCGATGCCTTGACCGTGGAGCATTCCAAGAACGCGATGCAGATTCAAAGCGATGTATGTACCGATCAACAGATAGTTGGCATAGAATTTTACATTTCTAGCTGGCGGGGGCAGGAACAAGAAATCGGCAATTCCTCTCACTCCGCCCCAAACCTGGCTAGGCTCCCTGTAATTAAGGGCCCTCTCCAGAATTTGGAGTTTTAGGATTTTATTTATTTGAACTATATGTATCTTCTTTTGGAGATTATTATATACATATTTTAAAACTTTGGATGTTAGACCCAATATATGATGTATCTTTAAAAAATAAGAGATTCAATTGGGTGCTATATAATATGTTTTCTAGTGCAAAATTTTGTTCACTTTTCCCCCAGGAGAGTTAAATTTTTAAAGGAATTATCGGGTCAGAATTTCCTGTTCAAAACCACCATGAACGCAATCACTTTCGTAATTAATTATTTTCCGAAAGATAATAGGGAATAAAAAGCAGATTATTCTCCCCCCAACTCCTTTTTTCTTTCTTTTGGATAATGAATGAATTGTCTAGCCAAAGAAACCCATGCCCTGACTCTTTCTGAAATGACAATTTCCTTTTATGTTATAAAGAATCTATACAAATCCGACTTCACCAACTGGATGAAAGGCATTGGCTGGGTCCCAATAGATTCCCTGGAAGTGGAGAAGGCAAAGAAAGCAGGAGATATTCTCAGCGAGAAGAAGTATCGCCAGCACCCTGAGAAGCTGAAGTTCACGTACTCCATGGACACAATGGAGCAAGAACTTAACAAAAGTAACAAATTGACTATGGATAAGGTAAGAGCTCACCTGCTGGCCTCAGCCCAAGAATCCTCATAGTGCTCACGCCACTGAGCCTGGCACTGCCCCTATGACCTTTGTCAGTATTTTACTCTTTCTGATGGTCCTGGTGGTGGTGGTGGTGCTGCTGGGAAGGGCATTCTATAACTTTTGTCGTGTCTAGAGAGCTCTCACCTATACTGACCCTTGGCTGTCTGTCAACCCCATGTCAAGGGTGTGACAAAACTACAAAACCTCCATCATGTGAGGTTGAGGCAAGATAATATTTGTTGTTTTGGTGGAAGAGGACCCCCTGGTTTGGTCATTTTTTCCCTCAGCATGTGTCTGGTGTCATCAGCCCCTCTTGCTATTTCACCCACTTTCCAACATCAGATTTAAGCTTTTCCACTGTGGAGTCATGAGCCTCTTCCTCTTGACCGCACTGCCACGCCCTGGTCTTGCTGTTCAATCACGTGTCTGCCCTTCTTGTTGTAGAAGCGCTATATCGAGAAATGGAACAAAGACAAGACCAGCATTCACATCATGCCTGATACGCCAGACATTCTGCTCTCCAAAATGAACCAAATCACCATGAGCGATGTAAGTAGATGAACAACAAAGGTAGGGGAGAAAGTGAAGGGAAATGATGTCTATGGAATCTCTGTCTGCTACATGCCAACCACTTTGAAATCAGGATCCCCGTTCTAACCCAAAAGACAAGATGCTGATGTTTTTTCTATTTGATCATTTAGAAACTGTACAAAGCTGGCTGGGAAGAAGAAAAGAAGAAAGGATATGACTTGAGGCCAGATGCCATCTCAATAAAGGCTGCAAGAGCCTCTAGAGACATTGCCAGTGATGTAAGTGTTCCACTGGACCTTCTTTAGGCTGAGCGAATCAGAGCAAATGGGCCCAGTTTGTGTTTTCAGGAGCTGCAGTCAGCTCTGCCCAGTGTGGGAGGGGCCATCGTCCCGTGTAACATTCAAGCCCCATCCCTTCACTCAGCCCAAAGACCCTCTAATCATCTGTTCATTATTTAATGTAAAAAGTGGCTGGGTCTTGTTGAAATAATTTGCTTTCAGAGTATTTAAATCCCTTATAGGGAATTCTAAGCAAACACAAGGATGCAAGCTACAAATTTTACCTGGGAGACCCATGACCAGGCTTTCCCTGAATTTAAAGATGCACCTTGAAAAACTGTGTCTGCAGCCTTTTCTGCTGGTCAGACAGCTGAGTGGGAAAGGCTGCTTTCTAAAGCACCCCAAAACAACTTACTTCCACACATCCTTGATTAATTCTGAGATCATTTTCTGTCCACGGACTCAAGTCTGGCTAGAAATTTGAAGTAAAAAGATGTTGCCCCCTGCTCCTTATGAGCTCTTTTCTTTCTAATTTTAAGGTAGCTCTAAAACTGTCCACCTATGACAAAGCCGATAGCATCTAGTTTATTGTATTTTTCTTCTCTTTCCTCCACTGTCTTCATCACCATATGCGTGTGTTTTTCTGCCTACAGTTCAAATACAAGCAAGCCTATGAAAAAGCCAAAGGAAAGCACATTGGCTTCCGCAGCCTGGAGGACGACCCCAAGTTGGTGCACTTCATGCAGGTGGCCAAGATGCAGTCGGACCGGGAATACAGGAAGGGCTATGAGAAATCTAAGACATCCTTCCACACCCCGGTGGACATGTTCAGTGTGGTGGCCGCCAAGAAGTCTCAGGAAGTGGCCACCAACACCAACTACAGGAACGTGATCCACACCTACAACATGCTTCCGGATGCCATGAACTTTGAATTGGCCAAAAACATGATGCAGATTCAAAGCGATGTACGTGGCAGCCACACCACTTGCAGAGCATTTACTCTGGAAACTAAGCAAATTAGTAACGACCATAAGTAATGACATTTTGAAAATCCTGAAAGAAATTCATGTGTAATTTTCCAATAAGGTGTTTCATTTTTTACCTTAGGTTAAATTTATTTATTTTTTTAACAAAAGGGGATCAATTCTAGAAACTAAAGCCTTATTTTCTACTATTATTGCTGTGAGCCTTGATGGATGCTGGATTCAGCGATGGCAAATGAAATTTGGTTTCAGAAAGAATGTGTTGAAAGAAGTATGTTTAACAAAGAGAGTCAGGAGCATGAAAGGCTCCTGATAAAGAAGTTAGAGGGAAAGCAGAAAATCAGACGATGTGGTAGCTCTTGCCTCTCACTCCCAACCAGCTTTCATTCCGCTGTGTTCAACTTTTGGGGAGGTGATAGCTGAGGCAGCTTATCAGAATGAATGTGAAGAAGACACAGACAGTAGAGAGCCAAGAGTTTAGCTGTATAGGATATCTTGTGGCTGGGAAAAGTGAATTTAAATTACAAACCAAAGGCAGGCCACCCCAAGCCTGCATTTCTTTTTGGAAATGTAAGAGCTGAGCTATTATCTCAAAAGTATAATATTATATATCTATGTATATATGTGCATGTTATATATACATATATAAAGAAATACATAAGTGCCCAAATGAAAGCAACCATGTATACCAGTGTAGAAGAAAATATCAGAGTTGAGGGGAGAGAAATGAAATTTGTGTAAAGTACCAGTGAGGTTTCTGGTGTACCTGAGGGAGTTGTAACAGTGGTGACTGATCAAAAACTTAGAGCAAGAGAGAGAAATGGGGTCTTCATTAGGCATCGATTAACCAAAGGAACCTGAGAATTTTTGTAAGAAAGGTAGGCCAGCATAGCCACCTTTCTTGAGATAATAACATGGTAAATTAATCAACTTGGTGTTTTTTAGCACTTTCTCTTCAGGAAGGCATTTAGAAAAACAGAAAAATATTACTGCTTATTTTTAACTTCTCATGCAAGGAAGTGTATAAAAGACAAAGTTTAGGGATAAAAATAGTTGAAGTTCAATATAATACTGGTTGAAAACTGAAATGGAGCTTACAGAATATTAAATACCCACACACGGTTCCTAGAAGTTTTGGTTTCTTCTCCTTGACATTTTCCTCTTTTGCAGAATCAGTACAAAGCTGACTTTGCTGACTTCATGAAAGGCGTTGGATGGCTCCCTCTGGGCTCCCTGGAGGCTGAGAAAAACAAGAAAGCCATGGAGATTATCAGTGAAAAGAAATACCGCCAACACCCAGACACTTTCAAGTATTCCACATTGATGGACTCAATGAACATGGTTTTGGCTCAGAATAATGCAAAAATTATGAATGAGGCAAGTCTTTCAATAACGCTGTGTTTCATCTGCATCAGGAAAAAGCCAGCATATCTTGCATTTAATCTACAGATATTGCTGACAGTTATAGGGCATTGTAATTGATGTTTGCTCTACCTTGAAAGAGGGCCTTGTAATTTAAAAAAAGCCTTAATAAGTGCCCCCACCCAAATGTTCCATGAACCTCTCTACCCAATAGATGTAACAAAATAAATATGGACTCTTTTGTAAAATGCAAACCTTGAAAATGAGTCCTAAGGTGAACTTGAGTAGAAGTTCACAAGATTGAATCAGAAGACTATCTGCCTGATAACAGTTGGGTGTTGCACCCCTCCCAGCTTCCGAGCTGCTTTGATGGGATCAAAGCAGACTCCTAGATCTGTGGCTATGGCAGCATTCCGAGCCAGGACCTTCCCTGGGCAAGCCTGAGAGCAATCTTCCTCCACCAGTAGTTCCTTGGATTACTAATTATTCTAGCCTTTAGAAAAGCCTCAGTGTATTTTTATATTTCTTAGCTATAAGTTGATATCAGGACCAACAAGTACATCAACCTTGGACACCTGTTTTTAAGTTACAAGTAATAAAATGCAGCAGCATTGACTATATTATGTGGATCACAACTTGAAATGCTGTTGATTGGAAAAAAAGGGAAAATTATTTGGACTGTAACATTAAGCAGTTGAGAAAATGATGGTCCCGAAGACAGCACTGTATTAAGCTGTCTCTGAGCAAATCCCCTGGAGTCTTCTGAGAACACAGATTTGTCAAGAAGACCAGCTTCCTTTAAAAGAACTTGCCCTAAAAGACAAGGCATGACTCTCAGTGCCCCTTTTGACAATTAGAATTTAAACTATCACAAGTGTAACTTTATTTTTAAAATATTAAAACTTCCACTTTTTTTCTTCATTATTAATGATTGCCATTTCAGAATAATAATGCCAAGATTAGAATCATAGAACCAGCAAATGTTAATACTGAGAGATAGCTTGGTGATCAAGTTGAATCCTCTCATTGCAGTGTTGAGAAAATCAAGGCCCAGAGAGGCAAGGCACATCCCCTCAAGACACACAGCAGGTTAACTACTGGGTCTGGGCTAGAAGCAGACTCTGATGACTAACTATTGCTCTTTCCACTAGGATTGTGCTGTCTTATATTATTGCCACTACATGTGGCAATTTAAATTAATTACAATTGTACATATTGCCTGTGGCTGCTTTTGAATTACAACAGCAGAGTTGAGTAATTAATGACAGAGATCTCTGATCCACGAAACCTGAAATATTTATCTGGCCCTCTACAGGAAAAGTTTACTGACTCCTGGTTTAGAAGAAGGCTCTAGAAGTTTTGTTTTTGTTTTCTCGTTAAACTTGGCAAAAACAAAGAGAGAGCATTTTTTACCTATCAGATTGCAAATATTAAAAAAATTGTTATATAGAGTATTTGCAAGGGAGTTCATGTTACTGTAAACCTCTAATCAACATATTGTTAATATTTGTTAAAAATAAATATTTACATGCCCAATACCCTACGGAAATCCTTATATATGTGCAAAAATATACATACATATGTATCCACGATAACATTTTTGTACGTTAGAGTCTCCAAAAAGAGATGCTGAGATGGAATTTGGAGTAGGAGGCATTTTTAGGATTTGGTACCAGTGAGAGGGAGAACTGGGCAGAAAAAAGAGTCTGACTCTAAGGCAGGCCCTCGAGTGTACACAGCCTGCCAGACATGTCCTGTGTTGGCCTGGCCATTCGTACCCAAACTCTGATGAGTCACTGGATGTGCCCACCAGGGAAGGGCCTGCTCTTGAGTGAGGCAACAAACCCTGCAGCAGCTGACAACTGGAAGCTGTCTGCGAATAGTTGAGGAAACGTGTTCTAAATCCACCATAAAGATCATGGAGCCATGACTTGTAGAAGAAGACTGAAAACAACAAATCTGATGTCTGTCAGTAGAGAATTGGTTAAATCAATTGGATTATACCTCCTCATGAAATAGCAAGCTCTTTAAAAATTTAAAGCAAATTACTTTAAGAAGGTTAAAAGATGTCTAACTTATAGTATTAAGTAATAAAGCAAGATGTAGAATGTTATGTATTATATGACCTCATTTATATTTAAAAAGTACTGTATGTGGGCTTTAACATGACTAGAAAATTTTAGGGTGGAGATGCGATCTCCAGGCTGTCAAATAAGAAGACAGGACATTTTACCTTCTATCTTACATCTTCTACATTGTCTTGTTTGAATGAGTACCTTTTCATTTAAATTTTATAAAAATAAGACCTAGCTAATAAAAATACATAAAATATTGATATTTATGTACAGTGACATGTATGTGCTAAGCGAGGCTCCTTTTAAGATTCTAACTTCCACTGAGCTTTTGTTTGTTTGTTTGTTTTTACTTTCTAGCACCTCTACAAACAAGCATGGGAGGCTGACAAGACCAAAGTCCACCTCATGCCTGATATCCCCCAGATTGTTCTGGCGAAGGCAAACGCAATTAACATGAGTGATGTAAGTGTAATTCCCCCTGCTGTCATCTTTCTTTCCTGCCTATTTGAACCAGTAAAAATGAATTAACTAATTAATTATGTCTTAATGATGAGAATAAATGTTTTGAAAGTAAGAGTGGGAATCCAAAAATGAACATCTTTCTCTATCTTGCTTTGCTAACAGCTGGAGTTGGCCTCTCAATGGGACTTGGGCCCAGCAATTAGGAATTTGAAGGGCAGGTGCATTTTGTTTTAGGGCCAGGCCCTCCTTCTCAAACTAAGATACTCGGCAAGAAGAGAAGCACTTGTGGCCAGGAGAATACAAAAAGGAAGTGAGAATCCTAGGGCTTCATTCTTAGAGAGTCCATCCACCAAGCCTTTGAGACGGTCCTAAAGAAGGGGTCTGGGAAAAGTTAACTGAAAAGGGGAGCTGTACATTTTGAAGAAATTGGGGCAAGCCTCATAACAAGAACTGTGCAACGCTTAATGCTAGAAAATTCAGAGATGTTTTACTTCACTTCCTTTCTCATCATAACCATAGTTGCTAGGAAATCTAATCCTGCCAGTTGTCTTTTTCTTTTCTTTGTTTGAATTATATAAGGATTTGGGATTGCTGACTTCTTTTTGGATTGTAGAGTTCATACAATTATATAAATAAAAGTGTCAACTGCAAATCAGTGAAACTTTTTTTGATGTAAGAACGTGGCTATTTTGTAGTCTCCCCTTGCTTGACTCTTACTTGATAAAAACACATCATTAAGAATCTACTGGGTTTTCACCTTTTTAAAAAGCATATTTATAACCGAATAGAGATGGAGAACTTTTGCTTTTTCTGGTGGTTTCTTGAAGATATGTTTGAGTTTATAATTGATTTTTTTCCCCAAACACAATTGTTATTTGTGAGAACATTCAGCCATTGATCCACCAGGGAAACATTCTGTTCAAAAATAAAAACAATGCTAGTTTACTCTTTTGAAATAAATCCAGGCTGTCCTATTCAGAATAAAACCATTTCTCTTGCCTCTCTTTACAGAAACTTTACAAACTTTCCATGGAAGAGTCTAAAAAGAAAGGCTACGATCTCAGAACTGACGCAATTTCTATCAAAGCTGCCAAGGCCTCTAGAGATATTGCAAGTGATGTAAGTCTGAAGGAGAGCAGTCCCCTGGCCAGGGGGCAGGGTTCTAATCAACCAAAATAATAACAGCTCAGTTCTGGAAAAACTGAGTGGGTAAAATTTGGTGGGAGGGGGTGTGTGTGCCTGCTAACAGTAGCCTCATTCTGTTCTGTGAATGCTTCTTTGCTTTACTCTTTTGTTTTCTCTGGTATTTCGGAAAAAAACCAGAATGCTAGCCACATTATGTCCTGACTCATGAGATCTAGGTGAATTTACCTTGAACTCCATCACCAAGGCTATGGTCTGTAGAAATCCAAAGACTCATATTGTTCTTGCCTCTCAGGATCTGTCTTCCTGGCAGGATGTCTCGCAAAGTGGTGTGCTGGGAGTGCTGATCCTTTGCACTCAGGACAGCTGATTATTAAATAATAGGGAATTGTGCAAACCAGTTCTTAAACTGTTGGTAGCTTGACATCAACCACGTTGGGAGTATTTACACCAGAGAAATTGACAAACACTGCAACTTAGGGCTTTCCCCCTAGAGAGCGGGTGTGCCAGCACACCGCTGCCATCACATAAGTTTCATGAAACCCAGTTCTTTCATTTGGTTGTTCCCCCAATAAATCCACTCACAGTGAGTATTTAATGATTTGGGGGTAGTGGGAGGAGACATTTTAGAGCATTATTTCCTTCGCCATCTCCCAGTCCTACTTCTCTCTCCTCCTCTCTCTCTGTTCATCTTTCCTTCCCTGCCGATCCACCCCATCACACTCCCACATTGCCCTAAGAACTCCAAGTTCTTCTCCCTCTGTTATGCTGGAGGACTTTGGTTCTTCCAGCTCCTACGTCCTAACTTGCACACTCAAACCCACAAGAGATAGGGGTAGAAGGTATCCATGTATCAGGCTCTCCCTTCTCTAGAGGAAAATTGGGTGATAAATAGTAAAATGTTTCCCCCATTTGACCAGTATGAACAGTCTTAAAAGAAGAGGAGCTCCACAAATATGAAGCTTCTCTAAATTTATACTCTGTATCTCATAACTGAACCTATTCTCATCAGTAAAAGACTGACTGACTCGTGGCACATCTGCCTTTTCTCTCATTTGCTATACTCTTCTTATCAACTAGAAGCCCCATTAACACTAACAGCAGAGGATGTGTGGAAGTCAGTGTGGTGCATCATCACAAGATCTGGATTCTAATCCTTAGTGACCTTGCAAGTCCCTCACCTCTGGCTGTCAGCTTACTCACCTATAAAATGGGGGCAGTAAAAGTAACTTTGCTATCTACCCGACAAGGTCGAGTTGTATCAAGTTATACAAACAAATGTGAAAAATGTGTTTTGTAAACTATAGAGTCCTATACAAGTGTTATTTGTCATGAAATGCTGGCACTGAAATGATTTCTAGTTAAAGGAATTGCTCTAATAAATATTCAAATTTTCTTCACAGTATAAATACAAATATAATTATGAAAAGTCGAGGGGAAAAATGGTTGGTTTCCGCAGTCTTGAGGATGATCCGAAACTAGTCCATTCCATGCAAGTGGCTAAGATGCAATCTGACCGGGAGTACAAGAAAAACTATGAGAAGACGAAAACCAGCTACCACACCCCCGCCAACATGCTCAGTGTCACGGCCGCCAAGGAGGCCCAAGCCAACATCACCAACACCAACTATAAGCACCTGATTCACAAGTACATTCTCCTTCCAGATGCCATGAACATCCAGCTGAGCAAGAATATGAATCACATACAGAGTGATGTAAGGCTGTCTTCTTTCTGGGTGATGGATGGCTAGGATGGGGAGGGAGATCGCAGTCTCTGTGCCACGCTTTTGTGTCTAAACTGGTAAGGTAAAACAGACTTGCCTCTTGTCTTTATAGAATGAATATAAGCAGGACTACAACGAATGGTACAAAGGGCTTGGCTGGAGTCCAGCTGGTTCCCTAGAGGTGGAGAAGGCCAAGAAAGCAACTGAGTATGCCAGTGACCAGAAATATCGCCAGCACCCGAGCGCTTTCCAGTTTAAGAAGCTGACCGACTCCATGGACATGGTTCTCGCCAAGCAGAATGCGCACACCATGAACAAGGTAGACAACAGCCGTCCTCCGCAGTTCCCAGCGAGGCGGGCTACAGCCGCTGGGTCTTGTTTGGGACATGGGGTCCTGGCAAGCAGTTCCAGGGCACGCCCCCGTTCCATTGTCTTCTGCTGCCTACCTCTTATTTTTATTTCTGCTGCCCTTCTAATTGAGTTAGAAAATATTTTTAAAATTACTATATCTGAAGTATTCTGACCTATCCTAGAAGACAGAAAACATTGAAAAGGTTATATTTTAATATCTGAGTTTGGTTTTGATATCTTCTCTGAATTATATGCTACTCTAGTTACAAAATTAATTTAATCTAATTCAAGTTGTGTGCATTCAAATACCTTGCTACATTTTTTTTTCTTTCTGATGTGTTCTAAAAAGTTATTCAAATTTCAAATGCTTTTTTTTTTAAAACTTTCTAGCACTTATACACCGTTGATTGGAACAAAGACAAAACCAAGATTCATTTGATGCCTGATACACCAGATATTTTGCAAGCCAAGCAGAATCAATCAATGTACAGTCAGGTAAAGTTCATAAAAGTTGAGCTCAAAACTAATTAAACTTATGAAGTTATATAATGGTAAACAATTTATGTAAGTGCTAAAGTACTGGAAATTAACGGCTCCAACTGGCTGGCCTAGGGATGCTGCAAAGTGCGGTTAAAAGCAAGATTCAGCTATGACCGTAGGCTCCGTGGAGGCGGGCACTGTGCCTGCTTTGTTGTTCTCAGTACTCATTGTGTTTGGCAGAGAGTATGCAATCAATAAATAATTGTTGAAAGAAAATAAATATCAAACAGACCTGGTGTGAATTTTGGTTTTACCATTTATAAATTGTGTAATATTGGGTCTAAACCTTAGTTTCCTCATCCCTAAAATTGGGACCCTAAAAGTGGCTATGACCTTGAATTGCTGTGAGGACCGAATGAGAAAGTCCGTGTAAGGCTCACAGCACAGTGCCTGGCACGTGGTAAGCATGTGACCTTCAGCTGTTTTTATTATTATCCAGCTTTCACACACATGCATCATTCAATGAATTTGACTCAGAAAGTTTAACTCATTTAGTGTACCTTATAAAAGGCATTTCATCATCTATTACTTTTATCATAGATAATTAATATTTTGTTACCTGACTTTTTATTATCAATTATTTTAACACCTGTGTTCAAAATATGAGTACATAGCGTGGGGAAATTATCTGTTATATCTGATATGCCCATATAGTGTCTGAACAGAAAATATGATACTCAGTTGTACCTGGGGAGGAGGTGTGTCTCACAGCCAAAAAATTGAAGCCAGATCATGTGATGCTTAGTCAGTCCTCTATTAAACAGCATTTTTGTTTTTATCTCTGTCTTTAGAGATAAGGTAGGTGATGTTAGATTTACCTAGATCTCTATTCTCTAGGTAAATTTTTGTTCAATAATGGTTGAGGTTTTAATATACACTGAACAATACTAAATCATTCCTTTAATTTTCAGAAACTCTATAAACTTGGATGGGAAGAGGCTTTGAAGAAAGGCTATGATCTCCCAGTTGATGCAATTTCTGTACAGTTGGCCAAAGCTTCAAGAGACATCGTTAGTGATGTAAGTATTACTTTGACTTCTCTAAGGATATATTTTTATCTGAATCAGGTAGCTTAATGCCTCATTTTGTTAATCACAAGAATTAACCACAAAAAAATCATGAAGATCTTGGCTATAGAGAATAAATTACCAGACTTTCATAGGGAAGCACAACCTCTTCACTGAAATCTTTAAAACAAAACAAAACAAAACAAGAAATTGGTTTGGAGAGAAAGACTTTCTAAAGACAGACTCTAAAAATAAATTCTAAGAATATAAGGGAAGATTCTCCCTAATTCAGTTAATCTGTGGCACTCCAGAAGTGTTGGAAAACTAATTAGATAATGTATTATTACCTGCTTTCTGGCTTGAAAGTCAATACCTCATTAAAAAGAATCCACGTGGCAATGAAACTAGAGCAATAGCTGCAATAATGATGATTGCATGTTCCCCAGAACATAGACTCATTTTCACTTATGTTATGTGCTCTCCATAAGGCAAAGATAGTTTAGGAAATGAAGAAATAGTGTCAATAATTTTCTAACAGCAGAGCATTTGATAGTACCTGTTTTCTTTCCATGTGAGCCTATTAGCTAGAAACTTTTAAAATCTTACCCAAAATTAATTTAACTATAAGTGAACTTTCTGACCATTGTAGAGATAGTATCTCCTCTCAGTTTCAAATGGTTCTTGAATCTATAAAATTTAAGAAAATGAAAGCTATTTTTATAAATAATAAATTAAAATCATAAATTTAGAGTTAGAAGATAACTTAAAGGTTGTTTAATCCAATCTACCCAATCAATGCCCTACCCTCTCTCCATCTCCAACATGTGGTAATCCGGTCTGTGAATACTTACAAAATATGAGAATTTTTGTGTCCATTTCCTTGTTGGATCATCTCAAATTGTTATTATACAATTATATGGAACTTAACTATGTTACTAATCAGCTCTAGTTCTGTGTTTTAGAAACACCACAAGGTAGCTTATTTCCTCTTCTACCTGATATCTCTTCAACCATTTCAAGTTTCATACTTACTCCCCTTTGATTTTAGTTTTATAATTCCTTCAATCTTCTGATCATTCTACTAGTGAGTTACTCTATTTTTTTCAAAAACCCTCTAAGGATTGCCTCAAACCTTAGTATTGTTCTCCTGTTATAGGAGGACAGGCGGGAGTAAGTGAGCTTCTGACTGGCCTTTTCTGTGTCTCTACAGAATGTGTGATGCTACTTTTTTATAAGCAGTTTTGTCAGATTGCCCATAAAGAGCTTCTAGTCAACTTAAATTCCTGAGTATTTTTTTTTAAATATATCTTTATTGATTTCAGAGAGAGGAAAGGAGAGGGAGAGAGATAGAAACATCAATGATGAGAGAGTCATTGATCGGCTGCCTCCTGCACGCCCCAGACCGGGAAGCGAGCCCGCAACCCGGGCATGTGCCCTGAGCGGGAATCGAACCCCGATCGCCTGGGTCCTAGGTCAACGCTCAACCGCTGAGCCACGCCCGGCCGGGCCTGAGTATTTTTAATATACATAACTGTGAAGCTGGGTGTCGAGAGAGTAGAACCTACTTCCATGAGGTGTAATGTGTGCTGAGCATCTAGCATCGTGTAAATGCTGTTATTACTATCACTATTATCGTTGTTATTGTCATCCAGTACTGATGCAATTTTCCCAATTGATTTGAAATACTGGATTTCACTTTCACTTTCTTAAATTTATGTAGTTCTTAGCAATATGTTGGGATCATGTAGAATTTTCTTTCTAATTTAACATATTTAGCTATTTTTATCCATATGTGCATCAAGAAATGAATCCTCAACAGGGCAAGTTTATATAACATAACCATATGGCCTGTCACTAAAAATCTTGGTGCTTAATTAATTAATCTACACTATTAGACCTGTTCATCAAGTCCTGAATCTTCCTAAACTTTACCATTCAACCCATACTTTCCCATTGTCCTCATAAGGGCAAGCACTTTCTCAGACACTACCTTAAAGTCAGCATACACAATGCTAGCACATCCCAGAATATCTTGAATTAATTTCTCACGACAACCTCTCTTGACACTCAACTATATTACATTTCTTTGGAAGCCTCTACTTAAGTTTTTACATTTCTTACTAAGTTAACATAGACATCCCTTCTCTCATCTCAATTTTTGAAAACAAATATAGAAACAAAGCAAGCTGAGCTTAATTTAACCTCTGTTCACGTTACTAAAAGAACCGCTTCCTCTGATTTCAGTTTAAATATAAACAAGGCTACCGCAAGCAGCTCGGCCACCACATTGGATTCCGGAGTCTGCAAGATGATCCAAAGCTTGTGCTGTCCATGAACGTAGCCAAAATGCAGAGTGACAGGGAGTACAAGAAGGACTTTGAGAAGTGGAAGACCAAGTACACCAGCCCCGTGGACATGCTGGGGGTGGTGCTGGCCAAGAAGTGCCAGGCCTTGGTCAGCGACGTGGACTACAAGAACTACCTGCACCAGTGGACGTGCCTGCCCGACCAGAACGACGTCATTCAAGCTAAAAGAGTTTATGAACTGCAGAGTGAGGTCAGCTCCTGTTAAATCCAGTGGTTTCTATATTACTTCCCATCTCACGTGAGCAGCCATTTAGTCGTGGAGAGACAGACCTAGAAGGAGGAATTGTTACTGAATGTATCAAGTGCATGTGTTTGTAATGCACAGAATCACTTGATCAGGGTCCAGATGAGGGTGGAATTTTGACGGCTTACTTTGTTTTTTCACAGAATCTGTATAAGTCTGACCTTGAGTGGTTGAGAGGCATAGGATGGAGTCCCCTGGGTTCTTTGGAGGCAGAAAAGAACAAGCGGGCTTCAGAAATCATCAGTGAGAAGAAATATCGTCAGCCTGCAGACAAAAACAAGTTCACCAGCGTTCCTGATGGCATGGATGTAGTTCTGGCAAAGGCAAATGCCAAAAATAGGAGTGATGTGAGTATAATTCTTTGGAAATAAATGAAATAAATTATAGTGCCTGATACTTGGTAGGTGCTCAATATAATTTGCTTAATAAATTAGTAGAATAGCACAGCATCACATCACGCAACAGAGCACAACACAACATAATGTCTTATATTTAATCGCTTCATTTGAATGATCAATTACCCCACATTGGATCATGTAAAAATGGGTTAGCATCGATGTTTGTCCCCCGAAGCTTGTTTGTTTGTTTATCCAAAGTATAGTGAGAAAACTATAGAACATACTTTTTTCTTTGGAACTTGAGTGCATTTAAACCCCAGATTTTGTTGTTGTATGATGTTGAGGTATAGTGTAGGAGAGGGAGCTATGCTGAGTACCTTACACAGGTACAATGGAAATGTTATAAAGAGTTTATTTGCTTCCAAATGATTATAATGCATTTTGTTTAGTAGAATCAAGAGACACACATGCATACACACACACATATACATGTATGTATATATATATCCATCCCATCTTCAGCCTCCTTCTCCAGTATCTGGCACATACTAGGTGCTCAATAAGTACTTATTGAATAAGATAAATGAAAGATAGCAGTATAGAGTAATTCTATGCAGAGTAGAAAAGGGAAAGAGTAATCATCATTGCTTGGTTAGAAGCATAACCCTGAAAATTACAATAAGTTGAGTCACTGAGATTCTGAAACTAGTAAGAAAGTTTAAATCAATATATAATAATAACCGTTTGGGTCTTAGAAGGATCTAAATATATATATAATATATTATATATTTTACATATGTCATACATATTAGTTTTCACATAATACATATAAGCTCATAATCAACTCATAGTAAACATTTGATAAACTGTAGCTCCTCTAGTCCCAATCCACCTCTCATAGATTTCTTGCAATTTTGGTATTCAAAACTTATAGTAAATGCTGACATGTCAGCTTTATTATGAATATTTAAGTTTGGTTTTCATTTTTTGATAATGGAAATTTGAATCCAACCAGCTGGCTAATAAAGCAACAAATTTATGCAAAATTATTTCCCCCTTTGGAATCCAAGTTTCTTTTTTCTCCATGAAACAGACCTGTTTACAAAGCTCTGAGATAGTGAGGTGGCCAAGAGAAAAACCCTGGGCCATAAAATTTATCAACATCAATGCCTCAGGACAGAATCGCCAACAGTGTATCCTGGTTACAGAAATGCTGGGATACTAATCTCCTCAGGTCTCAGGACAAGGGCCCCGAGGTCCTTGAGCCTACTGTCTCTCCTTTTGAATAAGCCAACACATCTATCTCAGTATAAACAAATATTAGCATTTTCTCTGTTTGCCACAGGGTAAAAATGACACATACCATTAAACAAATGGTGCAGCTTAATGGTTCTCAACCAGGGATAATTTTGTCCCACAGGAGCTTTTGGTAACACCTAAGACCTTTTCGGTTGTGACAATTTGAGGGTGGCATGCTACTGACATCTAGTGGATAGAAGTCATATATGTTGCAAACATCCTAAAATGTACCGGACGGCCCCTGCACCCCCACCCCTACAAAGAATCATCCAATATACAACACTAACAGTGCAGGTTGAGAAACTCTGATCTTAATCAGAACAGTTAGCGCAGAACCACGATAAATGCATTCTGAAATTCACGAGCCTTGCTTTGTTTTTGCCCTGAAGGTCTTAATCAGCTTCTCTGGGTTATATGGACTGTAGTGAGCATGCTCGGGAAGGAGAAAAGTGCCAGCCCCACACACCCCACACTGCATGCCTCAAAGGGAAATTGACAAGTGCAAGGAACCAATGAGACTTAAAATTTTTATATAGAAATAATATCAGTCATACAGAAAAGTTGCAAAAATAATTTATATGTCTATCATCTATCTATCTATCTATCTATCTATCTATCTATCTATCTATCTATCTATCTATCTATCATCTATCTATCATCTATCTATCTATCATCTATCATCATCATCTATCTATATCTATCTATCTATCTATCATCTATCATCTATTTCATCTGTCTATCATCTATTTCATCTATCTATCATCTATCTGTCTGTCTGTCTGTCTATCTAATCTTTGCCCAGATTCTCCAGATAACTTTTTGCCATATTTGCTTTTTTCTCTCTCTCTCTCCTCCTCTCTCTTCTTTCTTTCATGATGCCACTCTATGCCTAGATACTTCATTGTGTATTTTCTGAAAACAAGAACATTCCACAAGAACATAACCACGGTGCAATGATCAAAATCAGGAAATTAATGTGAAACAACACTAGTCTACAGAATTTATTGAATTTTACCACTAATGTTCTGTTTTTAAATTATGTTTTTATTGATTTCAAAGAGAGGAAGGGAGAGGGAGAGAGAGATAGAAAGAGCAATGATGAGAAAGAATATTGATCGGTTGCCTCCTGCACACCTCCTACTGGGGATTGAGCCTGCAACCTGGGCATGTGCCCTATTGAATCTCAATCTCCTGGTCCATGGGGTCGACACTCAACCAGTGAGCCAAGCCTAATGTTCTTTAGACAAAATTATAAAAATTTTCTGATCCAGTACCCAGTTAAAGGTCACACATTGAATTCATTTGTCATGTCTTTAGTCTTCTTGAATCTGGGCTCATTCCTCACTATTTGTCTTCCAAGTCCTTGACACTTACGAAGAGCACAGGCCGGTTATTTTATGAATCTCCTTCTGTTTGGGTTTGTATAACGTTTCCTCATGATTAGATTCAGGTTTTGTATTTTTGCAGGATAACGTATGTTGTGTCCTACATACATTATACCAGGAGATACATAATATCAGTTTGTCCCATTCCTGATCGTTTTAACTTTGATCACTTGTTTAAAATGGTGTCTCCAAGTTTTGCCAGTCATTACTATTTTATTCTTTGTAATTAATAAGTATCTTGTGGAAAGATTCTGTGACAATGTTAACATCCTAGTTTTAGTAAATCAGTGAGATTTTTGTTTGGATCCCTTCATCTTCTGTTAAGAAAGGCAGGATGGCTCTGGGACATACAAGAATTTTTGATTTCTCATATGAAATCCTTTTGGGAATCCTAATCCCCCCCCAAATAATTATGAGGTATAACTATAGATAATAAACCATATAGGAAATGAGACTCCCTAATTTCTAGACGTACTGTGGCTATGTCATCTTTTCAGAAAACAAGGGCCATCTCCCAATTAAACACCGAGGGAGACTCTTACAGTCCAACAGATGGAGAATTGCTGCTCCATTTGATGATCTCGGCAAAGGCTGCCATTACTTGGGTTGATTTCTTATAGGTGCGGTTACCTGTCACTGGAAAAGGTAATCCATAATCTCTATAATGAAAGTCAGTTATGTCCTAGATAAATCAAGAAATACTGGAGCTATTTTCTGCTTGTGCTATCTGGTTATGTCACCAATCATAAGGTTTATTCACGTGAATTCAGTAATCCTGTTCGAAGTTAACTATGTCATTCACTAATCTAATGACACCCCTGAAAAACTATTTCTCATTTTAGAGACTTTATCGAGAAGCTTGGGACAAAGACAAGACTCAAGTCCACATCATGCCGGATACACCTGACATTATTCTGGCTAAAGCAAACTTAATCAACACAAGTGACGTGAGTTTCCAGTTCAGCGTGTGTTGTAATTGGTTCCAAGGCAGTACATTGATTTGGAAGTTATTTTGAATGCCTGGATTATTTTCATTAATTAACTACATGTGACTTAGATTCCTCATTTAGTGGGTTTTAGCTTGAAGATAATTGGCACTCTCCATCTCAGGCAGAGGCGGGGGGGTGCTATCTGTTCCCTGTGGTTCATTATTACCTATCGTCATAATGTAATGGTTTATATCACTCTCCCCAAGTGGATAGGAGCTCTTTGGAGGAAGAGGCAGTTCCTCTTGGATCTGCAGGCTTTACTGGTACAGTGCCTGACACACACAAAATTCAATGAAATTTCAAATGAATGAGAGCATAAAAAACTCATGCAGAAGAGAATTTCATTTTTATTTTTATTGTCATCACAGCATAAGAATTTCATTTTTATTGTCATCATAGCATAATCTCCTGAAATTTATAGACATAAAAACTAAATATTAAAAAACTCTAATAGAAAGACTTTAATATTAAGTAATGTATTAAAATAATGCCACAAAGAAAATATATATGTATATGTAAACACAAATCCAAGATCAATAGTCATTTTAAACAATTTGGTTCCTGGATAAAGTGTATTAAATTACATTCTCAATTATGTAATTATGTAACAAATCTGAAGAAACAAATCATTTCACTTAAGCTTTTAAAATTCAATATTTAAATTTTTTTCAAAAAAAATCTTACATTTAAAACATTACGAAGGACTTTGTTTCATACCTACAGATGTAATCCAACTTCGGATGACCTTCTACTGTGAACTAGACTATGTCACAATGCTTTAGCTACACAATATAGACAGCTCATCAGGCATGACTTTTCCCCACTAGAGCTGTTAGATGAAAAGGCATTGCTCTTTTCTAACAAAAACTGCCAATGAAACACTCTAAGTTCATTGGAAAACAGCACCTAAATACTATTTCATTTCATTTCTCTATCAATTTACTTCTGCTTCTTTCTCATAAGCATTTGAAAAGAGATGACATTTAATTTTGTTGATCTAGGTAATTGAAGAGCTTTGAAGTTTAAAACAGGATCATTAGCAATCAATGGGCATAATTTCCAATTACATTTGAGTATTCTAGAACACAGATACTATTCTCATGGACTCTTACAATATTTAGCACATTGGATTCATTAGGCTGGAGTTGTTTATTTCCCAAAGTGATCTTCGTCTCTTTACAGAAACTCTATCGAATGGGTTATGAGGAGCTGAAGAAAAAAGGCTACGATCTTCCCCTTGATGCCATATCAATCAAAGCAGCAAAAGCATCTCGAGAAATTGCCAGCGAAGTAAGGCTTTATCTTTTTTGTATTGATTTGATTGAAATTTATCATTTCCGAGCAGTCTCAATTTCATTTTAAATTGAACAAAATCTTCCAAGGAGTAACATTAAAACAGAGTGAAATGATTCGAAATGTAGTGTGGGATGAGGCGAAGCTCAAGGATGCATTTATTATGTATGAAATTTGGATTTAGCCTTTAATCCTTCCTATCAAAAAAACTTCTATCTGTGGCCCTTTAGGCTTAGTGAAATATTTGGAGTTAATGTGCTTTGTAATTTGCCACAAAGATGGTAATATAAGTTAATCTCTAAAGGAATGGGACTTTTTTTCCCCCTTTAGTACAAGTACAAGGAAGGTTTTCGCAAGCAGCTTGGCCACCACATTGGAGCCCGGAATATCAAAGATGACCCCAAGATGATGTGGTCCATGCATGTGGCCAAGATCCAGAGTGACAGGGAGTACAAGAAGGACTTTGAGAAGTCGAAGACCAAGTACACCAGCCCCGTAGACATGCTGGGAGTGGTCCTGGCCAAGAAGTGCCAGGCCTTAGTCAGTGATGCCGACTACAAGAACTACCTGCACCAGTGGACGTGCCTGCCCGACCAGAACGACGTCATTCATGCTCGGCAGGCCTATGACCTCCAGAGTGATGTGAGTCTAAGATTTTCCTTGGCCAACAAAACACCATGTATGCTTTCCTAAGTATCAAAGTTCCCCCAAAGTGAGGGGAGTTGAGTTTATACAACTGAACTCTACTTCCATAAACTAATACTCATGCTCTATCCAGTCACCCAAACATTATTCCACAAAGAAAGAGCCAGAAAACCCCCCACTACTATGATAGAGGCCTCTACATTGTTGACCCAGAAGAGCTGGGTCTTTCTCTACATGCTGCTATTTAAAATGTTTTTCAAAATATTGCTTCTAATCTGAATATCTTGTTGATTCACAAGACATACCAAAATTTTAAAATTTCTCATGAAGTCAAGCATTGAAATCTATATTATATTTATATTATATTATATTATATTATATTATATTATATTATTATTATATTATATTTTATATTATGCTATGCTATGCTATGCTATACTATTTTGTTTTTTAGGGACATATTATTATGCTTATGTTTAGTGATTTGTCACTTTCAATTTCAGAATTTGTACAAGGCTGACCTTCAGTGGCTAAAAGGCATTGGCTGGTTACCTAGCGGTTCTCTTGAGGATGAGAAGAACAAGAGAGCTATGCAGATTTTGAGTGACCATGCTTACCGTCAACACCCAGATAAATTAAAGTTTACCAGCCTTATGGACTCCATCCCAATGGTTCTGGCAAAAAACAACGCTATTACTATGAACCATGTAAGTTCTTTCTTTAGTTGGGAAGAGTATTAATTGTGTGTGTGTGTGTGTGTGCATGTGTGTGTGCGTATGTGTGTGTGTGTGTGTAAATGCTGAAATCTGTTTCTATAAAAGAAAAATCATAGTCAATCCTTTTGCTTTGTATTAAAGTGGCTTTTAAGTGAGTGTGGTGCTTCTTACTGACACGAGACATCTGGACCTGAAGGTGTCACAAATACCAATTCACAGAGAAGGCTCTCCTTACTCTTATGAAGAACCAGATTATTTTTATGTGTCTATTCCTTTCAGGTCTGTATTAGTCATGTATTTTTTGTTTGCTTTTAGCGCCTCTATACGGAAGCTTGGGATAAAGATAAAACCAGTGTCCATATTATGCCAGACACCCCTGAAGTTTTACTAGCTAAACAAAACAAAATAAATTACAGTGAGGTAAGCAATATATTTATGGTACATGATATATTTTCATTACACTGCCCTTTATAAATCAAACTTATGATGACTTGTTTCTATTTCAGAAACTATATAAACTTGGCCTAGAAGAAGCCAAGAGGAAAGGCTATGATATGCGGCTAGATGCCATTCCCATCAAGGCGGCCAAGGCCTCCAGAGACATTGCAAGTGAAGTAAGTGCACCTGAAAAGTTCTTCGCCTTAGCTTTGGTTCAAAGATGTCTTTCTTTCTCCTGGACATATGGTAGAGCTATTAATCTATGAAGTTAAAGTTCTTGCTGTCAGGTTTTTTTCTCAGTAAATAGTTTAAAATAATGGTAATGAAATTCTCAACACAAAGTCTAATTCCTACTTATGGCTGAGTTCACAGCAACATGTGTTTCAAAATATTGTCTATTTCCTGCTGAACAAAAGCATTGGATACTTGACTGTAGTTCAGACATCCTTTTGACTTTTCCACATGATGTATTCTTATATACAACCAAGCTCATTGTAGGATTCCTTCAATATCCAACCACGCCCTGTGAACCAATGAACCTACAAGGGCTGAATGAATGGGACACATTATTCTATCCAAAGTCCAACCATCCATATGGACCATATGTTTGCCTCTGCATCTAGTGATTGGCTATGGATATTTATTTTCTTTAAAACATAAATTTGCTCAACAATATATTTTATTTATTTCCAAAATATGGGAAGTAACCATCATAACTTAAAAATAAATGTTCAATAACCATAGAAGGGTTAAAAGTGTTAATATATACCAATATAATGGAATTCTACTACCATTAAAATTCATGTTTACATAGAATAATGATGCAGAGAAATGCTCATATGATAATTGAAAAAAGTAGGCACAAACCCATATACAGTATGATTCCTATTTTAATTTTATTCTCTCTCTCTCACATACACACGTACAACACCCCCTCCCACAAAAAGCAGTTTTTTCAGTGGTTATCACTGAATGGAAGAATAACGTGTCTTCTTTTTTTTGTATACATATATATGCTTTATTTTCTAAATGGTTTATAAGATACATATTTATATATTTAGGGTCAAATCATTATTTTTTTTAAATAAATAGAAAAATTTGGCCTTAGTAATTGCTTTTTACTAAATGTTAAAATAGGTGACTGTCAGCATTTTTCTTCTTCTAGTACAAGTACAAAGAAGGCTATCGGAAGCAGCTCGGCCACCACATTGGAGCCCGGAACATCAAAGACGACCCCAAGATGATGTGGTCCATGCATGTGGCCAAGATCCAGAGTGACAGGGAGTACAAGAAGGACTTTGAGAAGTCAAAGACTAGGTACACCAGCCCCGTGGACATGCTGGGGGTGGTGCTGGCCAAGAAGTGCCAGACCTTGGTCAGTGACGTGGACTACAAGAACTACCTGCACCAGTGGACGTGCCTGCCCGACCAGAACGACGTCATCCACGCTCGGCAGGCCTATGAAATCCAGAGCGACGTGAGTACTGAAGATCATAGTAACATGTAAAGGTGGGAAATCAGTGAATTCACACCCCCTGGAGAAGGTGGCACCAAATCACCAGTCCTTGCGAAGTGAGGAAACCATTTCTTTTTTCCTTGTATTAATTGTCCCACCCTCCAGACCAAAAAGAAACATTGTCTGACACCCTGCCTGTCCACCAAACTGTACTGTCAAAATTGCTCTCACTTAGCTTCATATCCTTTAGATGAACGTTTTCCCCAATGAAGGTAAATATTTATTAACTATTTGTGTCAACAGAATATGTACAAGTCAGATCTCCAGTGGATGAGAGGCATCGGCTGGGTTCCTATTGGCTCTTTGGATGTGGAAAAATGCAAAAAGGCAACTGAAATTTTGAGTGATAAAATCTATCGCCAGCCTCCAGACAAATTTAGATTTACTAGTGTGACAGATTCGCTGGAACAAGTGTTGGCCAAGAATAATGCCATCACCATGAACAAGGTGAGGCTTCAAAATTCAGGGAATCAAGGTAGGACCCCTAAAGCTAAATCAATGAGAAAGAAGCATAGTCAAGAAAAGATAGGAAGAGAGCACTGAGCAACAAAAGACACCTGTTATCTATCTATCCATCCATCTATCATCTATCTATCCATCCATCTATCATCTATTATCTATCTATCTATCTATCTATCTATCTATCTATCTATCTATCTATCTATCAATCATCTATCTATCTATCTATCTATCTATCTATCTATCTATCTATCTATCATCTATCTATCTATCTATCATCTGTCTATCATCATCTATCTATTTATTATCTATCTATTATCTATCTATCATCTATCAATCTATCCATCTATATCTATATCTATCTATCATCTATCATCTATCTATCATCTATCTATCTATCTATCTATCTATCTATCTATCTATCATCTATCTATCTATCTCTATCATCTATCTATCCATCCATCTATCTATATAAATTTGATATGTTATTTATAATAGATACTTTAGTAATTGTTTTATGGTTTTGATAAAATGGCATATTTTTATGGAAAATCATCTTTGCATAAAAGATTTCCTTTAGTTAACATACATTCAGATTATCAGAAATATCTAGTCTACTATGAACTAATTATTTTACTTGAAGAAATGTGTATAAAACACATAATGTAAAAAATGCATACCCTTTTGTTATTTTTATTTACAAAGTTCTTGTGGTCCTGCAATTCCTACTAATTATACACTGAATATTTTTCCTGATGACATTATATATTTTCTTTGATAGCGTTTATACACAGAAGCCTGGGACAAAGACAAGACCCAGATCCACATCATGCCAGACACCCCGGAAATTACATTGGCAAGAATGAACAAAATCAACTACAGCGAGGTGGGAGCAGATGCTGATCCTGTAACACTTGCCTGCTGTTTCTTACTTCAGTTAACCTATTCCACAGGGATGTAATACTAAAGGACAGCTTTATAAAGAACCTCTTTCTGCCCCGTGTACACACCAACTCTTGCATTCCTCAATCACCATCCTAAACATTAAACTTCAAGTAACAAGAATTATCTTTTAGGAAGTACAAATTATAAGAACTAATAATTTAAGTAGTAACCATAAGATTAATTAGACCTTTTCCTTTTATTAATTTTTTTAAGTTAGGAAATTAGCAATAGACCAACTACACATTTATTTCCTCCTTTTGCTCCATAGTTGTGCTAAATATATATTTCCCTATATGATATATTTTTCCTAAATTATAGTTTAGGGTCGAAATTTAAGGTTTTTAATGTTTAAGTCAAAGGCAAAAATCACAGTAGTACTACCAAATAACACAGAGAAAGAGAGAGAGGCAGAGAGAGGAACTGTCAGTGTACATATTAGCAAGCCCATTTCCTTTTCACTTTCTGTGAGTATAGGGCCATGTGCCCCATTGCAGAAGCACAGGTGTTTAGGCTGAGAACATCAACCCGTTTGTTCTGGAAAATTCCATTAGAAGGTGCTTCTGATGTATTGACTCAAAGATTTCTCTCTGCAGACCCACATAGTCCTCTGAGGCTATGCAGAACCAATCTGTGCCAACTCCATGGAGCGGGCGATAGCAACTATGGTGCCTCCCTTGCCACCTCCTCCCAGGTTCTCTTCTAATTCAAACACCCCAAGTTCCTGGGCATTCCTCACGTGACATCCCTGTTAGAACATGACTCTCAGAACCAATCAAAATTCTGCATGTGAGGAACGATCAATGTAGAATACAGTTGATGTCCTATTTCCTCTTTTGGCTATTTGACCTCTGTCTCCGCATCGCGTGTTTCAGGGCACGCTGGCAGCTGTGCCCCTGTTGGTGCACATGGAACTTGGGATCAACCAAAACCCTAAGACATCTTACATGGGCTTAACCAGGTTTCCTCTAACCTGCATTTACACATTTGGCCACTTAAATCTCAGCGCAGAGATTGACATTTATCTCTCTGCAATTTCTTCTTCTTAGATGGAGCCCATTTGTTTAAGACTATGGAGATGTTTGTGACCCTAAGATTCTGTCTGAGGATGTATTAGTTATTTCTCTGTTCCATCAGCAAAGAAAATAGTGTTTCTTTGATAGCATAAATCAACAGTATATTACTCTTCCGCAGAATATAATTTAGAGAATTTATGTAAGTTAGCCACCATCTTAAGTCATTTTATTTTGGAGGTGTGTAAACTATAATTTTAGTGCTTACATAATTAGCTCTTAATTGTTACCAAAAACTAAAAATGCAGAAGGCTTAGAACTCTCGAAAGTAAGGTTATTATAGGCTCCTACATGTGTAGAACAGGGAATTATTTCAGTCCCACATCAGCTTTTGGATATGAATGTCAACATCTGATTTTTTGCCCAAATTTATAGAGTCTGTATAAACTCGCCAACGAAGAAGCCAAGAAGAAAGGCTATGATTTGCGAAGTGACGCCATCCCGATCGTAGCAGCCAAGGCCTCCAGGGACATTGCCAGTGATGTGAGTTGTCTATTTTATTCCAAGTATCTGATCCTTCAGAAGTGACATTTTTACTGAACTAAATCTGTACAAAGAACTTTACTGACCTTTTCAAAATATATCCTTATGTATTTTGTGGGGGTTTTCAAAAACCTAATTTTAAGGGAAATGAAACATGTGATGTTCATAAAAGGAGTTTGTAACCTTTAGGACGCAGTATCTTCAGCTAAAACTGGTCCATTAAGAAGAGGGAAAGATCCATTCTTGTGGAAATGGTTTGAGTGTAGCTGCAAGCTTGGAGATGCTTATATAAAAATTATCACAGTGCTTAAAAAAGTGTAACTCAAAAACATAAGTTCTCTCAGTAGGAATCAGGGCTTGGCTTTATGTAACATTTTAATATACAATATTTAAAAAAATACATATGACACTTACATTACAATTCACTCTCACAGGCTTATGAAAAGAAGGCAGTTGATCAGAACCAGCAGTTGTTACTAGCTCAAGCTTGCACCCTTAACAGTAGCTCCTGGCTCTGTACCTCATATCTCCCAGAATAAAACCATCATCCTTTCCCAGTGCCACAGGGAATTCTTGAGGCACAGACCCCTGCTCTAAAAACCAAGGCCCAATATTCAGGAATATGATAACACCCTGCCCTTTCTATTGGAAAATCATGTTAGTCACTCACTTTAGTCTATGTATGTTGGACTTCCCCTACAAATGGATTTATGCCAATAAAAATAAATAATGAAATAATAATAACCAAGTGTACTGATAACTCTGAGCTAAGAGCTTTTTATTTATTATTTTCCATGCATCATAATTACCCTAGGGTGACAAACCCTACTAAATATTGTCATTATCCCCATTTTGTGGGTTGCTTAAGAAACTTGTCTAAAATCAGACTCCTGGTGGGTGATGGAGTTGAAGCTCCAGACCACCTCATCCCTTCCACTGTACCGTTTTGCCTCCTGGTGGCTCACCTACACTTTCTCAGCTTCCCTTAATTCTAGCATGTACTTCAAATCACTGCCGCAGATCCCAGGAGAAAGCCATTGCACATAGAATAATACAAACATTGCTGACACATGTGGAACCCTGACTTCGTTAGGAGCATGCTCTACCCAGTAGGGTGGCTACAACTTTACAGAATAATTAGTTTTCAAAGCGATGGCAAACATCTGCTACCATCAATGAATGCATGGATCCATTATGAAATAATAAATTCTCCTCTGTTGCTACTGCAGGTAGCCCTTGCAGGAATCAGACAGTCATGTCATTACTTATTAAACACACCATGTCACCAAGTGCATCTCTTTTCTGACATGCTTTCAGCACATAAAATCCATTTCTCCAAGGTATGAATGGCCTTTCCCCCAACTCCACAGGTAACCTCTCCCTACTGTGTGCACTTCCTGCCTCCAGAATTATTTCTTATTACCAGGCTATAAGTGATTTGAGGCACACACTACAGTTATAGTGATTTACATCTATTTAACTCCCTCTATAAACTCCTAGGGTAAAGGTCAGGATACTGGTTTGAGTTAGTGTTTATTACAACTTACAACTGAAATGTAAGCAAGATGATTTTATACAGACTTGGGGCCTCTAAGGTTTACAATAAAAACCTGATTTGTACATTTTCATCTCAGTACAAATACAAAGATGGTTACCGCAAGCAGCTTGGCCACCACATTGGAGCCCGGGACATCAAAGATGACCCCAAGATGATGTGGTCCATGCATGTGGCCAAGATCCAGAGTGACAGGGAGTACAAGAAGGACTTTGAGAAGTGGAAGACCAAGTACACCAGCCCGGTGGACATGCTGGGAGTGGTCCTGGCCAAGAAGTGCCAGACCTTGGTCAGTGACGTGGACTACAAGAACTACCTGCACCAGTGGACGTGCCTGCCCGACCAGAANGTGGACATGCTGGGGGTGGTGCTGGCCAAGAAGTGCCAGACCTTGGTCAGTGACGTGGACTACAAGAACTACCTGCACCAGTGGACGTGCCTGCCCGACCAGAACGACGTCATCCACGCTCGGCAGGCCTATGAAATCCAGAGCGACGTGAGTACTGAGGCCCAGTACATGCTGCTGGTGACCGCGCTCGCGATAGTAATACAGTGATTTTCAACCAGTGTGCCCCAAGAGTTTTTAAAACATGCAATACCTGACTATTTAATCACAGGCACTGACCTTTTTTCCCTTAGATTGTCAAATTAAAATATGACGACCAACACAAAAATAGCTGTCCAGTGTGAATGACTCAAAAGGATACCTTTTCTTTCAGATCAGCAAAAAATATAACATATTTTTTGGTGTGCCATAGAATTTTAGTAATTAGTTTATGTGTGCCATGAGATTTAAAAACAAAAAAAGTTGAAAATAACTGTAGTAATACATAGATAATGGTCTAGGATTAGATAAAGCTCTCAGAAAGAATAAAGCTTTTCCTCCTCACCCCTCATTCGTTGTGCCTTACTTTTCTTTTAGAGAAAACATAACACACGAAGCTACATCCAACTGGCCTTCATGTTTTAAAAGACACAGACACGGAGTTTGCCTATCCAAGTTTTCCAGTCTTTTTCTTTTCTTCTTGAAATCAAGCGTCATCACAGCCTTAGTAATACTTGCTTTTGTTTATCTCACCAGAACATTTATAAATCAGATCTCCAGTGGCTGAGAGGCGTTGGCTGGGTCCCCATCGGGTCTCTGGATGTGGTGAAGTGCAAGAGAGCTGGGGAGATCCTGAGTGACAACATCTACCGCCAGCCTCCAGACAAGCTGAAGTTCACCAGCGTGACTGACTCCCTGGAGCAGGTGCTGGCAAAGAACAACGCCCTCACCATGAACAAGGTGAGCTCCGGCCGCCCCAGGCTTTCTCAGGATGCCAAAAGATGCTGTTATACTTTAGTGACTAGTGGAGTTATATTATCCATGAAAGTGTGGGGTCACATTTACCTCCTCAATTACGTACTTAAAAGCCTCTAAATGATTTCTATTATTCCCAGTCTTAACCTTGATAATTAGCATTAAAACTCAAACCTCAATACCTTATATTCAAGTCTGGCTTATTTTTCTTAATTAGATCAATAATAATCCTGTTTTAATGTGACATTTTGTAATTCCTATTTCAAATGGTTTTCTATCAATATCTTCTTTGGTAGCGTTTATATACAGAGGCCTGGGACAAAGACAAGACTCAGATTCATATAATGCCTGATACCCCGGAGATCATGCTGGCAAAGCAGAACCAGCTCAACTACAGTGAGGTGGGAGCAAAATTCTGTGGTGCTACACTTACTTTGTTGTTGCTGCTATTGTTTGTTTTTCGACACTTGCTTTTGTGAAGGTGCTCAGCTATCATGGTACATGTGGCTCCGTGATATGAACACTCAGCCCATTCGACCTTTCACATCTGGGTTGCATATTATATGCTATAGGATTCCACAGGCAAACTGAGTCACATTATCTTTTCAGTTTATGGCCACTGCTACTGTGAGTTAGTGGGATTGAGTAGTACTTTTGGCATTTCCAAGAGATAGGGTAGCCAGATAAAATACTGGCTCAATATTTATACTAAAATATTATTTGTTGTTTGTCTGAAATTCAAGTTCAACTGGTCATGCTATCTTTTTATTTGCTAAATCTGACAGTCTGGTAAGGGGGCTGTAATAATATGTACCTCTTCCCCACCTGGGTCCTCAGTAAAACTGAGAAGTAAAACCAAAGAATAGACATAAAACTCAAAATCTCATATTTGTTACTACTGAAGTTAGGTTCAAGGACACATTTGTGTGAGAGGCAAACCTCAGAATTGGGTTCTGCATCCAGGCACAGGCCACACTGCAGCAGGACAGTCAGCTCTGCCCCTCTCAGGGTGAGGTCCTGCTTGGAGCCCAGAGACACAGAGGAGGGCACTGAGCTTGTTCCTAGAGCGAGCCGTTTAGGGCTGAGCTGGGTATAGCCAGTTATCCCTCCCCTACCAGTGAGATAAATCAGTAAATCAGGGCACCTCTCCAGTGGCANTGGGTATAGCCAGTTATCCCTCCCCTACCAGTGAGATAAATCAGTAAATCTCTCCAGTGGCTGAGAGTAAAGGTGCGGAGAAAGGAATAAAGCCAGAGATAAGATAATTGAGCTCCTTTTCTAAAAAGAAAACCTCAGGCAGGGAAAGAAGTGCTTTCCATTACAACACTGATTACTGTTTGCTTTTTAAGTAAAATGCAATTTTATAGGTGCATGTTTTACTAATATGATACAGCTAAAATTTAGAATAAAAGTTGTGATGATGGTCATTATCTACGTTTTAAATTGTACTTCAATCTTTTGCTCATTTATTTTCTAAAAATGATAAAATATTACATGAATGTCAAAAAATTTTAAGTAATAAAGAAATGAGTAAAAGTACATAAGTATATATATTATACGCAAATAAATTAAACATATTGTTCTGCGGTTTCTTTTTCACTTAGAAATACCTTTAGATTGATGCTTTATCCATCAATCTACATTAGTAGATTATATTAATCTATGTTATGCATAATGTATCATATTAATCTATTATATATCATCATAGATTATCAATCTATGCTATTACTCATTGATATATCTCATTTGTTTCTAATGCTATTTAGTTTTTTGGTAAGATATGGTTTATTTACTTTCAATATTGCTAGAATTTTAAATCGTTTCTAGAGCCTGTCCTTCTTTAAATGATGTGGTATGTCACCTGATGACCTCCAAATGGTTGCTGGCGAACCTATTGCTTTAACTCTGACTTTCTTTCTATAGACTCTGTATAAACTTGCCAATGAAGAAGCCAAGAAGAAAGGCTATGACTTGAGAAGTGATGCCATCCCAATTGTGGCAGCCAAGGCCTCCAGAGACATCGTCAGTGACGTGAGTAAACACCGCTCTGTGTATCTACATGGCTGGATGGGGTCGGGGGTCATCACGGTCATTATTACAACAGGAAGATGCATCTGGGTGCCAATTAAAGTACATTTATTGTGATTTAAATGAAAGAAATGCTTTTCATTAGAAAAAGTTCTTTCATATTTTTAACTCCAAGAGTTAATATTCAGGTCCCATAGAGAAGGGGTATCCTAAACTTCAGCATAAAATTGAATTTGAATTTACAATTGCTCATGTATACCATTGTGAAACATTCATCTCCATATTTTGAGCACATAGCCAACACAGAAATAAGAAAATGCCAGAAAAGTTAAAAAAAAAATAACTTGGTTACATGTATTGGTTCAACATCAGAAAAGACCTGGTTACCACTAGGTCTAGGGAAATGCACCTTTCCCCAACTCTGGAATTTTGTCAACTATTTCTTTGAAAAATTACCTTAAGTGCTTTCTTCAGAGTTCTTTTTAAACAAAAACAGAAAAGCAAAGCCAAAAAACAAAAGTTAACAAAAAGGTGAGCCTGATTTCTCTTTCTGCTGTCTCTGAGGGAAGTGGGTCCTTTGGTGGAGAATTCAGACTTCCATAAATATACATTAGGATTTGTGTGATGATGTTACCTCAAGTGGAGAGGAAATAATCCAGAGTCAGCACTTACCACCACCTCCAACAGTATGACTTCTTGTAGTTATAGAATCTGTTTTCTTACTTGAGGAATCCCAGTGAAGCTCAGTCAAATTAGATCTCTGTCAGAGCAAGCCACACAGGATGGAAAGCCCAAGCCAGTCCTGTCAGGGAGCCCAGTGGCCCAGTAAAAGTCAGCAGAGCCTGATTTGGGTAACAGGTGGCTTGGAGGGTGCACTCAGGAATTGCATTCTCAAAATTTTATGTAAAGCTCCTGGGTTAGTGATTTCACTGGCCCAAGATGAAGAACAGGCAGCATACAATTCCAACTGATTGTCTTACAAGTGTTGCTTCTTTTGTTTCCAGGGACTTAATGTCTAAAAAACACAAAACTGTGTAGTTTGTCATATCTTCCCATTAGAGTATTGTTGTGAAGTCTAATAGGAGTTTAGCATGAGGAGATTAGTTGATATTCAGGTGATTCCATTTCTCTGCAAGAATTACCAATTTTAAAATAATAAACTTTTAAATTAATGACTTTTAGCCCTTTCTGTTTATTTTTATTTTTAAGATAACTGCTTTTATTTCAGTACAAATACAAAGATGGTTACCGCAAGCAGCTTGGCCACCACATTGGAGCACGGGACATCAAAGATGACCCCAAGATGATGTGGTCCATGCATGTGGCCAAGATCCAGAGTGACAGGGAGTACAAGAAGGACTTTGAGAAGTCGAAAACCAAGTTCAGCAGCCCCGTGGACATGCTGGGGGTGGTGCTGGCCAAGAAGTGCCAGACCTTGGTCAGTGACGTGGACTACAAGAACTACCTGCACCAGTGGACGTGCCTGCCCGACCAGAACGACGTCATCCACGCTCGGCAGGCCTATGAAATCCAGAGCGACGTGAGTACTGAGGCCCAGTACATGCTGCTGGTGACCGCGCTGGCGATAGTAATACAGTGATTTTCAACCAGTGGGCCCCAAGAATTTTTAAAACATGCAATACCTGACTATTTAATCACAGGCACTGACCTTTTTTCCCTTAGATTGTCAAATTAAAATATGACGACTAACACAAAAATAGCTGTCCAGTGTGAATGACTCAAAAGGATACCTTTTCTTTCAGATCAGCAAAAAATATAACATATTTTTTTGGTGTGCCATAGAATTTTAGTAATTAGTTTATGTGTGCCATGAGATTTAAAAACAAAAAAAGTTGAAACTAACTGTAGTAATACATAGATAACGGTCTAGGATTAGATAAAGCTCTCAGAAAGAATAAAGCTTTTCCTCCTCACCCCTCATTCGTTGTGCCTTACTTTTTTTTAGAGAAAACATAACACATGAAGCTACATCCAACTGGCCTTCATGTTTTAAAAGACACAGACACGGAGTTTGCCTATCCAAGTTTTCCAGTCTTTTTCTTTTCTTCTTGAAATCAAGCGTCATCACAGCCTTAGTAATACTTGCTTTTGTTTATCTCACCAGAACATTTATAAATCAGATCTCCAGTGGCTGAGAGGCGTTGGCTGGGTCCCCATCGGGTCTCTGGATGTGGTGAAGTGCAAGAGAGCTGGGGAGATCCTGAGTGACAACATCTACCGCCAGCCTCCAGACAAGCTGAAGTTCACCAGCGTGACTGACTCCCTGGAGCAGGTGCTGGCAAAGAACAATGCCCTCACCATGAACAAGGTGAGCCTCCAATTTGGGGGAAAGTAAAACAGGACTGTATGTTCCTGAGAATATTGATAATTAATCTTTTTTGTTTTATTCAATTGCCATCCTACGTATAGTGATGTGGTTGAGTTTTTTAGTCAGTTTCATTAGGATTCCAAAAATATATGTGGGGATTTCTGCTTTGACATCTCTTGTGTAATAGCCAAAGTTTAGAACAGGACAGCTGTTTGGTGTGCAAACTGTTTGAAGTCTCTGAGAGTTATTCATGGTTTGGTATCAAGGTTTCTTTCTTGTCAGGTGCTCATCTAGGTAAGTCTAGAACAAACGAGATAAATGCACATCTCCATAACATTTATAAAGAAAGAAATCTAGAGATGGCTAATCCAGGTGCATTTGCAGTTAACAAACAAACAACAAGCAAAACTATGAGAAGGGTTTGTTTCTATAGCCACAGTACATATGCGTGTGCATAGATGCTTGGAAAACACTTGCTTTTCATTTAATTGGAATGGAGGTGATCTTGAAATGAAACACGCATGTTTACTGGTAATATCTTAGTCTAAATTTATATTTAGTGATAATAAATATCTTGTAATATCAAGGAGACTGAGGAGTATTGGTATAAAACCCACAGCACAGATAGTGAGGATGGTGGCTTTCAACTTTGTCATGATCTCTAAATTGCAAACTCCTATTTACAGCAAACGTTGTGCCTATAATTCATTAACCTTTTTATCTTCACAGCGTTTATACACAGAAGCCTGGGACAAAGACAAGACCCAAGTCCACATCATGCCTGATACCCCTGAAATTACTTTGGCAAGACAAAATAAAATAAATTATAGTGAGGTAAGACCATGTATTTTATTTCCTTGATCTGACCACATTGACCTTTGCTATTATAGTAGAAAGATCAGAATTATGGATTTAATTCTCATGTGGAACAACTAGGTTTTATTTTTTATGCCCATTATCCTACCCTGAATTTATGTATTTTTGTATTCAAAAAGTAGATAGGTAGGTAGATAGAGAAACAGATAAATACAAAAGTTTCTCCATATCAGGAGGAGGGAAAAAGTTCTCAAAGTCAGCTATTAATGATTGAAACAAATTGTAATTTTAAAAAAATAATAACTATTATTATTTATCAGATTAGTACTTGCTTCCAATTTGTCCCATGGGTTTTTCTTCAGTTACTCATCTGTAAAACAGGATACAAATACCTATCTTGAAGAATTTCTGTGATGACTAAATGAGGTCAGATGTATAACATGCCCAGTGTGTGGAGCCTGGTACAAAATAGTTGCTTAGTAACTTTAATTGTTTCCCTTCACACTCAAGCCATTATGAAAATTAGATTTTTAATATGCTCAAAATAACTTGAGGTTTTTTTTGTTTCTTTACAACAACTGAAAGAGGATTCTTAAATTTATGCATTTTAGAATTGTCTGAGGACAGTTGCATTATCTCCAGCTAAATTTGTCATCATATATCTTTGCAGTCCAGAAACACTGCTGCAGAAACAGCTTCTTACCTAATTATTCTTGACAAAGAATTTTCTGGTTTATTCAGGAAGAATTCTGATTTCTTGTGTGTGTGCGTGTGTTCATTTTTAACAAAAGGGGGAAAAGAGACTTTTCTTCAGTTTGAGAACACTGAAAATTTTAAGTACTCATTTTCAAGACTTGGCCACATTCATTGCTTTACCCATATTAATTACTTTTGCCTAATATAATGTAGCCCTAAAGAAGAGGCATGCTTATATCTTTTTAAAATACATTTAAGGCTGAATATACTAGTGCAGTCCTGCATCCAAAAGTAGTCTTCCTTCGGCAAAAATACCTTTTTAAAGGGAAAGCGAGTACTGTATCTAAAAGGTACTACTTCTGTCCTCAGAGCCTCTACCGCCAGGCCATGGAAGAAGCCAAGAAAGAAGGCTATGACTTGAGAAGCGACGCCATTTCCATCGTGGCTGCCAAGGCCTCCAGGGACATTGCCAGTGATGTAAGAGCTGACCAAGTCCCTACCTTTGTTACCAACAGGCCCGCCCCTGCATAGGAACCACATTATTGGAACACAGCTGGAAGCCTCTTCGGTCATCCTCCACCTTAGCCACCTCTATTGTCAGGCAAATAAGTTGAGGCTTTGAGACAGCAGGTAACCTGCCCAAGATCACAAGCATCGTAGGACAAAGCCTGGTTTGAAATGCGGTTCCTTAGATTCTTGTCATTTGGGCTTTGCTTAATAAAACTGAGTGTCTTGATTAAAGTTACATGGACATATGCTGAGCTACTCCTAAAACCTCATGAGCTCTCCTCAGGATACACCCAGAGCAAAAATTCCAGGAAAGAAGTTTAACTGAGTTCTCCCCATGACTTGAGTTGCAAAAAAAAAAACAAAAAAACAATACATTTCCCGGCTGAGGCCTCCAGGGACATTGAAGTGTCCACAAAATCAGCATTCCTTTACCCTAAAAATAAAAACATCAGATTCTTTGACAACCTAAACATTAATACTAAAGTAACAATAGTGTCCACTTTAATAGGTTTTTCTTTTTTGTCATATAAACAACATATAAAATTTACCATCTTAACCATTATGAAGTGTATAGTTCTATATAGTGTTAGGTATGTTCTCACTTCTTCATCTTGCAAAACTGAAACTCTATATCCATCAAACAACAAAAACTGCCGTTTTTAACTACTCCCCAGATTGTTTGTGCAGAGGAAATTATTTCTCAGAATGCTTTAGAAAAATAGAATTAATGAACCACATAAACTCATCTCAGATGTACCCACCCACATGACCGACTTCTGAGACACTGTCCCTCTAGCTAAGCTCACCCTTTCAGGGTTCACTTTTTGTCAGTATAAAACATTTAGCTTAATATAAAGGAATCGTTGTGGAGTTATGCTGTGGGAGTGGGAAAGTGAGCACCCCCCTTCTTTGGGAGTCAGCACGTCCCGGTGCAGTAGCCTCACAGCGGTGCGTGGCGAAGCTCCCCTCGTGTCTTAAGGGTTTCACAGAAAAGCATCACCGCAGAGAGGGCAGGGAACAGCCCTTCATGCTTCCTCCTCATTACTGGCTTCTCTCTTTCAGTACAAATACAAAGAAGCTTATCGTAAGCAGTTGGGTCACCACATTGGTGCCCGAGCAATCCATGATGACCCCAAGATGATGTGGTCCCTTCACATTGCCAAAGTGCTGAGCGACCGCGAGTACAAGAAAGAATTCGAGAAATACAAGACCAGGTACAGCAGCCCAGTGGACATGCTGGGTATCGTGTTGGCCAAGAAATGTCAGACCTTGGTCAGTGACGTGGACTATAAACATCTCCTCCATGAGTGGACGTGCCTGCCCGACCAGAATGACGTCATCCACGCTCGGAAAGCTTACGACCTCCAGAGCGACGTGAGTATTTCTGATGCTGGCTCTGGGCGTTGAAAGCAGATCTTAAACGTGTCCACGGGTTCCGACTAGTGCCAATGGACTGGAATTTGTTGGTATATTTCTAAATAGTATACAGTTGAATGTTCGAAAACAGTTTCCCATTGGTACACTACAATTTATTGCACAACTTTTCTTCCCCAAAAGTTATATGTAAAAGAGGAAATAAAGTATATGTTATTAATTTTATACAGGTATATTTCTTCCTGGTGATTCGGGCTTCCTTTGTCTGAGTTAGATGAAACTTAGTCCCCAAAAACATATAACTACACATTTTTTGGCAGAAGTGGTAGAAATGCATGTATATGTCGATAGAGGATAGTACGAAGAGCATTGGGAAACAGAAGTATATTATACTACATTATTTTAACAAACATTCATATTTTATACCTACTGACAGGAAAATACTAAGTCATTCTTATCTTTTTCATGATGTTTTATTGAGTTGTACACTTGAAACCTGTATGGTTTTGTGAACCAATGTCACCCTAATGAATTCAAAATATTAATAATAAAATAAAGTAAAATAAAATAAAGTTGGTTCTTGAATAAAACAATAATCTAATTCTTATTAACAATTAGCACGTCTTATTAAGAATTAAATAAAATGAATAATTAGGGAAATCTCTAATATACCATCTTGTGTAAAAATTTTATAACACACTCAAGGGCATGACTGTCTTTTGCTTTAAAAGAAAAAAATCTCTCACAATTCTTGGTGTAATCCTCTGTACCAAAAAATGCTTAGGAAAAAAATATACTGAAGATTCAATGTTTATGAATGAATGAGGGACTGTGCTGGAAGCTTTATCTGTTTATCAAGACTTTGTATTTTCTCTAATCTGAGCCATTTTGTGACTATGATTCTGAAACACCAATTAATAAATGTCTTTTTTATCTGTTGATTTGCAGAATTTGTATAAGTCAGACCTTGAATGGATGAAGGGTATTGGTTGGGTTCCAATTGGCTCCTTGGAAGTTGTTAAAGCCAAGAGGGCCACAGAGATACTGAGTGATAAGATCTACCGTCAGCGTCCAGATGCACTGAAATTTACCTGTATAACTGACACCCCAGAGCAGGTGCTGGCAAAGAGCAATGCTATAAACATGAATAAGGTAAGTCTTCACTCCTTCCCATTAGATATCAAAATTCACCATAGAAAAGGTAAAAATTCTGACACATTACTACATTTTAAAGATGCCTATAGAGTTTCTGATACCTTTAAAAATGACTTCTCCATTGTAATTAATACTTCAAAATATTAAACTGATGTTAAAAATACTATGTGCCAGCCCAGCCAGCTTGGCTCAGTGGTTGAGTGTCGACCTATGAACCAAGAGGTCACGGTTTGATTCCCAGTCAGGCCACATGCCCGGGTTTGGGGCTTGATCCCCCGTGGGGGGCCTGCAGGAGGCAGCCGATCAGTGATTTTCTCTCATCATTGATGTTTCTGTCTCCCTCTCTTTTCTCTGAAATCAATTAACAAGAAAATTCTATGCGCCATAATTATTTTATAATTACAGATTTTAAATACTGCAACCCCAATTACACTTTTCAGAATTGTTAAAAATTTTAACAAGAAACAGTAAAAACTCTGAGCCAATGACATAGTGAGCTAAATACTCTTAGAAATAGTAATTTATCTACATAAAAGATAGGAATTTATGCAACTTTAATCATTTTATTTCTGCTTTGTGTAGAGGAGAGGTGACTGGCACATAATTTAAAAAGTGTCTGTGAACTCCAAAATAATTTTTCTCACCCCCCCTCCCCCCACAGCGCTTGTACACTGAAGCCTGGGACAATGATAAGAAAACAATCCACGTCATGCCCGATACCCCAGAAATCATGCTAGCCAAGCTCAACCGAATCAACTACAGTGACGTGAGTAAACGATCGCTCTTATAATGAACAGAAAGGCAAAAACGAACTGTTGTGTTTTCTGTTTGTGACTAATTTATTATACATACTCCAAACTAACATTGTCAGTAAGAGATAGTTCTCCCTTGATTCAATTTTGGGCTATGTGGTAGGTCTACAAAGTAGGCCAGCCCTTTAGCAACAGAATATCAGGGAATAGAATGCTTATGGAGGAATATCCCAACAAGAATTATACTCCCCAGCCTTCCCCTACATGTCAGTGTGGGTATCAGGTCATTATTTTGTTCAATAGCTGTTTATTAGTCAGGCACCGGCTTGGAACTCACTTGATAATCAGTGGGTTGTTATGCCCTGAGTTGTTTTGCGGCTTTATTAATGTTCTGGTTACCATCTACTGTTATTCACAAGAATTTTTCTAGGTGTCTCATTCAGGACCAACATTTTCATCAGGGCAATGGTTCTGAACCCCTACTCTACAGGTAGATCACGGTCTGTGATATAGTCCACGACAAAGTGAGGAAAAATAAGGACAATGCATTGAGTTTTTTTATGATTCCAAATATATTCAGTTTTAAAATACTTTCCTTATGCTTTCTCCTTCTTTAGCATTAAAACGGCCTTTCTTTTATTTTATGATAGTGATAGTAAATAGGTTTGTTTTTTAAAAAATGTTTGTTTGGCAAAATAAAATTTTGGCAACCACATGCTGATCTCCACACCCCCGGCCCCAAATTTTAAAAATTTGTTAATCAACAAAATTTCAAAGTTTAGAACATGTGCCTTAAAATCCTTACCTGCCTATGAAACCAAGTTTTGTACAAACCTATCCTAATACTTAACTATGTGGATTTATTTCTGTAGTTTAAATGAGGGTGGAGAAAATGTAATAATTAACAGTTTTCCTTTTTATGAAAGGAGGAATGATTTAATGCCTCTCTTTTCTGCAGAAACTCTATAAACTTGCTTTGGAAGAGTCCAAGAAGGAAGGCTACGACTTGCGCTTGGATGCCATTCCAATCCGAGCAGCCAAGGCGTCAAGAGATATTGCTAGTGAAGTAAGTTGATCTTTTAAGAAGAGGCATTTCTTATTCAAAGGTGTTCACAAATGGAAGCTTTTGTAATTTTTCTTGACAGAATTTTTGTTGTGCCTACACATCTCAGTTTCATTTAGTGATTTCTCCGTGTACAAAGTTGCAAATAAAAACAAAGTCCAAGATACTATGTCAATTATACCTATTAATCAATTAAAGGTAGAGATATTGTCTTTTAAAATAAATATTTTATGGACACTAAAAATGGGTTCATAGTTTTGAGTGTTAGAAATTGAGCAGCAGTTGACCCAGGCATTTGTAAAAACATAACAAAACAAAACAAAAACATTGATAGCACATGCAAATCAACCCGAACACTTATTTTTCTACCGCTTCTATCCATTTATTCTGGCATTAAAAGGAGAGTCGATGATAGATGCATTTTAGAGTTTAGGTTCATACTTTGTAACCTTTAGTGAAGTTTTTCTACCCAGATGCCCCTAACTGGTTACAAGAACAAATTGAGAAGTAAACGAAGCTTTTTCTCAGTACCCACTTGTCTCTTCTCTCTGGTTCTTCCTTTCTCATGAGAAACATCTCGGGAGGGTATCCGCTGCCCTCATTCTGTACGAGGGCTGCTTAGAGCCCAAATCCAGACTTTCCTTTTTCTAGAAGGGTTTCATGCCTTAGATTTATGCTTTGTTCTTTCTATTATTTAAATTTTTTCTCACTGTTAAGCTGGAGAAGCCCACACTATGATCATCTCATGGCAAAATGGACCATAACATGTTATTATTGAATTTTAAAAGTAGAAAGAGTGTTGACCCAAGGCATGACTTTCTCACAGTGAAAGTTCAATGACATTTACAGGCCAATAAGGGAGGTATTTCCTGGTGAAACGGTCTAAATGTAGCCCATATCCTCAACCAAGGAATTCACTATAAATTCTAATTACAAGGACTATATTCTAAAATACTCTAAATATCAAAGTATATTTTAGGGGGGAAAAGCCACATCTTTAAATTAAGTAGATGCTGTTTTAGATTATACAAGATATTTTACCTTTACTTGTAAAGCAATCCAATGTAAACTAGGTAATATAGTTTAGGAGGAAGGGACAAATATTAGGAACCAGAAGCTACTTCATTCCAGTCTCAACTATGCCACCTACTTGTGACTTTAAACAAATTACTTAACTCCTTTAAGCTTCAGGTTTCTATTTTATAAAATGGGGTTGGTAATATTAACCTTTCTCTCTCTCACTAGTGATAGCAAAAATCAAAAGAAATAATGTGTGTATGAAATTGTGAAATGTGATATAAATGAGATGTTCTTATCCTTAGACTCATATCCCTTCCTTTTTTTCAGTACAAGTACAAGGAAGGCTACCGTAAGCAGCTCGGCCACCACATTGGGGCCCGAAACATCAAAGACGACCCCAAGATGATGTGGTCCATGCATGTGGCCAAGATCCAGAGTGACAGAGAGTACAAGAAGGACTTTGAAAAGTCGAAGACCAAGTTCAGCAGCCCCGTGGACATGCTGGGGGTGGTGCTGGCCAAGAAGTGCCAGATCCTTGTAAGCGACATAGACTACAAGCATCCCCTGCATGAGTGGACCTGTCTGCCCGACCAGAATGACGTCATTCAGGCTCGGAAGGCCTATGATCTTCAGAGTGATGTGAGTGGGTCTAATGTTATTCAGCATGTGTTTAAAAGGTTTAAAAAAGGGGTTCTAACTTCTTTTGTGCCATGGAATCTTTTGACAATCTGGTGAAACCTATGGACAATGTCTTAGGACAATGTCATAAAATGTGTAAGTTAAAAAATATATATATACTTTTACATATATGTGTGTATATGTGTATATATATATGCATTTTTATTAACACATTAAATGAAAAGATCTAGCAGTGGGTGTAATAACTAGTTTAATTTCAAAGAACTGATGAGCATAACTATGTCAAGATGTCGTAATAGGATATGAAAACATTTGTGATTTCTATTGCCAACCAAGTCCCAAGTAGTGTTAATACTACTGGGATCTCTTGCCTAAGCTTCTAATGGAAAGAAATGCTATATTTCAGTTAAAGGTTAATGAAAATAAATACATTATGTTTTTTTCTATCCAAGTTTATTGATATCAGATTAAGAATTCCTGATCTAACTTAACCTAATTTTCCAAATGAATTGATTGCATTATCATTTTTCTGACTACTTAACTTATAGGAAATATCATTTTTCTGACTACTTAACTTATAGGAAATATCTGTTATAACTTGTAATGGGAAATTTAGGAATGAATTATACACTGAGATAATTTATCTAAGACACTGAAAACAATAGCTTCCTAGGAATATGTTAAGCACTTTTGTTGTCAGCTAGTAAATTGCCCTTAGGACTCAAATGCTACCTCATTGGTTTAGTAGCTCCTTGCTTTGTTTTTATCAGGGTCTAGCAAGTAGTCACTTTTGAAAGAATGATAAAAGTAATGGCATCGTAAAAGAGAGTTTCCAAAAAAGTCCATAAAAATAAAAAGGATTGTTACCCTTAATAATGAGAAAAATCCTCCTTCAAGCAATTATTTAAATTCAAAGAAGAAAGCTGAAAGAAAGATGAAATATTTTACTTGAATTATAACAGGAAAGGGGGACTGAAAATAAGATAAATAAGAGTAAAAATATATGTACTCTTTGACTTAGAAGCATGTATATAGAATTATATGAAAAAAGACACCCTTTTTGTTGTTCCCAGGAAGCATGTGGTTAATTCAACATGTGGTCAGCCCAGTAGGATTCATCTTTTCTTCATATTACAGGACTGGCTGTGAAGGCCACTGCCCAGTTAGATAAGATCAAGCTGTTCTCTCAGAGTATCAGCTCCCCCCGAGGAGGCATGGGCAATCAAATCGGAAAATAAACTTTGTATCAGGAGGCAGACAACAATTTCCCTAAAGTGGTTTTTTATCAAAGAAATCACATATTATTAGAGAGATTTCATGGGCCTTTAAAACAAAACTACCTTCAGGGACAAGGTGTTTAACTAGTTCCGCTACACCAAAGTGGGTCTTCCCAGAAATTTACTCAAGAATTACATTCTCTGTGTATGCTAAATCAGGACCAGACACCAGGTTGTCCAGGTAATTTCTATAAATATTTGGCCTTATTTCATTTTCAGGCTATTTACAAGGCTGATCTGGAGTGGCTGAAAGGCATTGGATGGGTGCCCATTGGCTCCGTAGAGGTCGAGAAGGTGAAGAGAGCTGGAGAAATCCTGAGCGACAGGAAGTACCGCCTGCCTGCAGACAAGCTCAAATTCACATGCATCACAGATACCCCAGAAATTGTCCTGGCAAAGAGCAACGCCCTCACAATGAGCAAGGTTAGTCTGCAGCTGTTTCCAGCTGCCCGGGCCACACCTCCCAGGACTGTGGCTCATAAAGCGGGAAATATATAACCACTTAGCATTTTGCTCTCAAGTCTGGGAGACACGGTGTTTGCAGCAGCGCCAGGGCCCAACTCAGATTAGTTGCTTGGCTTACACTTTCTCCTGAGGCTGTGGGAATCCACTGTGAAAAGCGAGCTGCTATTGCTGCTTTCAGTTTTATTACACAAGATACATGATCCGTTCTTTATTCCAGAGTTCTAGCAATCTGTTTATTGAGACTGGGCTAATTCTTTATCCAATGGGTAGGAGGCCTCGATACACACATTTTAGATTGAATTCGACTTATCTAAATTCTCCCACACCTGCCTGGACATCTTTCAAACATTTGGGTGGTGATACTGAGTGCTTGCTCAGGGAAGAATATGAAATTGGCTCTCAGTGAACTCCGGAGTTAGCGATATTAAAACTCCAGAAATTCTATTCGATACCACACCCATCAGCAGCAACCACAGTGATAACAGCAATAAAAAACATCATAAAATTTGTTGAGTGCCTACTATCATTGATGCGTTTTATATATGTTATGGTTAATCTTCAAAAAATACTCAATAAAAAAAGATATGATTATCTCCCTCCAAGAAATGAGGAATACGGGTCATAATATACCTTTTTCAAGATCACACAGCTTGGACATAAGTGGAGTTGGGTTTGAACTTGGGATTAACTCTGAAGTCTAGGGGTTTCTACTCTATCACAGTTCTATAGCCAAGCTCCATCCCTGGAGTAAGCTTGAGTTTCACTGGATAAAAAGAATTGATAATTGAGATCCTTATGTTGTTTCATATTAGCTATGAAATGATCATATGGCTGTTTTAAATATTGCCGTGTTTGACTCTCTTCGCTACTCTTTGTTTCCCTCACCTCCAAATAACCTTAAAAAGGCTATTTTATACTTAAATGAGTTAAATTTGATAATAATTGTAATGTATTGACTTTTAAAAAGGAGTTTACCTCACTTCCCTCATAGCACTTATACACTGAAGCTTGGGATGCTGACAAAACTTCCATCCATGTGATGCCGGACACCCCAGAAATCATGCTGGCCAAGAGCAATTCTGTCAATATCAGCCAAGTAAGAAATTTCCTGATTGTCGTTTAAGCCTTCCTGCGAGTAATTAAAATGCTTTTTCTGTCTTACCACCTTCCTTTCTGGAATTGGCCTATTAACTTTCTGTAACACTTTTATTTTTCTGTTGCATATTATTCACTTAGAAACTTTACACCAAGGGATGGGATGAGTCAAAGATGAAGGACTATGACCTGAGAGCTGATGCTATTTCCATCAAAAGTGCCAAGGCCTCGAGGGACATCGCCAGCGATGTAAGTGCCCTCCCGAGCAACCATAGTGCAGCTGGTGGGCTGCACTTTGTAACTGTTCCACATGTATTCCTCCCGTCCTGCTTCCTACGTCCTAAGACCTTTCCCTTTGGTGTCACATAGAAGAAAAACTACACTTTGGAATTACAGTTAGAGTTGATGCAGGAAATGTTTCCACCAATGAAGATATATGATTACACTACAGTTGTGTTTATGATAGTATAAAATGTTGGTTTAAAATTACTCAGAGATGCCAAAATGTTTACAGTATAAAATTCTTACCTATTTGCTTGTGGGTGTTCATGTTTTCTGTACCTATCGGTGTGTATATGGTCATAGAAGTGGGTCTCTAAACCTGTATTTCTGACATTTTAGTACAAATACAAAGAAGCTTATGAAAAACAGAAAGGCCACCACATCGGGGCCCAGAGCATTGAAGACGACCCCAAGATTATGTGTGCCATACACGCAGGCAAGATTCAAAGTGAAAGAGAGTACAAGAAGGACTTTGAGAAGTGGAAGACCAAGTACAGTAGCCCAGTGGACATGTTAGGCATCTTGCTGGCCAAGAAATGTCAGACACTGGTCAGCGACATTGATTACCGGAATATCCTGCATCACTGGACGTGCTTACCTGACCAAAACGACATTATCCAAGCGAAGAGGGCCTATGACCTGCAGAGTGATGTATGTAACATGAACGCTGGGAAAGGTGGAATGGGAGGAAGTAGATTTACTAATTGTCCAGTCACTTCTTCTGTGGACAGGTCCATGAGTTGTGTACTGCACAACCCTGGGGGGTGCCATTCACATTGTTTAATAAAAAACCCATATTTAGGAGTTTGGGGAGCAAAGAATATAGATTAAAGAACCCTACTTGGGTCATGTCCTTTATTCCCTGGCCTATATTCCAGACTATTTCCTTCGTGTCATTTTTTTTTCCAATGAAAATATATTTCAGACACACTTAAAATTATATGGATGTTTTTTAAAAACTGCCACTACTGTACTATATCCAAAATACTGAATGGACTTTCCATGGGTCTCTTTTTACAGGATGAAAATGGAATTAGAGTCAACAAAATTTCCTTTAAAAAATATTTTTGTTTTTTTATAATTTTTTAAAATATCAAACCATTATCATGAAATTTAACATTATTAATATTGTATTCATATTCATGGTTAGTATAAAGAATTATGCTTTTACAAATTACTCTTTCATTGATATTAAAACCCCCAAGTCATGCAAAATCTCAGGTTCTATTATTTTGGACCCACCATCTTCCCATGAACTTTATTTTTCAATTATGAGATGATGTCTAACACAGGAACAAAATTTCTGTCTAACACCTTTTAGAGTGTGTATAAGGCAGACCTGGAGTGGATGCGTGGCATCGGCTGGATGCCAGAAGGCTCAGTAGAAATGACCAGGGTGAAAGGTGCTCAAGACTTGATGAATGAAAGACTCTATCGGACGCGACCAGAAGCCTTGAAGTTCACTTGCATTACTGACACTCCAGAAGTTGTCCTGGCAAAAGCCAATTCTCTGCAAATCAGTGAGGTAAGAACCATCTCACCTCAAGCTTTCCTTTTGTGGGGCTCTGTTATCAGATGAGGCCACCCACACTGGACAAGTGCGCTGTTCTTCTTCAAAGACTATAGTGATGGGCCCGGCCGGGCGTGGCTCAGCGGTTGAGCGTCGACCTAGGATCCAGGCGATCGGGGTTCAATTCCCAGTCAGGGCACATGTCTGGGTTGCGGGCTCAATCAATGACTCTCTCATCATTGATGTTTCTGTCTCTCTCTCTCTCTCTCCTTTCCTCTCTCTGAAATCAATAAAGATATATTAAAAAAAAATAATAATAAGACTATAGTGATGGGAGCTCCTCTAAGTGTATTGACTAGTTCAGTGAAGTAGAACTCTGATGAATGCCAACATGCCTTTCCCCTACCACACACCTGGAAGCACTGAAATTAGAAAAATGTTACTCCATTATGATTCAGGAAAACAAATATTTATTTAAGTTCTATAAAATACTAAAACCTATGGCATAATGCTACATATTAAATGGTATAACAGTGTATTAGTCAGGGTTCTCCTGAGAAACAGAACCAATAGGATGTGTAGGACAGAGAGACTTGTTTTAAGGAATTGGCTCACACTGTTGTGGAGGTCGGCAAGTCCAATATCTGCTGGGTGGGCCACAGACTGGAGACCCAGGAAGGAGTTGCAGTTCAAGCCCAAAGGCAGTCAGCAGGCAGAATTACTTCTTGCTCAGAATTACTTCTTGCTATTAAGGCCTTTGACTGATTAGACAAAGCCCACCCACATTACAGAGGGTAATCTGCTTTACCAAAAGTCTACTGAGATGTCAGTCTCATCTTTAAAATACCTTCACAGAAACATCTGGAATCATGTTTGACCAAATATCTAGGAACTGTGGCTTATGCCAATTGACACAAAATTAATCATCACAAACATATAAAAAACATTTTTTGAGGTTAAATAGTCACTTAGACTTTGTTTCAGATCTCCATTCTCTGTTAAACATTGAAATAATATTTCCCTTCTCTCCACAGAAACTGTATCAAGAAGCTTGGAACAAAGACAAAACCAACATCAGCATTCCTTCCGACACACCAGTCATGCTGCAGGCCCAAATCAATGCCCTGCAAATCAGCAATGTAAGAGTCATGCATATAAAGTATAAATGTCTTTATGAGACAGTATCTGTCAGCTTATGGAGTGTGTTCTAATCGACAAATTACCTATCTTAGAAATGTTTACAGTTTTTCATGCTAGACACTTTCTCTTTAGCTACCATTCCCAGTGCAATATGAATGGAAATTCTCTTTTAAATGTTAGTTTAGATACATGCTGGGCACCTGGACTGCAACATGTGGGACACCTGAATCTAATTGGTGTACTCCTTTCAACCTTGAAATAAATCATCGTCCTATATCCAATGTTTACAGCTCAGTTTCACTGTATGTTATTTAAGAATAATGAAATCCCTAGTTAAATGTCTCTTATGCAAGAAACTATGAGGTAACAGTCTCTATTGTCTTTATAGGTTTTTGATTGATCCAGAACTTTCTTGTTTGACATTTAAAGGCCATAAGAAAAACCAAAAGACAGCTTTTAATTATACACAAAGTGTGGGATATATATGATATCTATGTCACATCCCATTAACAGAGACCTCAAAAAAGTCAAAGGATGACATTAGAAAGAAAATCTGATCAAGTCTTATATGGTACCTTGTGAGGTTCACGGCTGATTCTTAGTTTTCATGTGTTATGTAATGAGATTTATTCAGATGTGGACCATATTGTGAGGAAGGCAAATATTCAAACATTAGTTTGAATTCAGATGTTTAGATTTAAGTGTTTAGTTGTTAGATTTTTACCTTTAAAATTTTAATCACAAGTATCTTGCACTCCACAAAGTAAATAACCAATAATCAAAAGAAGAACTCAGAAGTGACAGGGGTTTTTTTTTCTTATGTTTCCTTCATTGACATTATGCCTTGTGATTCATATGACTCCTTTGAGTGCATGCACTTATTTTCAGTTCTTGTAAACAAACCTGTATTTTCCCTCAATAGAAACTCTACCAGAAAGACTGGAATGAGGCCAAGCAGAAAGGCTATGACATACGAGCAGATGCCATTGAAATCAAGCATGCCAAAGCCTCCAGAGAAATTGCCAGCGAGGTACGGCTCCTTGTTTCCTTGTGGTCTTCCTCTGTACAACAAATAGGCAGAGTATTCTTCAAGAGTTTAGGTGTTTTTAAAAAATCTATGCAAATGATTGCATGTTGTCGTACACTAAAGACTATATTTAAAACCATTAAAATGGAGTAAAAAACATTAAGGTAAGCCTAGACGAGGTATCTGTGTAAAAAACTTCTAAGTTGTTTCTAAGTAGAAGACAAATGTTGGGAAGAGCCTGTGTGAAACTCTTGGTAAAAATTCAGAAACCAATACGATGTGATTTTACCCCCAAAATATTTATGACTTGCTCCATAAATATAAGCCACAGATGAAGGTGTCAAGCAAGAAGACTTAAGAATGAAATCACATTTTATAAACAAGATTTTATACTGGGGGCTTAGGTATAATGCTCTTAGTAAGCTTTTGAAGTTCATTTAACAGTAATTTTAAAACTTACTAAGAGTCAGAACAATTATCCTTTGAAGTCCCTTCCACTCAGCTCCAACTCTTTAAGCCGCCTTTGTGCCCTTCCTCCCAGTTCCTCTCTAGTTTTTATTTCATGTGTCCAGCTGTTCCTTCCTCATCATTTTTATCCCTAAAACCATAGCCGAGCGCAGTATCTGCCTTATTCCTGTTCTTTCTATCTCCCTTTTGTCCAGACTTGCCTACGTTATCTAAATATGGGAAAGAGAGAGAGACTATCTTACTCTACTCCTAAGACACTTATGTCAAGTGTGGACTGGATGGACACTCTTGTCCACAGGTCTTTTACTGTCATCTTCTGATTCCAACCAGCAACTTGGCTTTCCATTCCTGAAACATACACCTTGTCTGTCTCCTAAATCATGCATGACTTTTTCCTACCTGAGGTACCTTCAGGACCCTCGGGGGACCATCTGACCTAATGTTCCACCTGCCAGACAACCTTGGGGACAATGGTTACCCTTACTGTGCTTTATTTTCCCCATCTGAAATATGTGATAATAGTAGTACTACCACATAGAGATGTTGTGGGGGTTAAGTGAACTTGCAATTGCCACTGTCAACTATTTTTAACGAAAAAATTCAGCAATATCACATGGATCTACCTAATATATTTGAAACACTCGTTCTAGTGTCTGGCATATAGTGATTGCTCAGAAAATGTTAGCTTTTTTTGTTGTTGTTGTTTAAAATAGTACAGATGTCCCTTTTTCTCCCCAATGACCCATTCCACCCACTATTATTATTTTTTTATTATTCTTGTTCACCACACTGTTTCCCTCCTGATTTAGTCATGTCCTCTATAAAACTACCTAAATAACCTTATCTAGTTTCCTTAAAGTGAGCTGACATATAATGACTGCCAATGTCAAGCCAATTTACATTAAGAAAATATTCTGAAAAGTAGTGAAAAGTCCTCTTAATACATTATTTTCATATGTCTTTTTTATCCGATTTTTCACAACTTTAGTACAAATACAAAGAAGGTTACCGTAAGCAACTGGGCCACCACGTGGGTTTCCGCAGCCTTCAAGATGACCCCAAATTGGTATGGTCTATACATGCTGCCAAGATCCAGAGTGACAGAGAATACAGGAAAGCGTATGAGAAGTCTAAAGGAATTTACAATACCCCCTTGGACATGATGTCAATTGTTCAAGCCAAGAGATGCCAGGTCCTGGTTAGCGACATTGATTATCGCAATTATCTGCACCAGTGGACGTGTCTGCCGGATCAGAATGATGTGATCCAGGCCAAGAAAGCCTACGAGCTGCAGAGCGATGTACGTATATCATCACCGGGCCCTTGGGGAGGTGTGTGTCTGTGTGTTTAATCACAGTCTGTTCCCTAGGGACGTAATTTAACTGGTTATCTTAATAGAACCTAGTATATTCTCTACATTTCGTGATAGAGTCTTTCTGAACATTTTTTATCTTGGAGAGGATTCCTTATGTGACAAGGCCTGTTCATCAAGATGAAAATCACTCTGCTGTCCTATGTAATTAGGTAGAAAAGTCCAGTCCCAGGTGTTCTGATCCCATAAACTTGCATTGCATTGCAGATGCATGATCAGTTATCTAAACTTCAGAAACAGGTTAAGCATAAGAAAATTTGGAATTTCAAGTTTATCTGGTGCATACAGGAAAAAAATATATATATCATATTTTATATAGAGAGAAAGGTGTATACAGATATAGATATGTATTTTTTCTCATTATACATGCTTCTAAGGACATTTTCTCCCCCTAAATTCCTACAGATGATATTCCCAGTCGTACATAAAAGTCAGATTTCAAGTGGTGAGCACAGAAGCTCAACCTTGTATTTTATGGCATTGCTGTCTGTCATTCCCCAAGTACCACTTGTCAGCCCTGCTCCAATTCCTGTAGGATAGATACCGTGAACTTCTCCCAGAGATGTGTGCCAGAGACATCACACCCAAATGTTAACTTTTAATGCTGATCCTTGAATTAAATGGGATTGGCCACCAAGCTGATTTCAATAGAGATCATGTGCAGCCACATGCTGGCGTTGTGCCCTAGTACAAATTTGACTCTTCTGCCCTCTGTGGTCCTCTCCTTCATGTAGAATGTGTACAAGTCAGACCTGGAGTGGTTGAAGGGTATCGGATGGTTGCCAGAGGGTTCTGTGGAAGTGGTGAGAGTGAAGAATGCTCAAGATCTCCTCAATGAAAAACTGTATCGTACAAAGCCTGAGGCCCTCAAATTCACCAGCATTGCTGATACGCCTGAAGTCATTCTGGCAAAAACCAATGCTCTACAGATCAGTGAGGTAAGCTGTGAACTTTAAACTGCTAATACCAGCATCAGAATCTTGAAGATACATGTATCCAGATAGAATCTTATATGGTCAGTCAATTAACAGTAGCCACAGTTCATTTGCTTAGATAACTCTTTGGTCAATATAAGAGTTGGGCATCTTCATGTTTCACAGGCTCTGATGTATACTTTGAACACATTTTAAGACCTTGCCTATAATACAGGTCAACCAGTTAACACCATAATCACAAAACTGCCACTTTTTTTTTGGTATTCAATCATAAAATAAGTTGAAAAGTCTAGAGGCAGAAACATTAGACATTATGATAGTTATTTTAGTTAAGAGAGCCAGGACATTTTTAGCAATATGGAATATCATAGTTACCTGCAATGTGGGTTTAACTGTCTGATAATTACATGTGAGTAAATGCAAAAGAATTATGTTACTACCCTGTTTCTGACTCACTTTGCATTTATATTATATTACACATGAATGTATTCCACTTGTTGAAGCCATTATTGGCACTTTCTAAATAAAAACAAATTGTGATTTATATTTACATAGGAGAACCTTCAAAGAGAATTTTTAATTGTCCCTATAATTTTATTCATGTGGTATTTGACTTATTTACTAGTCAATCATCCTTTGTTTTTCATTCTTACCAGCCACTGTATCGCGAGGCCTGGGACAAAGAGAAGGCTAATGTGAATGTGCCAGCCGACACCCCAGTGATGCTGCAGTCCAAAATCAACGCCCTCCAGATCAGCAATGTAAGACGCCACACACCCTCTTGCTTCACACAGTGCTCTCTGCCTAACTTTTGGCAAAATGCTCCAGAGAGAGTTTAGCAAAAGGCATTTCCCTACCATTCCTTTTACTTCTAGTCTTTTAGCTAATGATGTGTGTGTGTGTGTGTGTGTGTGTGTGTGTGTGTGTGTGTGTACTTAAAATACAGAGATGTGTGTCTTTATTGTTGTTGGAAAGAAAAATGCTGTGGTTTCACCAAAACGCAACATAAATGTACATGTGAATGTATAGTAATATTTAGATCTCTTTTTAGTGGCTCATCATTGATATTTCCTTTTAAAAGCCAAACAACATATATACATACATATTTTTCTCATTTTCACATGATTTGCTGTCTCAATTGCATTCTTTAAAAAATGTTATTAGAGAGAACTTTACTAAATTTCATTAAAAATCTATTGGAACTTAAGTTCAATATGAAATCAGCCTATTTTTTAAATCTTAAGGGGAGAATAATTTTCAGTGTAACTGTTAACGTGTTCTTGAACACATTGGTAACTCTTATTCAGTAGCTCCCTCTTCATATTGACTGCGGCATTGCAATTTCCATTTGCAGAAACACTATCAGCAAGCTTGGGAAGACGTTAAGATGACCGGTTACGACCTGCGAGCAGATGCCATTGGGATCCAGCATGCCAAGGCTTCCAGGGACATTGCCAGTGATGTAAGAGCTCCTCTTTGCCCAGCTTTAACAAGCACTAACTAGTAGGCACAAAGGAAATTAATACTGTACTAAGCTTTAACTTATTTCCCCAGGTATTATATTTAAGTAAAATAGAGGTCATTGTTATTAGTGTCTTGCTTTATTTTTAATTTTTAAATTTTAAATATGTCTTTATTGATTTTAGAGGAAGGGAAGGGAGAGAGAGAGAGAGAAACATCAATGATGAGAAAATCATTGATCGACTGCCTCCTGTAAGCCCCTGACTGGTAATCGAAGATCTCCTGGATCATAGGTCAATGCTCAACTGCTGAGCCATGCTGGCCAGGCTAGTATCTTGTTCTAAAATCCCAAATTCAAGAACAACTTTATAACAATTTGATAATCTTCATGCATCTCTGCTTAGTTCTGTTCTTCTTATGTTTAAGCACAGATTTTAATTTTCTTTTCAATATCTTCTCAATATAAGTTCATTTAAAAGCACTTAGAGATTTATGGGTAAAAATAATTCTGTTGTTTCTCAATGTGCTGCATGCATAGGGGGTTCCTGTGGTATTTTCTGCAACACATAAACAAGCATTTTTTAAATGGTATATATTTGTTTCAATGTGTGCTAGAAAAATACTGGTTTTCTCCTCTTTAGATAGAATTACAAATTTTAAAATAAAAATTTAAGTAAGTTTACACTTTAAATATAAGTTTATTTAAACAAAGAATCAAGTTGACTTAAAGTATGAAGTACATTTGGTACATGTTTGTGGCAAAACCTGTGAGGGTGCCAAACAATTACTAAAGTTTGGGAAACACTGAACAAGCCTGTATTGGAGAATAATCTGGAAGCACAGTTCTGGCCTTCGAGATGTTCACAGTATTCTTCCCTAAGAGGTGTTCACAGTGCCCCAGAAATAGAAATCTAAGGGAGTGGAGCTATTTTGAACTGAATGACTAGAAAAATTTGAGTTTGAAAAAATGACTCTTCTTTCTTCTGTTTACACCCACCAGTATCTATATAAAACTGCTTATGAGAAACAGAAAGGCCACTATATTGGATGTAACAGTGCCAAGGAAGACCCTAAACTGGCTTGGGCAGCAAATGTGTTGAAGATGCAGAGTGACAGGCTGTACAAAAAGGCCTACAATGACCACAAGGCCAAGATCTCCATCCCGGGGGACATGGTATCCATCAGTGCTGCCAAAGAAGGCCAGGCGCTAGCAAGCAACGTGGACTATCGCCAGTACCTGCACCAGTGGTCTTGCCTTCCGGACCAGAATGATGTGATCCACGCCAGGCAAGCATATGACCTGCAGAGTGATGTAAGTGTGGGCTTGTGAGGGGAGCACCAAGCCAGGTGCCTGAGGGGTGAGCTGTCCCCCAGGAAGGAAACCTTCCACAGCTTTGCCTGGTCTCTCCTTCTGGTGCTTGGGAAAACACAACTCTCCCTACATAAGCACTTCTCTTCAGTATCTTACCAAGCTTATTAACTGCCTACCTCACTGCTGGGTTTATTCAGAAAGTTTTCATTTTCATTGTTAAGCTTTCATTTTCATAATTTTTCTATAGATTTTTTAACATGTGCAGTGTTTGTAGTTTTTCTTAAACTTTGGCAAGAATTGTCCAGGTTTTTCAACTATGTATTAAATAAGGACAGGCCTGTCTTCCAGAAAATTAATTTCAAAGGTTAGCAGCATGGACCAGACTCACTGGTTTCCCTTAACTTGTTCCTCACAACCTGGCGTTTCGTTAATTTACCTAAAGTGCTTTTAGATTCGCTCATATTTTATGTCCATTCGATGCTTTGGAAGCGGTGGATTAGCTCAGGCTATTCATGTCTTCTGTGGAAGGGATGCCTTTTTTTAGCGACGCAAACTTGGTTGCCCTAAGCTTCCAGAGATGCTCTGCTGTAATGAGTGAGCTGCCTGCAGGAAAGCGTGTTCACCGCTGGAAGCGGATTGCCAGCTGGTGGGTGCAGGCCGTTTTCTGAACGCATCCATGCACTGGGCGTGCGGGGCCATCAAGTCCTTAGCGAATGAGGAAGGGAAATCTCAAAATGTGCATGTAATCCTCTTGGAGAACCCTTCCTTCTGAACTCCGATACCTATCAGACTTTACACACTAAAGCATATACTCTCATCCTTCATTAAGGTGGACACTTTCCTACATTTTCCTCTCCTCTTACCACCTTTTTAGCCTAGGATTTGTATCTTATTAACCAATTATTAAAATATCACCTATGAAGGACACCATGTTTTTTAAATAAAATTAATAATTGGCATTTAATATAAAGCAATTTGATATGGTTAACCGCGTACCTATGTCTGGGAAACAGGTTTAGATAACCAAGAAAATGAAAATCCCAATTCAAAGGGAGGTGCTATCTTGAAAAAAGAAAATCCAGTTGAGATCAAAATTGTGGAGCTAGGGTAGGGACTGGATCTTTAACTACCTTTTAGAAATGTTTATTAAACACACCATGTGCCAAGCACTGTGCTAAGCACTAAAGACACAACTGTGAATAAAGAAGAAGGGGTAAGACCAAGTCCCGGCATTAGGAAGCATCAGGGAGCTCGCACTGATAAAGGAATAGACGTTAATTAGAGTATTAGCCGCAGTGAGGTGGCTGAGGAGCGATCCCTGGCCCGTGAGCACTGGGAAAGCCCGCCTAAGGGGGTGCTGCTTCAGTGGGACATGAAGGAGTAGGAGGTGGCTCTGTGAAGAGGACCCTGGGGACATTCCTGCAGAATGAGCCACATAGGCAGAGGGGCTGTGTGCAAACCACGGACAGAAAGAAGGCCAGTGTGGGTGGATTGCACCGGCCGAAGGGAAGCACCCCAAGATGAGGCCGGAGGACGGGGCAGGAATGGTGCTGCACCCCCCTTACCGTCTCGTCCCTGGGAAGGGATTGAGCTTTATCCTAAGACCAACGGGAAGCCACAGGGTGGGAGAACGTTGTGACGCCAGATGTGAACTGTGTATTTTGAAAAGGTCCTTCTGGCGGCCTTGTGGAGGATGTACTTGAGAGCCCATTATCATTGCTTTTAAAGTCCACGTTGATGAGTGTGACGATTGCCTAACCTTATTCAAAAATTTTCCTTGCCTCCCCCACACTGAGAGCTCCTTCCACGGATCTTTCGGCTTTTGAAAATGTGCGTAGGCGCCCAAACATAGGCCCCCGGCCCAGGAAACAGGCAGAACAGAACACCGCTGCGTATGAGAAATCATGTTGTCAGGACAGTGCTCGCCTCTTATTGTTTGTGGAAGATAAAATATAACATACAAAATTGTTTCCCTATTTTACTACAGTGAGTTTGTTAAAAAAAAACAACTTGTTTCTAGCTAACTTTGTGTTCTTTCCCAGGCCATCTACAAGGCTGACTTGGAGTGGTTGCGTGGCATTGGCTGGATGCCTGAAGGGTCTCCCGAAGTCCTGAGAGTCAAAAATGCCCAGGAGATCCTACGAGACAGTGTCTATCGGACACCTGTGGTGAACCTCAAGTACACAAGTATCGTTGACACGCCGGAAGTTGTCCTTGCTAAGTCAAATGCTGAAAATATTAGCATTGTAAGTCACCCTTTTCTCTATAATAAAATTAGGTTAGTGTTACAAAGAAATGAAATAATTAACCTGGTAATCTAATAATAATATGGATGATAACGAAGATTGTAATAAGTAATGCTGACAGGGTCGTTTTATTATTACTTATTAATTTTAAATAAAAACTCAAAGTATTAATAAATGACATTAATACAGATTTCATATCAAATTTGAGTAACTTATGTGAAAAGACTCTAGAAGTTTGTACCTTATTATGAAATGATTTTGGATTAGAAAAGTTGTGCACTGTAACTAGCAAAATTACAAATTACAAAGTAATTTTGTTATTATCGGTTCTTTCCATAGCCAAAGTACAGAGAAGTTTGGGACAAAGATAAAACTTCGATCCACATAATGCCAGATACTCCAGAAATTAATCTCGCCAGAGCCAATGCTCTCAATGTGAGCAATGTAAGTACTGTGACAGACTCCCTTTTGTTTAGAAAGTCACTCAGTTGGTGCTGCAGTATCACCAGTGGAACTTTCATAGCCCAAGGAGAGAAGATGGACTGGTGAAGGCAGGGAAGACTTCCCACCATCAGCCTTGGACCCGGAGTGAGGAAAGGAGCAGATCCCTGGCTCGGGGTCACTGGGCAGGGTCAGTTACTGGTGAGCCAGTATCAACATGATAAAAGGGAGAAGGGAATTAGGCCAAGAAAGATGAAAGAGGAATGAAGGGACCCACAAACAAGAAAGGGGAATTAATGACAGAGGCAGATGAACTCAAAATATGAGAATTCTTTGCAAAACTTTGCAGATTAATTTTAAAACCTGGATTCTAGGGAATTTTGTAGGAAATTACCAAAATTAACCCCAGAAAAAGAATAAAAACATATAGCAAGAAATTAATAGTGCTATTAAAGACTTTCATTTCTCCTCTCAAATGCCAGGGTCACCCAGATTATTTCACAAAAGAATTATTTCAAAACTTAAAAAAAACCACCCTACCATAGAGCCCAATGAAAGAAAAAAAGCCATCACAATTACCAAAACTTGTCCAAATAGTTTCACAAATGAAAACTAGACCAATAATAATGAGGAAGATCTTAAATAAAATATGAACACATGAAATTCAGTTGTACATAAATATGTGACACAAGCAACTAGGGTTCATCCAGGACCTTCAAGAGGGTTCCATATCCAGGAATCTAATAATGTAATAGAACAAAAGAGAAAAATCATATGCTCCTTTATTAGATTTGAAAAGGCATGTAACAAAATACAATATCTGTTCTTTTGTTTTAAAACCAAGTCTCAGCAAAAAAAGAATAAATGAGCGTTTTCTTGACGTGACTGCAAGACTAAATCTCAAATCCGAGGGAGCCTCATCCTCAGTAACTGAACTTCTCATTCAAGTCAGGAATAAAATGACTGTCATGCTGAAAGTTCTAGCTGAGCAAGCTTCTCATACAAGCCAAGTTAATTAAATAAGAGTAAGAATAAGAGGTACATTTTGGAAAGAAAAAAGGTAAAATTATCATTATTTGCAGAATAAATCATTATATGCCTGAGAGACACAAGGACATCAGCTTAAAAATCTGTTCAATAAAATGGGAGAATTTAGCTATGTGGCTAACTGCACAACTCAGCAATGTTCAAGAAGGTACCGCCTCCATGGATTTCAGAGGTTTCTTGTGTGTAGAATAAGTATGATCTTAGAAAGATACTACCTTAGTGCAATTCACCATGGTTTGAAACTTTGAATCTTTCAAAAAAAAAAAAATCAGTGTGGCAGAAGGAACTTGCCAAGAAAAGATTCCTCACCACGTGCCAAACTGCACCATCAACTCTATTACAATAGCCACTTGGAAGCTAATTTTTCCAAGGATTTGGAAAAAAACACCAAAATTTTAGGACTGTGATATATTTTTTTCGGACTGGAATCAGTTTTGTGGTGCAGTGCATGCTTGTGAAGTGACCAGTGGAGAGGCAGTCAGCTCTACATTTCATCCAGAAGCATCTTTGGCAGGAAAATTCTGGAAAGTCTCATGGTGTCTCTTTTGCCTGATGAATTTCTCAGCTGGAAATAGCCATCACCCTACCATTGATATGATGATATAAGCAAGACTAATATTTGAAACTGTGCCAAAAGTAAAGTTATTAACTTTAGATATTTAGATAATAATGAGAACGGCTTGTGTTTAGGAAGAAATCAAACATCCTGTTTGCATGTTAACCAAAATGTACATTTTCTTTACACATGGTGTCATCATTATTAGAATCTTTATAAAATCCACTATTTAAAACTCTTCCCATCATTTAGAAAGCACAACATTGCTAGAATATTTGTATACAATTTTATAAGCAACCAAGCAAATTCATGTTAAATTGATTCATTTAATCTTCACACTAACCACATGAGTAAAATATGGTTATTATTATTTTTTTTAATCAAATAGGAAGGTTGAAACTTAAAAATTAAGGCATTTGCCCATGTTCATTCTCGCGGTTAGTAGGTAAAGAAGTTTGGTCTCAAGCCAGACTTTTTTTTTAGTTCAAATAAAAAATATATTTGACCACATATGCAAACAAAAAGTAAGAAATAAGAAAAATAATGTAATAATATATGTAATAAAATGAAATAAACAGAAAACAAAAAAATTAAAAATAACATAATGACAAGTTTAAATTGAATATTTTCTAGTATAATACATTTAAATTGGAGAATATTTTTTCTTTTGTACATAAAACAATCAATTGTTAAAATAGGATCACCCAAATTCATACAAAAACTTGAATGGAAATTCTTACAAAACTTATCAATACTTGCAAAAACAAAATTTATCTGACCACTCATATTTCAGGTATGCAAAGGCCATGAACTTATCAGTAATTGAAATTCACCTCTCCTTTCTTCACTGTTCAAGATCCCATCCCTATTGGCATGTCTTCTAAATTATACATTTAAATAACTGTTATTTCTGAGTCTTTGTGACATTGTCAATACAGACTGTGCCTATTTAAATATGAACATATATTTTTAAAGTTGTCTGTAAACCAGTCACTCCCTTAATTAACTTCTTTACAAACGAAAAGACGCTACACTTTTTTAAAAAAATGGCTATTAACATGCAATTGTACTTCAGCAGGAACATCTAACTTTCCCAAACAATATGCATCATCAGTCCCATAAGATCTAAGAAACCACATTGTGGGGAAATCCCCACAAATGTAAAAAAGTTTATAATTTTACAAAACTGAGTCAAATTTAAACATTAAATAAATCGAATTATTCAATTCAAGAAATTCAATAGTAGCCCATTAATGCACTTAAATTTATCCCAAAGCTACCAATACAAGAAGCAACTAAACTCTTTTACATAAACCACTTACAACCACATGGAAGCTATTATTCAAATGAAAAGGAAAGAGCCTGGTCAGGCCCAGACATTTGGATTCCAGACACGATTTTGTATTTCAGTACCATGGTGCAGAATGGTTCTTGCACCTATTCTCTTTCCTTTAACTGGCCCGGGGCTTCAAAACTGCACCCTCTGATAATAATTGTACGTGAGCCTTCGGAGTTATTGGTAAGTTTGAACCTGGAACAATATATTTTGTTCCCTTCAGAAAATTTACCGTGAAGGTTGGGATGAAGTGAAGATGAACTGCGACATACGGCTGGATGCCATCCCTATACAGGCTGCCAAGGCTTCCAGGGAGATCGCCAGTGACGTAAGTATGGCCTGGTTTAACCTCTCAGCGTTTTAAGCGAATGCCCTAGGTGCATCAAGAGTAGAAACTGTGATCCATCTGCTTTGTTTTTGCATCTCCAGTATAAGTACAAGCTTGACCATGAGAAGCAGAAAGGCCACTACGTGGGCACCCTCACAGCCAGGGACGACAACAGGATCCGCTGGGCCCTCATAGCTGGCAAGCTTCAGAATGAACGGGAGTATCGGCTGCAGTGGGCCAAGTGGAAGACTAAGTTCCAGAGCCCCGTGGATATGCTTTCCATCTTGCATTCTAAAAATTGCCAGACACTGGTCAGCGACATTGATTACCGCCACCGCTTGCACCAGTGGACCTGCCTGCCCGACCAGAACGATGTGATTCAGGCCAAAAAGGCCTACGAACTGCAAAGCGATGTGAGTGGCCTGCAGTTTAGGATGAGCTCTTCTATATTTTGCCATGACTCCCCGAAAGTTTGTGTCATTAAGCTTTGTATCTGAACTCCATGTCTTAATACAGCCAAGAATTAGGTTTTAGTTCTACTTTATAGTATGGTATCAGAATCACCAAAACCATAAAGGATCTAGACTTTGTGTCAAGAAATAAATGGTAATGTGAATGTAGTTCTTTACTGTTACAGGGTAAGGGCAATTATGGTGAAAATATTATTTCTATAGAATTTAAGTAGCAACAGAAGTTTATATCATAAGTAAAATATTGGCAGCCCAAGGACAGAGTGTAGGCATAGATAGGCTTTTGTAGTTGACACAGTGTTTATAACTTTTGAATTAAATTGCCAGGGTTTTTAGGCCAGGAAACTTTGTGTACAGATCCAGGATTTTCTATTTCTCTTGAAAAATCAGAGGATGAAGCTCTGAATGTGTGTTAGCCCTGATAACAATAACCTCTAGCTGAACTGAAGCTGATCCCTTTTAAATAGAAAATATGTCCCTCAGTTTGTCATACCATCTGGCCTCCTAATTAATTTACTTATGTTACCTGCCCGGCTGCTTGAGTATATCGTTCTTGAGTTGTCTTTCTCCATCAGGCCAATGGACAGAATAAACAGGACTTGTGGCTGGGGTTGCTGACTTTATCCTGGTATTGTTTTCATAGGCTATCTACAAGGCCGACTTGGAATGGTTGCGTGGGATCGGATGGATGCCCAATGATTCTGTTTCCGTCAATCACGCCAAATATGCTGGGGATATCTTCAGTGAGGTATTCCAGCATTTTATCCTGCCATTTGTTACATTTATTGAAAGACTGAACAAAAATACACAAGCCTTAGCTGGGTAGCTCAGTTGGTTGGAGCACTGTCCCATGTACCAAAAGGTTTTGGATTCTATCCCCAGTCAGGGCGTGTACAGGAAACAACTGATTGATGTTTCTCTCTGTCTCTCTCTCTCTTCACCTTCCTCTCTCTAAACATATCATCAGGTGAGAATTAAAATAAAAAAAATACACAAGCCAAAATTTAGTCATTCCCTATCAACAATTTAAACAATTTTAATTGCTGTCATTTAAGCCAGGCATACATTTTCCCAAAATAGCCCTGCGTTGTTGCTCTGACCCTATAGAACCACATCCAAAGCAGAATATCCAGTACACTCATTATGCTTGGAAATGTATATATCAAAAACTTCTTTTGACAATAGGAAAATAGTTGAGAGAAGTTTGTCCAGCTGAAAAAAAGATGTATTGAGTTATGCTACAGATAATATATATAATGATACATTACACAGCTATGGGAGCTAAGCAACCTGCTACTTTAAAATCTGTGGGAGGTACAAGAAGCCAAGCCATTTGTTAAAAAAATAAAATGCTAAGAAGAAAGCCAAGTTGCCAAGAAGATGCCATTCAAATATGGTGCTCTATGCTCCTAGTAAAAAAGGATCCTTAAATTTAGCATATCTCCCTCAGCTCACACGGGACCAGGGACTACAACTGTCTAAACAATATTTTCTTTCCCATAGAGTAAATATCGCACGAAAGTCGAAACTCTGAACTTTACTCCTGTGGATGACAGAGTTGATTATGTGACAGCGAAACAAAGTGGTGAGATCCTAAATGATGTAAGTACACGGCTGTTGTTCTAAAATTGCCCCATCACAAAGATGTCATTTCCATTTCCAAAGCTTTCCTGCCTACTTACACTCTGCATGCAGTCATTGCCTGAGATACAGATTGTAATCACTGAGAGAGATCGCTGATGCTGTTTCGCTTACATTATGGTTTTCTTAACATCAAGTAACTTACCCCTTGCCTCTCTTTTCCAGATTAAATACCGGAAAGATTGGAATGACACCAAATCAAAGTACACCCTCACAGAAACGCCCCTGCTGCACACGGCCCAGGAGGCAGCCCGGATACTGGACCAGGTATGGCTTCTACCCAGATGCCTGGGACTTTATGGGGGCATGGAGGACCATAGCATGACTGTCGGCATGTCTGTTATCCCTCCATTCTCACGCCTCAGTTTAACCCTTTGCTGTGCCCTCTGTCTTCTAGTACCTCTACAAGGAAGGCTGGGAGAAACAAAAAGCCACAGGTTACATTTTGCCTCCAGATGCTGTGCCGTTTGTTCATGCGCATCACTCCAGTGATGTTCAGAGCGAGGTAATTCATCCTGCTATGAGTGCGCTTTGCAAAGGCTGGACCTTGCATGTGGGACAACCCGGTTATGCTAAGACATAGCACCGTGGAGTGTCCTTTGTCGGCTCAGCAAGCCTGGCCAGGCATGGGGATGGTGGGAGTGCCTGCTCCCTTCTGGTCCTTTCTCCATGGGCTTTGGGAGTTTTGACCCTCCCTCTTGGCTTCTTTATAGGCTATTGTTTGAGTTCTTTACTTTTTCTTATTTATTTATTTTTTTAATTGAGGTAAAATTGACATATAGCATTATATTAGTTTCGGTTGTACAACATAAGGATTTGATATTTGCATACATTGCGAAACAATCACCACAGTAAGCCTGGTTCACATCCATCACCATCTTGCTTTTTCTTCTATTCCCTGATTTTCCTGAGTCCTCTAGGCCTTCAAATAAAATATTGTCAGAATTAGAAAACAAATGTCTTTTTTTTTTTCATTTTTAAGTTGATATTTTTAATATTTATTTACTTCAATATCTTTGTTATTTATTCTCGGGGTAGGGGGTGTGACACAAAAAGCTGGGGGCCTGGATTTGCTGATGTCCAAAGCCCCTTTTGCCCTGTGTGCTTATCGAAGCTGATGGACTGCATCTTTGTGCTTCCTCCCACCAGCTGAAATACAAAGCTGAGCACGTGAAGCAAAAAGGTCACTACGTTGGTGTTTCGAACATGAGAGATGACCCTCACCTGGTGTGGTTTGAGCATGCGGGCCAGATTCAGAATGACAGACTGTACAAGGAGGACTATCATAAAACAAAGGCCAAGATCAACATACCTGCGGACACGGTGTCCGTGCTGGCCGCCAAGCAGGGGCAGTCCCTCATCAGCGATATTGATTACCGCAATTACCTGCACCAGTGGACTTGTCATCCTGACCAAAACGATGTTATTCAGGCCAGGAAGGCCTATGACCTACAGAGCGATGTAAGTGACTTGTTTCTTAATTATCTCGAAACATACTGCATACTCTCAGAATTGTAAGTAGCATTCCGGTAGTTGGGGCCGTAAATATTTAGCTTGTTCCCCGAGGGAGCTGGAGCTGGAGCTGGATGTGATGTAGAGAAAGCTCAGGAGCAGTGATTGAGTGAAAGCGTTGCCTACTGGCTGCATTTCTGAATAAATTTCAAAGTCAGGTGTTTTTTGAATCTGCTGCTTTTGTACCATCACATTAGCAATTCCTCTCTCACATGGTCATGAAAAATTATCAACTGATTTAAAATAATAATTGGCTTGGGCAGGAATTGAGATTGAGTTGGGATTTTGACAACATTGCATGATAGACTGACTAGTCAAGGCCCTGGGAATGCCCCATTCTTGCTTTGCCCAGCATCTCATTATTCAAGGCATTTATGAAGTAGTTGCTTGCAAGGAATCAAAAAAACTCAAAAAGAATGCAAAATACTCATGAGCCGCATGAGGGCCCAGAATTTCTCATGCCGAGCTTTGGTAAAGCTAGGGGAGGGAATATTACCGAGGCGGCCTTGTCCTGAGGCCCGAATCAAGATCTCTACCTGACACCAGCAGTCCGTAGGGAACAGAAACATGATGCATCGGCATCATGCTCAGGTAGGCCTTCTCATCACTACCAAAACAGAAACAGGGAGTAAAGGGCTGCCTGTAGTGCAGGTGCTGAACTTGAACGCCCCACCTCACAGGTTGCTGCAGCAGAAAGACCACTGTGGAACTTAAATAAGATTCGTTACTCTTCGTTTGGTGCGGGTGGGCTGGGAGAATCCAGGAGCTAGGTTTCGAAGTGTAGAGGCAGGCTTGACTAGAAGGTTGCTTCCCCCTACCCTACAGTCCATGAGCATTTACTTGTGTAATTTTCTTTATTTTAAATGTCCCACATATTTCTATATAACTAAATATACTGAGTTCATCTAAAATTATAACCGCCTTGGTAAAAACCTTTGTTTATGCTCACGGCTGAAAACACCAGCTCCCTGCCCTTACCTCCCATAGCACTGGCGTGGTCTTGCTCTCACAGCACTTACCACTTTCCACTTTGTAAATAATTTCTCTCTATACCTAGACTCCTTCTTTATACTTATTCCTTCAAAGCACTTAGCACAGAGCTTCATTCATAGTAAGAGGTTCAAGAAATATTTTTCAGGTGTACAGATGAAATCACGATTGAATCAAGGAGACAATAGCTACAAGAGATCGAAAATCCTTTAAAAGCTGAAAAAAATGTTTTTAATCTGCTGTCTGTAACCCTGTGTCTGGGTCATTCTTCCCTGAATTATCTCTTTCTTCCTGCTCTCAGAATGTGTACAAAGCTGACTTGGAGTGGCTCCGAGGCATTGGCTGGATCCCCCTGGATTCTGTGGAGCATGTGAGGGTTACTAAAAACCAAGAGATGGTGAATCAGGTACACAAAGCCTGTTATTCTTACCTAATGCCTGGCCTCTTTACCTGCCTTGTGGGGAGAGGTACTCTCTAGGGGGACACCTGTCTTCATCATCTCTATTTCTTCGCAGGTGAAATATAAGAAAGCTGCTCTCGACAACTATCCTAACTTTACAAGTGTGGAAGATCCTCCAGAGGTTGTTTTGGCCAAGATTAACTCAGTCAATCAAAGTGATGTAAGTTTGCTTTGTGTATAATGAGGCACATAGACTGGGGAGCTAGTTGTGTTTCATCGAACAGATTGGCTTATAAAAAAAATTGAGGGGGGGAGAGATTATAAGATAATCTTTGGGGGAGAATGTCCTAAAAGCCACTAATAGGTGGTATAATTGTGCCCACTTTTAGATAATATTCATATTTTTGTCCAAGTGATTCTATTATATTAGCTGAATGGACTGAAATTAGTTCCTTTTAATCTCTAGTCCATTAGTTCATCTTAATCTCTAAATGTAGACTGATTATTTTCTTGCTAGGTAGATCCTATGAAANTCTTAATCTCTAAATGTAGACTGATTATTTTCTTGCTAGGTAGAGCCTATGAAACTTTAAATATATATTTATAGTAATCAAATGTTTTGTTTTGTTTTCTCTCTTTAGATAAAATATAAAGAAACGTTTAATAAANTTATTTTCTTGCTAGGTAGATCCTATGAAACTTTAAATATATATTTATAGTAATCAAATGTTTTGTTTTGTTTTCTCTCCTTAGATAAAATATAAAGAAACATTTAATAAGCTAATAAAGGGCAAGTATACATTTACTCCAGAGACACCATATATCACTCACTCCAAAGACATGGAAAAACTCTACAGTACCGTAAGTTCTATTTTATGTGATATACAACTGAGTTCCTAATTTTAAGCTCTTGTCAGTATTCATATTCTTGGATGATTTTGTGAACAAATGAATTTATAAAGGGGATCTATTACTTCTATTGTATTTAGTCTTGTTTATTAAAAGTAGCATATTGTTCAGAGCAGGTAGCATTTATTCAGCTGGTATTTTTTGAGCTGCTGTGATGTGCCAGGCACTGTAGGAGGCACTGAGGAGCTAAAGCTCAAATGACACAAGCCGTTCAGGAGTTCATATAAGTGAGAGGAACAGATAAACAGATAAATAGACAGATAATAATGTGCCATGTGCTGTACCAACTCCGGGTGCACACAGGACTGAGCAACCACCATTAGAAAAAAGGCAGAAAAGTCTGGTCCCTCTTCTGTCCTTGTACAGAAGGCGGTCATGTACAAACACCTCCAGCCAACGAATGGAGGACTTGCCCTCCTATTTCAATTCGGCTAATTTAAAGGACGGTGTATGTGTGCAATCTCATGTGTTTAATCTCAGTGGGATGCAATCTTTGGTGATCCTCTCCCTAGGAGCAAACTTGTTTTCACTTTTATTAGAACTGTAAATATAGTTAACCTCTGTTATAAAATGCCTCAGAGTTCGTAGATTTTATTTGTTTGTAGATTTTGTTTGCGACAAGCCAAAAGGCTCTACCTTGTTCTTAGGTAGGCACACTGACGGCTGTAAACAAAGATTTAAGACTTGCCTTTAAACATAAATAATTTACCTTGATTTTACCACTTTCTTTTTAGTGGCATCTGAAAGCAAACTTTTGTCGACACACATTTCTTTGTTCTAGATACTGTATAAAGGGGCATGGGAGGGAACCAAGGCCTATGGCTACACCTTGGATGAACGCTACATCCCCATTGTTGGAGCCAAGCATGCTGACTATGTGAACAGTGAGGTCAGTAGGACTTTTTTCCTCTCATAGATTTGAGAGTCTTTGTTGGGGAGCGAGGGCTGGTTGGAAAATCCCAGTGGTTCTCAATGTTGTACCTATTTCACAGCTTAAATACAAAGAGACATTTGAGAAGCAGAAGGGTCACTACCTGGCTGGAAAAGAAATCAGTGAGTTCCCCGGTGTGGTTCACTGCCTGGATTTCCAGAAGATGAGGAGCGCGGTGAGCAGCGTTCACTGTAACTGTGTTTCTGATCTGCCCTTTGTTCGAGGTTAGCGGGGCTGGTGTGGTGAGGAATGAGTCCCTCTTGAGACTCCCCCCACCTGCCACTTAGCTGTTCGTCTTGGACGACTTTGAGTCCCCCCTCCCATTCCTTCTGTCCTTTGCTGCCAAACACGCAGAGAGGGCTCCGTATTTGACAACAAGGTCACTATTCTCCCTGTGCTTTAAAAGGATGGGAATTTTAAAAAAATAATATATTATAGACTCACTTGTTTAACCTTAGTCTATTCTAAAGGCACTGATCTGGACTGGAAATAAGACTCTAAGAGATTGATGTGGATAATTTACATTTTCTTATTTTTGTCTTTAAAAAATATCATTCTTTAGTTGAACTACAGAAAACATTATGAGGACACCAAAGCAAATATTCATATCCCCAACGATATGATGAATCACGTGCTGGCCAAGAAGTGCCAGTACATCCTCAGTGACCTGGAGTACCGACACTACTTCCACCAGTGGACCTCTCTTCCAGAAGAACCCAGTGTTCTCCTGGCCCGCAACGCCCAGGAGATCCTGAGTGATGTATGTCTTTCCTGCGGCTTACCTTACTTACAGGCTTCACCCAGCCCTGCCTGGCCCCTCCTGCTCTAATAATCCTTGTATTCACGAACCCTCTGCTTTTCAACACAAGGCGGCGTGAATAACCACTTTTAGTGTGTGAATTCCCTATGAACCATGGATACCTATGTCCAATATTTAGTCTGTTTAACACTAGACTAAAACTTAGCTATTGCTCTCCTCGTAAGCTCCTTTAGGCCAGAGCATTGAAGACCTCCCAGCTGTGGAGAAGCCAACCCTACGACCACTAAGCACCAAGCACAGCCAAGAGCTGATAAGAAATCATCAAAACGTTCAGTTGTAAATTCACTGAGTGCCTATATCTTTCACCGTTTCTTCTTTCTGGCAGAATGTGTATAAGGATGACTTGAATTGGCTGAAAGGCATTGGATGCTATGTTTGGGATACACCCCAGATCCTCCAAGCCAAGAAGTCATACGACCTTCAGAGTCAGGTGAGCCAATCTTCCTAGAAGGACTAATTCTCTGTGGATCCGTGGAATCCATGGTGCTCTCAATGGGGTATTAGCAAGGCTGTCCCTGTGCCCAGGCAGAGAAAGCTGCTCTAACAGGGCATGATCAAAGGAAACCAAAGGTCCACTGCCCAGTAAAACTTCTCCTGGTGGCCTGCTGTGGTGCCGAACCTTCCCAGTGTCAGTCTTTCAGTAGTTTAAAGCATTAGACATTTCTAACGGAAAGTTACCTGGGAAGTGTTTCACAGTAAACTACTCTCGAGCATCAATGCCTTAGTTAATCAGGTTAACTTGTAGATACTAGAATGCAAATGCATGCTTTGACCATAGGTAGATAAGCTCTGAAGAAGAAAAAAAATTTTTTTTAAAAATAGATATTTGGAAAATCTCCCAGCATATGGCTCAGCTCTGATAGGGCAGACTAACGGAATGTGGAAATTGAGGGGCTGCCGTCCGGGGTGGGGTACAGGCACAGGAAACACAGCAAAGTGAGGAAGGGGTCCGGCAAAGGTCCAGACCTCACTCTTGGTAAAGGGAAACTATTAGTTTTGACAGCCGCACAAAATCTGCAGGGCAACACAGGAGCGTAAAGCAGAAACCCAGACTAAAAATAAGGGCGCAAACGGCTAAGTCTGACTGCAAACCCGGGTCTTACCATTTTAGATGACTTTTGTTTTTCTTCACAGCTACAATACACGGCAGCAAGTAAAGACAATCTGCAAAATTTTAGTGTGGTCACAGACACACCGCTTTACGTGACTGCTCTTCAAAGCGGCATCAATGCCAGTGAGGTGCGTCTTGCTTGTCTTCGCTTCCAAAACAAGCCTTCATTTGTCTTTACATATTTTCAAACAGCAGAAAAGAATAACCCAGTTTTTTCACCTGTAGGTGAGATATAAAGAAAATTATCATCAGACTAAGGACAAATATACGACAGTGCTGGAAACAGTGGATTATGACAGAACCAAGAATCTGAAGAACCTTTACAGCAGTGTAAGTTGAGTTTTTCCCCTCCCTCATTTGAGTTACGTTTCCCCCACTTTAGAGACAATTAGAAAATAGAAGGAATTGGCACTTTATTCCCATAGGTTTGTCCAGTTTTTTTTTCCCTGGACCTCCCAATTCCTACTTTATCTCATAAATCCTCCTAGTTACAATGAGCTGAGCCCCAATCTGAATATTGCCCTATTTCACACAGTTGACACCGATTCAGCAACTTCTTCCATGTTGCAGGCAGGTACCGTTGAAGCTGTTCTTTGCTGACCCTGAACTTGTCCTTGTCTGGCTTCTCTACTGGCCAGTGGCTTGTAGATCCACCAAAGCACTCTTTTTTACCTCTTCTGAATTGATTAATTCAACATACATTGTTTTTAAACTTCATTTTGAAATGATTTGAGACTTATAGAAAAGTATTTTGTGTAGTTATTTTTGCTTATAGCCTTCTAGTCAAAATACCATTTTCCAAAATAACTTGAATTAGTTGTTTTTTCCCCCCACTTCCTTCACTGTAGTTTTGTTACTCATTTGTAATACAATCAGATTTGTTACAGTTTGTATTCCATTTTTGTCCCCTCCCTCATTCTGATTGATTCTTTGTTTAATTTGTGTACAGTAAGTTTCACTATTTGTAGTATATAGTACTGTGGCTTTTGATAAACACATTAAGTCATTTATTCATCACCACAGTCAAGATACAGAAAAAGTTTGTATCGTTTCCAAATTTCTCTCTCGCTGCCCCTCTCCTCTCTCCTGGCATCCACGAGATGTTTGCTATCCCTAAAGTTTTACAGAACTTTTCCAGAATGTCATGTGAATGAAATTATATAGTAGGTAGCCATTCAGTCTGGCTTCCTTCTCTTGGCAGAATGAATTTATGTATTATGCACATGGCTGCACAAATCAATAGTTTACTTTTTAATTGCAGAATGCTATGTCATTGCATGGATGTCCCGCAGTCTGTTTATCCACTCACAGTTAAAGGAATTGGAGTTGTTTCCAGATTTTGCCAATTATGAATAAAGCTGCTATATACATTTGTACATAGGTTTTTGTGTGTACATAAGTTTTCATTTCTCCTGGATAAATTAATCTGTAGGAGTGGAAAGAAACATATTTTGAGCTCTCACTAGCTACATAAAAGTAGGAAAGGGCAAACAGGTTTGTGGGTTTTTTTTAAAACAAAACAAAAAAAAGGTTAGTGGTTTTCAACCTCCAGGAATTCTTAGACCTGTGGGGAATGACTATGGCATCAGAAACTCTGGTAACTGTCAAACTGTGATAAGCACCATAGTAGAGAACAAAATAATGGACTATGAAATTACGGCTGTGGCATTAAACTCATTACCCACTTAGGGGTACTTAGACCCTGCAGAGTAAGAAGATCTGGGGGTTGTTAGGGTGTTTCTGAGAAGGACAGAAACAGAGGGGAAAACCTGCCACTCGGAAGCTAACAGAATGCGTTTTCCATATTCACAGAACCTGTACAAGGAGGCCTGGGAAAAAGTGAAAGCCACCAGCTACATCCTGCCTTCCAGCACCATGTCCCTGACACACGCCAAGAACCAGAAGGACCTGGCCAGCACTGTAAGTCCAGGACAGATGTGATAGCCTCTCCACCCACTCCCTGCCCTCCCCTGCTCTCACTCCCAGGACCTTTCTGGCTGATACACGTTACCCAGAAGGTAATATACCCAGCACTTCCATTGGAATATACCACCAGCACATAGTGCCAGACACTCAATCATCGCAAACGCTCTGCACTTATTTCTTCTTCTCAAGGGCCCTGAGTTCAGAGAGAATCACAGTCACCTGTATGAAGGACACAAATGTGGCCTTTTAGGTTAGTTGCCTGCAAACGGCATAGTGGATATGCTGTTTCAGCCAGAAGTGGGGATAGACAGAAGACATAATATAACATATAAAATAGACTCTTTTTCAATAGAATTATGTGGGTTATAGCACAAAAACAAACCAGTGAATGTGATAACTGGCCATTACACCATCACTGAATAAATGATTTCAAAGGTAAATAATTATCTTCATAACCAAGAAATATAAAACTTATTAAATCTTTTGAAATTCTACTTTTTTTTTTTTTTTTAATATGTCTTTATTGGTTTCAAAGAGAGGAAGGGAAAGGGAGAGAGAGAGTTAGAAACATCAGTGATGAGAGAGCCATTGACCGGCTGCCTCCTGCACACCCCCCTGGGATCAAGCCCACAACCCGGGCATGTGCCCTGGCTGGGAATCAAACTGTGATCTCCTGGATCATAGGTTGATGCTCAACCTCTGAGCCATGACAACCGGGCTGAAATGCTACTTTTTTAAAACACAAATTTTCTTAGGTATAGACATGATTGTAAAGAAGTCCTAAATGAGCTGTTTAAATATAGTTTAAAATCTCATGATTTTTAACTCTTTATGCCTAAAATGCTCTTAAGTAAAACTTTTTATTATAAAATTTTCCATACCCTTCACTGCAGTTCTAATAAACCCATTTCTCTTCAGGAGCTTTACCTCTTTAGGAAACTTTTTCCTCTTAATTGTGAATGTTTTACATATCATTTTAGACCAATATTTCTCAAAATGTTTTTTTGATCAAGACCCATAGTGAAAAATTTAATTTATATTGCAAGTCAACACACTTTCACACAACACACACAACTGAAGTTTATGTGAATTCTTTCTGATATAATGTTTTATAGAAGAGTACTTACTGCTACACTAAAGACAATGAACTCTGACCATTTCAATTCTATGCTGTTCATTTAAAATGATAATAATCCAGTAAGTTGATTTCATTACCTTCTAATGGACCTAGAGATGCATAGCTTAAAAAAAAAAGACTTTGTTATATAATATAAAAATTAATTTAATTCTTACCTGGAGAAAAACTAATGATTTTTACTAGCCCCAACTATTGGGAAGACCACAAACAGACTAGCCCAGACGAGTAAACTTTTTATTGGGGAAGAGAAGCTTTGTAAATAGCAGTTCAAAAAGCTTAGCAGAGATCTTTTTATTTAGTCAAGAAAAAAGCTATAGAGGCAGGAGTCTTCTTGGCACCTTGTTCTTAGAAGAAGGTGGGATACAGAAATTAATGCTTTAAAAGAAAGATTGCAACAGTAGTCTTTTTTAAAAAGTGTCTTTGAATACTATCTTATTTATAGTTGAGGAATGGGTTAGGTGTAAGGAGCATGTGAACTAATGTTCTGGAAAATTCTCACGGGAATTTGGGTTGATTTCTAGTCAGTGAGGAGCTTTGCAAGAATTCTAACACAAATACTCCCATCTCTCATTTTTCTTACTGAGATGGCCTCTGAGTTGTGAGACAATGGACATTTTATCCTGTGCTAGGAGATTGTATCTCAGTCTCTGTAAGGGCCTTGCCTCCTAGCTCAGGAAATCATGCAGCATTAATTAATAGGCAACACAACTTCCGAGCTAAAAGTTGGTTTTCCCATAGAAGTTGATGGCACCGTATTTTTGGAAAACCTTGTAGAAGCTAAACTCAAAGATTATGTCTCTTAAGCATCAGGCTTGTCAGATATTAAAAACAAAGAAATTCCTGAACACATCTTTCCTCTTTCACTTATGATTAAGAAAAACAAAGCCGTTATTACAAAAGAGACTATTTTGAAATTATATAATCTTTGAAATGAGTTAGTTGTAGTAGCAGTACAAGTTCTGGTATTGGTATAGAAGTATTCCAAACAGTAACTACAATTTTATAGCTCGCTACAGTTTAAAAAGTGCTTCCAGATAGAGCCTGAATTAAGTCTCAGGATAACCTGTGGCAGGTACAACTGCTGTACCTGTACCCCTGTGCACAGATGAGGAAAGGAACTCGCAGAAGCGGTGACCCCAAGTTGGCTGGACCCCAGAGATGGGCTCTTCCTGTTAAGCCTCATGCCCTCATGACAACAGGGATCCATGACTCTCCCAAACGATGTTTCTTCCTTTGTGCTTTCTCTCTGTAGATCAAATATCGGGAAGAATATGAGAAGTTCAAAGCTCTTTATACTTTACCAAAAAGTGTTGAAGATGATCCAAATACAGCCCGATGTCTCCGAGTTGGCAAGTTTAACATTGATGTAAGTCATCTCCAAGGCCTTTCTGCAAACTGAAGCCAGGTGATAGAGCTGACTATTGTAAATCAGGACAGTTTCCATTAAACAGCACATAGGGCACTGATCGTGCGTATGTGAAGGAACTAGGGATTGTTCCAGCCCTGGCTGCTTCTCCCGCCCACACACATCTGTAGAGAGTGTCGGAAAATTCCAGTCCCTGCCCTTCCCCCAACGGATTGCTATAAGCTGGCTGTCCTCACTTCTCAGGTGTATAAAAAAGTCACATATTGCCATGATTTTGTGCACAATTTCCTATATAAGCCGGGTGTCGTTTTAACCTCACAGCGCCTGTACAAGTCAGTTTATGAAAAGAACAAGATGAAAATCAACATTGTGCCCGACATGGTAGAGATGGTCACTGCTAAGGACTCTCAGAAGAAAGTCAGTGAAATTGACTACCGCCTACATCTCCATGAGTGGATCTGCCATCCAGACTTGCAAGTCAACAGTCACGTCAGGAAAGTCACAGATCAGATCAGCGACGTAAGCCCATTCATTGCTTGTGATGGTCCACCCTCCCCAACCCCACATGCCCACCCTGGAGAAAAGCAGGCTCACCTATCTCTTCACTTCAGCTTTCTCCCAGTATTGCTTTCTTATATACCCATGGGTCCGATTGGAATTCAAACGTATCCCTGGAAACAGGGCTCATATGGCAATGTTTTCTTGGCACTCTTGGCCTCATTGAATAATGCCTTTTGCTTTTCAATCCACAAAATCAACCTCAGTCCGGAGGGTACCCGTGTCTTTGGTGTTAAAGTTACTGTCAAATTTTATTTTGCCAATGCCCTTCATCTGTTTCGATTCCATAGATTGTCTACAAGGATGACCTCAACTGGTTGAAAGGCATTGGTTGCTATGTCTGGGACACCCCTGAAATCCTCCATGCCAAGCATGCTTATGATCTACGCAACGATGTGAGTTTGCCTTGTTTTTTCATGTATGTTTTCTTCTTTGCATAGTCTAAAGTCAAGGAGAGAGCATGTAAACTATGGGCATTGTCATAGACCAGCTGTGTCTTAAGTGGTGGTGAGGATGGCTGAGCTAGAGAAAGATGCTAAGGAACAGAAAGCCATTTTTTAGGAGTGCATATGGCATCCTATCCAACAATGCAGCTGAGCTGTTGCAGCCGTTCTCTGGGGGAGAATGGACACATGGCTCTTCTCTCTACCTTTTGGGCTATTTTGGATATATTAATGAGCACATAATTGTCATTATAAGAAAATCTCATCTGTTAGGAGTTTGTGACCTATTGGTAAAGAGAGGATTTGCTAGGTAAATTAATACTGTAATCAAGACTTCAGTAAGAAAGCTTAAACGTTTTTAGAAGAGCAATTGTCAAACCTCCTAGAAGTTCCATATGACTATAAGCATGATTACTCTGGTTGTCATGAACTTCAAACTCATCCTGGTCTGTTAAATAAGTGCTAGTGAATGTAAGTGTCATGAGTTAAGAACAACCAAACCCTCTGTGAAAACTAGCACATGATATAATGAATGGTCTGACCCAGGCTTATCTTCTTCCTCTCGGCAGATCAAGTACAAAGCTCACGTGCAGAAAACGAGGAATGACTACAAGCTGGTCACTGACACTCCAGTCTACGTCCAGGCTGTCCAAAGTGGGAAACAGCTAAGTGACGTAAGTGCCATCGGGGACATTACTGTGGCCGGTGGTAAAGACAGGAGCCACCATTCAAGCAGAAGCGGCAAACACGAAGGACTGGGCAGTGCCTGGCCTTTTCTCACTGGGAAACCAGAATTGGTGCCTCAGAAATACTTAAGATTCTGCTTTTCACCTGAAACTAATATAAAATAATATTGAATGTCAACTATAATTGAAAAATAAAAATAAAAGATTCTGTTCTTGCTTCCTAAAACCTGATGTGTTCAGGTAGCTCCCTGGGGTAGAGTTGTAAGTGATCTGAGGCTATAAAACACGTGGTGTCTTAGAGTTTCCAAAGTTGTTTTTGTATCCTTGTATCAAAAGCAACAGTTTATGTGTCACTGTCTAGACCTTCTAATAAATCAGAGCTAACTAAAGTAGACTGAGAAGGAAGCAGGCTCTGAAGCCAGAGATGTGGGAGGAGTCCAGCCCCTACCAGCCCATGGGGCTTAGGAAGCGCGCTTAGTTCCCCAAGGCTCGGTGGCCTCACCTGTACAAGGAGAAAGTGGATGACAGGCGCCCACTACAGTGCCTGACATAGAGCAGGAAGAACAGGCACAGAGCTGCTCTTTCCTTATTAACCCCACAGGTTAATAAATAAATACTATCCCATCCGTGGGTGAGAACATTGAGACCTATTATTTTTGAACCCGTAGTGGTAAAATAACTACTCTTCCTCTTATGCCTGAGCCAACTCTTCCAGTTATTTCTCAGTGTGGGAGCCACACCCTGGCTCTGATCTTATTGGACAAGGCACAATAATATGTCCGATAGAATCCTCTAGACAAAGGGGAGCAGGCTACCCTTTAAAAGAGAGAGAGAGGGAGAGAAACGTGAGTTTCCATGTACTTTGCTTCTTTCTAACAATGCTGCCGTAATCCGAATCAGTGCGCTCTGCTTCTGTCTGTCCCCAGGCTGTCTACCACTATGACTACGTGCACAGCGTCAGAGGCAAAGTGGCACCAACGACAAAAACTGTGGACCTGGACCGGGCTCTTCACGCGTACAAGCTCCAGAGTGAGGTGAGCACTGGGGACTCTACAAAGTGCCTGGCAGATGTCCTGGATGCAGCTTACAAAGGCCAGGTCATTGGCCTCTGTAGAAGTACCTCAGCTCAGGCATCTTCTCAGCCTGACCTTGCAGATTGTAAATGCTGTTCCATACGGTGCATGCTGTTCCATTCATGTGTTATAAAAAGTAAAACACACACACACACACACACACACACACACACACACACACACACATACACACACAAAGTGCATAGCCTGTCTTCCTTCTTGGCAGGCAGATCACCTTTTTAAGCAAGCAATGAGGATTTAGGGAGCAATGTTTACAAGTTATAAAGAAGGAAGCCAATCTACTATCGCTTCTCTCAAAAAGCTTAAAATCAAGATGACAAAGACAAGGCATATAATCACAAAAGACTATTAACAATAAGATAAAACTAGAAATTGCTGTTAAAATTCAGATGAGAAAGAACGTGGATTCTACTCACATGTTTAATATCTCTATCCTGTGTTACCTGATGGTGCTACTTTGGCCTCAACCTTCAGTGCTACTCTACTATATTGAATTTTAGAAGTAATTTGGTTTTTAATATTTTAAATACTATTCTTAGTCCTGTAATTCCCCTAAGAGACAGACTTTTTAAGGTCACAGACAGAACCCCCTCCACCTTCTGCCAGGAATATGAGCATCCTGCCCACATCATAACCTGACATCAAAGCTTTGTTTATGGGGGGGATGGGAATCCAAAGATGTACCTTATAATTATGACTGTCTCCGAGATTGGTGACAGCTTGAGTATCACCCAAGGGTGTGGTTCACAACAGAGGTGGCACTTGACAGCATGGTTTTTCTACTTATCCCAAACCCTTGCTAGTTGCCATGCAGTCAATTGGGCATGTGCTCAGAAACCTAGAAGTATTAATTCCTATAAGTCTCTGCATTCATTGCTCTCTTTTTCAAAAACAATTGGTTAAGGGTAATTTAATTAATTTCTTGACTCTTAGAACATATTAAATTTCTTTCTGAAATCAATTCAGTAAGCTTAAGTACTTAGATCAGTTATTTGATATAGATGTCATTTAACTCCCTCTTTGTCATTCCACAGAATCTGTACCGAGATGCTGGCAAGCGCTCCCTGCCTACTGGATACAGGCTTCCCGTTGACACTCCTCACTTCAAACACTCCAAGGACACCCAGTACATGAGCAGTTATGTGAGTGCTCTGCTCCTCACTGAGATGGGGTCTGAAGTGGGAGGGGGCACCAATATTCATTAATAGCCTAATCTCATCCTCCAAGCCCCACCCTGAAGGTTCAACATGACGTAATGTTGAGGAGGGGAGACAGCTCATTTCCCAGGGGTGCTGTGGAATTGTCTTGCCCCTTTAGTGCCTGCACAGCCCAGTGCGTCAGCATAGGACTTTCATGGGATTACATCTGCGTGACTCTGTCACCTTGGCTCAGGGCTCGTGGCTGCCATGCCGCCTCTCCTTCTGCTGGCCTTAGCGTGGAAGCATCCTGGACTATCCCAAGCCATGTACTGGAAATTTAAATCATTGCCAGTATTGTCGCCCTTCTGCAGTGTTTTATTGAAAAAGATACAACATCACTGTATTTCTTTAAAAGAAAAGACTTCTTGCCTGGCTGCTGCCCTGGTACTTGCCTCACTACTTACCCTCTGTACCATTTCATAGAAAGCTCAGAGGGATAGATAGGTTCTCAGTACCTGTAGCTTGCCCCAGGTTAGCTCTGACACCAAACTTCCTTACTTTTTAAAAGTGCTAGGTTGGGACTCGATACCATTTGCCTAAAGGACAAGGCCCAGGGAAGTTTTGTCTATCCCAGTGACTCTGGCCTGCAGACCACACCCATAACTAAGCCATCAGATGAAGAATAAACTCTCCCTTCCATGTTGCCCTTTGGAGTCTGGGGAATCAAGCCTACTGGCCAGTGAGGGTCCAATATCAATCCGTAAAGCCATCCATCAGCCTTTATTCTCTTGTTTCTTCTTTGCATTTCCTAATTTACTAGCCATATTGGGGCTAAAAAGATACGGGTTTTTTTTTTTCATTTTGTACACCTGCATACAAACAGATTTCATCTAGACAACCTTGAATTTTATTTCTTTCTGGGCCTGGCTTTATTAGCCAACAAAATAATTTTCAAGACTCAGATTATTATTAAAATTTTGTCAAAGACTTTTCCTTATACTTAATGCTTAGAGAATAATTTTCCAATGAAAGTGACAGCTCTTTTCTGTTTGAGAAATGTAACCCTGCTCTTCATTACCCATCAGTGATCTCATCCTGACTTTGCTTTTGCAGTTCAAGTACAAAGAAGTTTATGAGCACATCAAGGCAAATGGGTATACCCTTGGCCCCAACGATGTTCCATTTGTCAATGTCCGGAGGGTCAACGATGTTACCAGCGAGGTACTGTGAATGCTAATTCTGTGGAGAAAATATTGATATTTGCTTGTTGATCAGTCAATATGTCACACTAACCCCTGAAATGGTGTCTCCTCCAATGTAGAGACTGTATCGACAGCTGTACCACAAACTCAAAGACAAGATCCACACAACCCCTGACACGCCCGAAATCCGCCAAGTCAAGAAGACACAAGAGGCTGTCAGTGAGGTGAGTATTTTCGTAGGAGAGAAGACAGGCCAGGGAACTCAGGGATGACTGCCAGCCATTCAGTGTCTAATGTGTGTATTTCTGGACTTTTTTTTTCTTTAGTTGATCTACAAATCAGACTTCTTCAAGATGCAGGGCCACATGATCTCTCTGCCATACACACCGCAAGTGCTCCATTGCCGTTATGTGGGAGACATCACCAGTGATGTAAGCATCCCATAGGGCCTTTCTGAAAGACTCTTACCAAGAAGCCGACTTCTTTTGCATTTAAGCCAACCAGTGGTCTTTGAATGGTCTTTTCCACTAAGGACTTCAGAACTGAGTGTACAGCTTAGGGGTGAAATAGTGTAGAAGCAGGACCCCACATTTTCCCAGCTTTGGAAACAGTAGTGAGAAGATCACTTGGGAAATGCAAGAATCACTGGCCACCATTCTTCATGCAACACTGAATTATTACCAACCGGTGACTCTCTAGGCGGCCTCCGTTTCAGGTCATGTTTAGTATCTTTCCCCTGCTCATCCCTACCCCCACCCCCTTAAGCAACTTCTTGCTGCCGTTTGTTTCTTTTTCCTCCTTGGATGTTTCCTTCTCCTAAAAGACCGCTTCCTTCAGTCTAAGCCCTCCTCCCATCAATACGATAATAAAATAATAGCTGTGTCCTCTCCTCAGCTCAGGGTTAGAGATTTACATTGCAAAATCTGTGATTTACTTGTGTGCAAGCAAACTAAGAGTACAAGGTGGATATGTTGAATCAAAATGAAAAATATATCAGTAAAAACACTTCACTACTCTGTCTTATTTATTCTTGATTTATATTTGCTCATGACCAGCTATATTTCTATTTTTGCCACACAGATTAAATATAAAGAGGACTTGCAGGTCCTGAAGGGAATAGGCTGCTTCCTGATGGACACTCCTGACATGGTCCGTTCCCGGCACCTGCGGAAGCTCTGGGTGAGTGCCCGTCTTCACAACACATGGCTACCCCCACACAGCTTCAAGTTGCTGGGCAGAAAGAATCTTTGCTTGCTGCTACTTTTAAGGGGAAGTTTGCCATTAACCCACTTGAGCAAGTCATGACCCACTTAAGATGATCAGTTCCCCGTATCAAAGGTAATGAGCTTAGGTAGATGACAACTGTTTTTGTCTGTCCCTGCTTGGGAAGACATCCAGGGTACACAGAGGGTCAGCTTGACTTGCACATATCAGTCATTTGAAAGACAATGTGTGACCATGACATCCAGTTCCTTAAATAATGAATCAACTTGTATTTTCATTGTTGTTGTTTTTTTTAGTCTAATTACCTGTACACTGATAATGCCAGGAAGATGCGAGACAAATACAAAGTGGTGCTCGACACTCCAGAATACAGAAAAGTACAGGAACTGAAGACACATCTGAGTGAGGTAAGGATGCCAAAGCTGTCACTACAAGGGTGTTCCTCTAGTGATCATTTTTTAGGCAACTACATGAGGTAAAAGATCTCCCTTCTGTCTTAATTACAGAGCCGCCACCATGTCTAAGCAAGTCAGTTGATTTCCCTTTGCCTCAGTTTACTTTTGTCCCCTTTTAATAGGATGAATATATTGTTACTTTTCTACCTAGGGCGAGGACTGCTGAGAGTTTACATGATTTTATGGATTAGAAAGCCCTTCTGTCTTACACTATTGCTGTAGTCTCCAAATTGAATTTATTTAAACAGTTTCTCTCTTTAATTCCTGCTATCAGGAACACTAATCACGGTAGTGTCATTTGAAAAGTCTTCAGTGGTGCCCTGCTCTGTTCTCACTCAACAAATTCCAGACTACTTAAATTTATTTGGATGCCCATCATTTTCACCTGCTCCTCCTGGCACCGAGGGTCCTGATTTACTGCAGTTAATTGTGTTTAGATATGCTGTCACCTAGACTGTTGGTTTCTCGAAGGTTGGATGCCATCTTTAGATGTGTGTCCCATAGTGCCTTGGCCTCAACAGGCGCCCATTTGGCCAATGACTAAATCTGCTATGTAAAGGTAAGGGCATTGCACAGATGCCAATGGTTGCTCCTAATATAGGCCAGCTGGCCATTCTCATTCTACTCTCAGTTTGTCTGTCGCGTCACCCATCAGACTTCATCAAGCTGAGCCAAGCTGTGACTGTCGGGCTCTTCACTGACTCCCCATTCTCGGTGACTCTGATGGCTGCTGCTGAGGACTCATTTATGCTCTTAGACCTAGAGATGCCCGGCATACCGAATGTTGTCCACAGTGGAGGGGATGTACAGCTTCCTACACTCTTAGTTAGCCAGAGGCAGAGGATGATCACTTTTTCAGCTTTTACAAATGCTACATTGAGCCCATTTGCTTTCCTGAAAGCTTCCCTCTGTAATTTTAACCAGGTCCAGCACTCAGAGAGGAATGCTTATGTGTTTGCTTGTTTTATCTCGGTAAAGGCACTTTTCCACTCTGGCTAAGTATCAGAATCATCTGTGAAATATTCTTCAGCTGCCCTTGACTGGGCTCTGATCGCCAGCCCCACATATCTGATTCTCTGTGTCTGGGCATCTGCATGCTTTCAACTGCTCCACAGATGACTCCAATGTGCTGCCAGTGTCAGGAACCACTGCTTTAAAGTATCACATCTCTCTTTCAGCTACCAAATAATAAAAAATTGTTTGGTAACTTAAAGTGCTTATTGGTATCTCTGAAATACCCTCACTCCTCTTGGATGTCTGGGTTCAGAATTATCTAAAACTTTAATTTCTCCTCTTTCCAATTCCTATTGGGAATTTTATATGTATTATGCATCAACATTGTGGAAGAAGCATAGTTATTTTTCAGTAATGCAGTTTCTTGCACATTTGCCTCCCCATGGAATGACCTGGGCTTGATAAAACAATGATCCAAGCTAAGACCCTGGATACAGAGGTCTGGGGTAGAGATTGCAAATCTGTTTTAATAAGGATTTTAGGGGATGTTTTTGGATCAGGAAAGTTTGGGAAACACTGGTTTAATAAAATGCTTAATAACCAAAGGAAGTTTAAGTTGGGTTTCAAATCGTCTTTGAATTGTACAGATTCTTGTCACATATACATTTGTAGTACTGGGAAGCAGGGATGTTGTCCCAAGGAACACAAACAATGTGTACTCATACGCAAGGGACATACAGAACAAAGAGAATTATAGAAATGACATGGGAGAGTTGGGCCTTAGTTCCAGACTTACTGTCCATTTGCTGTGTGACCTTGTATAATTCACAACTTCAATACCCCAATTCACTGAGCTAGAGAATTGGACTCGGTAATAATTTAGGCTCCTTTTAAGCATAATATTCTATGAGCTTGTTTTTTTCTTTATTTGAAATTTAGCCTGGAAGAAACAGTAAATCTTTAGTTAGTTCTCTTTTTCAGTTGTAACATCAGAAGTAGGCTCAAGCCAATAAGCTCATTTTGTTTTAACTTGCACTTGTATATAAATTAGATTTTTAAAAATGGACATGTACATACATATGTATATACTTATTATTTATTTTCTAAATTTTGTCTAACTGGCACTGATATTCATAATTAGAATTTATTTGCTACTCATACTTTCTAATTTACCTCATTATATTAAATTCCCTCAGCATTTATTAGAGGGCTATTTTTCGGATAATTTATCTAAGCACGGGGTGATAAAGGGATGGTAGAGCAGAACCCCTGCATTCCCTGGGCCCATAATCTGTGAGAAGAAACAGACATCAACATGATAAATGGTATCCTATAGAAATAATCAAGACGGTATGGACTCTAGGAGCTTTCTAGGCAAATAAGAGGGGGAAGAACGTTCTAGGCAGAAAGGATAGTATATGCAAATAGCTCTAATGAATTCTAGAAATTGAGAATAGTTTCAATTCTCAATTGAAGAGTGTGGAAGACTGTTGGGAAAGTAAGCCAGAAATATAAGATAGAACCTAGGTTATGAAGACTCCTTGCTGCTATCTATGATTTGGAGCTTGATGAAAAATCACTGAGGAATTCCTCTGTGCAGGGTAGATCTGAGCATTAAGATCTCTTTCGCAGACCTGTGAAAGATGCTGAGCCCCATGGAGTGTCGAGTAGACGATTTGGCGAGGTGGTTTAGGGGGCTCCTATGGGTGTGCAGAGAAGAAATGCCATAAGAGCTGAACCAGGGCGGTGATGGTGGGAAAGGAGAAGGATCAGATTTAAGAACTGTTTTGAAGTTAGGAACCCAGGGTTCACAACCTTTTTGATGTGGGGAAGAGGAAGTCTGGAATGACCCCCCAAGTTTCTGGCCTGGGTGACTGGGAGATCAAGGAGCCATTTAGCAAAACAGAGAAAACAGGAGAAGCAGATTTAGGCTGGAGATGTGGGTAATATAAAGAATCCTACATTGAACATGATAAGTCCATGTTCAAAACATTGCTAAAAATTTGGGTCTAGAGCTCAGGGGAGACACTGGATATATAGATTTGGAGGTGATCCATCTCAAATTGATGGTTGAAGCCCTGGGTACGAATGAGGTCACTCGAGGAGAGTCTAGATACTGAAAGGAGCCAACCCTTGACTCCCGTGCCTGGGGAAGGGCAGAGCCACAGAAGGAAGCTGCTCCCTAAGCACCTCGGGAAGAATGGCAGAATGGAAGGCAGAGAGGAGAGTTTTCAGGAATCAGATTGCTCAGCAGTTTCAGTTGCTACAGAGAAACATTTTTGGATGTGGCAGTTGTAAAATTTTTGGTTATCTTATCGAGAGTGACTTCGCTGGAGTGGTTGGGAGGAAACCAAACTATTGCCTTGAGAAATTAAAAACATGGGAGCCTTCCACACTCCCATATGCTACTAGAGAAAGAAAAAGGAAGAACAAATGTATAGTGTGCTTGGTTGTACAAAGGAAGAACAAGGCCATTGGGAGACGTTGGAAAAGGCTTACTCTAGGGAGGAATTGGNGGTTGTACAAAGGAAGAACAAGGCCATTGGGAGACGTTGGAAAAGGCTTACTCTAGGGAGGGACTTGAGTCTGTTTGCAGGTGAAGGGAGGGGGCTGGGAAAACTGGTTGAAGATATGGAGGGGAAGGGGATAATTGTAGGAACAGGGTCCTAGAAGGGACAGGTGAGAAGGGACCAAGGTCACAGCCAGAGGCTTGAATCTTCGACAGGTTACACAATGTATTTGGATAAGAGGGGGAAAAGTAAAGGAAGCCTAAATTATTGGTTTATTGGGAAGAAACTGAGATTGTTGCAGTGGGAGGGCCCCTGCTTTCTCCATGAAGTAAGCAATAAAGGCATCTGCAGAGAGCATGTCCATGAAGCAGAAATGATGGTGACGATTGTTTTATGTCCAGCTGGTATACAGAGCTAAAGGCAAGAAGCAGAAGTCAATCTTCACTTCAATTCCTGATACACCTGATCTTTTAAGAGCCAAGCAAGGGCAGAAGCTTCAGAGTCAGGTAAGATTAACAAACAAAGATTCATAAACCTGCCACGCTGGCATCACGGGGGGTGGCTATGTGTGCCTGACCACTCCTGGTCAGTAGCAGCCTCTCACACTTGGTTGTCCTTGACACAGTCACATGCCCGCTAATTTCAAGAGGCAGTGTTTGTTTGGGCCACCATAACAATGGTTTTGTTTTACATGAGCAGGTAATGCCATGCCTTCTTTTCCAAGTTCTATACAACTTTTGTCATTGGATGAGTGGTCTGTGGACTCCGGGTAATGAAAATAAGTTGCTTGATTCATTCTATAGGACCTATGTATTGTCCACAGGCAAATGAAACTACAATCCATGCGTTCAGGCAAAAATGGAAAAAAATATGTTGAAGACTCTATCAGAATCCTCTTGTTCCTCTATTGGCATTCTTTATTATATTTATTATATGGATTTAGATTGAACTAAACTCAGCAATAAGATTATTAGACAACTGAAGTGTGGAAATGTTTTTCCAAATGTGAGACACAGAGAGAGACAAGTGCACAGAAACACATATAACAAACAAAAACAAAAATAGGACACATGTTGAATAAAGACTGAATATCAAAGAAAAAATGTTTTATCTCTATAACATCTGATCCCTATTCTGATTATTTAGTATCTGTATGTTGAACTTGCCACCAAAGAGAGACCCCATCATCATGCTGGGAATCAGACCACAGCCCTGAATCACGCTAAAGAAGTGAAGGACCTGGTCAGCGAGGTAAGTTGGGAATCTGGCATCGAGGCACTGGGTTAAAGAAAAAATCCTTCATTAAAACCTTCACCTGCTGCCTCTGATAGGAGGGCTCATGTCTATAAATTGTGCTCAACAGCATCAAGAACAGAAGGCAAAGCCATTCTCCTAATGAGCATAATATATTGTGCCCCTAGGGTGGATCTGTGACATGGTTGTGAATTGTGAGGGATGAAAACACTCGAACTTAAGTTTGTCTTTCTCTTCTATCTTTATTTCTTAGAACAAGTACAAGATTCAGTATGAAAAGATGAAGGACAAGTACACCCCGATTCCAGATACGCCAGTCCTCATCAGGGCCAAGAAGGCTTACTGGAACGCCAGTGATGTATGCATCCCTTCCTTCTTCCTTTCACTGTGATAGGGACTGAGGTTGAGGTACCTGAGAAACAGAAGGTATTACAGTCATATCCATAGTTCAAAGTCCTGACCCACACATGGGCCAGGAAAAAAACCAAAAAACTTTAAAAAACAACCACACACACAAAAACAGGCACAAACAATATCAGTTAGGCAAAGTAGTAGCTAAGAGTAATGCTGAGAGATGCAAAAATCTATTACTCTTTTAACTGCTCTTCTGGGAAGAATATGGCCTTTTCTTATGATTCTTTGGTAGCATTTCCTAGGGATACTTGACAACTAATTGTTACTTACCTATAAAATCATGTTCTTGGAGTCAGCCAAACATGGTTTCAAATCCTGTTATGGTCACTTGTCTGCTGAATGACTCTGCATTCCTTACTTAATTTTCCTGAGGCTCTGTTTTTTTGTATGTGGAATGAAGAATTGTGACCATTAAATTAGATGGAACAAGATAATGTTCCCCTCATGGTGCTAATCTCTTAGTTGCCCCTCAGAAAATGGTCCCATTCTTCTCTTGATTGTCTAAATGATGTGCATGAAATGTTTGTTAGAATTAGGAGGGACAGCCTTTCCTTTCCCTTTGATCATGGTCTTTTAATGGTAATGGGATTATCTGTTAATGAAGATATGGAATTAATCGACAGGGTAGATGGCCAGTCCTTAGCAGTTTTGTGTCTCAGAGCCCAACTGCAAATGCATTGCTACCATGATCAGAACCAGAATCCCTGGAAGACTGGTCATGTTGGGACTTAAACTCAACCAAAAAAAACCTCAATCAGCCTCATAACCCCTCAACTTAGCAACATAGCTCTAGGATTTCAAAGCATCTTAGAGTAATTATAGTGACCCCAAAACAGGAATGTGAGAGGGTACAGCAAATTGGAACAATATCTCAGTTCCATAATTTTGTCAGAAATGTTTATTTGGAGCTGAAAGGAGTCTGCTGGTTGGAAAGAGACAATTCCGGTTTGCTTCAAGTATAAGCTGAGAAGAAAAATCTATCCCCTAAGATATTTTTAGTCTTCTTGTGACATCCCCATATTTATCACTCTAAGGCTACCAATGAATATCAACTTGAAGCAAACTTACTCGGCAGCACCACTTTTGGGGTAGCCACACAGTGAAATGGGCCACATTGGATAGCCCCATGCCTAGGGCTTTGTCAATTCCAATACTGATAACTCTAACCTTTAAACTTGTCCAATGTAACAAGGGTACCTAGCATTAAGCTCAGCCTTTCTGCCATGGTTATCCCCACAGTAGAGCTAAGCAATCTTATGAGATTAACCATCTGAAAAACAAAGTTAAAGAAAAGACAAATTTTATTATGTGTTTGCTCAACTACCCAAAAAGAAAAGATTTGTTGAGGGTGGCTGCTTGGAAAAGTACCCATCTTGTGGTAGATGAAATGTATCTTCTATGATATTCTTAAGTTAAAGTAAGAGTCATAGTCTCTTGAACTGTGACAAAGATAAAGATTATAATGAAATAAAATTTTAGGACTGCTTCATGGAGAAGGAATTTTAATACCACGAGTTACAAACAGTTTTTTTCTTCCTTCCAAGTACACCAGTATATCTCAGATTCAACAAGATTATGTTTGTTTGTTTTCTCCTCCTAGATGAGCTTTTTGTTTATTTTACATTTAAGTAAACTTTTCATTTTAAGTTGTTTTAGATTTACAGAAAAGTTGCAAAAATAGTACAGAGTTCCCCTACAGCCTACACCTAGTTTCCCCTGCTGTTAACACCTTACATGACTATTGTACATTTGTCACAACCAATGAACCAATACTGATACATTATTAACCAAACTCTATACTTCATCCAGGTTTTATCAGGTTCTTCCTCATGTCCTTTTTTTCTTCCGGGACGTGAAATGAGTTTTTAAATCTCTCCTAAATTTATTCACGGGAAAACCTAAGAGAGAAAATTCAAGAGAGTTCAAGCTTAAAAGATCTCACTTCTTTAACTCGGTAGTTTTTCATAATCCGTGTGCGTTTTCTCTTTCCAGCTACGCTACAAAGAAACATTTGAAAAGACCAAAGGGAAATACCACACTGTGAAGGATGCTTTGGACATTGTGTATCATCGCAAAGTGACAGACGACGTCAGTAAAGTACGTCCCCTCATATTTCTACTTGAGTGGGCTCAATAACCCACCGTCAGGTTTAAAAAGTGTCCTCCCTTTCCTAGTACTCTCTAGAGATAAATAGACTTTTTTACATTAATTTAGGGTAAGATTTTATACCTGTCTTTGTGCTTTTTACCACAGGTGAAATACAAGGAGAACTATATGAGCCAGCTGGGAATCTGGAGGTCCATCCCTGACCGCCCAGAGCATTTCCACCATCGGGCCGTCACGGATGCAGTCAGTGATGTGAGTCTTCAAGTCTTCTATTTTTATGTGTAAATTCATATGCTCACATGACTTAGGGACTCAAACACTGCATAAAAACTGATTAAACACATAACTCAATGTTAGCTCTTAATGCATGGATGTTTAAATCATAAAACTCATTGATAAATGAGTGAACTTCAACTTGGGAGAGAAAAAGTATATCCCAATTTATACATGTAATTTTTCTTCCAAATGTATTATATCAGATTACATGACTGGAAGTGGTATACTTCATCTAAGCAATAACTTATTTTTGGTCAACTGAAAAGACAACTTCATGAAGCAATTAAGATAGTTAACAATGCCCACTGAGAAAGAAATTCAAGCTCTCTGTATGAAAATACAGCTGTTGAGTTAATGAGATACTCTCTAGGAAAGTACGCCTGTTCATTTGAATTGTTTTAATTAGTATTAAAAATAAAATTTTCCAAATATTATTTAACAATACACCATAAAATAAACAGACAAAGGTGTCACTGGAAATTTCTCTTAAATAATTATTTTAATACTTTATTATTCTCTAGCCTCAGTGGTCAGAGCTTCTATTTGTCCCACTTGTATCAATAACCTACTGCTATTTGGAGAGAGGTTATTAAAACTTTTTGATGATGCTCTTCTCCCAGGTAAAATACAAAGAAGATCTGACCTGGCTTAAAGGCATTGGTTGCTATGCCTATGACACCCCTGACTTCACTCTGGCCGAAAAGAACAAGACTCTCTACAGCAAGGTATCACTACTCAAGGATAATGGCCACATTCGTTTAACACGTTTCGGTGCCCACACAGAGAAGGAGCACTGAGGATACAACGTTTTCATATTTCCACCCTTATCCTTGTTTCTAGGCCCTGTAGTTGGAGTACATACGGTTGTTCACCATCTGATGGGCTCTGCCAGAATGACAAGTCTCAAAATTTTTCGTACTGACCTTATTGACTGCAGTCATCATTTATTTATGGCATTTATTTGAATTTGATAAATGGTCATTTCAGAACAACTCCTCGTGTCTCTGCCAGAATTCCCTCCGTGTTAAATTGTCTCTGGGTAATTTACCCTGTTAAAGTTGACATGTTAGCAAATATAAAGTAGGATTATTTTAATCCACAAACTTGGTGTGTGACGCGAGGCAGATAACTTTGTTTTTATGGCCTCATTTTATTTCCAAAATAAAGCCGTTGGATTAGCTTCCTTTGAGTTCTAAAATAGAAGTCAGGAAACTTTTCTTAAACATGCCCGATAGTTAATATTTTAGACTTTGTGGGCCACATTCATTCTGTCACATATTCTTTGTTTACAGTTCTTTGAAATTGTTTAAAAAAACACCAAAAAAACCCATTCCTACTTCATGGGACCATTTAAAAATAGGCAGTGGTCTAAATGCTAGCCCACCCCTGCCCTAAAATATTTTGATTATCTGATTAATTACTGAAAAACTATTTCAAATTAATGGACTAAAAACTGCCCTCAACTGAAACATGGTAATACCTTCAAAGTAAAATAATAATCATTATAATACGTAGAAACAAAGAAGTAACTGATTTGGACTTTTTGCCTAATTTGGAAAATAGATCTGTTTGTCACCCATTCAGTGAAAGAATGTATTTTGGGGGGAGTTTTCAAGAAATCCAGGTGGAAATAGGCTTCACTGGCTTGGGGAGTAAACATTCAGTAATTACTTGTTAACTCTATGAAGGAATTATCACAGTTGTATGATATGATAAATGGCATGTCTCTCGTTCTTAAGATTATCACAGCCTGCTATCAAGTAACCACATTCTGTTTTCTCTAGTATAAGTATAAAGAGATATTTGAAAGGACAAAGTCCGATTTCAAGTATGAAGCTGACTGTCCAATCAATAGGCATTTCAAGTATGCAACTCACTTGGCGAACGAGGTACGTCTGACCCCACCCAACTGAGACTCATCAGTTCCCTTCAGAAGTCTGTAGAGTTATTTGATTATAAGCCAATAAATGAAATGACAGAAAAGCCTTTCTAAGTGTCAGTTCAAGATAAAGATTTGGAAAGACTCTTACAAAGTCACCATCTGGTGGGCTCTGCCGAAAGCATGAGTAGGAACTAGTGAAGGGACCGCGCAGAGTGATGCGGGGACCCACAGCCGTCGCCTCTGTTCCCACCAGCGTAGGTCAGCACAGCCCTTCGGGCGATGAGAGCAAGAAGGGAAAGGATTTTGTTGACGATCAGCTGAACTCTCTCACACATGGTACTGTGTAGAGTTGGGAGACACAGGAGTCCAAGGTTACTTTAGCATCCCTTACTATGGCCCAGAAATGGCATTGGTTGGAAAAAACACCCCTTAGGGGATAGTTGTGACTTGGCGTTCAACTGTATTGCCATTGTTTACTTACACGTTGGTACCCAAAATATCCTTTTATATTCTACCCAGTCTTTCCTGGAACTGTCTTTGTAATAATGTAAATTAAGTTTAGCTTAAAATGACTGAAATAAGCAAGCTATGAATTAACTTAAATGTTTAGAGGGTTTTATATTTAATTTCTATCTTTGGATATTCCACAGATTTATATAAATTCAAAAACAATGTTAGAAAATTAGTAAAATGGATCTAAACATGGAAATGTAGCCAGTGGAATGTTTATTTCAATATATGACTTTTTTTGTTGTCTTTAAATTTGATTTTGTTCATTTTCAGTAGATTTCCAGGTGAGACAACTCTGAAGAATTACTGTTAGTAGCTTCCTAGAATTCACTCTTGATATATTTTGTTTCTGTTTTTCATTCACAAAGGATTTCCAGGTCTCTTTTATAATTAAGTAAATTAATTAGCATTAGAAGACTCTTAGAATTTTTCATGAATATTCCTTTTCACAACCTTAGATAGCAGACTTGTAGATTATCAGTGCCTTATTTTAAATACAATGTACTTAAATCCTAACATTGCTCATGGCATCATATGTAGAGATGGAAAATGTTTAGGTGCAAGATACTCCAATTTGGGTGTCATAAATCCGATCTATCCCAAGCCCCAGCCCTCTCCAGGCAATCTTCCTTTACTTGACTCTCTTTGCCTCCCTGTATTTATTACCCTGGATGTTTTGGGAGCCCACCTCCCAAAATGACATATTTTGGAGTGTTTATCTTGGGACAGTTCTGTGTACCCTTGAAGTTGTATTCTTGCTATAATTTGATCTGATGTCTGAGCAGAAAAAATACAGAGCTGATTATGAGCAGCGGAAAGATAAATACCACCTGGTAGTCGATGAGCCTAGACATCTGCTGGCTAAGATCGCAGGCGACCAGATCAGTCAGGTACTGTGATGGGGCTGGTTGGTCAGCCCAGGCAGGATTGCGCTCCAGGTTTCTCATGAGATGTTGTCCTGTCTGCTGCAAGGATGTCATAGGTTCTGCCTATGATATTGGGATGTTCTGTTTCGAAGTATCTGTCTAGCCACCCAAAGAGCCCATGAGCTATTTGAGTGTGCCAGTCCATGCTCTGTGTGCTCACATGTGCTGCGGTGAAGATGAAAAGAAAAGCTGGGTCCTTCCGCCCTTTAGTCCCCTGGAGGACCTGTTTTTAACCTGCAGTTGTAAATTGCAAATTGAGTTGCAAAAGCAAAAACAAAGAAGCAAATTAATAGAAGGAAACAAAACAAAACTCCTTACTGCATTTTCCTACTCCAATGATGTCCTTTTTCCTATAAGGCAATTTTGGTGGCACTGGCTAGGCCATTCCCCATTCACAAGGTCGATGGATGGCCAGCTGCAGGTATTGCAGTTGTTCTGCTCGGCATTGTAGTGTATTTGGTGTCTTCACCCACACGCATATGTGAGTACGTAAAGGGTGTCTGCCTACATCTCTTCACTCAGAGGTGACTGGGATATAGAGCCATGTTCTTAAGTCTCTTTTGTGCTTCACTGCTCTTTGCATGAACAGAGAAAATATAAATCTAGTGCCAAGATGCTCCTGAAAAAAGGGTGTAATGAAATTCTGCGTCCAGATATGTTGACTGCCCTCTACAACACATACATGTGGAGCCAGGTAATTTCAGACGGGATGTGAAGAAGGGATTTAGAAGGCTTGGGGACGTTCACCTTTACGCTTTCCTTGATTTCCTTCCCCTGCTCCCTGCCCAAGCTGGTTTCCTGTGATAAAGCTGCATAAATATTCACTCCTTGTAAATGAACTCTGGGTGTGGCCGCTGTGATGATGGCATCTGTGCATCACCTGACACTTTGGGAACTCCTAGTAAGAATAACTGAAGCTTTTCCAAACTTTATTCCCAAAGTGGTATAAAATTAATTTATATTTTTCAGTATTTGCCCTCTCCCGAAATAGATCCCTTAGAGATTGCATATATTAAGTATATTCAACAGCATGTAAAAGATCTGAATATTTAATGCCTTTATCTAATTTGGCCAATGATACTACAAATGTATCATTTAGGACAGATGAGGATTACAGTGCAGCTCTTTGAATACTGTACATGCTCATGGCCCCTCTTGAGTTTGATGCTCAATTCACTAGGTTATTTCCGTCATATCTGTCCTCTCTCACACTTGTTAACAATGTTGCTGATAACATTACCTTCCCACAAGGTCAGTAGAAGCACACACCACCACCTTTCCATCATATGCTGAAAGGTAATTTTGAAGCAGCAGAAAATGGTGATAATTACTTACCTCCAAGACACAATGTTAATAAAATGCCACTATTCCCATACAAAAGAAGTTTTTAATCAATCTTTTGTATTAGGACCTTGTTTTATCACTTTAGTGTGACATTCATCAACACATGAAATGAGGGGGATGAGGTCTCCCTAGGAATGTCCTATTTGCCTGCCACTTTTTTGTCCTGATATGATCATCGAGAAGTTGTGCACGAAATTTTGTTGTGCTCTCTGTTTCTGCATGTGCATGAAAAAAACCCACCTCTTGGAAATTACAAAAATAAGTGTCTTTTCAAAAATGATAAATACTTTAAACTGTATATACTTGATTTTTATTTTACATCTATTCCATCTTTGATATGGAAACTTACCTTAAGAGGTCATATATTATTTGATGCAGCATACAGGATGGGGCAAAAGTAAGTTTACAGTTGTGAATATATGAAACACAGAGTTTATTTATTTATTTTAAACATTCTTTTTTTTTTTTTTTTAATATACCTTTATTGATTTCAGAGAGAGGAAAGGAGAGGGAGAGGGAGAGATAGCAACATCAATGATGAGAGAGTCATTGATCGAGCCCACAACCCGGGCATGTGCCCTGACCGGGAATCGAACCCCGATCACCTGGATCCTAGGTTGATGCTCAACCGCTGAGCCACGCCCGGCTGGGCCAGAGTTTATTTTTGTGTTCCCTAATTATTGTATTGTTGTAAACCTAATTATTGTATTATTTTCCATATGAACAACTGTAAATGTAGTTTTGCCCATCCTATATTGTGAGTGAATCAGTACTTGTCAGAGTCCAGAGAACAAGGGTCTAGTCCTGGCTCTGAGATTCACTTTGTATGTGCCCTTAGCTTAGTCTATTAACCCCTCTAGGGCTCAGTTTCTGCATGTATAAAATGTATGGAAATTATCACATCATCATCATTATTATTATTATTATTTGCTCACTCTATTACAAGCTGCCATCAAATACAGATTTACATTAAACATTTTCAGTTGGGATTTAAAGAGAAAGCATGAGTCCATTCCCCCCACATCTGTGACTTGTATAATAATCCCACTATTTGCTCTGGGACTCTCTCAAGAGGAAAATGAGATTCCTTAAAGCCCTGTCTTCCACTTCTTAGAGTTAACTTGTTCTTCTATTCCACAATTTAGATCAAGTACAGGAAAAAGTATGAAAAATCTAAGGACAAATTCACCTCAATTGTGGACACTCCAGAGCACCTGCGTACTACAAAAGTCAACAAACAAATCAGTGATGTAAGTACAAGAAACATCCCACAGATTCTCAAACTCTGGGGGTGTTTGCAAATGTGGAGGGGCATTTTAGATGGTCACAACGTCCAGAAGACTCTCCTGCCATTTAGTGGGAGGGAGGCAAGGGTGCTAAATGCCCTGCTATGCTCAGGACTTCTTTTACAACAAAGAACTGTTCCAGCTGAATTGGCAGACACCCCATTTCAGAGGCACTGGGGCCTTGGCAGAAAGCATGAGGACATCTGTTAAATTTATAGAATTCAGTGTCCTTTATATACACTCAAAAACATTCTTTGCATTTATAATTTAACATTACATTGCACTGTAAATCGAGATGTATAACATTGTCTGTTTCTGCTTTTTCATCTCCTTTAGATACTTTATAAATTGGAATACAACAAGGCCAAGCCTAGAGGTTACACCACAATCCATGACACACCCATGCTGCTGCATGTCCGGAAGGTCAGAGATGAAGTCAGTGATGTAAGTACCAGAATGGCTTTGCGGCCCCTCTTATCTTGGCCTCTCTAATGTGATCTAACAAACCCTGGTCCAGGTATCTCTTTCTGTGTAACAATCTCCCTAAAACTTAGTGACTTAAAACAACAATCTTTTTTTTTCTTTTGCTCATGATTCTGTGAGCTCACTGCGCACAGCGAGTGGATCTTCTCTTCTACTCGGGGCTGGGAGGGTGGCTGTTGTACAGGCAGGAACCCCTCCATGTGGCCCTTCCATGTGATCTGGACATCTCACAGCACAATGGGTGGGTTCCAAGAGGCTGGCATAGAAGCTTCCAGACCAGTTAAGGGCTACTCCTAGAACTGACATGAGTCACCTTTGCTGTATTTGACTGGGTAGAGTGGACACCCAGATTCAATGGGTGAAGAGATAAATACCACTTCTGGACGAACAGATGGCAAGGTTACATTAAGTAAAAGCATGTAAAGGGGGATATTGTAGAGGCCATTTTGAAAAATGCAATATGCCATAAATGCTATGAATACTCTATACGCTTCATCTTGACTAAGAGGAACAAGGTAGCCATTAATTTAGAATAACCTGAATTTGAGGAGAAATTATATTCATAAATTTCCAGATATATAGCTAGATTCCATGGTTGAAACCTATCATGATTGTTTGTTAAAATAAAAAAAAATTAAGGAACTCCATGGCTACATCGCACCCAAGAGAATATTAAAGGCAACTGTGGAGTAAACTCATCCTTACCCCAAAGCCTTGACTGCGGCGGGTGCTCAGGAATTCTTTGATAGATGAATAAATATGTTCCCAATGTTGACCCTGAGATGCCATGAAAAATTGTTAAATACATTCCATGCACCATTTATGGAGGCAGAAATGTATAAAACATTTTTAAAATATCTCTTTCATATTTTTCACGTTAAAATAATTTTTGGCATTTCAAACGTGAACATCAAGAATTCATAAACATCTGTCAGGTGAATATTTTATGTGGAGCAGCCCTTCCCTTCTCACTGTAGAAAAATGAAGCATTTCGTGTCCATTCTCCCACATTCTCTGATTATAACAGTAACCTGAGATTGATGAAAATACAGATTTCCAGGCCTTCTCCCTAAAGATACGGATTTATCGTGTGTGTGGTGAAGTGCAGAAGATTGTGATCAAGCAAATTTAATAATACTACTGGGTTTCCTTAGAACAGTTTCTCTTTGGATTTAACCACCTTAAAACCGGGGCTCCTCCAGCAACAATTAGTGAGAAAACCCAGATGAGGCTCCAGGGCCCTGAAATTGAGTAGGAGCAAAATTGAGTGAAGCTAGAACTTCCAGGCCCAGGATGGGGAAACTGCGTATTAGGCCCTCGGGGACTAAGCCTTCCCGGACACCCTCCCTCCCATCCAAACCCACATATGCCCCAACTTGCCAGATGCAGCCGTAGCAATGCTGATAGTGATGGCTGCATGCATCCATCAGCTCACTCATTCATCAAATATTTATTGTGTTTCTGTGTGCCTGACACTAGGAACAGATGATGATTGACACACAATGTTTTCCCTGGAGGGGCTCAGCTTAATGGAAAGAACAGACAGATAAGCAAATAATTAGCACAGGAGGTGATGACAGCTGGAACTGTGGGGGGCACAGAAGGAGGGCAAGACTCATTTCATCTGGGTGGGAGAAGCTTCTCTTCCAGCAGCAGTTTTCAAGATGTTCTGAACTTGGAATTTTCTGATTTGGAAAAGGGAGAACATAGAGGGTAGCTGTGCAGCTGGGTCTTTCTACACAATCTCAGAGGGCATAAGTGCCAGGGTGACACTAGTGAACACACTCAGTGGGTCTTAGGATCCGGTTTTACGACCTGAGACAGGAACACACATGTCTGCATGGCCGCATCCTCTCTACACACAGATTTATTCTGTCTTAAGGAGCAGTGTGTGCAGTTGTCATGGTTTTAACTTCTTATTTTTTTTAAATGCTTAGTAGGCTACTATAAAAAGCTAACCTTGTCACTGTGTTTTCTCCCACAGCTGAAATACAAAGAAGTTTACCAAAGAAATAAATCCAACTGCACCATTAAGCCAGACGCTGTTCATATCAAAGCAGCCAAGGACGCCTACAAAGTCAACACCAACGTAAGTTCTGGAAATTTCCCCAGGCCCAGTGGGGGATTCATTAGCTTCTGCAGGACACATGATCTGTTTTACATCTCTTCAGGTCTTTGAGTCCAGATCAATAGTTAGACCCCAGGAGCATGCATAAGGACACTGAAATCCACACGCTGCCTCTGGTTCTCACGAAGGACAGCGTGGAGGGCAAGGACTGCCAGTCCTTGCCGCAGCGTTACGCCCGCTTGGCCTTCGCGCTAGGTGGCTGAGAAATGGGAGACTTAATTCTGAAACGGAAATTGCATTTTGGAAAGTGTCTCAACATCTTTCTTTCCCTCATCTTCTGTATGCTCCTTCTGCCCCAAACCCTACAACCTGCTTCTCATGAAAAAACAAACAAACCTTTTAAAATCACTTAGTGCTGTCAGGGGTTGCCCTCACCCTTCCTTCTGCTCAGATCTCCCCGCACTGACCCATTTCTTTGTGGTGGGGCATCTTACAGCCTCAAACACAGGAACATTTTTTGTGCATTTAAATGAGTATTAACTTTAATACACACACACACACACACACACACACACACACACACACACACACGGTTATAAAATGAAGCCTTTATAACCCAACTAGTGCCCACTAGTACCAGAGAGAACATATGTTCAGCAAACTGAAATGCCTCTAGGGGCTGGCAGGTAACTTACAGGTGTCCTGGGGATGGATTGGAGGATGGGTAGCAGGATGGATGTGGGGAAGGGCAGATGCAGTAAAATGTACGTTGTAGACTGCAGGCAGTGTGAGTATTCTCTACAAGTCTTGCAACTCTGTTATATGTTTGAAAATTCTCACAATAATATGGGGGAGAACTCATCAAATAGTATACGTAGATGCATGCACATTTTATGTACAAAGTAATCCTTGACAAAAAGAGAAAGAAAGAGAGAGAGAGAGAAGAAAAGAAAAGAAAAGAAAAGAAAAGAAAAGAAAAGAAAAGAAAAGAAAAGAAAAGAAAAGAAAAGAAAAGAGGAAAGAAATGTGCCTGATAGAGAAGGCTCTCCCCAAGGGCACTCAAATTAAATTACAGGCATTCTGTGCCTCAAATTTGGCTCCAGACAGCCAGTTCTCCAGCTCAGATGAGAGTCTAACAAGTGCACAGGCGCCCTAATGCCAGATTGCCTGGGTCTGCATCCCAGCTCCACCTTTCTCCAGCTCTCTCACCTTGGGAAGGTTACTTAACTCTTCTAGGCAGTTCCTCAGCTGCGGATTTCATGCAGCTCTTACAAAGATTAAATAAGTTAATATCTGTAAAGCACTTAGAAAAGTGCCTGGCACAAAAGAATTTACTATATATGTTTAATATTTTTTAATTAAGCCTGGATTTAGTTAGAAATTAAAATTTCTCAACTGCTCTGAAGATGATTAAGCTACACTGGCAGAACTAGAAAGATTGTAGAATCATTTCACCCAGAGGCCTTTAAAAATTTTAACCCCTCTTTTGACACCAAAGGGTCCCACAGGATGATCTCTTGAATGGCTGACTAGCTGCACAAATTGTAGAGAAATTTTAAATGGGGCTCTCTCTTGCATAAAGAACCACGATTTGTTGTATGTTAAAATGCAAGATGAGTCCCTCTGTGCCATGTGTGTGGTTAGGAATCCCGCCCCCTAACTGACACGACTTGTTTTCCTCTTGTTAAAAACAGCTGGACTACAAGAAACTGTATGAAGCCAACAAAGCCCACTGGAAGTGGACCCCTGACCGACCAGACTTCCTCCAGGCGGCCAAGTCTTCCTTGCAGCAAAGTGATGTGAGATAGAAGAGACACGCCTGAGACAGAAAATTAATAATTATACTAACCACTGTCATGGGTGTTAACTCTAGCTCGTTTGAGATCCAAGAAGGGCAGGAGGGTCACAGGGAGTGGAAGGCCAGCTCAGGAAGCAGCCTTGGCCACAGAGCCTGGTCTCCCATGGCTGGGCCCACACACAGATGGTTCAGAGGCCTGAGCAAGGCTGGGGTGGGGCTGGAGGCAAGCAGGCTGGGGTGAGGAGGGGGGCTTGGGCTTGGCCTCAAGGCTGGAAAGGGGACTCTCAGCATGATGTGAGGGACCAGGAAGCCCCTGCCCCCCTTCTGCTAGCAAACCCTCTTTAAGAGGAGGCCTCCTTAAGAGTTTTATCAAATGCTGGCTTTCTCCGTGCCTGTCACCCTTTCCCATCTTCCTCCGCTTTTCTTCTGTGACAGTTTGAGTATAAGCTGGACCGAGAGTTCCTCAAGGGCTGCAAGCTCTCCGTCACCGATGACAAAGACATGGTGCTGGCCCTGAGGAATTCCTTAATAGAAAGTGACGTGAGTACCCATTTCTTCCATGGCTCCTAACCTGCATCACAGTCCCCAGGGGCACCAGGAAAGGCCTGAGGGCTGCAGCTGTTGGAGCGGGTCCTGAAATATGACCCTGCACCCAGTGAACACCAGTGACATGGCAGAGCAGGGCGGCAGCAGCCAAGGTCCTCGGTCCAGGTCCAGGAGACGGCTCTTGACTGTTCTTGCACCACGAGAGAACTCACACAGCAGGGATCGGGAGCTGGGTGGCCTGGCTGGATTCTGCAAGGAAACTAACACCAGCTTGTGGACCCTACTCTTCCTGTCTGCAGTTTCCCCATCTGAGAGCAGGAATAACAATGCCCCTGGGCATTGGGAGGGGATCAAATGGCACATTTGAAAGTGTTTGAACTAGGCTATATGTACAAAGATTCATCACGAGACCCATCCTGATTCTTATTAAGACCTCAGCTTGCAAGAAATGAACATCATTACTGCATATTTCCGAACATTTCCGATCATCACACCTTTTATTGAGTTTAATGTCCCCACTGTGAACAATGCTTTCTCCCAGCTCCATCTAGTGACTTGGGAGCGTAATAAAAATGTGCAGGAGACCCAGAGGAGCTAAAGATATGCTTTTTTCACCCCTGCAGCTGAAATACAAAGAGAAACATGTCAAGGAAAGAGGAAGCTGCCGTGCTGTGCCTGACACTCCTCAGATCCTCCTGGCAAAGACTGTCAGCAACCTGGTGTCCGAGGTAACCCCCCACCCCCCGCCGCCGTACGCGCCGCTTTCTTGGGCTAGGGCCCGGCCAGACTCTCTAACACGCTTTCTGTGGCTTCCCTCAGAACAAGTACAAGGACTACGTGAAGAAGCACTTGGCCCAGGGCTCATACACAACCCTGCCAGAGACCCCGAACACTATTCGCGTCAAGGAAGTGACCAAGCATGTCAGTGACGTAAGTGACCAGCCCCGGGACGCGGGGCAGAAGCAATGCCACTGTGCTGTAGATTCCAGCAAGACAACAAGCTGCCGTTTTGTTCACACTTTCCTTTGTGTCACCTCACTCTTACCATCAGTACCTGTCTGTGATCACAGTTTTGAACTCTGGTTTAAAGCACAACTCATTATGTATGAGCTTTCCAATCATGGCAACTAAGGTAGACGTGGTCTTTGCCCCCAGACATGTTATCTAGCAATATAAGATGTTATTAACCTAGTGTTAATAAGGGGAGAAAAGAAGCTGATGGAGATTGGCCTCTCCTACCATTAGCTGCTAAACAATTTTAGAAAAGTAAAACCACCTCTTAATATCTTGGTAATCTCTGCCTACCATGTCCTAATCAGTAATACTTTAATAATCACTGTATCATATTTTATGGGCCCTATATAGTTCCATATATTTTTAAAAGGTAGGAATGGTGCATGAAAGAGCTTAAGTTTTCTGTAGTCATTTCTCCAAAGATTGGTGTGTGGTCCCAGTGTTGGGTTATAGGCCAGAAACGACAGAAGAACTAGAATGTGGATCAGAGACCCGAGTTCCAGACTGATCCAAAGTGGGGAGCCATGGGTTTTCCTGGACATTTTCTCAAAGTTCTTCAAGTAAATCAATCCTGTTCCCAGCTTTTTCTGCTCACATACATAATTCCACTCTTTTTAGACAAATTACAAAAAGAAGTTTGTCAAGGAGAAAGGGAAATCCAACTACTCCGTCATGCTGGAGCCCCCGGACGTGAAACATGCCATGGAGGTGGCCAAGAAGCAGAGTGATGTAAGTTTCTCCTCTCGACACCCTCTGGCGCCCACTGAGCCCGTGGATTTCAAAATGGTGCATGCTGGTTCCAGTCACCCTAATTTCTGTATCTTCTAGTTAAATAAATATGGTAATGGGATTAGTTTGGTTTTAATAAAAATGTTCCTTGTACTTAATGAGAACTTTGGAAAGATAGCATATCTCTCAAAGGAGCAAACATTTTTTTCCCCCATATTAAGGTCGCTTACAGAAAAGATGCCAAAGAAAACCTGCATTACACCACAGTGGCCGATCGGCCCGACATCAAGAAGGCCACGCAGGCAGCCAAGCAGGCCAGTGAGGTAAAGATGTGGTTGACATGTACCTGGTCCCAGTGATCACTGCCAACAAGTAGTACACGGCACCCACCACCTAGAATGTATTGCCCATTTTGGTTTTCTTTGATCCAGGTGGAGTACAGAGCCAAGCACCGAAAGGAGGGCAGCCATGGGTTAAGCATGCTTGGTCGCCCAGACATTGAAATGGCGAAGAAGGCAGCCAAGCTGAGCAGCCAGGTAATGCAGATGGACAAGAGGCAGCTCTAATGTGAGGAGATTTTAAAAATCTTGCAGGAAGAAGTGATTCCCAGAAGTACAGTGCAGTATTAGCAACCAAAGAGATGCTGGCTCTTTGATAGCACTGCAAAGCTTTGAAACGCTGTACCAGAAAAAGTATGCCAAGGACCTTCTTTCTTGTTTCTGGCTAACATCTCTAGGCCTTTCTTTTTCTCCACTTTTCCATTTATGGGTATGTGTCTAGGTGTTTGAGTGCTTAGCTATCTTTATGTGACAAATACATAAGTTTATGAGCACCTTTAGAATCTGTCTCCAGGCATTGAGAGTTACATCCCAAGGGTTTGATTAATACTTAACTCACCTGTGGGATCTTGTTAACATGCAAGTGTCATGAAATTCTAACTTCTAGAATCCAACCAGATGCAGTAACCTTTATTCTTTCATTCAACATACGTATATTAAATGCCTGGGCTAGGAACTAGGGATGAGTAAATGTCCTCGTATTTTCATGTACAAATAAGTACAATTGGAGTGATAAGTGTTTGATCAAAGTATGCACAGGGTGCTGAGTGGGAATTCTTCATTCTGGCAGATTTCATCTTATTGAGATGATGGATTCAGAAATGTGTTGCCCAAACCTGATTGCCATATTACCTAATTTTCTTTGTTAGAATTATCTAGAATACTCCCAAGTTATGACAGGTTTTCAGACTTTAGCTCAGAGACCTCATGATCCACGACCAGCTCTTTCAGAGAGCAAGTCTTAGTTCTGTAGGACTTGAGCCCAAGAATATCTTATTTCTTCTCCAATTTAGAGGTCTTACCTTTTTCTTCATTGTCTGTTCTCTCAAGTATTTGTTTACAGAAACAGGTTTGGGATACATTTGGTTGTTGTATGCATGACTTTCATCAATAGCACACATGGGATTTCAGTCTTTTGGAAGATATAAAATAGTAATATCAAGTGACAAAACAAGTCATAATTATGAAGAGACAAAAGGTTCAGATGAATGATGACAAGCAATAAGACTTTTTAAAGTTTTTTAATTTAAAACTCTTATGCAATGGTTTTATTAGAAATTAATGGAATTGTATTAGCACTTGAGACCAAGATATGAAATCACCAACAAAAGACAGTGTAGTCTCTAAGAGTAATGAAACATAACAAGAACTTTTTAATGTAAAAATTTTTAATATGGTTTTAAATGTCCAAGGTCATACCATTATCAAGTTAAAAACAAAGAAATTACTTTGATGTTGACATTTTGAAGACTTTGCTGTTTTTAAAAATCAAGAGGCTCATATTTCTAATCCTGAGTGAATGCTATGATGTGCAGAATGAGACCCAACCAGGTTTTTTTATGAGCTCACCTTCCTGGGTTTACTTCCTGTGAAAGGCCTGCCGCGACATTTACAGCTTCATGGTGTGGCCCCTGGCCCAACAGGGCTCCGCCTATATGTGGGCCCTCCCCATTCTGACTTTGCTGTCTTGCTGGCACTCTAGGCAGAATACATCAAAGGCCAAAGGAGACGACACGGGCATGGCGCAGCATCTTATGACACCCCTATGATGAGGCATCTTAAGAAAGTTAATGCACTCATCAGCGATGTAAGACTGGCACCAGCAAGCCGAGATCTCTGTCTTTCTCTTTTTCTTGTCGACTTTCTTAGCCTTGGTCAGGAGACTGACCAAGTTGCACTCGTTTCTGTTGATTTTGTGTTGGAATGTGTAGAATGCTGTGGAAATCTGTCGAAGAATATACTTTTGCACACACCCGTCTTTTCTTGCATGAAGCTTTCCCTCTGGAACATACCACTTGGAGTAGGAAGATATACTAGACTTGGACTTGGCCTCCCAATGTATTTGGGTTGCTGACAAAGGTCAAATTAAAATATGAAATGAAAACAAATGAAGAATCTCATCTCCAACCACACAAAGAAAACCTCTGCTGACGGCCAGTGTTGATGTTTAATACATTTGAGACTGGCACTTAATGCAGTCTCTCAGTTTGGGCATACTGTGAACTCACAGTCCTTTCACCCTCTTGTTTTACAGTCTTAATAGCAAGAAATTTTATAATTCTTGGGCCTATTCTTCAGTCTTTAGAAGTACCAATTCCTTGATAAGGAGATGAACATCTGGATGTAAGACCTTTCAATTTAATTAAACCTTGAAAGAATAATTGATTTGAAACCATTTCCCATATTACATCCATACAAGCCAATATGCGAGCCTGACTGGATTATAAACACTGGTGTTGCACTTGCTGATACTTTGCATTTGTGGTTGCCCCTCGGGCTTCCATGATTAATTAGAAAAAGAAAGCTTCACCATCCCACAGTGCACATGTGTGTAGTTTTACTGTACTCACTGCCTAGCCCAATGCCAGGAACTTACTATACTTACTGCCAAGTCCAAGGATTCCTGGAGTCCTGAATCTGATGTGTGTCCCTGTCTTTCAAAATGCAGTAAGTGGTTCTTAAGAAGATCCAGTCAGAAAGGAAGGCTTTTTGTGCTGAACTCAGATTCATAGTAGTAGTTCTATAGGCTGCATTTGCTTGGGGGCCTTTCTGTGGAAAAGGGAGCCATAGATTTTTTTTTAATTAAAAAGTTGAAAATTTAAGTTTACTTGAAATTAACAGAAGAAAAAGATCCTGAAGTGAGACCAATGGATTTGCTGCTCATCAGTCAAGGAAATATCTCTTCAGAAGCAAGTTATTTCTTAAAAGATAGAAAGAGGAATCGAACGCCTTCTAAAGGAAGCGGAGTTCATTCTCCTTCGAGACGGGCCCTTGCAGCTTCCTCCTGCAGCCCGGCCTGCACATCTGGCTTCTCTGCTTTTCTGTGTCTCACGGCTCTTGGGATCAATCCTAGTCTTAGAAAAAGTTTCCTTTTTGTCCAGACAACAGCTCACCGCCTCTGACCCTCTTCACTTCTTTATTTTGAGAATGATTTTTTTTTTTTTTTCAGAGAGAAGCCATTGCAGAGTCTACTTACATTTCCTTTTCCTTCCATGTCGCGTTTCTCCTCCTCTGTGTGTCTGTCTCTGTGTGTCTGCATCATGCGGCACTGTTGTGCATGCCTATTTTTTCCTATGCATTTCCACTGTAGGTTTATTCTAAATAAGTGAGTGTCAGCCTTGTGGATGCATTTTCTCTGAGGTGGCAGGTGTCATTGTTCTTAGCATTCGAGTGGTCTCACTTTGTGTCTGTCCTGCTGAATATGTAAAGTTGTGGGGAAGTGCAGTAACGTGATAAAGCATGAGGGGTGCTGATTTTAAATGTCTACAGAGTGAAATATCTGGGTGACTGGGTCCTGGTGTGCTAACTGAATGAGCAAGTCTTTCATCTTACCAAAACCAGAAATTCTAGATTTCTTAGTCAAACATTGCCCTTTTAGCTGGCTAACATCTAGAGATAGCTCATTTTCATTCTTAGAGTCAATAACTAGGGGAGTTCTACTTCTGGACTAAATCCTACAATACTCTTGACAAAGGCATTAGTCTGTTTTTCAGTAAGGGAATGTTTCTGTCAGTTTCAGTTTATTCTATTGAATTTTCTTATTAAATGAAACATCTTCTTTACCCATTTTTCCTAGGCATAATGACTGTTTCTTCCTTTCATTCAATCAAATCACATTTATTGAGCAACTATTTGTGCCAGGCATTATGCTTATTTTTTAAATTTAGTCCTTTGCATAGTCTTACTTTTATGTATCCTAAAAGAATATTTAACCCTATTTTCTCACTATTCTAAAGTACCTCACTTCTTTCTTTCTTTTAGCCTGAAATGCTTCAGAAGCCATTAACTCCCAAACTTTGTTGTTTTCACTCGGAAGCTATGTCATTTTTGCCAAGTTTAAAAAATTAAAATGATGGAGCCAAAGTACTCTTTTAAAGTAACAACAAATTCTCCTAATTTGACAGATTTCTGACATCTCACCCTTCTTGATCATAGACAACCCCTCTTGGAACTCCTTGCAATAGACCTGAAATGCTTTCAGCTTGTCTAGTTAGGTGGGCCAGGGTGCTCCAAATCAAGTACATCAGATCACTTCTCTGAATTTAGCCTAATGCATTTTCCTCTTATTTTTGTTTTGCATTAAAAAGAGGTGATACCTCTGGATAATATGAAAATAGCAAGGCAAATACTCTATCACTGGATCTTATTCTTGTCCCAACCTAATTATTAGTAGTCCCCCTTTCACTATTAAAAGTGTCCTAGTTTGGATCATAAATTATATGATCACTTTATGTATAACACATATTCTTTTGCATTTGTATTTCCTCCATTCCTCAGTTCTCAAATTAATTTATGTTCAGGAATAATTTGAATTTTTGCGTTTGCTATTAGGTTAAGTACCGAGAAAATTTCGACAAAGAAAAGGGCAAGACGCCAAAATACAACCCAAAAGACAGCCAGCTCTACAAGGTCATGAAAGATGCTAACAATCTCGCAAGTGAGGTATGATTTTTTCCTAAATTATGGTAAAATACATAACATGAAATTTGTCATTTTTACTATTTTTCCAGGCAATAATCACACTCACAATTTTGTCCAGCTCCCACCATGATTTCCAAAACTTTTTATCACTCCAAATAGAAACTCTATATTAAGCAAATAACTCTCCATTCCCCCTGCTGGTAATCTCTAATCTACTTTGTGTCCCTGTGAATTTGCCGGTTAGAGATCTCATATAGGTGGAATCACACAATATTTGTCCTGTTTTTTCTGGCTGACTTCACCTCGCATAATGTTTTCAGGGTTCGTCCGTGTTGTGGTATGTATCAGATCTTCATTCCTGTTTCTAGGTAGATAACATTCCACGGTAGGTATCAGCATTGTGTTGACTCACTCATCTGTCGCCGCGTCGTGTGGCTTCCCCTTCTTGGCTACATGAATTAGGGATGGCTTTTCATTCCCTTTCCCAGCGTTTGTTCCAGGATGAGTCTTTCCACCCCTACTGTTCACCGTTTGCTGTTTATGCGACACCCTCTTTTCCTCTTAACATGCAGGTTAAATACAAGGCTGACCTGAAGAAACTTCACAAGCCTGTGACCGACATGAAGGAGTCTCTGATAATGAATCACGTCCTGAATACGAGCCAGCTGGCCAGCTCCGTAAGCTCAGACGCGCTCCGGCAGCCGCTCCTCTCAGCCCAGCCCCTTCCCTGAGCCCCGGCCTCTCCTGTGCAGCTGAGACGCGGGGCCGATGAGAAAGCCCTTCTCCTGTCCGGTGCATCCCTCCGAACTGCAGCAGCAATCCACCGCTTCCCCACTCACTGTAACACCTCTCGGAACATGCTTTTATTTTTAGATGATTTTAACTCGTTTTCCAACTAGCCAATCCTTTCCCTCCATTAAAAGACCTCTTTCACTTTTAACTTTTCACTCTTAAAAGCCACTCTGAATAAGCCATATAACCTAAGCGTTTACATCCTGTATCCACTGACAGTGCTGAACATGGATCTTCATTCTTTAAAACGTTTTCTTAACCCCCTAGGTAGCGTTTGCTAATTTTAATTTGGTCTTGATACTGCCGCTGTGTCAAGTACCTAATCTTAAGGGGGAAAAGAGGAATGCCAGGCAGCTTTAACATCACGCGCCTTTTTGCCCCCTTCCCCTCAGTACCAGTACAAGAAGAACTATGAGAAGAGTAAAGGCCACTACCACACAATACCTGATAACCTGGAGCAGCTTCACCTAAAAGAAGCCACAGAGCTACAGAGCCTAGTAAGTTGATCAAGGCTGACCATTTCCCACGCTCATTCATCTGCAGTGTCAAAAACTTGCATGGATTCCCCTTAGGACAGTAGTTATAGTTTTAGTAACTATTGCTTGAGAAAATGTCCAAAGATAATAAGGGGTTCTGAATTTAGTAACATTTTGAAACAAATTGTTATGTCATCAATGATAACAGCATCAACATGTATTGGAGGAACAGTATATAGACAACCAATTTGTGTGAGTCAGGTCACTGACTGGGACTGGAAGCATAAGATGATGTTACAAGGGGGCAAACCCCTTACAGTAACCCTGATGTGCCCCCATGAGCCTGGATGATAGGCTTAGGAAGATTTTAAGCAGAAAAGTGATATGATCAGATCTACCAGTGAAGTAATCTCTGGGTATATTAGAAATCACAAAATTTGCAAAATTATGAAGGAAAGAACTCAGAGAAGGAGCTTTCTGTCACATAGCCTCCTATATTACAAATTTGTCTGTATTAAGATCCCTTGTTGGGCATTAATCAAGAGGGATAATTACTAGAAACGTCCCCATGTCATCTGTAAAGCAGCACATGCCCCCAGGCCTCTATAATGTGTTGTTACAAGAAAAAGAGCTGATACTGAGCATTGCTGCTAAGATGCTGGATGAACAAGGGCCTCTGCCCTTTTATCCTCATGGATTGTATTTGTAAAATAGTGTTGGGAGGATTTTAGAGAATGTCAGGTTTATTGGTAAGTTAGTCAACATATAAAATAGTTTTCATTTTTATACCAATTTATGTTGGTTGCATTAAACACTGGACCATTTATAACCCAGATGGAGTTATTAACCTATAAAGTGGCATGCATTATCTATCAAATCAAATCTGTCTGATAAAAGTTCTTATGAAAGAAAAACTGGAAATTTTTTAAAATAAAAAATATTGGCGCCATGTTTAAAATGTTCACATCCACACATATCAAATCGTGGCCAACCATATCTGTGGGTGATCTTTCCCATGCATTTCCTGGCCTCAACGTTTCACTCTGCCGATCCTTCTGCAGTGATTCTTTTGTCTCCGTGAATTGAACACACATCCTGAGTATGCCTTGCAGGCAGTAATGGTGTTTTCCCCCAGGCAGCAACAAAAAGGTTATGGATCTGCCTTGAGTGGATGTAATGTATCAATTGAAAAAATATTATCATTAAGCTGATATCTGTCTACAAATTGAACTGAGGAGTGATATCTAATAAGGCTTTTTATGACTAGGTGAAATACAAAGAAAAGTATGAAAAGGAACGAGGAAAGCCCATGTTGGACTTTGAAACACCAACGTACATCACTGCCAAAGAGTCTCAGCAGATGCAAAGTGGGGTAAGTCCCAAAAAAACACACCACACAACACACCATCAACCTGATGAAAACAAGCTCTGCCCACAAATGCATCCAGCCTTCTGTTATCCAAAAGTGGTAGATGATGGGATGTTTTAACATGTGATCACTAAAATCCTATGGCTCAGTTATCAAAAATATTCTGAAGAGTAAAATTTACCATATGTTTTATTTTTACTCAATTTTATAGAAATAGAACACAATAAACTATTCCTAACACTGAAAGAAATTATATTGAATAAAATATATATTTTTTCATGAATGAAACATTCCTTCTGCATAGACTTACCTTCAGCTTTGGATTACTCTTCTCTTGATAGGTAGCCCCAAGCCACACAAAAGGAGATTAGCAATCAAGATGCTTATCAAAATATAGAAAGTCATAATTCCTACTTTAGAAACATAAGCAGAGGCATCTAAAAATAATTTTGTTCACATAACCTACTCAGTGGTTAAAAATAATAGATCATGATTATGAAAAAGGCCAAGTTTGTATTTGGTGCCCTCAGGCTCTCCTTCTTCTCGGTTGTTTTATTTTTTTCTCCTTGAGTCACTTACTTCTAATTCAGAAGTAAAATCTTTTGTTGCCTTAAGAAAAATGTCATCAGGAGAGATGACAGTGGATTCATGGGTCCTTCCCTCCCAGTCACAGCGGTGAATGCAGGGCTCATCAAAGTTTCTCAACCCCTGCATTTCCTTGAGGCCATTTGCTCTAGACAAAGCATTTCCAGAACAATCAGACATGTTTCAAATATGGTGCCATCAGCAGAACTATGATCAAGTTAAGAGGCCAACATAAAAAGAAAATATAATAGTTTGTCTTCTTAAGGTGGAAATATAAATGATAATAAAGATTGTTTTTTTCTTAACTTGTCTTTTCTTCCTACTCACATTAGAAAGAATATAGGAAAGAATATGATGAGTCCATCAAAGGCAGAAACCTGACTGGCCTGGAGGTCACACCAGCTTTATTACATGTCAAATATGCAACCAAAATAGCCAGCGAGGTAGTGTCCAGTCGGTCTTTTCTTTCCCTCTTGATCCAATGTTCCTTCTACCATTTTCACCACCATCTAACTTTGAGGGTTTCAACTTGGGTTCACGTTTGGTCACCTAATCTATGACCCATGTTCATTCTTCTAATTTTTAAATTGAAGACTTAATAAAATGTGCTTGCCTTACCATTCTATGAATTTCTAGGTTTTTTTAATGAATATTTAATATTAACTGATGAAGCTTATACCCTGCTTTTATTGATATCTTTATTTACTAAACTGTATCTGTTTAAAATTGGAAGGGTATTTTATCTTTTGGGTTTTGGGCTCTTTACCAGAAAGGAGCAATCCAGGCTTTCTGGTCTTCATTGTTGCTTTTATTTTGTGATGTAGAAAGAGTACAGGAGAGATCTAGAGGAAAGCATCCGTGGGAAGGGTCTCACTGAAATGGAAGATACTCCCGACATGATAAGAGCAAAGAACGCCACTCAGATCCTCAATGAGGTGGGTCCACAGCTAACAGAAGGCACAGGATTCACAGAGCATCTTTTACTTTCCTAGCCAAGTTACACACACACACACATCCAAAGAGATGAAAAGAGAGTTCTTGAATTTCAAATTCCATATCCAACATGATTATTACCATTAAATAAAATATATCTTAATTTCTAAGGAGTTGATATTATAACAATCTGTGTCTGTAGTGGCTATCGCTGTCATAACCTGTTATTTGTCTAATATTATTTGGTTTAACCTTGATCCATTTGATGTGCTCATTTAAATAAAAACACCACATGGAAGTGGTGTGCACCTAAGTTTAATCCTAGTTGTTACCAAACCAGATTTAAAATTTGCTTTATACTTTAATTTTCTAAATAGAGGGTGCTAGAGTTCAAAGGAGGCCTTAAAATGGATTTTGGTGGCCACCATTGCATCTTACCGTAGGGAAGGATGAACACTAGCAGCTAAGGTGGCATGTTACATGGATTTATATTTACTCTGTACATTTATTACCTAATCGTGGAAGTAAGGTAACTTTTTTTTTTAAATGCTACTATAGAAAGAATATAAGAGAGACCTGGAGCTCGAAGTCAAAGGAAAAGGCCTGAATGCCATGGCCAATGAAACTCCTGACTTTATGAGGGCCAAGAATGCTACTGATATTGCCAGCCAGGTCAGTGTCAATATTTCATGTCAATCTTTCAAAAAAGTAGCTGTGATTACAGGGACACAGATTGTCCTTCTATTATTTTACACATTGATCCAACAACAGTCAAATGCATGTAGTGTCATTCTTAAACATCTGCCTGGGAGTCCATTCTAATCCATTCCCTTTGCCAGGCCTGCTTCCATCTGCCTTTCTGAGTCTATAGCCACAGGAGACATTCAGAGCAAAGGGCAGAAGTTGGGGAACCAAATGGAGATGGTGTAGACTCTCTGACATCCTGGCCTTGTTTCTTAGTCAGTACACTCTTCATTTGGCACCAAGAATTCCTTGCTTAGAATATTTTGGGAGTTCTTTCTTTCCTTCCTTTGAAGGCTTAAATTTATAACAAAGTTTTTAGGCATCTCACATTGTCTTATAGTGATTGGTATGGGTCTTTGCTTACTTGTCCTGCTACCAACTCATGTATGTAAACAATCCATGCCTTACTACCTGCTGATTATCTCCCTCATTTCCCATTTCCCCTCCCATCTCCCCTCTCTCTTCCTCCTCTCCTGTTCCCATGCCCAACTAGTCTTTCAACAGCTAGAACTCATTCTTTCTGAATTTCACTCTTTAGTGTAAAGCTATAAACAGAATAGGAAAAATGTCTGTTGATTGTCAAATGAATGAATTTTTTTGGAAAAGAAACATTGGTCAAATTAATCAAATTAAACCAACAAGTGTTGTGCACATTGTAAACATTTACCCATTTGCTGGGTGTTCTTTTGCAGATTAAGTACAAGCAATCAGCAGAAATGGAAAAAGCCAATTTTACTTCTGTGGTTGATACTCCAGAGATCATTCATGCCCAGCAAGTCAAGAACCTTTCAAGTCAGGTAAGGACATTCATCACTCATTGACCCCAATCATGAAGAACAAAGTCTTTTCATTAATTCATAAGGAAGTTCTTTCACAGTTTTGCACAATAAAAGAGAAGGGATTTATCTATGATGCAAGTTTGAGTCAAAGTTTAGATTTTTGCATCAGAATTACAACAAATTATGAGAGAATCTTAAGGTACTGAAGAACTCTTACAAAGAATCCATCATTTATGAATCAGTATTTTAACATGCAAAGTCTCTTATAATGTGGATGTAAAATTTGTGTTCAGATCTGGAAGAAACAAAGTAGACAGTCCACATTTGGATTATCGGTTTCTTTAACAAGATTGAGATTGTGTCATCAGATTGTGCTAACCACACAATCTAACCCTGATTCCTCCCATGGTGGGTAACTCTCCAGAGTTATCCTACAGAGAGAGAAAGAAATGTAGGATGTCCTTCATACACCAGGATGTATATATTCTCATTTGTTTTAATCTTCTATGCTACCAGGAGTCTGCAATTTATTTGAGTAGCCCTGAATTAGAATTTTTGCTGTCTTCCGATCAGAGCTCTAAAGCAGTAGTTATCTGACCTCGCTATGCTTTTTGTTGTTGTTGTTCAAAATATTACAGATATCCCTTTTTCTCTCCATTGACCCATTTCTTCCCTTCCCACCCCTTCCCCAGTCCNGTTGTTGTTCAAAATATTACAGATATCCCTTTTTCTCTCCATTGACCCATTTCTCCCCTTCCCACCCCTTCCCCAGTCCCTCTCCACACCGTTGTCCATGTCCTTGGGTTGTGCATATATGCATGTAAGTTCTTTGGTTAATCTCTCTCCCTCCACCCACCCGCCCCCCTCCATCCCTCTGAGATTCATCAGTCTGATCCATGCTTCCATGTCATTGAATCATTTCTGTTCATCAGTTTATTAAGTTCTTTAGATTCTATATATAAGTGAGATAATGTGATGTTTGTCTTTCTCTGCCTGGCTTATTTCGCTTAGTGTAATATTCTCTACTGACCTGGCTATGCTTGATAAACACCTGGGAATGTAGTTTTCCCCATTCCACCCTGGAATTTTGAAGCTAGTAAGTCTGATGTAGGCCCTGGAAATCTGTTTTGCTTATTTATTTGTTTGTTTCTAATCTCCACAGATGATCCCTTAATGATAATCAGGTTGGAAGAATCACCAATTTAAACACTTTGTTAGAAACATATAATTTTATATCATAAAGTTTGACAAAATATAGTTGTCACCAGAGAGTGGCTTTGTTAGGAAGCAGATATATTCAAATGTGAGAACTGAACCTCTTATTTTGGAGGTGGGAGGTGGGGAAGAATTTGATTAGCAAAATTATATGGGCCCTAAACTACCATGTTTGTGTTCTGGGGCTATGGAAGCCTCATCAGCCAAACAACCTCTGCCTCTTGACCTTGTTAACCTTTAAGGAAAAGCTCAGCAAATGGACCTTTTCCAGGGAGGGATTGATTCACTTACTCTGCTCTCGTGTGCTTTCTTAGGCATCTCCTGGGCTGGTTCCCCAAAGCCTGAAATACAGCCAGGCAGGTTTCTTCCTTCCCAGCTCAGATCAGAATTTTCCTCTGGGCGATGGAATGGTGCTGGTGCTTTCCACAAAACTGCTTCTCGGTTTCCACTGGGGATACATAGTTTATAACTTATAAACTTCACACTTGGGGGTTAATGCAAGAGGTGTGAGCTGACCCACAAATTCAGAATAACATTCTGAATACCACTTCATGCCAGGAAGCCTGGGACTCCCTCCTCTCAGAATGCCCCTAAATTCTTTGTGCAAACTGATCACTCTTCTTAGGGACTGGCACTTACTCTGCAAACCAGTTAAAACAGCTTTTGCTAAAGAAAAGGAGGTCTGGTTCTTTCCTTTTCCCAGGACTGTGAGAACCCTTTGCCTCATATTTGCATACGTAAGAAGAATCATTCCAGTGACTTTCTCCTGAAGGAAAACCTCTGTTCCCAGGGAACTGACCTTTCCTTCCAGAAACGTCCGCTCTAACTGGCTTCCTGTTAGCGCAACAAAATCCAAGCCGAAATCTCTTATTGGCTGAAACTGTGTCTCTTTTGTTGTTCCTGAGGGGATTAAATTTTTCAACACTTATAAATGTAATTTGTGTACAGGGTGGGACAAAAGTAGGTTTACAGTTGTGAGCAGGAGAAACAGTTTATTCTTGCATTATTACTTATTTATTATTTTATTATTTTCCATATGAACAACTGTAAACCTACTTCTGCCCCACCCTGTGTTATATGATTTAAATAAAGCTCTATAGAAAGAATAGTTTTATCCCCATTATAAAGGTAGCTAGTCTCTTTTCTCAGCCCTCAGCCCTATATACCAATAGCTCCCTGAGAATTGGCAGAAAGTAGAGCTAGAAAGGGAAGTGGAAGGACTTGGTGACAAGTGAGAAAAGAAAAATCAGGCTCTAAGGCACAGTAAGTGTTGCATTTTTTAAAACTGGAGATAATTAGTGTAGTCCAGGGGGATGGACTGCGTGGATGTCTGGGGAAAGACCAGGCCCTGTGGGCAGTCTCTCTGACCAAAGGCTGAGTGTGAGTGGGAAAGCCTAAGAAAAGTGATGGTTGGCTCAGCACAGTCCTCAGCCAGTTGGTTCATTGGTCATTTGGTCATGGTGGTGGGCCCACGTCAATTTACTGAGCTTCCAGTTCACCAGGCCAGTTTCAGCGATGTCAGAAGGGTATTCTGGAAGCCCCTGCTGGTCCTCCCCAGCTGCTCTGTCCTGTAGCCAGCCGCCCCGACCTCCTGCTCATGGCTCAGCAAAAATATCCTTGTTACTAAATAAGGCCAGTGTTCAGGAGGCCTTGTTGATCGCTCTTAACTCCCATGCTTTTCTCCACCTGCCCGTTGAATAGTCTGGCTCCATCCAGTTCACTGTAGGCATCCCCATCTCCCTGCCAGGAGCAGCGCTGGCTGTCACCTCCCGTATGTGGACCAGCCAAGAAACACCTTCCTCTGCCAGCTTTGCCATGACAGTGGGTCCTAGTAAATACCTGGGCTCAGTCCTCCAGGAAAGACAAGGCATGGTGCTACTCACTGAGAGAGCTCTGCTTTCTAACTCTCTAACACCCTTGAACAGCCAGGAAAATACAGAAGTCTTTCCCTCTGCTGAGCAGAAAGGGCTATTTTAGGTCCCATGGATTCATCTCCCTGTGGTGTTCACCATCCTGATTTTTGGAATCTATTCCCAGAAAAAGTACAAGGAAGATGCGGAGAAGAGCATGTCCTATTATGAGACGGTCTTGGACACCCCGGAGATGCAGAGGGTTCGGGAGAACCAAAAGAACTTCAGCCTTGTAAGTTTTTATTGAATCTGTGACACAGCCCATGGGTACCTGGGATGAGGTGGGGCAAGGAGGCTGCCCCTGGGCACACACACTTGGGCATCCCCCCTGCAGGGGGTCATGGAGCAGCCCCTTACAACTCCCACCCTCTGCCCCAGAAATGTGTGCTCCGGACTTCTCCAGACTCACCTCATATTTCAAGCCCAATCAGAGCATGACAAACCCCATCTGTCACTTTGAGGTGACTTCCTGTCACTGAATATGAACTATCCCCATTTTTCATTAGTGGCAACTTCTGTCTTTTTCACAGTTAATTCTAGGTAAGGTATACATTTAAAAAAAACTAATATTACATGTTACAAGTTTTAGGGTTTTTAAAAATTAGTCTCTCCACAAACTTCTTATTAAAGAATTTCCCTTTGGCTATCAGACTGTGATTATTGTGGCATAGACGTTTTTTTAAAATACAGGACTTTAACTTCCTTCACACGATATAAGACCACTAAAAATATATAAAACAAGGCTGAAATCTTTACAAAATGTTTGCCCTTTCTTCATAGCTCCAATACCAGTGTGACCTTAAGAACAGCAAAGGGAAAATTACAGTTGTTCAAGACACACCAGAAATACTACGTGTGAAAGAAAATCAAAAGAATTTCAGCTCGGTATATTTACTCTTTATTTTCCACTCAGTGTTAACCTAATAATTCTATACTCTTTAAAAATATACTAGCCTCACGTTTATTCAGACAATTAACATCTAACCTCCCCAGTTAATACCAGCAGTTATTTGTTAACATTCCCCATACTTTGCTGTAAAATCACCATTCCAGAGAGCATTTGCATAACAATTTAAATCTGCTAACAAAGTAACCTTTCTTTCTTTAAATTTTTTAAATCCCACAGCAGTAACAATTGTCTTGTTCCAGGAAAATGGATTTTTTTTTTACACTGATTTCTTTTATTATCCCTCCCCCAAATAATCAACTGACTTTGCATTTCTTTCATGGATTTTGTATTTCATATGAGTGTGAGTTTTTTAAAATCAACATTATCTGGATTTTTCTCATTCTGAACTAGTACAGGATGATAATCTTAAGAGAAATCTCAAAATCTAGAAAGTGACCCCTTGTTGCATGTAGGAGTCACTGATGCTGACGTGGAAGACGTCGGATACTTGGGCACTTGTCCAAGAACATTCCCTAGGTCTCCTGTTTTCACAGAAGCTATGTTTCCTGCACTCTCTCTAGGACCTGCTGGGTTTTCCTTTCTTCTCTATAACACTGTCTTGTTTCTGAATGTCCAGGTTTTATATAAAGAGGACCTCTCGCCAGGAACAGCGATTGGAAAGACACCTGAGATGATGAGAGTGAAGCAAACACAGGACCACATTAGCTCGGTAAAGATGCCCGCCGTGGACTCGCTTTCGATATTTTCTACCTCCTCTTGATAATTTACACGGATGTCCGAGCTACACTCAAAACCTTTGTCACCAAAAGCAGCTTAAGTTGCTAAACTCGGTGCCTGCGGTTAGGGTCTCCTCACTGTCAGTGAGCGCCGTGGCCGTCTTCGTGAGAGGTTAGATGTGGGGAACAGAGAGGCCTGTGTCAGAGCGAACCAGAGCTGGGCTGTAGGTAACGTGGTAAAAACCCGATTTAATTCAGGACCACTGCATTATAGGGGAATGCGGTCCCAGTATAGAACTGGACTCCATTTAGAATACAAGGAAAAAGTGATCGTTCAGAGCTGGGGGTGGGGCGGGCAGGGAGGGGGTCAGTGGATGGAGAATGGCTCAGAGAAAACATCTGGGGTACGGAAGCTTGTGGCTGAACCCACCTGACAGGACTCTTGCAGGAGGCGGGCTGGGGTGATCAGGCTGCGCCTGTGGATGGTGGGGGTGATCAGACAGCAAGGGTGGGAGATTCTGGCTAAACTGACTTACTAGGATTTTTGCTAAAACTGGGCAATGCGAAGATGGATGCTGAAGTCAAAGAGCTGAGGCCTAGTTGGGAAGCAGACTCAGAGGAGCCTGAGTAAAGTTCGGTTATGGAGAGACTGTCACTTGTCAGAAAATAGAGCATGTTAGAGTCAAAGATTTACCCTTCCTGGATCTATGTATGGGAATGTGTCTGCCCTCATCAAATACATGGTTGGATATGAAACCGAGTACGCTGGAAGAGAAGGGGCTACGGTCGACGTATGGAGCCCCACGCCTACCCCGCCCCCAGAGACAAGAGCAGCCAAGTGCCCTTGCCCTTGGCACTGTTCTCCTCTCACCCAGCTTCAGAATGTGGCCCCGCTCAAACTAAGGGTAGAGCTCGTGCTGTTTAATTGTGATTTTAAAAATTGTGGGACCACTTATCAAACACATCGCACCTGTTCCCCGTTTTATATCTACAGGTGAAGTATAAGGAGGCAATTGGACAAGGAACCCCAATCCCCGACCTGCCAGAAGTGAAGCGTGTCAAAGAGACGCAGAAGCACATCAGCTCGGTAGGGTCCCATATGCCCGTCCGCATGCTTTTGTGCAACCAGCCCCGAGCCGATCACCACCGAGCTCCATCTCACCCCTTCTTCCTTCTACCAAGGGCTTCCCATGCCTTGGGGATGGTGTGAACCCTCTCTTGGTCCTGAGAGGAGCACTACAATTTGCAAAAGTAGATAAGACACCTCTGTCTTCACGTGGTCAAGGAGCAGAAGGGACTTGGCTTCTTGATTAATCATCACTCCTGCAATTTTTAAAGTGAAATGTGCCAACAGTAGTAATAGGTTATTGGATGATCTCGAGTTAGTTAACCAAAAGCATATACATATAAACATAAAAGTAATATAAAATAATTTATATGTATGTACATATATATGTGTGTGTGCATGTGTGTATATATCTCAGGACATTCTCCACCGTCCAGAAAACCCTAGGGAGACATGAAGGCCCTGCAGCCTTCTCTCCTCCCTTCCAAGACTCCTTGCCCTGGATGCTCTGCTCTCTCCTTGTAACTGCAGCGCGTGTTTAAGGTGCTAGCTGTCATCTACCCACAAGGGTCCATTATATGTTAAGCCTGTTCTCTGACAAGGATTTCAGGTGCACACACACATACACTTTCTCATCCATAAGCAGATTGTAAGCAATTGCTGGCTACTAGCAAGAGACTGTAAAGTTTGGGAAATAGTTATGGCCAATAGAAGGGGAAGACTTGTTCTTAGAGATTCTTCTGGCCGCCGGAGGACTGAACTCTCATTTAATTTCTATCAGAAGACAGTTGATATTTCTCTTGCATGTTGTTCACATTATTTAGACATCAATCCCTTTTCATTCCCTGCTTGCACTCTGGCTTCCTGGTGGGTCAAGCTTCACTTAGAGTTTTGTGTCCACTAATCCAAGAAAACTAGCCCATAGCTCCTTTGTCACTTTTCATTGTAAGCTCCTGTCTTTCTCTGGTTTTATTTTGTTCTGCTGTCCGTGATCAGTTCTGCTGCCTTGCTGGGTAAAGAAACACAACTTTGTACCAAGATGGTAGGCTTTTAATGGTCCCTAGAAGTTTCCTAGCAAAGCAAAGATAACAACGCTAGTTGGTCAGTGATTTTAGGAATTCATCTGTGACACAAACCCTTAGATTTTTCATGTTATTCCCACACCAGGTGCTAGTACACCATAGAATCCATCCATTTAAAAAGAGTTCATTCTTACCTCTCTGGAACATATTGAAATAAATATTTGATAGTACATGTGAAAAAAATAAAATAAAAAGAGTTCATTCATTCCTGTAGACTGAAAATTCTTAACATTCAGCAGGAAGGAAGCTAGAGTTTCAGAAAGTTCTTCAGTCTTCATGACAATGTCCAGTCCTCTGACACTACCCCTAACAAATAGAGACTTACCCCGTTAGCAAAACACCAGTTTACATGATCTAGCAATCACCGCTAAAAATTTCAGGGAAAGTTGCTCTTCCTGAAAAAGTCAGCCGCTTAAGTCTCCTCACATTAAGGGTACAGACGAGGGGCCAGCTAGGAATCTTCAGTAAAAAATACAAAACAAACAGAAAATTCTTAATAAAGTGAAGGAATAGAGTGTCATGTCATTAGAAAATTTTAAACCAAGCAACTTATTTATTAAGTAACATAGATTTCCCATGGACCTACTATATTAAAGGCACTAATATAAGATGTTCCGAAATGGAGAGATTTTTCTCATTGCTGAGTTTACTGCTACTATTTAGTGCATTTTAGGCATCTGCTAAGTGCTGACTATAGAAAATGCAAAATTTAGTGCACAGTTTTCAAGGTAGTAAAATTTCTACTTTCGAAGAGAGAATGTAAATGTTTGTGGAATTATTTTTCTTTATTCTTTGAGTGTCATATTTGAAAGCGAGATTGTTTTTATGAGTTTCCACCAACTAGCACATGTGTAGCTGTAATACAAAGGATTCGCGCTCATTTTACCTTTTTGAGCATTCTAATTATCTCCTACAGGTTATGTACAAAGAAAACTTGGGAACAGGCATTCCAACCTCTGTCACTCCAGAGATTGAGAGAGTTAAACGCAATCAAGAGAACTTTAGCTCGGTATTTATAAATATATCAAATAAGAAACTATTTCCCATTAAAAAAATTTACCAGAATAACCCATCATCCTTTTCTTAAAAGTAACATCTTAACAGCAATTCTGTGTGTACTTGTGTCTCTGTGTGTATGTGTGTGTGTTATTACCTGACCAAAACCATCTGGGCTCTCACAAAGTGACTCCCTTTTCCGATGGTACTTTAACACTTTCAGCCACTGACAAGTGTGAGCACTTAGATGTGAAATACTGTAAGTAAAATTAACCCAAGACCCCTCATCACTATACTCATATCTTAAACTCAGCGCTTTCCTTTGCTTTTTCATTCTCAGAATTAGCCTTGTAGAGTTCATTAAAATCATAAAGGAAAAGCACTATCCTTACTAAATATTATTCACTAAAAAACTCTTCCCTCACATACCCCTGTCTTTAAGTTTCTCCCTCCCTTAATCTTTGTGCTTGTTTTGAATGTCTTTTGGGTACTTTCTTGTATCTCACAGGTTTTGTACAAAGAAAATTTGGGGACAGGAACCCCAACACCTATCACTCCAGAGATGGAGAGAGTCAAACGCAATCAAGAGAACGTTAGCTCGGTATTTCTTAGGGGACAAAAATAAAATCCCTTAATCCGTATTTAAAATAATATTTTAACACATTACAAACATCTGATTTTTCTTCCTATAAAATTACTAAATTTATATAAAAATAATGATACCAAATATTACCTCAGTTTTTAATCTAAGTCTAATTTAGTATTTACTTTAGTTCTGGTGTGAAATTTTAACTATTTTCCCTAAAACATAGTATTGATCACTTTCCTCAAATTCCTGTAATACTTGGTGTTTCCTTCCTCAGATCCTCCTAGAATAACAATAGGTGTGTCTAACTGGTGTGGCACTCGTCAGAAGTAAAATCTAACACCCCCTTTTAAAGGTCAATGTTAATTAGAACTTTAGTGGTATTTATTCTGGCTCTGTTTGATGTATTTTTTGTGTTTGCAGAAAAAAGATTCTTTTAAAAAAAAAAAAGATTCTTAAATATTTTCATTCAAAAGACAACATAGCAATTTTTAGTAACTCAGAAATACAAATTTCATTAACTTAGCTATTTTTGTATACCACAAGATCGTAACTGAGCTTTCCTTTGGAATAGTTTCAGGATCACTGAAAGCTACTCTTTATTTCGCGTTTAATATTTGTTAATATTTATTTTATTCCCCACTCCCCCCGTTCCCTAATTTAGAGTTATGAACAACTCATTATAGATATTAATTTCAGTTCACTTGAATGCTATTTGATAAGGCCGAGTCCTTCTGCCTTCGAGAGAAGGCCTGTGTGGTGACTCCTGCTTGCATCCCGGCAGTTGGGTCTGTTTTAATGCTGCTTAGAGATAGAAATCATACTGTTTGACTAAATGTCCAAATGTGGCCTATAGTTCAATTCCTTAAAGTTATTTAGGCCTATATGCAATAATTATGAAGACAAACAAGCAAAACTACTTTTAGAGACTATTTTAAAGGTTACGTCTACCTAAAAGATGGGTCCAGGCTGATTTGATTGTTGGTTTTGTGCACACAGATTTTGTACAAAGAGAATTTGAACAAGGGGACCCCCATACCTGTCACTCCTGAGATGGAGAGAGTCAAACGCAATCAAGAAAACTTTAGCTCGGTATTTGGCAGAAAGCTCCTTTAACTCCATATTAAAAAAAATAATAATAACTTCCTATAAACCCAAACTTATTATGAGTCTCTAAAATTCTCAATTTAACAAGTTCTTATTTTAAATCTCATCAACTGAATCTTTCTGTTTTCCAGATCTTTAACCACCATTTGATTCTAACGTTTTATACCTTCTATAATAGTCCCTTAAAACTTTTAATTGGTTCCTTTCCTTCTCTTTTCACCTTTTATGTTACTACTGGGACTTTTGAAGTTAACTGATGTCCAAAAAACCCCCAAACACTGTAGTTATTACTTACTTGGAACTCTTTTTATTCAATATTTCTGAGTTGGCACAGCAAGACACAGGATTGAGGTCCCAGGTAAAAATAGTGGCTCTTGCTTGGGAACAGGGGTTACCTTAGCATAGATCATATCTTGAAAAACAGCAGTACTGAGAAAGAAAATGGCTCAGTGAGGGACCCAAAGCAATCTCATCTTGGTACTTGTCTTAAACAAGCCATTCCAGAAACAGAAATCCAAACCTTCTGATTTGTTTTTAACACACAAATCAGATCATAAGCTTATATTTAACGTTATTTTCTCTTGTATTATTGTTATTGCTGAAAACCTCTATAATCCTCAAAGGGTCTGTGAAATTTCTATATAAGGATCCTAGATTCAGATCTAAAATCTAAATCAGATCTAATCAAATGTTACTATGAAAATTTAGCTGGAATTTATTTTTGGGAGGGATGGGAGGAAGTTTGATCCAATATGGTTTTAAATTGTCAGTTTAAATATTTTTTTAAAGTTTGATTATTTCACATAATTAGATCTGTAACTTTCTTTGGTCCCACTGTCTTTTTTAAATAATATTTTTTATTTTTTCAATTACAGTTGACATACAGTATTATATTAGTTTCAGGTATACAACATAAAGATTAGACATTTATATAATTTACAAAGTGGTCACCCTGATAAGTCCCACTGTATTTTTGTTTTGTTTTCCTTTGTTTTTAATTACTACTCACTAACAATCTCTTGATTTGGTTTAAATTTTCAATGTAAATTAATATTACTTTGGGAATGTTACAGTCACTGTTTTCCTTGTGGGTTTATTATTATTATTATTATTTCTTCTTTTGCAAAGGTTAGCATTAATTTTTCAAAATTATTTTCAATTATTTTTTTCTATAGTAGAGTAAGTATATTATTATTTATATCTGTTTAAGATCTTGATGACCCTCATGACCCTGGGCAATTTCTTTTTCTAAGTAACCATTTGTGTTAACTATTACACAAGTTGCATTTAGGCAAATTGTCCAGTGGTGCATAGAGCCTTTATGATACTATGAGAAATAAATGGTGCTATCTATTAAAACCTTGACTTATAGACTTGACCACCTCTGCAATTTGAATTTACTCAGCAAAGATCAATTTTGCCATGTTGCATAGATTTGGCCTGGGGTTTTAAATACCTGTTTTTCTGAAAAACAGATGTTCTGTGTAGGGAAAATAAATATTTGCCAAGCTAATTTAAAAATAATCTTTCTATTGTACACTAAGCACTTTAGTGCTCTTAGGAAATTAGCATTTGCATCTTTTTCTTTATTTCCTGATACAGGAAGCAAACATTTAATAGATGAGTTAGACTAAAAGCTGGGTATCAGGTACACTGGCACTTTTGCTGAGGATACATGGTGCATGTTCTCATCCAGATCTGTCCTGGGAAAGACAGTCTTGCTGGGTGAAGCTGTCTTTCCTGTTCGAGGTCACAGTCTCCTACTAGGTTCCCTACAGAACAGAGAGGAAAGGGCTGTGCTGACTGCTCTTGTTCTTTTGGATGCTTTCTTATGTCGTACAGGTGTTGTATAAAGAGAACCTCGGGCAAGGGATCCCGATTCCCATCACTCCAGAGATGGAGAGAGTCAAACACAATCAAGAAAACTTTAGTTCGGTATTTAAAAAAAAAAAAAAAAAAGCCCTTAACTATTTTTAAAACGTTTTTAAAAAATTAATGGCTATATTTTAAAATCTAATCAATTTATCCCAATAAAAACCTTGGCACGTCTTGTTCGCAACTTAATGCTACCATTTCCTATGAATTAGTTTCCCCATTTTGGTTAAATATTAATATAATCACTTGACTTTAAAAAAAAAGCGTTCAGTATTATATTGCAGCCTTTAAAAGCATAACATTCTCAATGTCTAAGCACCCACATTTATCCTGCTTTGGCAAATTTGACCTGAACATAAGCTTACGAAAGTTTATTCTGCAACAATCAGACTGTTGGCTTCATTTCCTATTCTAACCTCCTCTGTCCCTACTGGTATTTGTATAGATATTTTCAAGGGTTTTTAAATTTATTTATTTTTTTGCATTTTGTCATTACTCTCCATTTGCCTTAAAAATGATTAATTTTCCCCAATATGTTTACCCTAACTAAAAATTAAATACTTGGACTTCTTTTGAAAGTCAGCAAAAGAAGATGTGTGCGTACGTATCTTCATATAAGCAATGTTTATAAAACCCAAATACCCTTATGTGGTTTACTAATAACATTTCCAAATCAAAAATAACTTCCTTGGTTCTGTCTCGCCCTTTGAATTTTCCCCTCCTCGTAACAAGCCGGGAAGGGCTAAGTGTCCCCTGCCGTGGCGCCTCGGTCGCTCAGCGCTGCAGATTAGCTCAACTACACAAATGATAACACTTTCCTTCCCTGCCTCCTGCGGTTCCCCGCTCTTTCCTGCCTTCCCTTGCTTTTTAGGATGTCTCTAGGCGCATTCACGATGGATCTAGAAGCGTGTGGGAATTCCCTTCCTGTAACTCCCTCCTCTTTGCCCTTCTCTCCCCCTGCCCCGCGGGGGAGAGGGGCTGATGCTCTCTGTTCTGGATGCCTTCTTATCGCACAGGTGCTATACAAAGAAAACGTGGGGACAGGAATCCCAGTCTCCATCACGCCTGAGATGCTGAGAGTCAAACACAATCAAGAAAACCTTAGCTCGGTATTTTGGACAGAAAGGAAAAGAAGATGCCGTTTAACCTCATAATTAAATGAATACTAAACATGTCTTCTCTTTTGAAACCCACTTCCCTTCCTTTGCTTCTAATAATACCTCATTTAGCAAAAGGACATAGAGATTTTTGCATTTCTGTGATACTGCTATTGATTCTATTTTCTTTTAATTTCAGTTAATTCTGATTTCTATTCCATCTGGTATTTTAAAATATCTCTTTAAAAAAAAAAAAAGCCTGACTTATCTTTTAGTTTGCTTGGATAACAGCAAAACCGAGTTCTAACCATCTTAAGTCCCCATGTGATTGTTTAGGAGGTACCGTGCTCGTAGAAATGGAAAAATAACATGGATAACTCAGACAGCCTTACGCCCAGCAGCTGACGTCCTTGGTGCCCTAGCGAGTGTTTTCCTATCCCAACAGTGGCTGCCATTCAAGTAGTTTGTGGCATCTTGTCTGCGTATAACTCCTGGCTTCTTAGACTACTGTGTAATTTGGTAATAAGGCAGTTGAACTCACCCTTAAAATCTCACAACAAATGAAATGTTGCTTACGGTTGTTTTCTGGATGCTTTCTCATCACACAGGTGTTATACAAAGAAAACATGGGCAAAGCAACCCCTTTACCTGTCACTCCAGAGATGGAGAGAGTCAAACACAATCAAGAAAATATTAGCACGGTACTTTGGCAAGAAAAGAAAAACTACTACTTTTCAGTGATTTAAAATAATACATATTAATCCTACTTTTAAAAGACAACTTAAATTTTGTGACTTTATCACACTTACCCTTTTTGCCTATAGGGCTGGCTACTCTTAGCCTTAATGCCATAACAAGATTGCTTTAATCCATAATTTAAAATTCTAATATCAGGAAGGAAAGGATTTTCCAATAAAACATTGTTTTGCTCATCTCTCCCCAGACTTACTCTCTATTCACCACCCCCAAGGTCTCTTTGTTTCCCGTACTTGTGAAATTTGGGAGGTGGCATAGTAGGTGTAGAAAGACTTTTTCTGGTACATTGGAGTTGTGGGTTTTTTTGTGTTTTTGTGCCTGTGACTTTAGGTTCTAATCTACCCTGTCAGATTTTTCTACAAAGAGACCTTGGGAAAAATAACCCTTATCTTCTCCTTCACAAATAATGACATAAATTAAGATTCAGCAGTGGTTTTGGCAAATGGTTCTTGATTAACTTATATAAAATAGTGTCACTAGAACTGTTTTTTGTTTTACCAATTTTAGTTCTTTCTGTTCTATTCTCTTGTTCACGGTCTTTAATTGCTAACTTAGTAAACCATGTCCTGTAAGCCTGTGCTCGGTGATATTATATATGTTGATACATTTCCAGGGGGTTGGGGTTTGTGTCAGGATGATGCTAACCTTGCTGCCCAGGGACCCCACTTTGAGACCCACCACTTTAACAGAAACCTTCCTCCAGAATGGCATTTCCCAAACCTCCCATGTCCCCAAGACTGCCACTGAAGAGAGACACCGAGGTTGAGGATTTGTCATGATGTTACGTGTTTCACTGACTTCCCATATAGTGATATAATCGCTGAAAACATTTCCCCTCACTGAGAAGTTTGATGTCGTAGTAAACTACAGCAAGAGGCACAACACAGATGAGAGCAGGGAGAAAAGAGAGGAGAAGCCCTTTGCCCGTTTGAGGGCCTATGGTTTGACTGAGGTGTCTACATGAGCTTAAGTGCTGCACACAGGTCGAGTTCCCCACCGCTGAATCGGGAGCAGCCGTCACCTCCTCAGTGGTGTTCAGGCCCCGGCCCCCAAGTGCTGTTTAGATGATCTGCCGGGCACCTGAAATTCATGGACTAGGGTGGGGTGCAAGGGCCCCTGGTCTCCTTGGCCACGCTGCAGCTCTGCCGGGTAGGCTGCGAGGATGCCAGCGCCGCGTCCTACCTGGGATGCGGGTCTTGCTGTAACTATACCAACATCCTCTGGAAGCATATTCCTTCCCGTCTAACCTCACTGCCCAAATCCTTTGGCACCCTGTGCCTCCTAACGAGTTCTCTGTTCTGTTGAATCTTTTGGTAACTATTATTCTTTTTTTTTCTTTCTTTTTTGCTCTTTGGATCCACTGGATTCGTGTAGGTTTTGTACAAAGAAAATATGGGGAAAGCCACCCCAACCCCTGTCACTCCAGAGATGCAGAGAGTGAAACGCAATCAAGAGAACATTAGCTCGGTATTGTCTTGAGAAAGTGCTTTTATTTTTGCAAAGTAACCCCTGCGGTTTGGCCTGCTCCTAACTCCCTCCCAGGTTAAAAACAAACAAAATGCCAGTTTTTTAGAACCTCTTCTAAATGACATACTACCCTTAGTGTTGCCATTAACTGGTTTTTAAGCTTTCTTCGTGAGAGCTATTCTCACTAATAATAATAGATTAAACATGGGATTTTTCTCCCCCAATTGCACTGTATTTAATAGCCTGAAAATTGCCTCCTAGTGACTTTCGGGTCCAACTTTTTATCTCACAGGTGTTATACAAAGACAACCTGGGGAAAGCGACCCCCACACCCTTTACTCCTGAGATGGAAAGAGTCAAACGCAATCAAGAAAACTTTAGCTCGGTATTTCAGAGAGGAAAAAAAGAAATTGTTAAACTTTTAACAAGCCTGGCAAAGATGGTTATACCACTAATTTATCTCACTGTTTTCCCCAAACTTTTGTTTTTCTATTAAAATTCTCCTTACCCACTTAAAAACAAAAAACCATCCCCTCCAGCCCAAACTTCATCTTTTGCTTCATACAATAACATTTTAATGGCTTTCTCTTCCTGAGGCGTTTCTCAGAGTGTGATATAATTTGAGCCATAACACCAGCTAGATGATGGTTTTCAGAAATGGTTTTCTGCTCTCTGATGTCTGGATGCTCTCTTGGCTCCTCTAGGTATTGTACAAAGAAAATATGAGAAAAGCAACTCCGACACCTGTTACTCCAGAGATGGAGAGAGCTAAGCGCAACCAAGAAAACATTAGCTCGGTATTTCCTAGGATTACAAAAAAAAGGAATGCAACATCTTGGACAATAACATTTTAACATCATAAAAATGTGCCTTTCTCATTCAACTGAAAAACACACTAAAATGAAAAAAAAGAGAGGGAAATGCAACATCTTGGAAAATAACATTTTAACACCATAAAAATGTGTACTTTCTTATTCCACTGAAAATTTACACTAAAATTAACACAACTGTGCTTTTAAACTCCAAATGGTCATACTAAGACATAACAAGTTAATTGCCAATGTTTCCCACCTCCCTCTACCCTTTACTTTTCTCTGAGGTAGTTTTATGTAACCAACGGTAACAGATTGACTTCCTAACACCCTTCGTCTTCAGCTTTCCTTTACTTTTAAGGTACTCTAGGAAATAGGTAATACTCTGAAATGGATGCCTTCTCTAGTTTTGATGTTTTGGGTTTTTCGTGTCTGGAGGACTTTGATTACTGTATTTGCATATTGGTTTATAGAATCTGGACATAAACCTACAAAAAAAATGATCACTTGTTTTGAAGGATAGTTCTTTCTAATGTATCACGTTTAGCACCAAATGCGGTCCAATATGCTGGTGCTGGTGCCACAGTTCCCAGCAAATTCAAGAGATCACTTTCTCCCTTTTCCTTTCAAAATTATACTGTGCCTCTTCTCCTTTGAAAGTGCAAGTTACATTTTCAAAGTCGGAACAGACCCTTTGTCTCCGGATGTGAGCCCTGCCCACCGTCCTCATGCTAACCTGTTCCACCCACCATTAGTCACGGGCCTTGCTGGGTCCCAGCAGTGGGCTCAAGCGTCCCTCCCTTCACCTCCACCCGTCGGAAAGGTTTGGAGGCCTCAGAACCATGGCCTGTGCTCATCCGTGTTTCTCCTCCGTCAGGTTCTTTATTCCGATAGCTTCCGGAAACAAATACAAGGCAAAGCTGCCTATGTCCTGGACACCCCGGAGATGAGACGGGTGAGGGAGACCCAACGCCACATCTCAACAGTGAGTCAGGGACTCTTGGGGATTGGCTGGCCCGCCTGTGGGAACGCGGGGAGAAGGAGGTGATCCCACCCTCATTTTCATAAAGCGAATTCATGAAATTTCAGGTGAAATATCATGAAGACTTTGAGAAGCACAAGGGCTGCTTCACACCAGTGGTGACGGACCCTATCACTGAAAGAGTGAAAAAGAACACGCAGGACTTCAGCGACATTAACTATCGAGGGATTCAGAGAAAAGTGGTGGAAATGGAACAAAAACGGAATGACCAGGATCAGGAGACTATTACAGGTGATTGAGCCCTAGGAGGGGGGGAAACTGACTTGAAGTTAAGGAGGTAGAAGAACATCAGCGAATTATCTATAGCAAGGCAAAAGATAAAGGCCCTCGATCTGTTTGTCATTAGGTGTGAAAGGAAACCTCTATTATTTCAGTTTGCAAACCTGACCTCTCTTCTACCTCAGACTTCAATGTCCTCTGAGGAGGAGACACGACTAGAACCTAAGCTAAATTAGTGTTAATCAATCATCCTATGACTTAGTTCAGACCTTGGATTCCAGGTTATTGAGAGAGTCCAGGAACAACATCTCTGATCCTTAATCTCCCTTCCAGGTTTACGTGTCTGGCGTACTAATCCTGGCTCAGTTTTTGACTATGACCCAGCAGAAGACAATATTCAATCCCGAAGCTTACACATGATTAATGGTATGTGATGCCACAAATGTATTACGACAAAGATGTCACCATTTAGGAGGCTAGAGTCAATGGCTTTCTGAAGTTCCTTTCCTCGAAGGTTTTCCGTTTCCTGGGCGGCCCATTCAGCATAAAAATACCTTGACTAGTGGGCCAAACTCATTTTTTAGACAAGCTTCACTGCTTCGGTGTAGGTCTCCCTCAGGCCGCATTATTTTATGTTCCTAAAGAAAAAAAGGGGAGTCACTCTATTAGATAATGAAAAAAGTACATAGGCAAAGGGAAGAGAGAATGGAGTTGATCTTAGCAACTTTCTGAACTCTCTTACGTCAGGGAAGATTAGTCACTCAATGAAACAGGCCACGTGCATGCCTTTATGCCTTCCATTCATGTTAAAAAGTAAAATAACATGTAGTGCCTGCTCTTAAAGGATTTGCACACTAGTCTACTGATGAAGAGAGACAAGTAAACCCTGACAGTGCAGTTTTAAGTCTGCACATGGATTGTGGGAACACAGGGAAAGGGCATCTAAATTGACTTGGAAGTTAGGGAGGACTTTCTGGAGAAGTGAAAGATGGAGTGTGAATGTGAATATTACTGTAATATCTGTTCATTTTGGTGATCCAGGAAAATGGTCTGGGTGGAGGGAAGGAGTAGTCTCAAGGACAGACTCTGGGATTGGTAGCCTGGCTGTACCACTTAACTATCACCTGCCCAATGGTAATTCAACTATTATCTGGAAAATGGGGATGACACCATACATCAGAAGCATTTTGAGGGTTTCATCCATGGAAATCTACTTAAGACCGTGCCTGGTAACAAACAAACAAAAACCAGCGGAGATTCAGTTACTGTAGGCATCCCTGTCATCAAAGTTTCTTCTCTGCTCTCTCTGAAATCTCACCTCCCCCAGCCCAAGCTCAGCGCCGGAGCCGGGAGCAGTCGCGATCAGCCAGTGCACTGAGCGTCAGCGGCGGCGAGGAGAAGTCTGAGCACTCGGAAGGCGCCGACCACCACCTGTCCTCCTACAGCAACGGTGGCATCTTCTTCTCCGCAGCCTCAACAGGTACAAGTGGATGGCGCTGACTCTGGCAACATGGCCGGCCAGCTCACTGGCAGTTACTACTAAGAGAAGCTTTGACTAATAACTAAATTAACTAATTAATCAATTGATCAATTAAAAAATATATATATACTTATCTGGATTCTTCTAATGAGAAAAGACTAGAATTGTGGAGTGGGTACATGAGTTAGATGCTTCATTTTCATTTCCCCTTTCTTGGGAATCATTCTTTTTAAATTAGGGGGAAAGACAGCCCTGCTCAGCTGCTAAACACAAATTTAATGTCTGGCTGTTTTTTTCCTATAAACTATTTTTTCTTCCTTTCAGCTTACAAACATGCAAAAACCACGGAGCTCCCACAACAACGATCATCTTCAGTTGCCACCCAACAGACAACAGTGTCCTCTATCCCATCTCACCCGTCTACTGCTGGAGTAAGTACATGATAAAGGACTTACTCAAATCATCTTATTTTCTGACATGTGCAAAAGTAATTATAGGTATTCTGATTTTTTTAAACCAAACCTTCTATTTTATATAATTTTTTTTTCATTATACATCTCAGGTTAACAGCAATATCAGAAAACCTTCATTATAAAACTAAAATGAATTAAAAAGCATTATTCAATGATTTAAAACAAAACAAAAAAACTAAAGCAAATGCTTAGTTTGGGCTCTTTGGCCCCACTCACTATCTTAAACTAAAGCATTTGCTGCTTGGAATCATTCTTCAAGAATATAAATCTGTGTGCACATGTCACACATGTAAGCATGCCACATCTTAAACCTCTCCTGTTAATATATATTGAAGAGTTAAGTCAAATCATGTTCACAATTCACCAGGCTACTTTATTTTTTTCTTTTAGAGACCCAATTACTATATATTACCTGATTCAATTACCACTGGCCAACTGCATGTGGATGTTGTCAGTTAGGATTGCATAAACCAAGAGCAAATATGGGTTGGCTTTTAAAAGAGAATGCAAATGTTTTTTCCCAGAAGGGAGAAAGGATGCGGGAGAAAGGGCAAACAAAATTTGATAACACAATGAAAATCTTGTGGCTGGAAATCAGGTTCTTTCATGGGATCCCAAGGAAAGCATTCTAGGGACTCACATACGGGGAGGTTGTGGCGTGGTAAAATTTATTTGGGTAGAAATAGTCACCAGACTACTTTAAAACTCTCAGTTTAAGACCCTGGATCTCATTCATAATATCACAAACACATAATTCTTTAGGACTGAAATGAACATGTGTATAAAGAAAACCATCTTTACTAAAAGATCTAAATAAGTATTGAGACCCATTATATTTCAGGAATCTTGTAAAGTTGTAATTTCTCCTAAAATCCATAAATTCAAGGCAATTCCAATCAAAACCCCAATAGCATCTAAAAAAAAACTGTATGTTAATTCTAAAATTTATTTGAAAGAGTAAAGATGCAAAAATAACCAAGTAAATTTTGAAAATGACCATAGGAAAGGACTTAACCATGTTAGAGCAAAACATATATAAAGCTATTATAATTAAATATGGATTTAGCATGAGGATAGATTAAAAAAAAATAATAAAGTCCAAATGTGGACCCTAAAATAAAATAATTATAAGTCAGCATACTATTGGTATGCTCCAAATTTCCAAAGTGAGAGATATCTGCAATATTGTTCCAGTTTTTCAAATTCTTCTCCAAAACACAAGACTGACCTCCTCCAAAGGGAAAGAAAGGCTATAGGGAAAATCAGTACATTCTTTTTTCACACAAACACATATCTATGGTTTTATGAATAGCAGGCGCTCCCCATCCTGGGCCTTTCCCTCTGCCCTCCATCCAATGCTAGGCATCCACTCATGTACTTTCTGTCTGTATATATTTGCCTCTACATACCCATGGACGTTTCATATAAATGAAACTTTTGTGACTAGCTTCCTTTACTTAATGTTTTTTAGTTTTATTTTATTGTTGACAGCATTACAGATGTCTTGTATTTTCTCCCTTTTTGCCCCTCTCCATCCAACCCCCACCCCACCCTTTACTCAATGTTTTGAAGTTCATCCATGTTGTGTCAGGTATCAGTACGTCATTCCTTTTTATTACCAAATAATATTCCATTGTATGGAAATACAACTTTTTAAAATGTATTCATCTTGGTGGGCATTTGAGCTGTTTTCACTTTTGGGCTGTTATGAATAATGCTTTTATGAATAAGTGTGTACAAGCTATTGTATGGACATGTGTTTTCATTCCTCTGGGGTATATCTCGAGGAGCAGAATTGCTAGGTCATATGGGAACTGTATGTTTGACATGGAAAGAACTCCTAAAACTGTTTTCCGAAATGGCTGCACATTTTACAGTCCCATCAGCAGTTTATGAAGATTCCAGCTTCTCCACATCTTCCCCAACACCTGTTACTATCTCTCTTTTTATTATCACCATTCTGGTGTGTGTGAAGTGGTATTTCATTATGGTTTTGATTTGCATTTCCCTGATGACTAGTGAAGTTGTGCATCTCTTCATGTGCTTATTGGTTCTTTGTATACTTCTTTTGGAGAATTCAGATCCTTTGCTCCCCACTTTTTTTTTTTGGTATTAAATGGTAGGAGTTCTTTATATATTCTGGATAGTAATCCCTTATCAGATGTGTTTTGCAAATATTTTCTCCTATTTTGTGAGTTGTCTTTTAACTTTCTGGGTGGTAGTTGTACATTCTCTTTTGGGCAACTTAAGTTTATGGTGTAAATCATAAGAAACCTTAAAATTGGGTGTTTAGGTTAATTGTTGCAAATCTAATATATCTCTCCCCTTTTTTCCATCCTCGTGAATAGAAAATCTTCCGTGCCATGTATGACTATATGGCTGCTGATGCTGATGAGGTGTCCTTCAAGGATGGAGATGCTATAGTTAATGTTCAAGCTATAGATGAAGGTTGGATGTATGGCACTGTGCAGAGGACTGGCAGGACCGGCATGCTCCCAGCCAACTATGTTGAAGCTATTTAGGCATTTCAAAGCATCACGCCTGTCTACAGGACCTACAAATCCTGCAGTCAGTATTTCAGTTTAGCCTCTCCACTGTTACCCAAGTTCTCAAGCTACCTAATGGTTTTTCTGTGTCAATATGATTTATGGTTGTACCATCCTTTACTTTGTCTCCAGTAAAAAAAAAAAAGTTAGCATGACTAATCCGTCCAATCATTAAACTGGCTTACTTCTTTGGTGTCTTCTGGACTTGCACATAAAACAAGAGACAGCATTTAACTCTTAGGCTCATTATTTTTTAAATTGCCACTATCAAATTTTCTCTTGGGTTTTAAAATAAGTTTAATTTCAGAATAGACATTTTAAGTTTCTGCAATAATATATTATTGCTGTATCAACCCAGGTCTTTCTCCATTAATGAAAATGCTTGACATTATTTCTTTTCTAAACAAGGATTCTGAACATGTACACATTAAAGGAAAGATGGCAGAGATGGTCACCTTTTCCTTGCTTACTGAATGCTGATGCTTTTATCTCTAATCCAGTTCTGAAGTTCTAAGCTGATAGTCAATACAAACTGGTGTAAGCTAGTAACTAATAAAACTTATAATTCTGCAACAAATGCCACTGATGGAATGAGCATTATTTTTAATAGTTTTATGATCTATAAATAAAAAATTTCAATAAAGCAAATTCTTTACACTAGACTTCACTAAGAAATTAAACTTTAAAGATAACGTACTGTTAAAAATGCACAAGCATAGACTTTTTCAAAACTCCATCCATACTTGTATTCAGCAAGCTTCCCTTATGGCTCAGCTTATAAAGTTTTAGAAACAGTGTGGGATCCAATCCTAACCTCGGGGGATCTTTCTCTTCTGTAATCAGTGGGCTGACAGTAGGTGGCAAAGTCATTAAACGAGCAAAAGGTGAAGTTCCAACCAATGATGGCTTAATGCTCATTTGCAGAGAATCCTTTCTAAAAAGCAAACAATCTGTCCATGTTACTTTAGAGCTGTAGTAATACTGCTGTCCTCATGAAGCAGGGTAGTAAGCAGCCAGGAAAATTCCTCGGCAAATGGAATGGGGAAACTGAAACAGAGCTGATTCAAACTGGCCTCACCCAGCACCCAGACTCACCTGTCTCCTTCTCCCTTGCACTGCCACTCCCTTAAGCATTAGCCCTCAGGACAATGAGGTTCTGGTCAGCATCAAATAATCTTAGGAACAAAGCCTCAGGTCTGTTGACCACAGAGACAGAGTTTTGGTCAAACTAGAGGTAGCATCTAGGCCTCAGTTGTTTCAGCTCCTGGCCCAGAAAAGCAGCAAAACCAGATGAAGCAACACCATAGCTGGCATCAGAACCAGATGCAACGACCAATGACCCCCTACCCTAGCACCGACCAATCAGTAGAGACCATGACCCTGACCTTATACTCTCATTTTCTTTCTTAATAGAGGGGAAGGAAAAAGGGGTGTGGGGGAGGGAAGAAAGAGAGAAAGAAACATTGATGTGAGAAACATTGATCAGTTGATTCCCATATGTGCCTGACTGGAGATTGAACCCCCAACCTAGGTATGTGCCCTGATTGGGAATCAAACAGACAACCTTTCAACCAACTGAGCCACACTGGCCAGGACTATACTCTCATTTTGATGAATCAGCACATTAAAGGATACAACTGGCCCAGCCAAGCATGGCTCAGCAGTTGAGCATCGACCTAGGATCCAGCAGATCATGGTTTGATTCCTGGTAAGGGCATGTGCCTGGGTTGAGGGCTTGATCCCTAGTTGGGGGCGTACAGGAGGTAGCTGATCAGTGACGACTCATCATTGATGATTCAACTCTCCCTCTCCCTTCCTCTCTCTGAAATCAGTAAAGATATATATATTAAAAAGGACACACCTGGAAAGCTGATGAATATTCTATTGAGATCCTTCCCTGTGACCTCTTTTAAAATTCTTGCCTTTAGAAAAGAGATAAAAATGCTTAAGACAAAGGACACACTCTCTAGAGCTCACCAGTGCCTTCTTTCTTCAGGTGTGTATATTTGTTTTCTTTTTCCTAAATGCTAAGGGTCCCCACAAGACTTGCAACCAGGGGAGTAGCGGGCAGTGGCAGCTTATCCTGGGCTAACCCCCTGAACCTGTCTCCAAGGGCCCTTCTTTTGCCTCTATAACTTATTTCCCGAGTCTACTACAGCTGGCTCACTTCTGCCTCTGTGACTTTCTTTCTAAAAGGCCAAGGCAGTTCTAAGCAGCCTGTTCAAACCTTCTCTTTGCATATACTTTCACTTTGCATGCTGCATAAATTTCCTCTTGCACTAGAGTTCTTGGCTCAGAATTCTTTCTTGGAAGAACTCAAGAACCCAGAAACAACGTAGCTGCCAACACTCACACTTTTATCTATCCTGCTTTATTAACGAGGAATGCTAGAGGCCTGAGCCTGGTGGGGGAGGGGTGTGCTCCTGTCCCATCAGGGGGAGGGGATCATGGGGACAGGCAGGACAACTTCCTAGGAGCCCCCCTTCCTCATAGAGGGAGCTGGGGCCCAGAGTGGGCGCCACCCATTGCCAGGAGCACAGAGAGGGGGTCCCTGCCATCCTTGGCCCCCTGCAGGCTGGCACTGGGTAGAGCGGCCCCTGTAGCCCGGAGCAAGCAGCAGGAGGAAACAGGGAGATGAGGAGCTGCTCCTGGACAAGGAAGGGAGCAGTCTGCTGGAGTGCTCAGGCACAGTGGGCAGCAGGGGCTGAGTAGGTGATGGGGACCTGGTGTCCCAGGCACTACCAGGTAAGAAGACTGGGGCTGGAGGATCTCCGGTGGAGCTGGAGGGCACAGAAGGATAGGGTTATGGCTCCCTCCGCCTGTCCCTCCCGTTTCCTCTCAGCCCCATCTGTCGATCCCTGTCACTCATACCATCTGTCCATTTCCCTTCCCATCTCACCCAGGAGTCAGTTCTGCCCTCTCAGCCCTCACCACCTGGGTCGGGTTATCAAGGGATGGGTGATCCTGAGTCAGCTTGGAGGCCTCTGGGGCAGGGACATGGAGCTGGCAGGAGTGGAACCCTGGGCATCCAGGGTGAGGCAGCTGTGGTCAGAACCAGCAATGGAGCCTGGAGATGGGAATGTGGGAGCCAGAAATGTGGCTGTGGGGAACAGAAATGCAATCATGGTGATACAGATGTGGTCATGGTGGCAGAGGTCTATGGGAACAAGGATGTGGATACAGGACAGAGATGGGTCTGTGGGGACAGATGTGGCCATGGGGACAAAAATGGGACCATAGGACAGAGACAGTGTAATGGGGAGAGATGAGCCCACAGTGGTAGAGGGGTCAAGGGCATCAAGGACAGGACTGGAGTAGAGGTCACATAATGACAGAGATGGGGCAGTGGGTTCATGTGGGGCCTTGGGATCAGAAATGGGGGAGTATTAGATGGGGCCAGTGACTAGGAACTTGCTGGGTGTAAATGGGAGGTGGGTCCCTGAGGTCCAAAGTGTATGACAGATAGGAGGGCTAGCGAGAGCAGTGAGGTTGGAAACAAGAGCTGCATGGTGAGGCGGAGGAGTCAGGAACAGGGCAGCCAGGGCCATTGGAGTTACTATGGGGTAACATGAGTAACAAGATGCTGGGGTTCGAGAGGTTAACAAGAGGCAGTCGGTGTCCTTATTAAACTTATAGACCCAAGAAAAAGGTAGACACCATTTCTAAGCATCCTAATTGAGAGAGAGCCACTCTACCCCTCCCAAGTCTTCAATCTTCACTTAAACTGGGTTAAAAATCCAGGTTAAACTGGGCAATAATCACATTGTACACTAGAAATGTTTTTCCTTAAATTTGTTACCTCATTTACAATAAATGTTTTAGTTTTTAAATTTCCTATTCACTTCGTAAGGCTGCCAAAGCACAGTTTATAGTTGCTATACAAAGAAAAATAGACATTTATCTCCTAATCTTAGTTTTTCAAAAGCTCCAATTAAAGTTTTAACATATAGAAAAGCTGAGATTCTTACTGTACCCACCTCCTAGCCTCAAGTTATCAATTCAGGGTTAATCTTGTTCTCTTCCTCACCAATGCTTTCCTCCCATTACCTTGTGTGATTCCTAATCACATTCCCTAAAAATTAAATCACAATTGACACCTTAAAATACACTACCTAGTGTTCAAAATTTGCTATCCTTTCAACTTCTTAGCCATTAGCTAGGGCCCCCATTTTTGTTGGTGCATAGACACTGGGGAAGTCTTTGTATATATCTCGACAACCAGACTCACAGCACCTAGGGCTGCACAGAACCTGAACTAGAAATTCACGTCATCTTCAAGAGGTTATAAAGGAGATACATAACATCCATAGATTACACTCAAGCCAGAACTCAAACCCAGTTCTCTCGATGACCCGTGCACCCAGTACTACTCCATGCCACTCTTGTGAAATGTGCTATGGGATTTTTTATTTTTTTTTTTAGAGATATATATATCTTTATTGATTTCAGAGAGAGCATAGGAGGAAACATCAATGATGAGTCATTGATTGGCTCCTTCCTGCTCGCCCCCTGCTGGTGATGGAGCCCACAACCGGGGCATGTGCCCTGACCAGGAATTGAACTGGGTCTCCTGGATCCTAGGTCGATGCTCAACCGCTGAGCCATGCACACATTTTTGTCCCCACCCCTAATTCATGTTGAAGTCCTAACCCCCAGTGCCTCAGAATGTGACCTTGTCAATGGGGTACTTGCAGAAGTTATTAGATGAGGTCCTATGGGTGGGCCCTAATTCAGTGGAACTGCTGGTGCCTTTTAAGAGTAAAATTTGGACAAATAGACACACAGGGAGAACATCATGTGGAGATGACGGCAAAGCTTGCGGTGATACTTCTATATGTCGGGAAAACCAAAAAGTACCAGCAAACCACAAGGAAAGAGGCATGGAGGTTTTCCTCACAGCCTTAAACAACAGCTCATCTTAGTTCTAGTCTCCAGAACTGAGACGATAAATTTGCTGTTTAAGTCACTGTTTGTGGCTGTTATAGCAGCCATAATAAACTGTTATCCTTCAACATCACCAAGTCTATTTCTTTTTTCCTCATTTAAAAATATGGATTTAAAAGTGTGTGGAACCCATAAAACTCAATAAAACAGAAAACCTAGTTTAAAAACTGGCCATAAAAGGAGGCAAGAATAAACGTTTCATGTGTTTGTAGAGGGGTACAATGTTTAAGTTGCTATTCCTACTCACTTTAGGTCTCAGTAAAATAAATAAAATTAAAAACATCAAACTCCCAAACCAAACAAACAAGTACCAGAATGGTTTAGTTTTTGTAGTTTTATTTCAGATTAAAGTGCATTTCTTTAAAATGTTTCAACGTCCAGTTTTAATTGGCAAGTAATAACAATCAACTCAATAGGTCATGAAAAGTTTTACTATGAACATAAGATTTTTCCCTTCCTCACCCCAGCCAGGATGAACCTGAAAATATACTTAGTATAGGTCTACCTGCTGCAAATACTGTATAAAGCATTACACAGATAAAACTAACTGCACCCTAATTTCCTATCTACTAGTGCAGTTAACTGAAGAACGAACAGGTACTTAAGTTTCAACTTAAGTCATTTGATTTATCAAATATAAATACTTTCTGAATGCAAAACTAAGCTCTTAGAAAGTTTAGAGTCGTGAGAACAAAAATATTACAGGGTTAATAAATGTCTGATTTGGCTTCCCTTTTCTCTAAGTGCATATTAGTCAAGTCTATCCACAGGAGGTAGTGTTTAGATTAAAATAAATGCCATTACTCACCAACAGAGAAAGCAAACTGTGACTTAACCAATTACTGCCAGATGCCTTCCCTCATACATCAAGGTCCCTTAATACCTATGGCAAACATATTAACTATATTTTAAGTTTAAGGAAGAGAAAAAGTGTTCCTATAAAGAACTACTATCTCCTAGAATATTGTGCATTTGAGCAATAGTAAGAATACCCAAATGGAATCAGGGGAATCCATTTTATAAAGTAAAACCTAAATAACAGCACTAGGATTATGAAATTAAGGAAGCTAGATCCCCTTCCCACAAGGTAGAACCAAATAACCTGACTACATGCCATGTGTGAACAAAACTATCCTTTATAAGGAATCTGTAAACTCTGTATGAGGGCCAGACAGTAACTGTTAAGTAATACAGGCCAGTCTGTCAGACTACTCAACTCTGCTGCTGGAGCAGAAATGCCACCAAAGATAATATGTAAAAAAACATTTGTATCCCAATTAAATCTTATTGAGAGACACTGAAATGTTAACTTCATGTATTTTCAACTGTCACAAAATATTTTTGACTTTTTTCAACCATTTAGAAAATGTAAAAAAACCCCAGGTGTCCAGCCATAGTTTATCATCCCCTGATCTATAAAAATATACTAGGTAAGACTGCCATTTTTGTTCTTATATTCAAAACCGATTCTATTCTTAATTCCATTTTTCTATTACAAAGTTCCCATTCCATATAAAAATAAAAAATTCTTTAGACTAATTATTCAATTATCAAAATAACTATTTTGAAGGTGAATTTCCTAGTTAGATGCACTTTATCCATTAAAGAAATAATGCTTTTTGTTGGAAACTATCACTTATCAGTATATCAATCTCTATCAGCATATAAGCTTGCTGTCTCATAAGCTCGTTTTACCCCCAATTATAAGTCAATAGACTATGGCCTGAAGATAATGTTTCCTCTGGTATAAGGACAAAAGTTAGGTAGGATTTTTCTTCCCTGTGACATCAATACTGCCTTCAATTTTATACTCTCAGATAAAGACAGATTACATTCAACTCAAATAGTATATTTCAGGGGAGTAAGCATTTGTACAGCTTGGCAGTTCATGTTCAGTTTTAACTGTTCTTTGGTGAAAGGCTTGGTATATAATAAAGAAAAAAATGTTAAGACCACATTGTAAAATTTAGCTGTCTACTCCAGGACTGAGTAAACACCCATAATTCTGTTAGACTACTGCTCCATTAAATATTTACAAATCTTCAAATCAAAATGACTCAGATTTTAATGAATACTTTCAAAAACAATATACAAACCCTGGCATATAATAGATATGTTAATTGGGCCATTAGAAACAACAAAGCCCATGTGTGTTTTACTGATTAGCAGTCAATAAATTCTGATAAAACAATTTTAAAAACACAGCACTTTTAACTTCTGGCTACGTTTCCTTAAGTTCTTTGAATAAGGGTAGCTCTTACAAAAAGAGTACTTAAATATGTGAGGGAAATACAATGTTGTAACAGAATGCCAAGAAACACTCATGTTTAGAGAATCCAATTATTCAGCTCTGTCTTTCAAACTCCATTTTACAATGAAATAGTTTTCAACCGTGTAACATTAACAGCAAAGTCATTAAAGGTCTTCAGTACAATGTCAAGACAGGTCTGTTACACGTGACTTATTTTGGTATTGCTAACTTCACTGCCATTTTAATCTCAGGGATGGTCTGTTTTCAATATTTATAAATAAAATAATGAAGTCCCATAACTTAAAAGGCAAGACAGAGACTAAATGCCATCTAATATTTTGAAATTTACCTTTATATTAAAAAAAAAAATCAGAACACAATCCAAGAGCCATTGTCTGAAATGCTTAATAACTTTTATAACATTACTTAACCATCTGCCTACTTAAAAATATAAATCTTCCATATTAAAAAAAGGTTCCAAATGAGGCAAAATTTTACCTTAAACTTTCTTTACAATTTGAACTTTAATTTGAAGGGTTCCAGATCGGTCCCATCTGCAATTCATAAATTTGAGTTAATTTTAAAAAGCCTAGCTTTTATTTTTGTGGTAATAACTTTAAAGACTTAAATCTGCTTGGGCTATCAAAACCTAACTCACAGCTTGAAGCCTCTTCAGCCTACCTAGGACAAGTGCACTCCATAGACATCACTATTTAGTATGGGTAATGTGGAAGTTTTTAGAAATGAAGGATCACGCCCTACCACAGACCTATTGAATCAGAATCTGCATTTTCACACATACATGCTAGTTTGAGAGGGACTGTGTTAAAAGTCAAAACGTCCATTGTTTGTGTACAAAGTAAAAGACCTTTCTAAAGGCTTGGGAATAAACTGGACATGGGTTATACCAATGAGAATACAGCTTCTCCCCCCTCCCTCCTCACTCAAGTCTTAACCTAATAATTTTAACTGATCTCCCTAACTATTATTGATAATAAAGAACACGAGATGGAATCTAGGCCTTTCTTACTGGATTATCAAGTCCAAGTTGGAAGGCATGGCATTAAAGAAAACGTGACCCGACCCTCTAAACTCCTGTTCAATTTCAACTAAGCCAGCTTTTAAAACAGCACTTATTTTTTTCTCATTCCCTTTACCATTAAAAAAAATTCTACTTGTATACTTTACACACACACACCTTCTATTTTCCACTAATTTTGTTTCTTGTCCTGCCACTTTTTAGGCAATACATAATCTGATTCTTAAAAATATAACAGAATCCCTGACTACCTTCAAGCTGTACAGAAATAAAGAATCCATGGGTAATGCCATGAGCTCCCATGCACTTAGTGTTCAGATTTAAGTCTTATTTTTGACCATATTATCCAACAGCATTATTACTAAACCTGATTCATCCTTTACTGTATGGAATTTAGAGCAAAAGCCACACGCCATTCAACAATGGCTTCCAAACTTGTTCAAACAGCAGAGCACTTTTAATGGACTCAAATATTGAAAATTTAAATCCACTATGAAATCCATTTTGGAACATAAAAAATTATGCTATGTTTTTTGCATGCAACTAGATTCTTTAAATAAATAAGAAATTACATTTGAGTATTATTGATATTTGTCGTGTTTTATTAGCCATTAGAAAATATTTGAAAAACCTGAATTTCTCTTTAATAATGAAGCAACACAATGGAGCTAATCAAGGAACATTAATGCATTTTGCAATTCAGGAATCATTCAGGAAAAATTTTAAGGCAAGAATATTGAAAATAAGGTTCCCCAAAGATACACTTACAACTATGTCAACAATGAAGACTTAGCAAACTGGTTTTTGCCCTCGAATATTTTTAAACATATCCTTGTTGAATCGCAATGTTTTTAAATTAACACTTGTGCTTGTATCAAATTCAGTGAATTAAGTAAATGATAATCATTTTGGTCTCATTTCCTGCTATACTGTTCACTTTCCAAAGAACTTCATTTCACCAGCAAGTATGTTTAGTTCACACGAACAATAAAATATGTAGTCGGGAAATGAGATAATTCTGACTCCTCCAAACACACATACCCATCAGTCCACTAAAAATATATGCCCCTTTACTGTCAAATATTATTTGAGAAATGACAAATACAAAAATATTCCTATATTTCATTAGTTATTTCTTCAAGCTACAACCCTCAGTTTAATAGTCCCAGAATTTCTTTTAAAATCCTTGGTATGTAAATTCAAAACTTAGACCCCCAATATATTTGTAATAATAATAGATTTACAATTATAAAGACACTTAACTTTTATTGTGGCTGGCTAGTGGTCCCCTTCTGAATATAAAAGCTGATTAGACACAAGGATTAAACTTTCTATGACTTGAAGAACGTGTGCATTTTCAAGTTAAGTGTTAGTTCTGAATAAAGTTTGAAACAGGTTGCTCACTCATTCTATTCAGAGAACAAATGAGATCTTCTCATTAAAAACAAAACAAATATGGGGAGTCAGGCACACTAATACTAGTTGGTAAAATTTACAAAAGTTTTAATTATGTACACCCTATTTTTAAAAAGTAGGCAAAAAACATACATATCTCAAAAGAACAGTTTTAAATTTCTTCCAAGTTTGCTTTAGGTGCAGGCGAAAAGAGCACATAAACTAGATCTCTTACAGTCCAAGTTGTAATGAAAATACTCTAACTCTCCTATTAAAAAGAAATGTAATGAGGCATGCTTTCTAGTGGCTGATACTCTCTTCCAAACCAAAAGGAAAAAACGTATAGGTATGAGTAGTAAAATTGCCAAAATACTTTATCATTTCTATAACTTTACTCATTCTGTTTACTTCAGAAAATAAACTTATGTTTTAACTAAGACCATTAACTAAGTACAAAACTATTTGCTGTTTCATTTGTAAATACAGAATCCTACAAACATCTGCAGCAAGTCCACGAAGCATTTCTATTGTCCATACTGATATCTCAGTACTTAATATATACAAAATGTTTCTATTAAACAAAACAAAGGTATTCACAAGAAGCTGCAGAAAAATTCACCTAATTAAAAGCTGAAATTTATAAATTAAAAACACTGTAATCTATACATAATGTACAAATAGTCATGCATTTTAAAATGAGTACGTCTCATAAAAGTAAATTTTCACAGGCAAATGCTGCTGCACAAATATTTGCTAATGCAAATAAATGAATGGTATGTATTTTAGTAAATTCTGCTTTAATACTTTAACCCAAAAGCTGAAACTTTCGGTATTTTTCTTAAAAGCAGTCTAAAGTTAACAGCTGTGAACAACATTCTAATTCTTATCGCACATAAGGTATTCTACCAAGAAGAAATTTCTTAAACCTCAGGCACAACAAAGATAAATAAAATAAAATAAAATAAAATAATCAAGTATAAACACCTTCTATCAGTTCAGCAAAAAATTCAAATAAAAAATTTTCAATTTTACTTCAGTTAAGATATTTTATATAAAATGTTTCATCAGAATATGCATGAGTTTGAGTGAAATAAATGTGGGCTTGTGTCTAGTTTTTGCTTTCACATTTCAGTAAGATATTTAAATTTTTGGAACTATGCATAGCAGCCAAGAAAATATGTAACATGAGAAAAATGATCTTACAAAACTGAACTTATATAAATCATTGCCCTTCAGGTTCTGAAATGTTACCAACTTTACAAACATTCAGTCTAAAATTGTGCTATACTTCAGAACTTATTTTATGAAACAACAAACTGTTATATTTTTAAAAACTTCAACTTTGTCTTAAAATACTAAACAGAATTGTCAGGGGATGGTGACCTCCAACGTGACTGCAGATTCTTTATTATAGAGTTTGCCATGCTACCAAGTTTCTCATGCATTTCAAATAGCTGGCTTCCTGAATAATTATGAAGATCCTCTGAATCCAGTTGAAGAGCAAGTGCACTGACCTGTGCCACAAGATTTTTAGATAATGGAGTTTCTAAAGCAACAGAATCAACTAAATCTAAAAAAAAAAAAGAGAGAGAGAGAAAAAGCACAATTAGATGTATTCCAGATAAGACTTAAATTTTATATATTGCCTTTCAAGTTAATAAAAAGTTTAAGTGCCTAGGTTTGAAATTGAAAGTATAGGCTGAGGTATGTACCCTGTTCCTCAAGAGAACAGGCAGCGGGAAAACCTAACACAGCTTATTCTCTGACATTAAAGAAATCACCAGAATACTCCATTTTTATTAAAAGCACGACCAGAACACAATATTTAGTTCATATCCTCATTGGAGTAGAGTTGACAATTACAGAAAAGCAGCTAAACATACTTGAAGTAAAAACAATTATTTTTTCATGTACTTGGCAACTAGAACGAAAGAAAAACTTGTGTGATTCACAAGGTATGGTCAAACTAAAACTAAAAGCATAATAACAAAATAACTCAAGAAAGAAAGCTGATCTTATAATAAGGTTGTCCCATTTCGCTAAAATATACCTGAAGCAAGTCCTTCTTCATCAGCAGAGAGAGGCTTATTTGCTGCTCCATTTATTGTTTTTTCAGAAAGATTAAAAACTGGAATCTCTTCTAGTCCACGAGATTTCGCCTTGATTATACATTTAGGTCAGTAAAAACAAAACCAACAAATTGTAAGTTACCCTTAATAGAACTAACAACAGCACTAACACCAGAATAGAATCTGACAGCCAACCACCTGATTATTAGCTTAGCTAATATTGCTAAGAAACTCACAAAAAACACACAAAAATCTACATGTGAGCTTTAAAAATACTATGTTCAATGGAAGCCAGTCACAAAAGACCACAGGTTTATATGACCCCACTTTTATGAAATGTCCACAATATGAAAATTATTGAGGAAAAAGATTAGTGGTTGCCTAGGGTATAGAAATGAGGAGTGACTGCTAATGGCTAAAAGGGATTTTTTCTGGAGTGATAAAAATGTTCTAAAATTAACCATGGTGATGATAGTATAATTGTGTGAATATACTTAAAAAAAAAAATCAATTATGTGTGTGTGTGTAAGGGGGAGCAATGAATTTTATGGTATTTGAATGTCTTAATAAAACAGCTTTTAAAAAATTATGTAATTTTCACAGACAATTCTCAGGGCCCATGGACCACAGAAAATACTTCAGAAACTAAATTCTTGATCTATGAGACTAGAAATTGCTAGTTTCTGAGTTCTTAAAAACTAGCAAATGTTTCTAAGAATCACAAATAAATAAATATTAACTCTAGGACTTTCAAGTAGTTAGTAAACTCCAGTCTCAAAAATTCTAATCTAGAATGCTAGTTTTCATCTTTAACAGACCCTATTTTTTATTTACTCACAATTTTGAATGTCAATGAATACATAAAGTATCTCTGAATGGGTTTTAGAAAAGTCTCTGAACCCTTCTGAAATAATACATAAAATTGTCCATACATTTTTATAGGGGGCAGAATATTGGCTTTCATCACAAATTCTCAAAACATCCATGACCCAAAACATTTATGTGTAAAAAGGTCACAAAAAGAAAATAGAAAAAAAAGTCCACAATTGTGTTGGTTCTCAAAATCTAAATACTGTTAACTACAAATATGTACGATTTTTATAAATGTTTAGATTTTAACATCAAGGTTTTAAGAAAAGCAGCCATGAAACCAATAACCAGTTTTGTATAAATGAAAGAGAAAAGGTGGTAGTACAGAATTCAAAGAATTGAGAAGTGCATGGCATAAGAACAGTTCAAAAAAAAAAGAGCAGAACTTCTCTGTGGAATTATAAAAGTGATCTTTTAAGTTACTCCTGGCTGCGAGGGAAGGAAAGAAAAGGTGACAAGAAATGGGCTTTTCAGCATGTATAGTTTAAGTACAAACTTATATAATTGTATAGCTAGATAATTCACAGTTACGCACTACTTAAAAACGGGGATACATTATGAGAAATACAATAGGCAATTTTGTCACTGTGAAAACATCAGAGTGCACGCACACAAACCTAGGTGGTATAGCCTACTACACACATAGGCTATGTGGTATAAGTCGAAAAAGTACACTCTAAAATAACAACAAAGTTTAGTGTAGTAAATACAAAAACCAACATAGTTGTTCATTAAGTATATGTACTGTACATACTCACATGCCCTACATTTTATGACAGGCAGCGTTAAGTGGGTTTGTTCACACCAGCATCACCACAAACACGTAATGAATTTACACTATAATGTCAACAGGTAATAGGAATTTTCAGTTTCATCATTATCTTATGAAACCACCACTGTATATGCAGTCTGTTGTTGACCAAAAGATAGTATTGTGTTTATACATGATATATAACTGACATCTAAATTTTTACCTGTTGCTCATGATATACTCTAAGAGCCTTTTTAACATTGGACACTTTTGGAGAACGGATTGGAAGAGTTTTTATTTCAGATGCTGTAAGAGTACTCAAATCACCAATTGTTCTTATATTCTTGGCTCTAATGAGCTGTCCCAGTCCTCTAGCCCTGAACAGATGAGAAAAAGGTAGAATGTTATTATATAGCTTTATATTTACTCTATTTGTGAGTGCCTATCCAGGTGAACTTCCTGATTTAAGGAATTTATATAGGCCCACCTAGCCTACTATGAGGAAAGGCACATGTACATAAAATTTGAAACAAAAAATTTTAATTTGATGTGTATGCCTGGTTTAAGCAACAGCATTGAAATCCATCTAAGTCTAATGTGTGCCTCACGCTTCACTAACATTATGACTGTGACTTTGGTGGATCTTATAAGGTTCCACCTTATAAAGTGGAAAGTTCCTCACATAAAGTAGAAATACTACTACTACTCTTATACGGTTTATATTATGATTAAATAAGATAATGTATATACAAAATTCAGCACAGCACCTGGAAAATAAGCACATAATGATCTTAGCCACTGTGATGAATGCTTCTCTTATTGCCCTATCTGGTCCATCTTCCCAGCTGAATTTTTTATTTATTTCTAAAACATATATATAAAGGTGCATATGAAATCAATCCTAAATATGAGAACCTTGATCATTTAAACAGTCCTCTTAAATAAGTGGAAACTTTATGAATAAGCCAGAAGCCTAAATAACCACTTACCACATGTTTGATGTAATCTGAGGTAAAATGATGTCAACTGGTGCCATACAGTTCACCAAAGCTGGATAAACACTTTCTGTTGGACACGGTATGGATTCTTTACCCATTTCTGTAATCTTAGAATAAATTTCAAAAGCCATTAAACAGAGGTCACCTCACTAAACATGAAAAAAAGTTGCATGAAAACTAAAGCACTTCTTACTAAACATTTCTTTGAGCTCTTAAATTTAGGGCTACGTGATCCTGGGAAGAGAAATCCTTTGCTTGCAGTGGTATTATGCTAGATAGAAGGAGAGAGAAAAAAAAACTCAGAACCCTAGATAACTATAATTTTACAACTTTATTTTCACAACTTAGACTACAGTAATTTCCTAGTATTTTCAGAAAATCTAAAATGTAATAAACTACATAATCAAATACTTGCTGGATCATCATTGCCTCTTACCACCTCTTCTCTTCATGTCTGCTAATCAAGTAGCAGAAAAAGATTAATATATCCAAACCAAGTAAGTTTTGTTCCTTAGTTCATTTTAAGATAAACTATGCAATGCAATTCTGTGTCTGCATAACATATGTACATGTGTATTTTAAAGCCTACACCTTACCTTAGATTGTGCAGTAGGTGAAGTTTTAACACTTTTCACTATGGGAGAATTGTTTGAAGAATGGGCCCTAACAAGAGAACATCGCCTATCGATGTCATCTGCCAATCCTGCTTGATATATTGGATCTGCAAAGGAGACACGTCGAACCTAAAAACACAGGACAGTTTTATTTAACAAGATTAAAGTTTTTAAAAAAATAACGCCATAAATTCTCATTATAAGGTTACCCAAAAACAGAATATGGGTTTAGAAGCTTAAATTATTTCACTAGAAACCACATATACACTGCTGAAGTTCTTCCGAATGACTGCTTTCACAAATAATAGCTCAGGTCATTCCAATGATCTATGTTCTATAGCAACAAAGACTGAAACAGACAGTAGCAGAAACTTAATGAAAGTACATGTGGCAGTTAAAATTGTATAATCCAATACTAACTTTATGGGCTTAACTGTTAACTACAATGACTATAAAGAACAAGGTACAGAGATAGACACAGTACTAACTAGTATATCTACTTAACTCTTCTAAAATCTGAGGGTACCAGACTCACAGCAATTGGGTGGCAATTTTTATTTCTTAGCTCCAGCTTGAAGTCATTTTAGTCTATTCTAAACTCTTACAATATGTTCCCTCATTCAGCTATTTGATATAAATACACAACAGAGCATTCACTTTATTAAATATGTATCTAAGTGTTCCTTAGTTTTAATTTTTAATAAACTGGAAATACTCTGTACACATCTGCTATAGAAGACTACACTATGTTGTACTGTTGCCTAAATAAAAATGAAATATAAAATACTATCAAATAAAATATAATTAATTTGTATTAACAATCTACAGCATATTGAAGAGCCAAAAACCAATCCTCACTTATATGATCAATTAATCAACACCAAAGGAGATAAGGGTATTTGATGGGGTAAAGGCAGTCTCTTCAATAAGTGGTGCTGGTAAAACTGGAGAGATATAAGCAAAAAAATTAAATTGGACCATTTTGTTACACCGCATAGAAAAACAAACTCAAAATGGATTAAAGACTTAAATGTATGCCCAGCAGGTGTGGCTCAGTGGCTGACTGTCAACCCAAGAACACGGAGGTCACAGTTTGATTCTGGGTCAGGGCACATGCCCGCGTTGCACGTTCAATCCCCAGTAGGGTGCATCCAGGAGGTAGCTGATCAATCATTCTCTCACCACTGATGCTTTCTCTCTCTCTCTCTCTCTCTCTCTCTGAAATCAATTGGAAAAACAAAAAAACCACCACACATATTAAATATAAGTCCTGAGACCAAAAAACTCCTAGAAGAAACCATAGGCAGTGAACTCTGTAACATCAGTCTTAGCAATATCTTTTGGGTTGTATCTCTTTCGGCGAGAGCAACAAAAGCAAAACTATTCAAATAGGACTACATTAAACTAAAAAGTTTCTGCACATCAAAGGAAACCACCAACAAAATGATAAGACAACCCACTAAATGGGAGAAGATAATCACAAATGATACATCTGATAAGGGGTCCATATAAAGGAACTCATACAATTTAACTCATCCCCCCCAAACCTCAATAAAAAATGACAGAGGACCTGAATAGACACTTCTCCAGAGGACAGACAGCCAACAGACACATAAGACACTCAAATCACTAATTACCAGAGAAATGCAAATAAAAACCACAATGATATACCACCACACACCTCTCAGAATGACTACCACAAAAAAAAAAAAAGACAAATAACAAGTGCTGTTTGGGGGAATGTGGAGAAAAGGGAACCCTCATAACACTGCTGGTGGGACTGTAAATTGGTGCAGCCACTATGAAAACAGTATGGAAATTCCTCAAAAAAATTAAAAAATATAGTTGCCATATACCCAGCAATTCCAACTCAAGTATTTGTCTAAATAAAACAAAAACACTAATTCGAAAAGATATATGCAGCCCTATGTATACTGCAGTGTTATTTACAGTAGCCAACACCTAGGTGCCCCCCCATAGATAAGGAGGTAAAGATGTGATATATACATAAAAGGGAATATTTGTCAGCAATAAAAAAGAATGAAATTGTGTCCAGCCAGTGTGGCTCAGTGGTTGCGCATTGACCTATGAACCAGAAGATCACGGTTTAATTCTCTGTCAGGACACTGCTCGAGTTGCAGGTTTGACTCCCAGTAGGGGGTGTGCAGGAGGCAGCTGATCAATGACACTCATCACTGATGTTTCTCTCTCTCTCCCTCTCCCTTCCTCTCTCTGAAATCAATAAAAACATTAAAAAAAAAAAAAAAGAATGAAATCTTGCTACTTGCCAACAACACGGATGGACCTTAAGGTTGTTAAGTCAGACAAAGACAAAGATCGCATGATTTTGCTTATATGTGAAATCTAAAATAACAAAACAAACAAACCTATAGTTACAGAGAAAAGGTTGTCAAAGAGGGGTGGAAAAGAAAAATGAAAAAATTTTAAAATATGAATTAACAGAAAGAATGCTGGGTAGTTCATAGAATTGATAGGAAGACTGGTGGGCAAAGCTTGGAAAAGGCAAAGGAAACATAAGTAAATAAGTATACTGAAGAAAGACATAAATCTCAATGTACTGCTATCTCCATAAACTTTTCAAGAATGTCTATGGCCTATTTAATTAAACTTCAGACACTGAAAAAAAAATAGTAAGAGCTTTGCCCTGGCCGGTGTGGCTCAGTTGACAGGGCACCATCCTGTGTAACAAGAGGTTGCCAGGTGCCAGTGCGATTCCTGGTCAGGGCACATACCATGGTTGTGGGCTCAACTGATACCTGGCAGTGGGGGCATGCAGGAGGCAGCCAATCAAGGCTCTCACATCAATGTTTCTTTCTCTCTCTACCTTCCTCTCTCTCTAAAAATCAGTTTTTAAAAAATCTTTAAAAATAAAAACTAGTAAAGAGCCTCAAAACAAAAAACTCAAAAGAGGTGTTAAATCTTTCCAAGGACTAATCTCTGAATTCTCAGTATAAGAATTTTTGCTGACGAAGTACTCACAATGTGCTTGCCAAAGGCAAAATTAAGTGTATCTTTATATCTACATACATGTTTGTATGTATGAACACGTCTTCTACTGTAAATGGTAGGCTCAATTTAAGATTTTGGCGTAGGTAAATGCAGCACTTGCACCTTCCTGCAACCACATCAAAAATACATTCGCATCATGGGGATGCCGGTACGAGAGAGCAAGAAATTGAAAACCTATTTGAAAAATGACAGAAAACTTCCCTAACCTGGTGAAGGAAATAGACATACAAATCCTAGAAGCACAGAGAGTCCCAAACAATATAAACCCAAAGAGGTCCAAACCAAGACACATAATTATAATGCAAAAGGTTAAAGACAAAATCTTAAAAGCACCAAGAGAAAAGCAGTTAGTTACCTACAAGGGAGCACCCATAAGACTTCCAGTTGATTTCTCAAAAGAAACTTTGCAGGCCAGAAGGGACTGGCAAGAATTATTCAAAGTGATGAAAAGCAAGGGCCTACAACCAACGCTACTCTACCCAGCAAAGCTACCATTTAGAATTGAAGGACATAAAATGAGCTTCCCAGACAAGAAAAAGCTAAAGGAGTTCATCAGCACCAAACCATGAAATGCTAAAGTATCGTCAAGGAAAAAAAGATAAAGAATATGAACAATAAAATGTTAATAAATGTATTATCAAATACATTTATAAAATGAACAAGCAGAACAGACTCAACAGATACAGAGAACATTTTGATGGTTGCCAGATGAGGAGTTGGATGGATGGGTGAAAAAGGTGAAAGGATTAAGAAGTACAACTTGGTACAGCACAGAGAATATATAGTCATTAATATTCTAATAACTACGTATGGTGTCAGATGGGTATGAGACTTATCAGGATGATCACTTAGTAAGTTATATCTAGTTATGTCTAATCACTGGGGTGTACACCTAAAACTGATATATTGCATATCATCTATAATTAAAAATTTTAAATGAAATATAGTCAGTCACACTAAAAAGAACTGGTAGGATCAATTTCAAAATTAAGAAATGCCCACATCAGACTTTTACAGAGCATCTAATTTGCTAAATAGAGGACAAGTTAATCTATGTAGGCACATGTAACTTTCCTTTTGTAATTTATTAGTTCAAAAAATTACGTGCAACTTACAAGGCCAGGAGGTGAAGCACATATAATAGATAACACACGTTTATAACTAAAAGGGCTGTAGTTTAGTGAAGATGGGAAAAAAATTATAAATGAAATCATATCCAGAAACTGATGGTCGCACAGCCTAAGAATTTTTTTTAATGATCAGGTATAGAAATAAGAATTTATACGAACACTTAAAATATTGAAACAGACAGTATAATGTTCTAGTATACACAACAGCTAACTAAAGTTGCTTTATTCTTCATATATTACGGTATGAGGAACAGAAAAAAATCGTCGTGAGAAATTTTCACCAATTTTGAAAAAGATAATGTTCATGGTTGTATCAAGATCTTTATATTGTCCTGAAATAATGGAATATCTAAGGCCCTCAGTCTCTTCTTCTCAACATCTTTCCTTCTACCTGTCCTTTTCCCTAGCTACCATGGTAAATATACAAAACAAGTGGTCAAAAACTTAATATTCTGTAATTCACCAGGTATCACTATGTGGCAAAAATATTCCAATTAAATCACATACAAGAAAAGGGTAAAGGAGTTCATCACCATCAAAAATAGTATTGCATGAGATGTTGAAGCTTCTTCTTTAAGCTTTTGAATAAAATAAAGTGACAGACAAAATAGACCCAGAGACACTGAAGCATGCAACAGAATGACGTATTTCACAAAGAAGGGGGTGGGGAGGGAAAGTAACCAGAACACTTATAGGCATATATGCAAATTCCACGGACACAAACAGTAATATGGTGAAAGCCTGGGAGGGGGGAGC